GTACAAGAGTATGAATATAATGCTCTGTTGCTGGAAATATGTCGCTATATTGAACAAAATGAAACTGAACTCAAAAAACTTAAATTTTTGTTGAGACATCGTATTCCAGACGGAAAAAGAGAGAGACTAGAAACACCTTTCGATATATTTGAACATCTTGAAAAACTCGTACTTCTCGGGCCAGACAATCTTTGCGAACTCGAAAAGTTACTTCGATTGATGAAGATACCCGAGTTATGCGACAAGGTACGCCGCTTTATTGCCAACCGCAAGATGGTGCTCTCTCATGGGTAGATGAATGAAAAAAAAAGATAGATCGGCACACTCTCAGAGCCTGGGTTTATCCCTGGATTTAAGCGTGTGGTGTGCTATCTTTTTTATATAGTTCATGGAAGGTGAAAATGCACTGCTTAGTCTATGTTGTTTGTTTCGGCAAAATCAGCAAGGTTAGTCGAAAATCAAAGAAACAATGCAGGTAAGAAAAAGTTTGTTCTGTCTGACTGTAATGTTTATCAATATCACTATCAGTGTCGTATTCATGCGACACAACAAATGAAATATGTCGATATATGCCAAAGGTTTTGCTTCTGCCGTATTGAAGAAAACAGTTCAACACACATTTTATGTTATTCAGCTATCGATCAAGACAAATAAACATTGTATATTGATGTTTCAAATTCGTCTCTGGGTAATGTATACAATACGCGGAAAAGGGGAGAGCTGTTTTCCCTTTTGCCATGGATCACGAAATATTTGCATGAAATATTCAGTGCCAGTGGATAAAAGATTTGCATAAAATATTTAAATTAATGTTTTGCATATATACGATCTGCAGGTATGGAATTATATAGCTGATATAATATAGCTAATATATTTTAATTATTCAAGTATTAAAATATCTTATGAAATATCTATATAAAATATCTGGCGAAATAATGTTTTGCCGGGGGGCGATGATAACCCACCTCTACTATATCACGAAATACTAACGCTCATTATTCGAAAGATAAATACAAAACGTATAGGCTCTTAATTCGCATTTACAATCATGGAACTTAAGTCGTACACTTCCGTCTATAACTGTATTACATTTCGGGCTGAGCTAACTGCCTCGCGAGGTCGTTAGCTGAGCTGATAGCTCTCGTGTCATCGGTGCGGCGAGCTTTAGGAGCCAGTATGAACCAAGCCTACATAGAACTAAAATCACAAACCAAATGGGACCTATCAGTGATACGTATCCATTCGGACAGCTAACCATAGGAAAGTCTAGATTAGAAAGACTGAACTGATTTGCGTCACGAACTTCTTTTAAATGACTGTTACCATGAGAGAAAACGAGAACTATACGCGATTACGAAGTCGGAAACAAGAAAAAAATCATAGTTAAATAGCAGTGTAGCAATTTTAACTTATTTGTCTACGACCCCTGTCAGAAATGAAATAGCAGGAAGAATCATCGCACCTCTCCCCCCGCTGTAATCATGGCGATTAATAAGAGGAAAACAGACAAAGCACTTGATGGCCTTCATTCGTCGAGACTTCAATAAGAAACAGATTCATACTGCATGTCCGGGTCTCCATATACAACGGTCGCCATTTCCTTTTGGCCCATTTATCAGTAAGAGGCTGTTTACATGAGTTCGGTTACCAGGGATTCAGCGAACTATAAGATGATTTTGAGGTTTTAAGCCATATATTTTATGATCCTGTCAGTGATGTAATCATTCCGACAGTAGTATGCGCTGGTTTGGTTTCATATGGCTCAAAATCATCTTACGCTTCGCTGAATCACGGGTGACCGGGCTCAAGTAAACATGCATGCAGCCTCTTATCATCGAAGGAGCATATAGTGTCACAGACACACAGGATCACTCATAGCGAATCGCTGTTTTACCGTTCAATAATTGTATATATCTATATACTAATGCAATACCATGCATTCATGTTGAAATATTTATATAGCAAAACAATTGAATTGAACTGTTTTTTGTATTTTTTTTGTAAATCTGGTGAAATAAAATTGAGTTGACTTGATTTGGCAGTGTACAGTGTGAATCAACAACAGTAATATATGTTTGTGTTTTTATATTCTTAGTTTGTGTTTTTATATTCTTATATTTACGAAATACTCATATCGGTCCATTACTATAAGCAGCTGATTAATCAACCAACTGCCAGTGGGGCCACTGGCAGTTGGTTGATTAATCAGTTGCTTATCAGACAAGCCGGAGTTCAGTTTTCTTATCAAACCGGCAATTGCGGAAATTCAAATGTCTTCGTTTTGACTTGACGGTCCATCATTTTCCACACAGCAGCTGAGCTGGGAAATATTTTTCACAATATTATACAAAAATTGAAAATACAGTTTTTATTTATATAAACAGACTAAAAAAGCAATTCCCAAGTAATTTTTAGCCTTTATTTATATTCATTGATATTCATTTTTTAATTATCTTCGTTATATTCACGCAGTTTTTCAATTTTCACAACGCATCAGTTTTCATTTCACAAGATAATTTCTCATACATGTTAATGACATATAGGCGCTTGCGCGGTTAGCAATGTAATTAACTTCTTCTATACTGGTGATAGCAAAAAGATAGTTAAGTGTCGAATATTTTTTTTGTATTACACCATTTCACCTCACAGTAAAATAATTATACGTTCTTCATGCATTTAAATCAAAATGTGTCTATGAATGTAATATTTTTGTAATATCTGTTATGGCCAGTTATTAATACATTTTGTCATTGAATATAACATATTTAACTTGGAAGTTGGAATTCTATGTTAAAACTCCACTTGTATATCACAGGTCAGTATCGATTCTTCATATCTTAAAGTTTTGTAAAATTGTATTTTATATAACCACTGATTCTATTCATGTTAGTGATTTACGAGGAGTATAATTAAAGAAGACATGCAAACCTGTATACAGCTAACGAGGATTTTCTTGCCCTGACAAATAATGGAATTGTTAGAATACTTTAAAGACTGAATCCTATGGTTTGGAAGAAACCAGCAAGGAACCTTAACCTTATTTGTACGTATTTGTCACCGATTGGGTGGTGGATTCGCTATCTCTCGGATTCTGAAACTCGTCGACAATGTCCCTCAACTTCACTGAAAATACAAGCATCCCTGGTGTCTTCACGATTGGCTGGTTCCGGTTTCCGAACAGTGCTGGCAATAACAAGGAAGTAGTCGTAATCCTTCACGATATTTTCGTGGTTTTATCGCTTCTTACCAATCCGATTTTCTTGTATATTATTGTCAAATCTTATAAGGGTTCTTCAGGAAAGAACTCTAGCATCCTCCTTGCATTTATTTGTCTTACCAACATCTTTGTGACAGGTGTTGGGACCATAAAACTCATTGGTGGCACTAATGTTGACTATGGAATAATGGCTCGAGTGATGTCTATATTTCTACCAATGTATTATATAACTACTTTTTGCTTAGCTTTAAATAACTATGCGCTCATTGTAACACCTTTGAAGTTCCAAACTTTGTCCCCCAAACCCAAAAAAATGGTTGGTTGTTTAGGGTTTGCTTGGGTAATTTTGACATTGATTTTCGTTATAACGCCAGCCCTAGTTTCCGATTTTGATGATTATGCTAAGATCATGTTGATTACAGTAGTTGGTTTATGCTGGCTGGAGAGTATTGTCGTGTTAGTAATGTACACAAAGATTTTGTTTGTTTTGTATCAGAGGAAGATAACATTGAGTAAAACACTGAATATGTCTCGTTCAAGACAAGGATTAGTTGTAATTAAGCAGAATTCAAGACTAGCTAAAGTACTGTTTTTTTATATTCTTGTACTTGTGGTGTTCACCTTACCTCTGTTTACCACTGTCATACTGGAACCATATTGTCAGTCAAAGTGCAACCGTTCCCTGCTGTTGAGATTTAGGGTCTCTACACTATACCGCTAGGAATGAGCATGCCAGTTGTCCATGTTTTTCACTGGCTGTTCTTCACCCCACTGTATTTTAAAGAGGTAAAAAGGTTGCTCAAGAAATTAGTTGCGTTTTTTGCTAGCCGGAAAGAACAACACGAAATTGCACTAGAATAGAGCTAAAGACGAGGAGTTAGCAAGATATATATGTAAATATATAATGCATAGGTACCACCGTGTAAAGACCTGTACATCATCTTATCCACTGAAACTAATTTTTAATAAAGTTATATCCAATATCATTATGTCGACTATGTACACATATTTTAATACCGACATGAACCACTTTGACTAGTCCACGAAAATTATCACAAACTTTTTTTAAGCCTCGGCTAGATCTTACGATGGCAAGATAACTTCAACAAGTACATTTTTAACATGTTGGCGTCTTAGGAGAGAATGTAATTTTAGTGTGTGCATGGTTTCTCTGTGGTTATTAAAATGAATAAATATTGAGGATACTTCCAACCGAAAACTTGAAGAAGTATTTATGTGTTTTGCCCTCCAAACATGTAAACGTGAGAATTATGAGCAATGCTCGAGAGGTGTAAGAATTCGAGTTGTATTTAACAGGATTGAAATGTCTGCTCTTTAAGAATATTTTAACTGGAAAAACTGCGTTGTCCGTTTGTGAAAATGTAAATTCTATACGGCCAGTTTCGCCCCTCATCGGAGTTTGGGACCGTATATTCCAATGGTCATACGGAATAATTAAATAAGTCTGGTAGCCAGTAATCTGAGAACTAACTCCTGTTTCAGACGTCGAATGCAAATGAACTTAAACAAAGAATTTAGCGGTACATTAACATTAGGTTCGGCACATGAAAAGACTTTTCATTATGACTTATGAGACTTAATTGATTATGACCATAGCACGTATGAGACTTAATTGATTATGACCGTACGGTCCACTCCAATTGCAATGAGGGGCGAAAATAGACTCACAACGACGACTTTTCGATTGTGCGACATACGAACAAGTGGAACAACTCGTTGTTATATTCTGCTCCAACTGGACCGAGCTGTTTGCTTGAATACATCAGTTCTAAAGAATAATTATAAGGAAGCATATTTGTACGGCTATGCTTGGCCCTTTGTTTCTGCTGATACTGATCAAGGTGATAAGACCCACCACCAATACACCCCACCCAAGCTTGCGAAATTTGTGTACAATACAATACCCCATACAAACACCTAAAGCGATTAGCGGTTGCGATATTGCCAACGGGCTTAACATATTTGGCATTCTCTATCAGTTGTCACAACCCTCGTCAAAATATTTAATTATCTAATTATACTCTATTGCAACTTGCTTCTTCGATGGTGTCATCTTTTCATTGATTTCATACCATTGTTTAATTGTGTGCATCTTAATATAGAAATACTGGCTCAATCAAGTTGCATCGATATTGATATTTTTTGCAGATCAAGCTGAAGTTGCAAAATTTTTAGCAAGAAAAATCTAGGGTCGGTAATTTAAATTTTCTTTGGATATTTGGCCGTTTTAGCATTTTTTATAGAGTGGGCACATTATAATCCTTAAGTAATCAATGCCGCAAATCTTTTAACAGGAACAGTGGCAATTAAATACTTAAATGAAAGTGATATCAAATTCAAAGTGCTAGATGAAATTCGCAGGAGACAATGTTTTTTATCGTCATTGTTAATTGTAAACTTGATAGTTAATTCCTCAATGGTAACAGGCAGTGTGTGAAATTTTACGGAATATCCTAAGTTGAAGCCATAATCAGGAAGATTTTTAAGTGGATAGCAACCTGAGTATTTACCGAAATGGTGAGTACATGGAGAGAGCTCTGTGACTAGGCAGGCGTTTTAAGAACTGCGACAAATTTGGAACAAAATCTTCTAATTATATTTCAATTAAAATCGTCCATCGTTTAACGATGACGTTTTTTTAACGATTCTATTTTTTCGTACATGATCATGCATGTTTGTTGATATATTTATATGAGCTATTGAGTATGAATGTATGACACAGAGTTGCAAAAAAGCTCGGTTACGCGGGTACCACCCGGAGGAAAGTTTGCTTTGAATGAGGTTTGTGAGGAAGGCTCAAAGTTGAACACTCTAATTGATCACACGCATGTACCAAAAAATAAAATATTTCTTTATGTTGGTTGCCACTTGACTCAGTGACGTAACGTCATTTGGAAGGTTTTCAAAACTTGAAATCCTACCGGAGGAAGGTTGAACTCTTTTTGCAACTCTGCCAAGACAAGACAGCTTGAAATACACTCCTTTTAAACAACTGAGAACTTGGATAGCCCCCGTTTACCCCTATGAAACAGAGAGAGAGCTGTGTTACAAATATGTATACTAATACTGTTCACATGCACGTCAGCTTTTAGAAAATGTTGATTGAGAAACGCGACGGGCTTCAGAATAAATCAATGCTAAGGATTTTAGTTTCGATTTTCTCTAAAATGTACGCGATATTGCCTAATGATATTACAAATCGATAAGACGCAAGGATAGAACTCATTCCTTAAGCATTCTCTGCATGGCGATAGACAGAGTAAATAGTAGAGAAGGCACATCTGTGTGCCTTACAAACTATAATAAGAAACACTGACAGACGGTATTCAGTTGTTCATTGATTAACTGGCAGTGTAAACCATCCCATGAAAAGCATCTGTCATTGGGAAGAGCATAATAATACTAAAGTAGGAAACACCTGCAATGGTTTAACCGCTGTTGGGATATAACCAACACACTTGCAGTGAGACGTGTCCGGGATTGACTACAGACTATACAGTTGCGGTTACCGAGTTACAGGTAGATAACAGTAATAACTATTGCCAGCATATGTCTGCATATATCACTCATTTTAACCCAATCAAGCGCTATATGTAAGTGCATTGGTTACATTAAGAGGGGATGTACAGGTCTTTCAGTCGCCAAAAGAGAATAAGGCCTGGCTGGCCTGCCAGTTACGCGAAACCAGGCTGGTCAGACTGTCAGTGGTCGAATTTTTTAAAAAAAACGGTTGTTTATTTTCAAGTTCTTACCTCGCTTTCGCTTAGCTTGGAACAGGTCTAGCGAAAACGTGAAATTAAGCAAATGATTCGAAAATTTTGGCAAGAGAGAATCTGGGTGACTGGCCCTTTTTTACCGTAATTCGCAACAGGCCTTTAAGCACTTTCAATAGAAGTACTTCAATTTCATAAAGTAATATAGCATATACTTTGAACTACATCGAGCAATGAAGGAGAAAACGGCGCGCATCAATTTGATTTCAAAATGTTATCAGGTACCACGTTGCATGAACATTTCTTTTTTCTGCGATTCCTACCCGTTTCTCCACAGTAGAGAAAGATATACCTGCTTTAGGCAGACGTCCTTGCAACATTGAGTCCTTGCAACTGATTTCGTGAGTTGGCAGAATACAGTTATTTGGAAGCAAGCAAACCTTTGTAACTAAGAGTATACGGGCGTGTTATTCTCAAGGTTTGTAGCAATAGGATAAATAAAACACTCTTGCCAATCAGAATGGCGGACGACCCAATACATGGTACGTCATATTAAAATTAATATAAGAGCCTACAATATGCGAAATTCCCGTACCTGCATGTATAACAGATACCTTCACCTGTCTAATGAATTATTCGCCTGTTTTCTACTCATATTATAATGGGCTTTTCTGCCGAATATTTTCCCAGTTTTCCTGCATTTTCTAGTCTGCAAATCAGAACCATCTGTCGTAATTTGCACAAGCATTCATACTTCTTCTGTTTGCAAGATATATTATGACAATAAAAATAGTGATGTTATTGAACTTTTTTCAATAAAAATAATAATGTTTTGATCTTACAAAATTTCCTTTCAAATGCAAATTATCCGACATGACTTGCCCGTCATTACTGATGTTAATGAGAACTAATGCTTTTTTAATAAGTTGATGCTGTAGACTATATTAAACTTGATCGAGTCATCAGTTATGTGTCTCAATGTCGTTCAAATCATAATATATAAAAAGTAGGAATGTTTAACAGCAATTGACGGGGTTAGTGATCGAGAGAGAAATGAAAAGGTTGTGGACCGAGTCTATAGTGCAAAACATTAGCATTGTTGACTTTTATGAAAGTTTAACATACTTAATTATTTTTTAAATTATTAACTATACTAAACAAGCTCATATTTGATGTATAATTTCCTCCAAGACAAACTATAGCAATCTACACCCAATGCGTGGATTCATGTGCCTAATCTTCATCCTCTAGCCTTTAATCAATATTATAGTGGCCCATGAAAAAGGTGTTAATCATGTTACACCAAATGTGATACAGAAGTCAGCTTGTTTTTGCAAGCTCGTTCCTAGGCCCCCGCGCGGATCAGAGACATCTTCGCAATGAAACAACGCCGTTGTCCTGAAGACAAGGTTGGGTTTAATTTGGAGGATTGGACCGAGTTTAGTAAATAGTATAGGAATTGTCTACATTATAAATCACATTTAAAGAGCTCTTAGAACGGCTTGAAATAAAAAATAAAAAAGCACTGAACTATGCTGTGACTGGACATGTCAAACTGTCATATTTTAGATTTTTAGTATTCCTACGTAGTTGTCACATCCAAACTCCAACTCGGTCCAGTCACTAGAATTGCGGCCTACAATGTGCAAATCGGTTGACTAATGTAATTAGGACAAAAGATACCAGGGAACGTCCCTGGGAAAAGAATGCCAAGGCGTAAAATTTGCGACCATTTCCTTCATTTTTGTCCCCAAACGTTTGCGAATGTCGTTTATTTTGTTGTTTATGTAAATATTATTTACAAGTTACAACATGATACTGTGCGTGCGTCGTTTGAAGTTATGCGGCGAACTAAAGTTAATTAAAATGTGAACGTATTTGAACTAAAAGCAGCTATATAGATTAATTATATTTGAGAAAATGTCGTACGTTGACATATTGTAAAATAGTGATTTTGTATGAAAAAAGCAATTTTTCATTTTGATGTTTCGTAATTAATTTAACTTTCTCCTACTGTCCTAGGATTTTGTGAGTTGTGACATGTCATTTTTAATATCTGACACAAAACGTCATTTTTCGCGCGTTTTTGTTAGCAAACCCACTAGTGTAGACTGTCTGTAGTACTATTAACAGCATACCGTGAAGAGCCATAACGCATGTTTTATTGCTTTATGAGTGATGTTAATGAAGTACGCAGACGATATGATTTGCTGTAAACTGATAATACAGTTGATGAAAGCAGCTATCAAGCAAATGATTAGAGCCGACAACATGCTTGCAACGCTGTTGTTTTTCGCGGCCTCTTCAATCATGAAGTAATAAATCGAGAAAATGATGCGTCTTTCTAATCGCATGTCGAACATATTGCATAGCAGCTGGTTGCATATATCAATATCCGGCTATTCTTGATCTGGCCATAAAACGCTATCATTATAAACAAACAAAAGAACTCTGGGAAAGGGGTTGTGTTTGGGTCAAGGCATATTGTAAATAGAGCACAGCGGAAAAGAGGCTGTTCTTGGTACTGGTTTTTGGTGAAGCTATCGTAACCTGGAATCAGGATTGCCCTACACTGACACGTCTGATATGAATCATCCGGCATTCACTCCAAGACAATAAAAATGTCAGGTAACTCATGCGATATTAGAATCTGTAACAATGTACAGTGTACAAACGAGTCGACGGCTACTTACACAGATAATCTAGTTTACAAAGGGAGCTCCTTCGCTATAGCTAAATATGTCTATAATAAAGCAAGTGCCATGTTGAAGAAAACCTGACAAATATAGAATTGCGTGTGCATAGATTACTTTAATCATGTTATCAGATGACGTCTAACATTTTAGTGTGTTAGACACATTAGCAATGTCCGGAGGACATTCAATTTTTGAACAAAAGATACGAAAACGTCCGTTTTTATACCTCATAATAAGTTTTCAGTACTAATATATTTATGTATTTTCTAATCAAGTCTGCACAACAATCTGCCAAGAATATACAAGAAAGTTTATCAACGTTCTGACCTGAGGGCCTCAGTCGGCCTGGCGAAGACCTCATTGTCGAAACGTCGAGAAGTTATCTTGTATATTTCAGGTAGTTGATCAGCAGATGTGATGAGGTATTTAAAAAAGCTACCTGCCAGGCTGCCATGGTAATCGTAATACATAGATAGTTGTCATACATTGTTTTTGCCATATAACTATACGCATTTGACCTGTTTTACAAAACCATTACTATAGGAACCAATTTTTACACGTAAATTGTTCTTCGACTTCGTCTTCGTAATTGTTTTTGCAATCTAATACTGAGCTGCATGGATACAAACGACGCTATATTAGGACGGGACACGAGAAGCAAAAAGAAAGAACTAAGAAAAAAAACTATAAATCCGCTCACATGCATTCTTACAATTTCACTTCACAAAAGCTTATTTCTCTTTCGACTACGACTGGATTTTTTTTAAATTTAAGCTATTAATATGATATAACAGCCTTACTGTATAATTTGACACTCTCTTGGAGTGGCACTCATCTTCATTTGATTGTGCCGCCAGCTGCTTCTTTGTCTCAATAAGTATTTTTCATACCCCATAAAATTTACCTGAATTACGTCTCTTAACCGAGTGTTTATGCAAACAGGAGATTTTTACTTAGTTTTCCAACCTTACGCATGGAACTGTGCTAAAATTTGATGGCATATTTAAACCTATGTTGACGTAGAGAAACAGGATACCTTGTCTGTTGAGAATGAAATCTTCTGCATGAAATATGCAAACGAGGTTAACTGTAAATGGCGGTGCTATAATGAACAGCAAATGTCGAAGTAAAAACAAGGTTAATGAGTTATATGTCAATATCTCGAATCCTGCTAGCATGATTGCAACTGAGATTAAAATATTAATAAATGTCTTTGAATAAATACAGCAGCACTTGTACGGGAAAAGTAGTTTCCGGAGAGGGAGGCAAAGGCGATGTAAATAATGTTTCTTTATCAAACTAACGACAAATGATGTAAATGCTAGCAGTTCAAATTGTTAGCATGCATTCCTCAAATAATTTTGTCACGACAAACTAATGATTAATGGAGCTAGACGTTTTCTTCATATGAGGAACCCCTTATTGTAGGATACTGATAGATACAGTGCATATGCATAAAACTTGTGTAATAATCAATAAAATGAGACTTTAGATTGTTGTCGTAAAGAAGGCTGAACTATAACCAGTGAAAAAAAGATAATAATAAAAAAGCTCCTGAGTCATTCTTGTCGCAATAGATGCGCCATGCATGTATCTTTGATAGGCGAAAAAATCCCATTTCACCACCTAATATGCTCAATAGAAAATATCTTGTTATAATCAATGCATGTTGAAAGATATAGAAAGATTAGACTTTAAACTTGAGCAAAGAAAGCACGCTGGCCTCCCGTTGATTTTTGACCTTTCACGGTTTTCCGTTTACAACCAATACTTGCCATATTATTGGATTATATATGATTGGAATTTTCCGGGTTTTATTGCGATCACGAATCTTCGGCATGTCAGAGGTATTTACTTGTTTGTTAACACGTTGTTAGTTGACCACGAGCCGACACGTCATAAACTGAGTATGAACCATATACTAGGACAGTTTCGTGAATATTTCTCAGGACGATCCCCTTGTTCAAGGTAAGAGCAAAATTAAATTTAAAACATGCAAGTGCAATGACTAGGACCGGTGATTCTGTGAACAGGGGAGGCGTGGCCGTTGCCGTATAACCTTATCTCTAATCATGAAATCACGAAGTTCGCGGCTATACGATAAAGTTATCCATCTACTTCCCGATACTCACAGGCGAATGCCGCAGGGCACAACTGGCACTTGAAAACAGTAAAGCGTTTGAAAAAGTGTTGTAGAGGCAATCATCTTTGCTCTTTAGAGTCTTCGAGGAGAAAGCGTCTTCAGCTACAGCTGTGCCACCGAATAAATATGTCTCGCAATGATGACGACCTGATTATACGAAAATCCCTTTAATTTCTATGTCAACGAGCAGCATATGAATCCATAAGAGTGACTCTTTCCCCGGCCAGTAGGAGGTCGAGCTAGCAAGATGCAACCCCTGCCAACGCGATAATGTATGCGCATTCACAGAACTGATTTAAAAAATATGCGTTGTTGACCTCATACTGGACTTAAATATAATAATAACAACTTTAATTATGATGCAACCTTGAATCTTGTTGACGGTTGTTGGAGTTACGTGTTATGGCCTGAATGCATTTGGTGTTAGCATGGCTTGGAAGGTCAAATTATAGGATCACGGTTAGCCTAAAAGTTAAAACGACCTTTTCCTTTACTTCACGAGATAATAAAGCATGTTAATTGCATTTGCGTTTTATAAAATGAATATCATGAAAAATTAATTCATAAATTAATGTCAAAATTCGTATCGTTTATTATGTCAAACCTATGATATTTCCTTTCCTTAAAGTTTCATTTGATTGTTGGACAATAGGAGGCCCCCAGTCAATTTTAATTCAATATTCTCCAGAATAATTGCTATCACATTGACACACAGAGACTGGAAAAAATCCTTATACTCGCCACTCCATAGTGCAATTTTTGAACAGAGATTGTTTTTCGAGCAGATTTTTAATTATTTTACTTTATCGCAAATCATATATCAACATGAGATCAGTATTACTCAACTGGAGTGAGTGCATGTAATTATGAAACAAAAGCAGTGCTCGTATATTAGTAATAATTTCCGAGGATATGATGTTGAGATACTATTTTATATGACTTTTTAATCTTTGACAGAATAATATTGCATTGGATGAGAAAATCGTTGATGTAAAGTTGTCTGTATCCGCTTCTAACGATCAAAAGGATGATGCATCGGCGATAAAGCCTGCAGAAACTTCGAATCAGCTGCCAAAAAAGGGTGTGATCAATAAAGCTATGGACTACGGAGAGGCCATGACGAGCCCAACGGAGCTGCTTGCTCCAGAGGCTTTTCCCGATGAAATCACGGACATGAATGGAAACGCAATGCGCGATGACCATAAAGCAAAAATAAGCATCCGCGAAGGAACATCTACCGTTCGATGTTTACTCTGGTTCATGATTTTCTTCATCCTAACCACGATTGCACTGGCCGCTCTTTTCACTTGGAAAATGGTGCAGTCGGATGTCTCTGAAGCAACAGTCAAGGTTATAGTCGCATGCATTTGTAACGATTTTAGACACATGCACGGCAAATAAAGTTGAATTGAAAAACGCCCACATTCTATCCAGGGGCTACTCGTTGAATACGCCTTTGAAGAATAGTTCCATGTAAAACAGAACACGTCTTGCAGCTGTCATTTTTATAGTCTTTATATTAAGCCGTTCAAGCTTCTTTCTAATGATAAATATAAACCTCAATGAGCTCCCCTTTCTATACTGACATCAGTTCTGAATACATCATACATATAGAGACGAGATATTCGATACTACTATTTTAATTCATCCCAGAAGGAGGTATGTTATACAAGGACGAAACCGGTTCCCTTTGAAACCATACCAAAGAAGATTACGGAATATTTGAAAAGTTGGAGAGAGGATATAAAAGCCGACGTAGCGAAGAATAATGAGGTTAGTATATGAACACAAAGTCTTCTATACTATATGTATATTATACTACACAAACCAAAGGCGTAAAAACGTACTGCAATAGGGATGTTGTGTGAAGTGTACGCAAAAATGAATTATGGAGTAAGAATATAAATAGCAACAAAACAATTTTTGAAAAAGTTTAATTTCCAAAGAGATCACACGTTCGATAGTTGATGAATCAACTGTAGCTGTTTGAGAGGAGCAGACAAAAAATACTGCAAAATTGGCACCAGTATTTTAAACTGTATTTTAACCTTTTGTAAAATTTGAATCAATTCAAAAATAATAATATCTCGGGGACTTGAAAAGCTTGGAAATCATTGTGCTTGAGAGTCGTATTTGTTATTTTCGTAAACAGTTAACTAGCTTTGCATCTCGTAAACAGTAAAATCATATTTGCACAAAGTTATTGAATGCAAAAATCATCATCATTAAGTAACGTTTGTTTCTTCCGACTTTCTTTCAACAGAGTGTAGCCGTAGTAAACGTGGTATATTACGATAAAGTCATTTGGGAAGCAAAGTATAGATGGGACAGTAAAAAAAAGACTGCAAAAATAGGAAAGGTTAAACTATTTCCCGTTGCCAGTATTACGAAAGTGATTACAGTATGTATGTTGCAATATTACCGAGTTATACAATCAAAATTAATCTAAATAATTTATTTCAGTTATGAACTTGCTGGTTGAATTGCGAAATGAATTGCAAATATCTTGTTACTTTTACTAAATTTAAAGACAGAATGTTTGTAATGGTTGTATATTTGGCCAACTGACCAATGATTGAACCTGGATGAATTAATCGATCCTATAAATTACACTGATTTTTAACATTTCCATATTTTGAAAAAGTTCAATTCGTAGGCTAATCAGTCATATTTGTATTTCCAAGGCGCTTTTAGCGTTCAAAATGTATAACGATGGAGAAATTGGCTTGGATGACCCTATAGTAAAGTATGAACCAAATTTCTGGGTGAGAAATCCTTTTAATAATGACAACGGATCAGGGATAACATTACGGTATGTTCAGTTATTAGGGTAATTACTAACTGCATGTCGTGACAAAAAGTTTTTTCACACCTTATTTTCGTGATGTCTTTTCAACAGAACGCCAAGTGCTACGCTATCAACTAAGTAATTAATATAGGAATTTTGAACAAACCGCCAGTTAAGATACATTCATAGCTTAACCAGCTTTTTTCCCGTTCCAGGGAGCTTATCACATATTCCTCTGGTCTTCCCAGAGAAGCCCCTTGTCACAAAGAAACCCCGAAGAGCTACTGTCCCTACGATACTAACCACATGCTGCAACAACTTAGAAAAAATACATCCCGTTTGCTTTTTCCACCAGGAAAAGATGCATTATATGGGTACGTATAAGACAAATATTATCACAGAAGTAAGAAATAATTTTAATTATATACAATGCGAAAACAATACGTAATGACAATGACGTGTATCACGATAGTGACAGTTGCACAACGACAACAAATCTTCCATGAACATCTGCATAAATTCGTTGATATCAATTGAGTTTTAAATCAATGTGCTGGCACGTAAGTCAAATTAGAAAAGGTGTTGTTTTGTACTATACCCTTTGGCTTTAAGAAAGACCTGAGATAAAGTTGCACAGGGTGTCTTCCTAATATTCTTGCCGGTCAAGCATGGGACATGTCGCAGCTGTCGGAAGCTTTCGTCCAATTGGATATAATGCTTTTCTATGCTTTCTAAAGAACGAAGCTATGCTATTGGTTGAAACAGAAATGTATTGTAAAGTTCAGCCAATGAAAATCATTCTTGCGCGGAGCTGCGACACTACCCCCAAGCAACCCTGCGCGTTCGTACTTCTCTGTGACTGATCTCTATAGTAATAACCAGGAATGGATACTGAACATACGTCAAGCCCTGCGTATTCCACAAGGCGAATTCGTTCGCGCGGTCAACGGAATCCATCAAAATTATAACCGCTTAAAAGTTGACTTTTTACATGATCCTTCTCCGTCGCGTGAACAACTTATAGTGTAGTAAAAAATGGGCTTTCCTGACTATACAATTTGAACGGGGCTATTTTTTACCAGGAATCTTCCATTTGCCATCGCTGGAAATGTGATGGGCAAAAACTATTCTGGTGGTTATGCGAAACTTGTCCAGGATAAGATTTTTGAACCACTACATATGAAATCATCCACCTTTACAATGAACAATACGTAAGTATACACATCCTTAAACAGCTGCGCGCGCATGCGACAAACGACGCAATATCATTCTGCCGAAAATACAAAAGCCTGTTTCTGGGCAACTTCATTTAAACGTTTTTTTTAGTGTCAGTAAAATCGGTAAATAAATCTCTAAAATATATCCTAAACACCACATTCTCTTCCTAGCCAATAATATAACATCCTTTTTGTTCAATGCGTTAATTTTAGCGCAATTGCATGTTCTTACAAGTTACAACATTATTGTTTTTGCAGAAAAAATATATTCCCACCATTACCGACAGCGAAAAGTAAAAACAGTTTAAAAAACTGGGGTTGGTTGAATCCAGCTGGTGGTTTATTCACTACAGTTCACGATTTAGCTCAGGCGAGTGATTTTAGAAGTACCGATTTATACGTGAAACTTCGAAACAGGGAAGTCTGATTTCCCCTCACAAGCAATTAATGAAGGAAAACTAAGGAATTCGACTTTTTACAAAACAAGAATTGTCATTTTTCTTCATGAATTTTGTGGCTGTTTGCCTGATTTGAATCTCTTTACCTTTTAGTTAGAAATTGGATTGTTCAACAACAATCACAATCAATATCTTCGATCAGCAATTCTTGATGAATTTTTTACACCAGGTAACTAACGCGAGGTTTTTATGTGATCATGCAGTGTCGATCTATAACTACTTTACTCCAGATTTTACTTACAACGCTGTGGGGAGGGGAGTGACTGTTCCCTTCACTTCCTAAGGGCATCTGTATATATTTGATTGTCTTGTTAGACTACTTTTTCACCGACGGCAAGCAAATGTTGGGGAGTTCCTGGAGTATTGGCTTCCATAAAGGATATTTGAACTACACCAAAGACGGATTTGTGTATGGGGGATACTGCAGTATGATTAAACTTCTGCCCGAGTTACGCTTAGGTTTGTAAGATTTTGTTTGTTTGTAATATTTACCACTCATTAGAATCTCAGCCTCCGTCGAAGACGCTGGACGCGCGAGGTTAAAGGCCCACACAGACCGGACGCGATTTGGCAACGCGGCGCGATTTTTCATTTTTTTCTAGTTTCCGAAAGCAAATAAATTTTTACTTATCATAATAAATTTGTAGATTATATGGTGTACGGCGGTAGCGTAGCCAGAACGATAATTGGGGGCCCATATTCATATATTCGTGATATGCAGGGTTAATTTCTTTTCAGATCAATTGCCTTTACAGTCTGTTAACATGAATATATTAATATGGTCCCCCCCAATTATTGATGCTGGCTACGCCACTGGCGTCCGGTGGTGTAATTCTTACTTATATTCATAGAAAACAGTACTCATGCAAACGTTGGATTTGTACTTATGCCCATGTCATTCATTTTTAATCTGAGTCACGTTTTATGCTCGTTTATTTAGTGGCATTGCCAGCCTGATTTAGTCCCGCTGTGCTAACATTTTAATAGCGTGTTTTTTTGTTATTTTAAAACTATATATTCTGATTTTTCATTTTGGTTCATATAGCTGTAAATCTTGTGAGCACGTCTCATAACTGTCAAATATATAGCACGTTGCCTCCGAAGATGGACATTTTGTTCGACCTATTTCATGATGAACTTGCGAAGTTACCACAGAACATGGTTAGTTTAAATATACTCAGTAAGTTATACTGCAAGAAAACCGCACCTTGCATGTGACATAGCTATCTATCGCATACATTTATTCGTCTACAAGGATAACTTACAAACTTTTCATTTTTTGTTTCGTATGCAATATCATTTTTCCCAATATATAAGTGAATACATTACAAGTATATTTCCCCTTATGTAGCAACAGACACCCGTATCTAATCCAAAGAGATTCATTGGTGTATATGACACAAACGAAGTTCAAACACTTCATAATGTCGCAATGAAAATATCGACATACAAGAAAGAGAACGACACTCATCATTACCTACGGTTCTCGATTGGAGATATGTATACATTTCCCCTCACGTACCTTGGTGATTATATTTTCGGCATAATGCAGGTAAACCGTTGTAAGGACTTTTCTCTTGGAATTAATGGTGAAAGAATATATTTCACAAAACCAAAAAACACTCGAGATAAAGTTAACGAATTTGTTATTTATGGAATACATTTAAAGGGAAAGGTTACATTTCATCGTAAACACACTTAAACAATAGTTGGATTTTAAAGGTGCTTAAAGTTCACTGAAACGATTGGTCATTCCACCATTCATGTGCATGTAGTGGATCTTTAGAATGTTTGCCTAAATCATCGCCCAGTAGAAACAGTATGTTTCAACAATCGAATCGGCATTAAGCGGACAGTTTCGGGAAAAGGGGTAAATGCCGGCTGTTTCATATAGCTATCCGTTAAAAAAGGTCCTGGCTATCCAGTGAAGAAATAATTCAAAACGTGAAGTTCATCCATGGATTCAATAAAGAAATGAACGAATTTAAAATCGGTGAAATCTGGTTCTTTCACGACTATATCGTTTGTTATAAATAGGGGGACTTCACACAGCGTAAAATTTGTAGAAATTCTTAAAACAATTTAACTGAAAATTTCCGCTTCACGTGCATGCCAGTTATATGCCCAGCTAGGTGTCCGCTTAATAGAGGTTCCCGGTTGAGAGAGGTTTCATAGATATAGAATTTATATGTTTTTGAACCTTACACATTGGTCCTTGAATACATGCAGAATTTTAGTGCAAGGCTGCATACAACACTTAAGATATTTTATTGCTTGTTTGAACTTCTTGAAGCGGGCAGAACGCCAGCAATTGGAGGCGATCAGGCTTATAATGCATGCAGGTTAACTAAATTTTATTAAATAATTGATATACCTAGCTAATATTCGATTATATATATATCCAGTGCAAAAGAAAATGTTTATAACTTGTAGTACAGAAGATAATATTGCAAGAACTTTATATATATTAGACAATTATACCATGTTATATATAGTTGTACTGTAGTTAATGTAAATATCATATAGAAGTTTCTGAGAAGATTATGACTGTCTCCCGGTTGACGGGTGTAGGATGAGGTGGGGGCTATAGATAAAAATAATACATGGTAAACTTATATCCTTCTAAAATTCGGTATCATAGAAACAACAAAGTTTTACGTTGTTCCGTAATTCACTGCGCGGTACAAATTTCTGCAGAGATTTATTTAAACCGGTTTTATGTTGTACCAGAATTCACTGCGCGGTACAAATTTCTACAGAGATTTATTTAAACCAGTTTTATGTTGTACCAGAATTCACTGCGCGGTACAAATTTCTGCAGAGATTTATTTAAACCGGTTTTATGTTGTACCAGAATTCACTGCGCGGTACAAATTTCTACAGAGATTTATTTAAACCAGTTTTATGTTGTACCAGAATTCACTGGTACAAATTTCTACAGAGATTTATTTAAACCAGTTTTATGTTGTACCAAAATTCACTGGTACAAATTTCTACAGAGATTTATTTAAACCAGTTTTATGTTGTACCAGAATTCACTGGTACAAATTTCTACAGAGATTTATTTAAACCAGTTTTATGTTGTACCAGAATTCACTGCGCGGTACAAATTTCTACAGAGATTTATTTAAACCAGTTTTATGTTGTACCAGAATTCACTGCGCGGTACAAATTTCTACAGAGATTTATTTAAACCATATGAACTGGCGCTCTTTGATAAATCCTTCTTCTATTATCCGATCAGTTTGAAAAGTATTTTTCCTGTGCGTTCACCTGCATGTGATTTTCATTGAAACAATGCCAAACATTTCTGCAAATGCAGACTAGAAGAATTACTCGTTTTACGCTATACAAACAGGCAAATAAGTTCATACCATCTCAATGGTTCATACCCATCAGCCCCCTTTTTAATTTCTTTTATATATGTATAGGTATTATTAAAATGAACACAACATTAAGAAAGCCACTTTACTGATAGGCGCAGAAGTCCTGTTCTGTTATAGCAGGAAATCACACAGTATACACACGCAGTTGTGACGTCAAAACACGCGTATTGCGGAGCCTTCACTCAGGCCACTTAACCCAATTGACGGCTCTTGATTAGACGGTGGCGTTCCACCCACTTCTGTTCATTCTAATCCTTGTTTATGATTTACAAAAATAACATGATCCTGACAGTGGCTTTTAGCAAGCTGGATGAGTCACCACGCGGAAATATTAGACAAACAAGATATTGTTGCGCACTATAAAGGCAATGCAATTTTTCTTGCAACGTGCTACAGAGAAATTCATAAATTAATGAAGGATCTTCAAAATTTAGGTATAGGAGTATCGATGGAGTATAATAAACATAAAAGTTTCGTAGTTGCCAAATTAACATAATTAAGGTCGCATTTTGGCCGCGTCGAATGCAATTCAAACAATAGATAATGAGATGATAATAAAGCTTAATCAGGGTTTATCATCTCATTATCTTTTATTTGAATTGCATTCGACGCGACCAAAATGCGACCTAGACCTAAAGGTATATTCATATATTCATGTTCAAATGAGCGTAAAAACCAAAACCAGTTTGTTTCAAACAAAGAAATCAAAAGGCAGACTACAAGTTTGGCCTCTTTTTTCAGTAATCTGGCAACTCTGGTAAAAAGAAGAGACAGCCCTGTTTGCGTTGATCAAAATTGATACTCGGTGCTAGTTAATGACTAATTTCAATAAGTCAAAGTCATATTACGTTTCGTTTCTAACTCAGGTGAACGGAAACCCACTTAAAATAGGTGATCTTCATTCAGTGCCAATTGTCACGCAATCGATTATTTTTGCCATCCCCAGCTTTATACGTGCAATAATACACAGAACAGGTGGGATTGTCCTGCTTGGCTGTTTATCTTTCAAAAGAAAGCGGTTTTCAAATTAGTTGTGCAACATTTTACACCGAATAAATATCTCCATATAAGATGGCTACTTTTTTATAAGACAAAAAAATATTCAAAAACATGAAAGTTGTTCACAAAAGACGTATTGTTATAGCAACAATGAGGTTTTTAGTATATGGCCGACATTTCACCGACATTTTAAAGCTTCACGCACTAATCAAGAGCAATAATTCTGACGCCTCTAAGTACTTAGGACTACAAAACGTTTAAGTATACTAAATTTTTTGTTTTCAAAGAGTGGCGCAAAACAACAATGATTCTTGGCCCAGGATATAACCATGAAACGCTACAGCACATAAACTCATAGTGATGAAACAACTATAAAAATGAAACTTCTATAGATAACTGAGATTTTCGTCCTTTTACTGCCAATTTAGTTAAATTCTTGTATCAGTTTCTCGCATTTGAACATCCCTTATTAGCTCGTTTCCATCGATCAAAAGAAGATAATTGCATCTACATGCAGTGTGTCCCAAAAAAGTACCCTGATTTGAGTGCTTTCAATGGAGGGTAATTTTTTTTGGACACACGGTATAGTCGTGTTTTCATTCTATACCTCTTACTAAAGAGTAAAGACAGTTAATTATCGTATATGACGATGGTAAAATGCATGATACGTATTTCAGAGTTATTTAGATCTGAAGCGTTTTCTAATTTATTCAGCCTGTCGTTCAAATTCCTTGCACCGGAGGGTACTTGCAACGAAAAAGCATGAAAAATTAATATGTTAATTGTTCAAGATATCCTGCAAGGATAATATCACTTTTAACCAGGGAAGAGAGTGCATTCGTGCATTAAGTTGACAAGCATGCAGTATATGAAAGTGTCAATATTTACTATAGATAATCCAATCAAAGTAGGGATATAGACGTCTGCGTTTTATTTATGGCTATTTGACTAAGTAAGGCATTTAAAACACTGCATGACTGCAGAGTAAAAATAGTCTCCTTTTATATAATATATTTAATACGATGTGAGAATGAATGTGATTCACGTATTTTTCACTTCAGTCTTTGCTGTTTTTGTTGCATTTACAATCAGGATACAGAAAGGATTGAACGTTTGTAATCGATTATGTGGTGTGGATAAATTATAATAAAATTACTCTAAAACAATATTGCCATTATACTCGGGGCTGCAAAATTGATAATGCTTCGTGTAAGTGGAACTGAATAGCATCAAAGGATCATTAAAGAGTTTGTAGGTTAATAGAGGTTCATCCAGTACCTTGAATGACCAAAATATTATTGACAATCCGGGTTTACCCACCCATGCATGCATGCACATAGTCATTCTCCTATGATCTTATGCGATAGGATTCGATACAAGTATAACCACTGGATTATTGTAAACTTGTTAACCTTTTTTTTGGCAATTATCTGAGTAAATTTCTTTATATTTTTCTCTAAAATGTCAAATGATAGCTAACATTAATTTTTGTTGCTATAGTAATTCATTCGTGCTAAGAGGGAGCTGTGTTAATTTGATGATACTTAAGTAATTAAGAACTCCCCCATATCTCGTGTCGCTAAGTAAAGTGCACACTGTTTGAATGTTGTTTTTGATATCATGTGATTATGCGTCAGTTGTTTTCTCAGTCTCTTAGACTCGTACCACAAGTTTTGTTATCTATGTAAAATAACACATGCATGTATATGTATGATCACAAAATGACCACATACTCCGCCGTTTTTAAATCATTATACAGGAACCTTTAAACTTTAATGCACCTTAAGTATCACCTTATATATATATATATATGGTTGTACACTTTATATATATATGGTTGTACTATATATCTGCATGGTGTCATGAGAGTCTTGTACAACTATACCGGTTGGTATAACTTATTTTGATATCTGTGAAGGCATATATATGTGCTGCGGAATTATAAGCTAGTAAAGATTTATAACAATGCACAACCATGAACTTTGCCTTGTAACCTTTGAACGACCGATCTGCATGAACAAATAATGACGTAATATCGGTAAATAATTGCGACACATCTTCTAAATGCATGCTCATTTTCACGTGAATTTACTTGTATGCTCTGGTAATTGATTAGGCAAATCTTCACACGATATTCTATATATAGTCCCGTAATATGCTGGATTTAATTGGATTTTCATTCAAAATTGGTGGCAACCACTGCGTTTTTAATAAATACAAGACAATGTGAACACCGTGCATGTAAAATATTCATTTTTATTGTAATATTTCTACCTTTACCAAAAGTGCAAATTTCTACCATTTTCGAAAAAGTGAAATAACTGGGAACAAGAAAACACGACCTAATTGCTTGGTGCACGTTTTGAGGATAAATTTCACAGGTGAAGTTAGCTTCAACACGTTATCGTTTGCATCTGAAGATTGTTTAAGATTTTTCATGATCGGCGGGGGCTTACATTTTTTGTGTTTTAAAATTATTATGCGGTCGATCATATATTTTTAGTCTTGAGTCGTTGAGGTGACTTGACTGGGCTAATTATATCCGTCAAAACGTTAAGCAAGGAAATTCTTGTTGACTGTAGAGATAGACGATGACGTCTATCTGATACACATATCGTTCAGATTCTCAAAACAGAGTCTGGGAACAGAGAAGTTGAACAACTCAAAACTATAGGCAAAATATACTGAAACTGAAAGACTACCGATCGTGCCATAATTTCGAAAACCTGTCTGGCTATTACAACAAACTGGAAGCGCATACGATGTGTCATTTTTAGTTATTTAAATTAAAATGAAATTTATAACAGATTATTATTTATTACTCACAAATGATACCCATTGAAAAGCAACCTTAATATTACACGAGCCACTCCATGAGCCTTTTACCAAGACGCAGGCTAGCCAGACTGATGCCAGATTATGACGTATTTTTGCATTTTTGAATAAAGACTCTTTAAACAGCCCCAATTGTTACAGTACATAATCAATATAAACGAGAGAGATTCGCTTATTTTTGACATCAATTGCAAAGGTTCAAGATAAAAGTCTTTAGACAACACTACATTCTCTAACACAGCTCACCAAGTACACTTTTTAAAAAAAATGGTCATTCAATTTTGCTCATTGAAGCTGCAAACTAAAAGCTTGCTAAAGTACAAAACTTCTTCATTGCAATGTTTGATTCTTTGTTGATTTTAATTACAGTTAACACCCTAAATGATGTTATTATGGGTAATTACGCACACAAACAAACTAAACACAGAAGGAAAATATTTTCATGTAAAGATAAAAATTTTTGCCACATCAAAACATTTTTACACTAAGTACTATGCTACATAACTTTTATTTTGTAATTAAGCCATACTGTAAAGATTGTAATATTGTAAGATGTTTTCTTTTGCCAAATATTTGTTTTAGCTACATTTTGTTTAACACTGTCTATGTCACAGATGAGTACAAAATATACTTAAGATACCAAGAGTTTATGTAGCATAACTTGGTTGCAACTGCTATTTACAGCTTGCAGTTCTGTCATGATGTGAAGTTTTCAGGTCTATAACATATCTTAGAAAATTTGGCTTTGCACTTTTGTTGTTTAACCACATGAAACTCAACAAATCTCATTTCTCAAAGTCTGAAAAATCTTCTTGTCTCACAGCAAACATAGAGTATGCATCTGTTATATAATTAAGGATAATTTATGTGAAATTCATTATTGTGACACATGAATAATGACTTATTGCTGTTTGGACGTTTATATTTGACATGTTGAATGTGTAGAAATCGGATTTTTTACAAATGCAATTTTGTTGGTAGAAACAGATATTTGGAATGTGCAAAAACTTCTTATGTACAGTATAATGTATTACTTAGTTTTGAGGAATTTTGTATAATTACTTCCCTAGGTTACAAATGCAATTTTGTTGTTAGAAACAGAATTTTGGAATGTACAAACACTTCTTATGTATAATATATTATTTAGTTTTGAGGAATTTTGTATAATTACTTCCCCAAGTTGATGTAAAAAATTGACAGCATGGTAAAGTAGCATGTATTACTTTGGTTAAATATGATTGCTCTTGACACTGGGACAAAAAACACAGAATTTTACAATATAAAAGTCCAATAATTCCTAAAATTACTGGAAGTAGTGTAGTAACAAGAGATTTAAATTATTTAAATGACAGGCATTAAAAACACATCGCTAATAAAAATGGTAAATAGATGAATACAGACTCTTTTGTGAGAACTTTTGTGACAAATCATCAGTTGATTGGTCATTGATTTGCAATACTTTACAAATAACAATTGCAAACAGATGAATATGTACAGACTCGCAGTGATAAATACAGACTCGCAAATTAAAGCTTGTAACAAATTGATGAACCGTGGAGCTGGGGGGGGGGGCTAGGGGGCTTCAGCCTCCCCAATATTTTGCAGACCGAATGTTTGGGTGATTATGGCAAACATGGCGGCAGTCGAATTATGCATTTATTTTTCATGAGCCCCCCAATATAAAAATGCTCTGTGGTCCTTGCAATTGGTCAGATTGATATATAAATAGTATTGTGGAGAATATGTCACAGTGTACTTTGTTTGCTAGAGATAATTTGTGACCACATCATTCATAGTAAGTTCACAGCCATAGCTGCTGAAGAAGTAAAACAGATGGGAGCCAGTTGGACAGTGCAATGACTCGTGCAGCTTGTCTTGATATGACAATGCATGACAAGTTGCATGAAAAAATTGCTGCGTTTATCACAAGACAAGTTTTTAACTCGCCAAGTTTTGAAAACCGCTGTACATAAAATATGTTATTGCATCATGAAATATAATTTCTATAACAAAAGGATACAAATTCCGCAAACAGAAGCCAATAACCCGCTAAACATCAACATGTTTCGTTTCCTATATTTTGCTAATATCTTGTACGTATTAATTCTGTTCTGCTCGGCGTATTTCGCCTTTGAAATGTCAGAATCCACGTTCACTTTTGCGTCCGACATGTTGTCCGAGATTTTGTAGCCCGCAAATCCTTTCAACCTGCTACGTGCCGCCACAATCATTCGCCCAAACCACTGAGCTATAATATAATTCCTGGAGGACCGGCTCGCGACCAAAAAGTGAAGCAAAAAACATGGCGGATTTCGGCGTTTGCTGACGCCAGATTGACGCCACTGGTTCCTATTCGCCATGGTAGTTACCACTGACCAAGGCTCAATTCTGAGCCCGCTACAAATGCACTCCCCCCTGGTTTTTGTTAAAAATAGTATTCAGTATTTCAGTTCTCATTATTATATTTTCCGAAAAAAATTTAAACGTCAGTCAATATTTTTGAACTGAAAACTTTTTGATCAGATATCGTTCGACGTTTTTGTGAAGATATGAAAGTCGTACACGTTACTTCTGTCAAAAACAGGAAACAAATACCAGATGTATAATAAAACTTCAAGAAATTTGCCGAAACGAAAATGCAGTTGACTGACAGGTAAATATATTATTCATAAATTTCATTTTTTCGATAAAATTTCACCATTTTTTTTCGTTAACAGTCTTTAGATAGATGTCGTTGCTTATATATTTTAATATTTGACCAAAAGACGGCGGCACGAGAAGTCAAATGTATAGTTTGAAGTTTGAACAACTACTAAAAAGATTACCCTATAGTTTGGAAGTAATTTATTTTACATATTACATACATATATTACAGGCATTTTCTTCCAAAGAACGCTAAAAGGTAACATAATGTAAATTCAAGTCCAAAGAAACAGAGGCTAAGAATCATTGGGAGGATGAAGATGTGCAATTTCAACCAAGGGTAGCCTGCCTATTTGTTTAGCTGGATTTCATTAGCCAGAAGAAATAGTTTTTCTGTACTGAACTATATCAGCATATATCATGTATATTGATGAGCTTATTAGCTTAAACCTATAAGGATGAACTATTAAATTGAAAGCTTCCAGGAGTCAGCACCATGCAGTGGTCAACACTATAATTGTCTGACTGCACAAGCTATGCTCTTTCCATGGTATAAAACCAATAATTATGGCCCCTGTGCAGGTCATATGCTTTTCTATATTTGCAAATGATAATGCAGAGGCTGCATTAAGGAAGATTAGAACCAGGGATGTTTATAGGCCAAGATAGCCATGGTAATTATTATTGATTATATGCAAAAGGGGCTTACCACTTACCAGCTTCTGTCAGATTAGCCTGCAATGACTGGAAAGGTTCTTTGGAAATGAAATAAACAAAGGCTTACCAATTGTAATATTTATTTTCTTTTAATAAAACATTGTAAGTTGTAAAAATAATAAAACAGTTTCTGTATTTAAGAATGTGTGTAGTTCATGGGTATAATAGTATGGTTGTCTCAATTTAATTCTCCAGAATTTTGCATAACATGCCTCCACTTGATCTACCAAACCCTATGTTATCCCTGCAAAAAGAAAGATATGTCAGAGATTAACTGTATGTATAATACACCCTGTAAGTGTTGACAAAATTAGTACAGATAATTTAGTGTCAGCCACTGAGGCCATGATGATGCCTCAGTTGGAAGTGTGAGTGAATTTAGGCAAGTTATTCTCAGACCTTGCTCCTTCAGATTATATTTTTGTTCCTATTGCATCTTTTATATACTTTGATCTAATATATCTTGTATGATTTTTCATGAAAAGATGGGCTATAGACACATTGATGATTGATCTGGTTAGACCTTAGTTTTGGCTTTTAAATCAGTGTAAAATATAATGGATAAACAAATATTAATAGAAATATGTTTAGTTAAACAAATTAAATGTTAGTAAATTTATCATTTCTGTTTTCAGATCTTTCATAGCCGTCGAACTACGAAGCTATATTTTTTACTTGACGTTCAGAGTTCAAACATCAAAATTGCGAAAGCCTTTTTAAAACTCTTACCTGAGTGCAAATCGCCAAAAATTTCCTCTTTAATGAGTAAATTGCGGTAGGAACAAGCAGAGCAAATAGCTGCTTCTTTGTTGAAGTTGAAAAGAACCAGCAAAAAAGGAAAAAAATCCATGTTTTTGTTCAAAAACAAAAAATTTCGTAAAAACAAAATCCTGTTTTTATCGAAAACCAGGAGGGTGCTCGCATTTTTTCATGCTTTGGATCGCGGTTGGTCAGTGGTAACTACCATTGCAAATAAGAACCAGTGGCGTCAATCTGGCGTCAGCAAAGGCCAAAATCCGCCATGTTTTTTGCTTCACTTTTTGTATTTCAAAACATTAGGAGCCGGTCCTCCAGGAATTATATTATAGCTCAGTGGCCCAAACCCACCAAACCATTTTTGGACTTCGATCGCAAGTCTTCGATAGACGTCATTGGTTGTCATAGCACCCAGCGGTTTCCTATGGTTTCTTTGATATATTGCGTAAGTTTTACGTCATCCTTTTCATCAACCAATGAGATGATGGATCTAGAACCCAATTGCATAATTTTATATGTGATAAAAATAACGCATTATGTCATAGGAGTGTATATAAGTTGCAGCTTGAAATTCAGCTGAGTCATATTCACATTTCGTAATCAGCAAAAGAAGTCGTAATAGAAGCAAAGTTAAGCTTATAACGTTCCAATTTTACCCTTCACCACGGTGTATTACAAGAATTTACTTCGCTTACAAAAGAAGAAAGACTCAGTTATGACAGTTGGACATCGAAGTCATCCTAATCAAGCCCAAAGCGTGGCGAATACGATGCAGTATTTTGCAAATATACCAGGCCAATCTGCCCATGGAAAGTCGCCATACAACAACAATAAATTCGACGAGCAAACAGTACCGCACGCTTTGTATCAATCTCCAGAGAACACCTACAAAGACATGCAACCAGATTACCAAGTGGATCCGTTGGCATACAATTCCCAAAATTATTATTCCCAAAATTATTCTTACAACACTAACTTTATGGCATACCCTATGTTCCAACCTATAAACTACGACACAACTTCTGCACTATTGGGCAACGAACATCTAGCACAGCGACAGAACTCGATTCCAAATGGTTCTCTAGAGCAATTCCTTGATAACTCTAGTTTTGATTATGAACAAGTTCTTCAGAATCTTGACTTAACTCAATACGAGAATCCAGAGTCGTTCTGCTTAGAAGATTATGCAGACCTAGAACAAGTTAACGAAGGAATGAACTTTGATGTTGCAGTCAAGCAGGAAAAAGCTGATGGTGATAACACTGACGGTAAAAACCTAGAGGAAATGGAAAATGTTTTGAACAATAACATTTTAAGCACAAATAATCCCATGATTAATGTTGTGTCTTCGGATTTACCTCTTGGTAATGTCAGAGATAATACTGTGAATCTTGCTAACGACCAGACATTGGATGAACAAAATTTGATGGAAATTCTTGAGTTGTACTCTTCACCAAATTCTGTAGAGTGGCAATCACAATCCAACTACTTACCTAATCAAATTCCAGTGTCAGGAGAAACTGTTGTCAAAGCTGAGCCTAACACAAACACTCATAACAGTTGTGACTTTGTATTGGATGCTAGTCCTCTTAGTAATTCTACTGAGGAGGGTTTACAATCAATTGGTGTGCCAGATGAAGAACTTATACAAATGCCTGTGAGCAGATTTAATGAATTAATATTATCTCTAACGCCCGAACTGTCAAATCTTGCAAAGGATGTTCGCAGGCGAGGAAAGAACAAGCAAGCTGCAAGGTTATGCCGTAAAAGAAAGATTGATAATATATCTTCTTTGGAGGATACACTTTCACAATTACAAAAGCAGAAATCAAAACTTCTGGAAGAAAGAAGAGAAATTGTTGCAGAAACAGAAGAAATAAAATCTAGCATTGACATGATTTGTGAAATGTTAATGAAAGGTTTAAACGAACAGAACATTGGATCAGAACTCTCACTATTACATCACTCTAATGGACAAACATTACTTGTACAAAAATAAAATGTATTCAGAGGGTGTATGCCATAAGTTGATAAATATGATATTTTAGCAGTTGAACTGCATATAAAATTTTAAATAATTTTGTAGGCTTGGCTGGTCCAAGCATAAAGCATTTTATAAAGACAACAAGAAAATATATTCAATATTTATATCTATTATTTATACAAAAAATATATTATTTATTAATTGGGAAGATGATTGGTGTGTATTGACTTGATTCTCTCCTACTACAGTGCTTTAATTTTTCTCCCTGAGGAGAAATGTTTATTATAAAGCATCTTGTGAAATAACTTTAGCAACTGCTTGCGTCACTGAAATTACCCATTGTGACCTGTTAACTGTTGAGAAGGTTGAGATGTTTTCTTAGGAATTAAGTTGTTGAACTTATCTCATGAGAGGATATTTGAACATTGTTCATGATTCAAAGAAGCCAATTGGCTATTAAGGTGTTATTCGGTCCTTTGATCATGTATTTAAACAGCTATATTTTCAGTACATGTTTTCATGCCTGGAGAATTATGAGCCCCCTTTACACACAGCCCTCAACATTGCAACAAGCAAAACATGTGTGATATGTCAGATAAGTCGGAAACGACGTTTTTTTTACAACAAATCTCAAGAAGCAAGTCAGCAAGTTCTAAGTGAATACAGCATAGCCAAATAGACAATTCCCAAACAGAACACAAAGTTCGTGCGGAGCGGCTACTTAGAAGAGAGAAAGTCGACCGTAGCTGCTCTAAAGTAATTGTGAATTATTGAGAATGGATTTTACTCTAATTTTATGTTTTTAACGACAACTTGACAATACAGATTTTCCTGAAAGAAATATATCGAACAAAATAATTTAAATTCTTCTCATACTTTTAAACAAAACTATCTGTTTGTTATGTTAAATTGGTATTAGGACGTGCTGGAACAATTCGCAGGAATTCGGAACACGGAACTACGGGAACATATTCTGAATAATATGTTTTCCTGAAATTTTACATATTACAAAGATTTTACGTTTGTTGCTACAAAATTTATATTAAAGATTAAGGTGTGCCTTGCCAATTTGCAACAGCCAACAGTTTGTTTTTGACGTCATAAAATCTCTTGACCTATCACTTAACATGTGTAAATCGATGTAATGTTAGTTCCTTTTCCTCAGACTGAGAGCAGTTAATTTGGTTAATTGCTATGGCTTACTGCCGTTTTTGGTCAATGTTAAAGACAGCAATTTTCGGCCTACTGTTTATAGTAAAGTTTGAAGATTATACAAACTGTGATTCAAATGTTCTCAAATCCCAATTTCGTTACTATCCCGTTGCAATTACATATCATTACTTTGCTATGTCTCATATATATCTCCATAACTCATGTTTGTATAATATCTATGGTTGTCAGTGCTGATCATTTTTATCGAGACCTCAGACATGGAAAAACCTGCCAATAGCGCTCAGAATATAGGAATACGTCAAATCACGGTCAAATGTTATAGCCGATTGGCATTGCCACTGGCAATGAAATCAATTGAGTTGAATTTTGAATTTAACCTTAAAAAATTAGCCGCTCGAAAACTTTACCTTAAAATTTGGCACAAACCGTTAGTACATACAGCTTTGACCCTTTCCGTAAAAGTTTGCAATACATACGGAAAACCGCATCTGGCGTTTTTTTTCTTTACTTTAGTCATCGTTATCTTAAAATGGTCATGATATATTGCAGTTTCAAATAACCCTTTATATTGACGCCAAAGACAAAATTTGAACAGCAAAAAGGCTATAGACGGGGTACATGCAAGTGCTGAAAATAAGTTGTTTCTTTGACTGTCATGATTGTATCAAATATTCACTATTGAACCTATATATATCTTCGGCAATTAATAGACCAATTAAATTTTTTAAACTAGTTTTGGCATTATACCCAGGAAGCATCTATGTTAGACTTTATTCTGCATATTATTGTGCATTACAGAAAGATTTTTATTCAGAAGTATGTCACCTGCTGTTTTGTATTATTCCTTTCGCAACGACAATAATCAATATACAAAATCCGACAATGAGAGAAGAGGAGAGTGCTTATCATGGGAACACTTATTAGTTCAGTTAATTAATACACCTTAAATTGATTTCCGTTTAAAAATTTTTGGATGGGTTTGAAATTAATTGTCGCGGGGTTGGGGTTAGGGTTGAGTTTCGCCCACGTTTGCCTGTTCATCACATACTTCAGGAGGGTTAATCGTATCCGGATATACACCGGGGATGCGTGACGTGCAAAGCAGGGAGACATTGATGATATGCAAACTGAAGTGTAATACCAACACCTTTTTCCGACTACGGTATACAACGACAGGATTATTTTCCCACAAAATGTCCTGTTTGAAGTGCCTATAATATTTGCGGTAATACATTGTCGAAGTGAAAATCTTCCCATATAGCATTTTTTATAATCGCATCTTTATTTGAATATCTAAAATTCCTTTTAATATATAGAACGAAGTGTTTCTGGCGAAGCATTAACTATAGAGAGAATTAGCAAAATGCGGTTTGTGTTCACCAAAAAATACATCTAAAACTGGACAGTGAGGAATGAAGTGTGCGAGAGTTGAATAAAATTTACAAAGTCTCATTGAGGCTGAAACTAGGGCGGTTTTACAATAAACCAAACGCAAAATTAGTCTATGAAAGAATTGCAATGAAATCATTGATGATCAGCACGTACCCGATGCTCTTTGGAACAAGCGGGATCCTTGTTAATTAGGGTTCAAGGAAATCTCTCACCCCACGCGATGACCCTGTTAAATTAGGGTTGGGGAAGATATGTTATATCCCGCATAAAATGTGAACATCCCACGAAAAACACTGTTATCAAATCTAAAATTAAAAATATGTATGGGTGGACGGTGTTTCGTAAGAGCACCTTTGGACTGCATGTTGTAGGATAGGCATGGCAAGTTTTATATAGGTAGCACTATATGGAGTATATTATATATATATATACCTCTTTTTACTATATTTTCATGTGTATGTGTATATGCATATATTCGAATCACAATATAATTATTCAATATATCAACAAAAATTAGTAAAGATACAGTCCTATGAATATAGCGATTATCGTCGATAGCGACGATCAGAATTAAGTGGGAGAATTATAGATTGATATACTAAGGGCGCTCTCCTTTATCCGGTAAAAACGGCCAGACCGGTCCTGTTGTATTTCAGTACAGACAGATTACTAGTAGATCAGAGTAATAGGGTTATCGAAAAGAAAAGCGCCCTAAGAAATAGTCGAATTTACGTCATTTATTCATTCCACACAAACAAGCACAATACAGTGTAACAATGATAGAACTTACATCATGCAAAAGAGAAAATAGTTACAAATATATCACGGTACTTTGTAATAGAAAAATATAGAAAACGACCTTAAAATACCAAGGTGAATAGGTCTTACTTCCAAATTGAAATATTTGAAAGAATTAGGTCATAAACCAAAAACACAAAAAAAAATTGGGTCAAAGGCATAGCATTTATAAAAACACAATGGCTAAAAACCATTTAGAATAAGAAAAATATTTACATCCATCGGTACAACCGCCTGGCAATCTATACATGCAAAATGTTTTTATTTTGTTACAGTGCTTAGCCGAGATTACTATTTTTGATTAACTTATCTCGTATTTTTGTCCAGCTGTTATTTAATTTTCATTATTTTTCAAACAATAGCAAAAGTTTCCCTGCATGTTTTCCGGGAAGAGTAGGGACTACTTTGGTCCCGAGAATTCTTCCATTTTACTAAATGAAAGGAAGCCTTTCAATTTTTGATTTATCGACTTATTTCTTCTGCATAGCACATGTGCAATTAGTTTGGTGTTTTGTCAATAATGACATACGAGAAAACGTCTTAGCACACCGTTCACATTTGTACTTCTTGATCTGCGAATGTGTTTGTAAATGGGCTCGCAGGTTGGAACGGTCAGCAAAAGCACGATTACAGCTCGTGCATTCGTAAGGTTTTTCCCCAGTGTGTGTTCTAACATGGCCTTGAAGTAACCATGGCCTACTGAATGCTTTGCCACAAATCGGACAGGTACATGGCAACGTATGCGTACGAATATGCATCTTTAAGGCGCCCAGTGATAGATAAACCTTGTCACAATATTTACAAGTGAATGATTTTGTCTGGTAGAAATTGCAGTAGTAACGTTGGTGTTTCACTAAAGCCGAATTGCTAGTGTAGGTCCGTTGACAACGACTGCATTCGTATTTTGCTTCGGACTCCTGCAGCTCTGAGGAAGATTCTAATTTTATGTTTCCCCAGTTAATCTGTGTTTCGCTTGTATGCTTCAGTGCGTCTGTCGGTGATGGCAAAGCTTTTGATTTACTGAATTGTCTCACCTCTGCCGCCAACAGGTGTATAGCCCGACCAGACATCGCTTGATCTATTACTTTCAGTAACCTCACTTTCGCTCGCATATGGCTTCCACAATAAACTTTTTTCTTTATATCTTACGACATTGCTTTCGAGGTCTAAAGAATCATACATAGGGCAATTAAGGCAAATAACATAAAGTCTGTTGGCATTTTGTCACTCTGGCAACACCTGTGCGTGTGTAAACTTAACAACGCGCTGTTATCTAAAAGCTAACTTTGTTAAATTCGTCAAGCGGGAGTTCGTTACATAAATATAAGGAACTAGGTTGATAGTATATACGCTTTCTAGTTTCAAGACAGAACAGCCTTGAAAGCCTTTGAGAATAAGGTGAAAAATCGATGCACTTGTTACCCACCTGTGGCGACAAGTGCATACATGTATGCATCTATTATTACACCGCACGGCCATATATCAGGTCGTATATTGATTTACCTTGTTTTTTCTCGCTTATGTAGACATTTTCATCTTCGCTATCTGAAGAATAGACCTTTGACTTTATTGTCTTCTTCACTAGGAAAGATTTCGGCATTCTTGTTGTAGATATACAGAAGCTCTCCTACCCGCTCTCAGCTCTAACACTCCAAACTGCTAAGTGGATGTAACAGGTTTTACAACATTCCTATATTCAAAATGCAACAGGTGATAGGCAGTGAGTTTTGACGGGTGTAATAAAATCTTTTGACGTCACTTAATGACCTCTTTTAATATTACTCCCGATGTTACTTTCGCGTATTAATCTAGCCGAAGTACACTGGCCCGTTTTTATTTTGTTTTTATCTGGTTAGAATGTTTAAGAGTTTACCTCAATGTGGCTATCTCTTGAAGATCGCAAGAGATCATGTAGCATGGAACGGCAGCAGGTACCTGCAGGCACAACAAGGAGTCTATTGTAAACTTTACAATGAACAGGTGTGACAGGCTCCTTCTTTAGCAACTTGTCGAGATATTGGCGAGAAAAATAAATAATAAACCGTGATTAAATTACTTTCAGAAATCTCGCTGGATCAAATGACATACCGGAGACACGCAGTTCAAACAGGTGGCTAACACAATGTTTGTCTTTAGTATTCAATATCTCGATAACTCTTTGCCCAAAAGAGGGTTGGTATGGTTACATAAATGATGTGACAATATGAAATTAAAATTTAGTCAGAGGGCAAAAATAACTGAAGCGGGCATTCACTTTTGTTATGGAGATCAAGATTAGGCGAGGAGTCAGGCCTTAAACGGAAAATATTCGCCACAATATTCAGCAACCCTTATAGGAAAGACCTTAAAAGCCAAAGTACTAAAATCTCGAATCCATAACACAAAGCAACACAAAGCTGCGATTGAAACGTTCATCGGGGTTTGTTGCAGCCTTGCACGGAATTTTTTCACCGCGGTTTTTTTAAGCTTTATCTACTTTATCAGTCACTCCAACTAATCATAATTCTATTGTGATCACGGTGTATGTAATGCACTAAGTCGCATGATTCTTTGTCTTTGTGTTAAAGTAGCCTCGATCTGGGCACTTGTAGTGAACCAGAAGATTCAGATCGCGATAAAATTATCGATCTAGAAACAATTTCCAACAGGAAATCGGAAAATTTCATAACGGTTTTTCTAAGAAAGTTTTGTCATTCTGTTGAGAACACTTCACGAAATTAGGTTGGAAGAGTATTCCATCATTTTCCTATACTGGTGAAAGTGGGGGGGAGCTGCCCCCCCCCTCAGTCATATAGTTAAGGAGGCTCTAATGTGTCGCAGGTTTCAGAATAGACTATGTAAAACGTCTACTTGCACGGTGGTCAGGCTGTAGGCAAATATATGGTTGCCCGTGGGTTGCCAAGACAGCCAATAGCTACTATTAAGTTTCAATTTGTGAATGACTGCACTTCTTGCTTTAATTTATCTTTTATCAGCGTAGTACGCCAAAGGAACATATACACGAAGCATATGGCACGAAGCAATCGTAGGTCATTTTCACCCTCAAACCCAGCCGAGTTGAATTCGCGTAGAAAACAGTGGGAACTTTTAGTTCAGACGAAATTTGGTCTAGACTTATTGAACCATGAAATTACTTCTAGATCTTGGATAACTATGTTAGAAAGTTAGACTGTCCCTCGAATGACAATAACATATATATACAAAAGTATAGAGCAAGTGCATTAATATCATGCAAGAACTATATGGCACCTATCTAGTCGTTCTCGTTCACTCAACCACATAGTTTGGATGGACAACCAGAAACGGATCGTTTTCCTCCGACTCAGTGTCTTCTGTTTCTTGTTGCCTCAAAGCTAAGATAACATGATCCTAATTCAAAAAATATATATTAATACTATGACATGCTTGTGCAGAACAACTATTACACTTTAATCTGACACAACCAGAACCTGAACTAGCTTTAAGCCAAAGATTTTATTAGAATTCAGATAGTGGAATTTTGGGGCATTATCGGATCTTGTGCATGATATTAATCATGATATACAATTATCAGGAAATACTTATAAACAAAGCGACTTTAATTGGAAGAGAGATATCGAGATTTCATTTAATCACTTACGTGACCAATAAGCCTATCGAGCACTTTATCAACCAAAAGTTTCTTTTGTGTTAATTCTTCTTCAGTTTCAATTTCATCTTCGACTTGCTTTAAATACCAATTGACGACATCACTTCGACGTAAACCATCATCGTCTGAAAAGAGAAAATGTTTCCAAATGAATAACACATCGCGATGCCTCGTGTCGATTTTACAGGTAACTGGTAACAACATATCCTACCTTCTCTTTTGTCCTCTTCACTTCTGATATGTAGAACCATAAGATTTGCCATGTGTTTATAAACTTCAAACGACACACGAACTTTTGCTTTTGCTGCTTGGTCTTCACCATGACCATTAACCATACCATTCTCAGCGGGAGTCTCATCATTATCATCTTCATCCATTGCTTAATGGGAAATATCATTGTTAATAAATCATCTCAAAGCCGAATGCCAAATTGAAGTAAATTGGTAAATAATGTAATATCTTCAACTCTTGTGTTCTCAGAAAACATGATTTCAAGTTATCGCCTATCGCCACTTTGATAATGCTCGGAAAAAAATTTGGGACATGAACAAATGCAACATAGTCAAAGAATTTTACATTGCACGTAGGCGACCACCCAGTCTTTTATAGGAAATCCTGATCACGAGTTTCGCAAAAAGGTAGCTACCTTCCGGCTCATCTTCTTCATCTTCAAATTGTATATCTGGTGTTTCCACTCGAATTATTGACTTGTTTAACAGTCTGAACGCCTCTTTTACGTGCTTTGGTTGAACCTGCACGCATAAAAAATAGGGTTGGCTGGTTAACAAGGTAATATTGCCCGCATGAGGCTGATTCTGATGAATTAGGAAAATATAACTATACAACTGAAAGAAAGCAGGGACATCGTTTTTTTAAAATCTTAAAGGGTGTATTTGTCGCAAAATATCTGTTTAAAAAATTCAATGCACGAACAACCTGCTTAAATAAGTTCACAATCAATTTTCAGATCAGGAAAAAAGCAGTAGTGTATATAAAACTAAAATGGTTAATGTGGTTAAAATGGTTAATAAAGCCTTCTTACGGTATCTTGACAATACATCCTTGCCATGGCTTCAGATAGTCTAATCATGCTTTCCAGTTGACGAACAGTGATTCTCCACGACGTCTTAGCTACACCTATATTCAAGTTTAAAAGACGCACAATTATGCAATACTGTAAGTGACGGATTCAGCGATTGACACAAAATGTCACGTTGCTAACAGTGACACTGGTCTAACCTGAAGAATCTCTCTGACGTAGGTTTTTATATTGTTCTACAAAGAACTCTTGAGCCTCTTTACTTATCTAAGACAGGAATTATTTGATATAAGTATTGGAATGGGAAACAGTCGTTACAAAACCTTGTATGTCAATGTTCGTAGTTCAATTTTTAAGCATTGTTCAAGCCTCGTGATGACCATCACCAGAGTAACAAATAAGTGAAATTGGCACCGTAACAAGTATGAAAAATTTGCACCAAGAACACACTTTTTAAACTTACTTGTGGCTTGAATTGCCTTGCAAACAGCATATATCGCTGAACATCATCCTATGTAAATAAAATTAATCATAACAATGGCAAGTCTTGACGAGCAAACCTGTTATTAACCAAAGTCAAAGACGTTGACAAAGTCTATAGCTACGATATGCAGTATGCTGCATGAAGAACAAGAAGCAATTTTCACAAAAATGGTTTGATGAATAAAAAGCTGCATGCCATTTTGTTTTTGGACTAACCAGTGTTACTTACCACACTATAAACTCTCTCAACTGATTCCTCCAGATGACTGTGTAAATCAACAATACGTCTGGCTATAGCATAATCCGTTACCTGAAAGATTGTCCCACATGCATATAACAATATTGAAACCATATTAGGAGCTTTGGGCAGCTCTATTACAAGCACGTGTTGAATTTGCTCATTTATAAAAAAAACTATTTAACACTGCGATAATGCTTAAACTCATATAATATAAAAATGATTGAAAGTGGATCGCCCAGGTTTGTATTGTCTTGAAAAAGAATATAATGGTGTCACTGATGTTTTCCACAACTTGTGCAACAATCTTTTTCAACACATATTCTTTTAACCATTTATTACTTCATGGTAAGGGATCAAAAGGTTCCATCTGATCTGGTAAAATAACCTACCTCATTACAGTCATCAACAAGAATAAAGAACAGATCAAAACGAGACATGATCGGGGCCGATAAATTCAAATTGTGCTAAAACAAGATTAAGAAAAGACATTTGAAAAATCATGTCGATAGGGCGACAGATAGTCATGCATTATTGAAAATATATCATTGTATATCTTGCAATAGGTCTTGCAATGTTAGCGCGGGAAAATTGAATGGGTGGACGTAAACGTAGTAGAAGGGGGGGGGGGGCGTTATTCCAAGTTTTATACAAGCCAAAATAGCGAGCAAAAACAAAGTTGAGTACAGTTCAAAAAAACAATAGGGGTTAAAAGTACCGTGTAAATACGTTATCTCAGACCACAAATAGATACCTTTAGAGATTTTGTTCTATCATAACGCCCGCCAATGGGATTTGCAGCGGCTAAAATTGACGTTCTAGCATTGAGAGTTGCCTAAAAATAAAAATTGAAAAGACATATAATTTTAATTGAAATTGCATGGGAATGTAAAGACGTGCTCTCTTGCATACCACACGTCTAAACTATTTCAACGCATAAAAAAACCAGTAATGCTACGGTGAATTATTACCTTGACCCCTGCTTTTGTTATGGAAATAGTCTGCTGTTCCATAGCTTCATGAATAGCAACCTGATCTCTAATATCCATTTTATCAAATTCGTCAATGCAACAGACCCCCTGAGAGATTAGTGAACAGATGTGAAGGGCAAGATAATGAAGATACATTAATCATAATCACTGGTCACAAATGCATGTAGTATTGAGCAATAAGGAACAATAAGAAATGTTTGCTAATCAAATGGTGAGGATATATTATATTCAAATCCTCAAGAGACAAAAAGACTCTCGCTCCCTCAAATTTTTGAGGTCAACTTTCATATATACTCGTTATTTTTTCACGCAGCCAATCAAATAATTCTGCCCTTTCTTTCAAATCATATGTACCGACAGTCGGCGATGGCTATTGTCGGTCATCACTGAAGAACGAAGGCCTTTGTTGCGTTTTTTCGAATAATTTTTCTTGAACAAAGCAACACACCGCCGTCTGTCGGAGGAGAAGCTAAGCTTTAAGTCCTTGGGAAATTTCCATAATGAGCAAAAGTTGCCCGTGGAATAAAGAGCCTCCTTAAAGCTAAAAAATCTTCATTGTGGACGGTCCTAGTCCATCAATATATATACTAAAAAAGGTTCTCGTCCCACGTACATTATCAGCCAACATGAGAGCTCCGGCTTCAATGACAAATTCGTGCGACTCTTCATCTTTAACAACAGCTGCGGTCAAACCAGCAGCACTCGAAGCTTTGCCTGATGTATACACCGCACGAGGACTGAACTCTTCAACTTGCCTGGAAAAACACGTTGTCAAATCGTTAGAAAACCTTCTTTAAAGCGGTTTCGAATTTTATAATCACACCAATTCCTAATCTTAAAGGTATATATTTCTTAAAAGTATATATATTTATATCATTCATTTCTATCGACCTGACTGGTCTGGCCGTGTCAATGGAAAGCGCCGATTCAATTCAATAAGACCGATTCAATCAAGGTTGTCCTTAGTCTCCACAGAAGGGCTGCGCGGGAAGCTAGGTTGTCCTGCTGTGATAACACCTATCTAGTGTATAAAGTTAGACAAACGTGGAGCTATAGTCATTTCACTATCATATATAGCTAGATCAGCGGTATCATCAGCTGTAGATTTTGAATGTTATGGCGACATTCTGCATGAAGCTGGTGGTATACGGTATAGATAACTGTGGAATTGACTCATTAGAATCGGGTATTTCTGGCTTAACCACGCTTTAACTAACAAAATGTAATCAAGAGTTTTATACAACCGGCCCGAAGAATTTGTCTTTTTTAATTTACGGCTCTTTCCAGCCAACATGCAAGGTGGCTGAATTTTCCTTCTTTATATTCCCTTCCTTCTCTAATCATAACATGCATGTCCTATAGAATATATACACCGCAGCCAACCTCACATCACTCAGCAAACATCTACACTTGTGTATCTATGCTACCACATACTTCAGAAATTGACTTTTCGCGGTACTGGGATCACCGACCACGCACACATTAATGTCTCCACGAAGAGTCGTTCTTTCACGAGTAACTTTAGGCACACCACCAAATAACATTAATAATATACCGCGTTTAACTTCATCGTTACCTAGAAATACATAAATCGTTGGGAATTTTAGCTAGCAAAATGGTTTTTGGTCCGTAAGGAAAAGCCTGACACTGCAACTGAAAAAAAATTATGAAAATTTCGTCCAACAAGCATGGTAAAACTGTTTGCAGAAGTACGTATTTCACTTGCATATTTATACACGACTGAAAAAACTGAAAAAAAAACCGTAACGAGATTTAGAGAAAAGTTTTTTTTACCGTGAATAGTAGGAAATATGCTGGTTATCAAGTTTTGATAGAGGTTTTTATCTTTCGTCATTTTAAAAATCGTCTCCCATTCATGGTCTGTCATTTGTTTCCTAATCATCTCTGCCGTCATATCGCCATCAAGATCTTTACCACCAAACTGTTGGAATAATAATGTATAATCAATGTAAAATGTCAACGTTGGTCGGTGATATAAGGACGAGAGTTTGAAACAGTTGGGACGAGAGCTTCATCAACTGTCATGCCCTATCAACCAAGGAGCAAAGTTCCTACAGAGTTGGTTGTATAACTATACAAGTCCATCCCAATTCTGTGCTTGGTTTTACTCTGATCAGCTTTCCATACAGCACCTCATTAGGTATATCAGAGCCACATCAGCAAATATTAGAGTATAGTGATCAGATAATAAGATAATGACGCACCCTTGGGTTAGTCGATTCAACACTACACGCCAGAAATGCTAATCTGTACGAGAGATCTCGTACTCCAAGCGCTTTGAGGCCCCTATGATAAAAATTCAAGATTTAATCATTTTTTTGGTAAACCCATGTAGATCACCCATGCTTCAGTCAGCACTCCAGGTAATCATCTAAATATGAATCTAAATATAGATCGCAATTTACAGCATACCTCACTCCATCCGTGTTATAGCCTTCTCCAGTTTGTCGTTGTGATGTTTCAGCACGTGCACCTTATAGAAAATATACGAAAAAGATTCCCTAAGAAGTGCACGATATAATTAAACGATCATAGAAACCTATAATCACCTCAGTCTGGAGATTTTACTGCTTACCAGTGGCAACGACTGATAAGCATTTAATATATAGTTCGTATAATCCATTTTGGTGAAAAATTATATATTATAATCGAGCAGAATGTCTCGAAATTTGGAAGTAAATCAAAGACATGAAAACTCTTTAACTAAGCCAGCATTACAATAGTATAATTTGCAAAGAACAACGAGAAATTTACTGTAACTCGTTTGGTGGAACGACAGTCTACTGAAAAACCCGAAGATGAGGGTTTAAATCCCACTTAATTAAGACAATTCGTTTTTATATAGGTATATTTTATAACTCTGAAGATGTTTATGGAAATTAACTTCACATGCAGTAAAAGACAGATGGGGATGATCTGGGACATACCAGGCATTTGCAATTTTGACACATCCGGGACAACTACCAAAGTGCCAATGAAATCACATTTATCACCAGCTTGCGCCTGCTCAACTGTTTCTGCTCTCAAAACAACTTCCAAGCTGCAAACATCAGTCAAAGCATAATAGTGAGATGAAAAATGAGACAGAAGTAAACAACCACATTCACTTCATAGAAATTCATAAAAGAAAAATTATAAGAATGCTGTTTTCTTCACAAAACGTTATGTAAATCCATGCTTCATCTTAGATGTACTTACCTTCTTGGTATACTACCACGTGGCAATTCTGCCTGTGTCTCCTGTATTCTGACCTTCTGGAAATCTACAAACTTTGACTTATTCACATCTAACATGAATCGCAGTCTGTTTTGACAAACAGGATTTCTGCATACTGTTGGCTGCAATCAAATACATGAAGCATATTATACATTCCTTCATCAACATCAGACATGTAACTTTAGGTGATATGGCCGAGTCCCAAAAATTACATCTTTTGCTACCTGTGTGTATTTGAACTGTTGTTCAACATCTTTGACGACAGTCTGACAGTCAAGACATATAAATGTCCCGCTAACAAGCTCTGGATGCACCGGGTGTGTCCTCACAACTTGACCTGTGATACGGAGTAATGTTCCAATCTTTTGTGAAGTCAGCTCTCGAATTCTATGAAATACAGTAAATTTACAAGAAAAATATAGTAAGATCGATATAGTAAGGACTGTTATCATATCCGCAGATCTCATCACTTTTACTAGATGATAAAGAAATACCCTGGGCATGAACTTTATACAATTGTATTATTATTAGTCATTCCTCAAACTAAACAGCAGAATTCATGAGTTTTCTTCCACCTGTTTACTTACTTGTGTCTAGCTGGTAGATCTGTAATACTGACATAAAAATCTTTCCCGGGGGGTATTTGTCCTCCTGTGTCACTGGAAAATCTGTCATGGGTGAAATTTCTGACAGCATTGCATAGGTAGGGGAAAACTCTGTAAATGAGATTATATAAAGTATTAAACTCTGTTAATGAGATTATATAAAGCAAAGAATAAAATGTTTTTGAAAGTCAAACAATATAAATTTACTTTAAAGACTTTTAAATACTTTAAACCAAAATTAAAAATGTTTTGCATAAAGAGTAAAAGGTTGCTGGGGGACACCAAAAACCAAGGGTCAGTTCTATAGAATTCCTAATTACATTTTAGGTTGTAAATCAGCATTCTCGCTTCTAAGGAAATTTCCTTAGAAATGTTTGACTCTATCGGGGGATGGAGAAATAGTTAATATATTCTTTTTAAATGTTTTTTGTCTCAGGTTATTCAAAACAACCTCCTCCACAGTAAAAAGTATGCATATTTAAATTGTGAGAGTACTGTAGTAAATACTAATATAATAAAATTTCTATAATATTTTAAATTGCAGCAAATTTTATCACTACTAGGTAATTGTTGTTACATCATCAAAGTTATTCTTACTCAATGGTATTTACACACAGCAATATGAATTTCAATGTATAATTACCTATAATATTCTTCTTGAATGATGGTACTTAGTTTTGAGTTGTGATTTTCAATATCATTAAAATTAACAGCCAAAGTATTTCTTTCTGGTTGGATTAGCTCTTGAATGTCATTCAAATACTTGTTCTCACCATCAACCTTGAAACTGAAAGAGTTCAATAGAGATTGACATATAAATAATCTATATACACTTGCATGTATACAACACATGCATGCAGCACTTGCGTAGCTAGAAAATCATCCAAGGAAAACTGCATCACATGCCAGTCATAAAACATCACCATCAGGTTCAGATCATGTTCACCTGCAAGGGGCCTACTGGGCTACAAAACACAGTTTCTTTGGATACTGGTAAATTGGTGTTTTGTGGCCAAGCAGCTTCACAGCTTCACCATCCACTTACTATGCTAGCTGTGGTGATTCTACACTAGCTTTTTCAATGTATAAGCAACTAGTACTATTCATAATTCAGAATCTAATAATCATAACTGAAATATTTTAGTGTGTTTATATATAAAGTGCCGGCGATGGTGACTGTAATTAATTGTGGCATTTAAATTTTAAAGCCACCTATCTTATGAAAATATATCTGGGTAATTGTACTATATTTGTACATTAAAAATATCCTTAACTACACTAAATTATACTGTATAAATATCTCAGTGAGTTATACTGTATAAATATGTACTATTTCGACCAAATCGCAAACTTAATCATATTTAAGGTACCTAAATTAGGTAACCTAATAAGTATTAAATAACCAATCTGCATGCTAGCGAGGCTGCTTTTAAACGAATGCTGTAAAATATCTATACATTGTAGCTTCATTTTTGAAAGAATATTATATCTTACTCTTCAAGAAATTCCTGAAACAGTTTTTGGCATCGTTCGGCCAACTGATCACGAAGATGAGCACCTCCAGTAGTTCTATCAGCGACGTCCATCTTTCAGAATTCAGAACCTTTTGATTATTGTGTTGTACTTTTCCTTACACGTGATGAATTTGGCGGGAAAATATTACCTCGTTTAGAACCATTTTTAGAGCAATTTACTGTTCCCTAATTCCCCTGTACGATTCAGTACGATTCCCTCTCTATCCACGTTTATCCTTATCGTTTTTCCTCCTGAGTCCTGACATCACCTCGTCGGTTGTCGCCAGTTGTCGTACACAATATTCGTAAAATGTCGGAATATTGCCGCGAAATTGTAACGAGGACTGGTTCTGTTTTGTTTTAGAATGAAGTAATTATCGAAGTTCTTTCGCGTTCGCGATATTTTGTTTTGTTCAATAATCGTGGTTCAATGGAAAGCGAGATTAATAGTGCAGGTGTCCTGCTAAAACCAAGAGAAAATTTTATAAAAACTCAACTTTTATCCGAAATCCTTATTTGTAGAGTTGTTGTACAGTATTTATGAATCATAATTCATAACTCGTCTATATGGTCAAAATGTCAAACACGAATTGGCGAGAGGATGATCTGGAAAGGGGTTTGGCAGATGATCTATTTAATCTCTCAGGTTTGGGCGTCGAAGATTCACAGATTGGAGCTTATGACATGACGTAGGTTTTCTCCTTGCAATTTATGATGGCCTAAACTTTTACTGAATCGGTACTAAATATGTCCTGATTGTACCCTTGGTAGGATATTATCAATTTTCCGCATGTTTTAATACACGCCTGTTAGGAGCTAAAAATATCAAATCACGTGACAGTTCCAGAAATTTTAGAGCTGAAGGATCACTGATGACGAGCTTCCATGAGCAGGGCTCCTGAAAAATATCAACAAAGGCATTCCAATACATATTAAACAATGATAAACTAAATATTATTTGACATAGCTAGTACTACTATCTTGAGATTTAATGAGCATGTTAGACAAATTGTCTGATGTAATCCAAGATATATGTCATTGTCATGGTCATTTGATACTTTCTAGCTCTTCCTGTCTGTTATAACCACTCTCAGTATAATTAGTTTAAAATAGCTAGCTATTATATCACATGACCAATTTAGTTGGAACAACCTCTTTAGGCAATGGTGTTAAACAATCTTAGGTAGATCCATGTATCAACTGTAATTCTGTAATAGTGGGTATAGAATACCCAAGGGTGTCAGTTCAGGGATGGAAGAAGAGATTGGATCTTTTAGTTCAGTTGTGGTAAAAAAAGGAAAAGAGAGGATAGTTGTGAAAGTGTCTTGAAGTTGTGGAATTCAAGTGTCTTGTAAAACATAGAAGAAACACATACACTTTAGCACACTCCTTTCTTGTGAACTGAGGTGCTAGATCTTCTTTGTAACAAGGCACTTTTCTCTATATGGTGTTGTCTGCGACAAAAACTAAGTGCCTGGGAATGTGGTAGGTGCTGAATGGAAATTATTATGAAACTAATTACTCTCTGCAGGAACAGAATTACATTGGCATACTGCTTTTATATTGTTTGAGTATCACAACATTTGAATACCACTATTTTCTGATTACACACTTTTCATAGTTTTGTATGCAGACACACTTTGAGAACTTATTGACCTCAACTTTTGGAAATATCCATTGACCCAACACAACTGCCAACACAGAACTTTGCTTAGGCCTAAAATCACCAGCCAATTTTTGAGCTGCAGTGTGTGATGGGTTTCAAAATGATAATTGCTCTGACTTCTACATGAAACTTACATAGATGTTCATGCACGTTTTGAGGTCCATGTAGATAAAGCATCTACATGTAGTGTACTGTATTTCAAATAAAAATACAAAGAAATGCACAATCAAATTAACATATTCACCAAAAGTACTTTAAAACCAAAAAAGGCCCAGCTCCTCTGATGTAGCAGCCTGATATACAACAAAAGTAGCGTGATATACAACAAAAAGAACGAAGGAAGTGCGCGATGAAATATTTCTTATGTCAAACATTCCCTGAAAGGCTAAAACATTCCTTAAGATCCTCATCAAACATTCCATAAAATCCAAATTAAAATCCCCTTAGGCTAAAGATTATAGAAGATGTGAATTTTTGCCCTTTCTACAACCACCGTTCTCTGTAGCTTAGTCGCAAGAGAACTGCTCCGTAATTGCAGAGTTGTGGGTTCGATTCCTGCCAGCCCCGAATTTCACCTTTGCGCCTTTACTCCTTTCATCGTAAAATTGTAGCGTTGCCTAACTTTCGTTCTCCCAGCAAACTATTTAAGTCGGGTTTTAGTGTACAGTTTTTTTTCAATTTGTGTATAGAATAAGTGATGATAGCAAAATCACTAAGCCACTACGACCTGCGTCTTTAGTCACAAAAAAGTGTCAAATTTTCGCTCATACTATAACAAATATTAGAGCACGCATTTTTAGAGGCAGTCCTATAGTTCTATAGCCCCTTGTGGGTTCGGCGTTGGAAACTGCGAATTTCAGTTCAGTTGTTCCTAATCGTGGTACTGCAAAACAGATTTGTTTAAGTGAACTAGTCGTCTAATTGGATGTATACCTAAAATGTGATATTTCTCTTTTTGTAGAGAGGTTTTGAATTTGGTAAAAGAACCGTCTATGTTATTAAATGTATCGAACACCAGTAATCCGTAAGTAGTAATTTGTATTTTTTAAGTATAATGGTATAAAGCTACGTTCACATAATAGAAAAGGGAAGTATTTTTTATCATTGAAACATTGGTGATGTTTAGAAATGTTAAAGTTGAAGGTTCGCCCTTAAAGCAGTTTAAAGAAGATCCAGCTAGTTCCAGGTACATGTGGTTTGTTTTTTATTGGAAATAATTTAAAATCGTATATGGAACATGGGTGTTAATCGTCTCAGTGTGTAGAAATTGGTAGAGTGGATTATCAGAAAATTACTAGAACGTGCCTTGATTATTTCAAAATACCGAAACTTTAGTGTGATAGAGTAAAGTTACCTTGACACAAGCTTCTTACTTTTTATCTGTACATATTATAGGTTCAATTTTGTTCTCAAAGCTCCGACATCATCTTCCAAGAAATTAAACGAAGACAGCATGACCTACCTTAACCAAGGTATGATTCTAATTTCTAAGTGTTCTTGTAAGTTTAGCAGTATGCTAGCTGAGGTTGTTTTGAGTTTCGTTTAATTTAGTTGCAAGTTATATTAGACTTTTATCAATCAATTTTAAACACGTCACCTACATTATTACGAAATAGCGTAATGCATTGCATTTGGCGATAAAAAGTTGCCTTTGTTCTAACGTTCCGAGTTTAATTTGCTGTGTAACTCTCGATCTGAGTTGTTCAACTTTGTTTTCAAAGGTCAGTCATATCTAGTTCGACTACAAGCATTGTGGGATACTTCGTTTATAAGTAATCATATTGTGAATGTGAGTACTGATATATAGAGTGATGTTTCAATTTGTATTAGCCTGAATCCCTCCTGGCATTTACGTATTGTAACATATGTTTTGTTTAGGCTGTGGTAAAACTTGGATTTTTTGAACGAAAATTGCAAGTGATTGAGGCAGAAAAGTATGAAGAATGGTCAACTAATCGACCCGCAGAGAGACTTTTAGAAATCGGTATGAACGTTTCATTGGTAGAGGAAGGCGGTGGTATATATATTAAGGGGCTGCATGCATGTACATGGTAACGTGAAAAAAATTAGTCCGGCTATTTTTTGTAAGCATATGTAGATAACTAATGTTGAAAAGGTTCAAAACTGCATGTGGTATATACAACGAGTACTGAACTAGCATAATGCATTCTTGGGTCATGTATGTAGATATGCCTATGTCTGCTGGGATTATGAATATAAGGAGTCAAGGCAGCTATACAAATGAATTGGAGTTTGAGTGGGATACAAAAGTTGAGGCTCAAGTTTATGTCAAGGTACAGTAAATGTGCAATTGATGTGACTATTTGGTCTTTAAAAGCATGTGTTACTACCCAGAGATGGTAAGAGTATTGTAGTGCAAACGTGTTGTAATGACGGGATTATCTAGCCAAGCGTCTCTTGATCTTCCGTTATTCAGATTTGATTTCTTATTTTCAGATTAACTGCGTGAGTTCAGAATTTACCAGAGGCAAAAGTGGTATGTTGTCTACTAACCTTAGTATATGTTAGACTAATATTTTCCCGCTGTATGCGCAAGGGAAAAATCGGACGTACAGTAGCTCTCCCCTTTTAAATAGCATGTGTGTCCTTGCATGAGCTTCAGTTTAAGAAAAAGGTATAGGAAGATTAGTTTTGATTTGTGAAGATGACGTATATAAGGTACTGTGAAAGGGACGTGGAAGAAGAATTTTCGAGTTTCAAGTTTTGAATTCTTCTCAGTGCAAGCTGGTAGATGTTCCCATACCAGGAACGATTCTGCAGCCATTTGATCAATTGTTAGGTGCATACTAGTTAGGCACATCAGGTGTGAATATACTGAATAAGATGAAGAAATTTCTTCTTTTTAATCAAGGAGGTGAAAGTGGCGTACCACTTAAATTGCAAATTGATATTCACGACACGAAGTCACAAAATGTTGTTCCACTATATTCAGCTGGGTGTCAAATAAAAGTCTTTCGGGTAGGTTGCACTGTTAGAGGCAGGGCAGTTGGGATGGGTTATGAGAATGGAGGGGCAAAAACATACACTACAGGATTTCCATCGTATGGTTCTGTTCCTTGGTTCTACCGTCTACCTCTTTATATTTACCATTGCATGATATTACTAGTTCGTGCTTTGATGAATATATCGCATGTTTTTCTCCTTATCTTGTATTAAGACGAAGGGTGCTGACAGGAAACATAAAACCGAGTTATCAAAACTTGAGCAATTATCACAGGAGGAAATGGTAAGATATTTAGAAATTAGACACGTGTATATTAGTATAAGCTTTTATGGGGTACACATTAGGATGGAGAAGTGCATAATTGGGAACTTTTATTCCAATGAACTATACCTGAATTTATGTTTTGCTTTCAAAGATTTGTGACATTTTTACCTTGATTTTTACCAGGGACAATACCAGCCTCCCTGTGATGTCACAGTACTTACAGAGGTAAAATGATATTACAGATATTACATAGAGTATAAATAAATTCCCAACAACATTTAAAAGTTATATACTACTTTTGAAATAACAATCGTTATATTGTAAGGGTATTTCTTTGTTTTTAGAATCTCGTCGAATGTTCAGAAGAAAGACTATGGTCGTCCCCAACGTATGTCCCAGGAACTCACTAAAAGCTTATGTTGCAAATATCATTTCTTTGCTATCTTTCTTGTTTGTTTATGGTTTCATTTTCGTTTAGGAGTTCATATCAAAATTCTCTCAACTCTTCTATTCAATCTCCACAAAGCTATTATTCTCCCGTATCATCCTCGACGATAACGATATCAGTTCCAGAGGTAAATAATTATAAGATCATTGGAATCGTATAAAAGCTGTATAAAAGTACTGAAACTCCGTGGGTGACTACGAACTATGGCTGACTATAACCATAACATGCAAATATGTTATCCATGCATGTGAAAAAAATTCTTACAGTTACACTATTTGAAAAGAGTAGCTCAACGGATTTTTTCCTTAGAGAATCACTAAAGACTCCACAGTGGATGAAACGAGAGCATGGTTGGCAGATAACAGATTCCATGCCATTTTACCGCAGCTAAATAACTATACAGGTTTGGTTCTTTTCTTTGAAATCAAAAACTTTTTTGTTCAAATTTTTTATCCGCCTTGGTATAAAATTCTTATTTTAACTTCTCTGTCAGATTGCAGTCACATCACGCAACACTGAATACAGCCAACTTTAACTATGATATTTAAACGATTGGCCCATGAAGATCAAAAGTTGTAAAGTTGTAAATCTTAAATCAAATCTCTTAATAGGTGCTGATGTTTTACGACTAAGCAAAAAAGATATTATACTGATAGCCGGGAGCGCCGAAGGCATTCGATTACATAACTTAATCCAAACTAGGTAATTCATTGCAACGTTGCTGAAATAATATAAAGACTACAGTTTTCACTACGTCTGCCAATTACATGCAAATGTGTATTGTACATTGTACAATGCAACGCAATTAAATACATAATTTACAGTACAATGATAGCTGTCATTGCAATACCTTCTTTTTGTCGCGTGTTTTCAGGGCAGCGAAACCAGTATTAACAATGTACGTATGCGTGGAGTCCATGCAAGATCTATCAACGATGAAGGAATATCAAGCTGTATATTTAGAAACTTTGACTTTAAAAGCCCTTAAAGAAAAACTAGCTCAAAAGTGTAATCTACAGAGTAGTCAGATATCTGCTGTATTCAGGTAAGGGTTTCACACATAATTACGTGTTTGTACCACTGGACGGTGCATAACCGTGTTCATGGCGCAAATGGAAGAGGGGATCGTTATGAACAGGTGGTATAACACTCTTGACGAGCTAGTAGCGTGTGAAGTCGCTTGGCTCCAAAAAACAGTGCTGCCTCGTAGAGTGTGCTCTCATTTTCCTGTCTCGTTTTAGCCTCACGATCGACGGCCCTTAAAGCCAATCTCATACCTTCATAGATAATTTACTTTTGTCTCAGTTATTACCGCCTTATCTATCCGTAGCCACCTAATGTTTTCAAAGACAATAAAAGAAAAGTTAATTTTCTTTTCTATAAAAGAAATATCTATAAAAAAAAGTTAATTTTCTTTTCTATATAGGCAAGGTCCTACGGGTATTTCAATTCTTGTTAACGACGAGGTACGATAAAAACTATGATATACACCTATATCAGTATATACATACAACTCTTTGTCATTATGAGTTGTATGTGCCTTATCGTGGTTTGTTTTAATTTTTTTTAATTCAAACGTTTTAGATGGTGGCTAACCTTGCTGATGAGATGTCATTTATGGTTGATGTTATCAGAGGTATAAAGTGGTCTTAATTATTTCTTTCACTAATTACTCTACATTCAAGTGCGATACTGAATTAACCCGTTATTTAGTCCAAATTGCCGAACAATGATGCGTTCATTTTGCAATGTTTTGCCCAAACAAGTTGTGAAAACTGTATCGTTAATCATCTTTTTCTTACGAACGGTCGTTTCTTTATTTAGACGAACACAATAATTTGTGGAGAATTCTGCTAAAATAATTCTGGACAGACTAACTGTAAATATTCTATACAGGAGTGCATGGAAATATCCCGCTCCGTTGCACCAGAACTTCCAAGTTTCTATGAAACAATGATAAACTTTGTTCACCATAAGGATTGGTTGGGATTTTCAAAAAAAAAACAAGCACGCTGCACTTCATACCGTAATGCATTAAAAAAATGAATGGAAATGCATGTTATGGCCAGAAGTAAACCCTAAATAGGCTATAAAGCACATGCACTTTCAGTTTCTTCTTTGCATGTTTTGTGACTTTATCTTGGCAAAAGATAAGTTCATGTTTCATAGAGACTTTGAAATTCATTCTGCATATGCTAGAGTATATTTCACTGATCGACCAAAAAATGACAAGAAAGAGAGATCAAAGATCTGTGTTTATATTTACTTTACGTGTAAATATGCATGTGGTCGTTAAAAACAGTCTGTTTGAAAAACATTGAAACATCGCCAACAACAATCGTATATCAATAGTTCATTTTACTATTCAAATTGCTTCAAGTAAAGGCTGGTTTTCATATATGACATAATTCGTCCTGACACATTAAGTCGCCTGTGCCATGGAGAAATATCACTGTTGTAAAACGATCATGATTGTTGTGAAAAACAAAAAAAAATACGGTTTTTACGTAGGGTTTCACATGGCAAACCAATTACGACATGTGAAATACGACGAGTTATGGCATATGAAAACGAAAACCAGCTTTTAAGTATAGTAAAATAAGGTCTTCGCTTGTATTATGTAAATACAATATGAACAATTAATCTGATATTTTAGTGGTTGACGTTGTACCGTAAGTTTGCTATATATATATATATTCGCAGTTTATATATTATAGCTTAAATACAGTCCCTTTTTTGGTCTTGGAATGATAATTATGAGATGACAATGCTTGACAAATCATGTCAGAACCGACTGCTGTCCAAATATCACTCTTACCATTCCCCGAGATTCCCGATTCGCCCTTTTAAAATATAGCTCAGCCAAATGTTTTTGGGATGCTCTTTCTTGAAAATAGCGAACTGGAACGATTTATTGCAGTTACTGAGCCATTTGCAATTAGAGTTTCTGTTTACTTTTTTTTTATATATGCGGAAGTACATATTGTGATGTTGAAGCATGGAGAGCTCAATATTCACGAGGGTACTATAATAATAATAATTAATGGTTGGCCGATTGAACGGGAAAATTTTAGACCGGCGCCTATAGAAATATCGCTTTCCGTTTTGTCGTGAACCTAATTTCCCTTTAATTTTTAACATTAATATTCGTGTATTAGCAAGTATTTGGGCGAGGCTAAGAATGATTGTGATATTTGTTCTTTTTTGTGTTTTGGTATTTTTTAAGTATATCAGACAGATGACGATGTGCATGTAAAATTTCATTTAAAGCTTTTAATACGAAACTTTTCTTTCTCAAATTTTGGCAGCTTCAATTTGACATAGAGTTCGCCTATAGCTGTGGGCACTGAAATCTAGTCGCCGTATTGATTTTCTGGGTCTACGCTTTTCATGATAGAATCCAATGGTATAATATGAAAACAATGAAGCTAAGAACACTCGGAAACCGCCGTCGGTTCCTGGTTGACCTATTAGCTGGATAATACTAAGCAGAAGATTCCAACGTCTCGGTACAAAGTCCCCCGTAAAAAGGCTTATATATCATAAATATTTTTATAGCTACATGTGCACAAATGCTCTAGCTTGGCTATGCCGAGTGGTTCAGTTTCCGTCTATAGGTACAACCGAAATATTTACAATCACCGAAAGCCAAAGGAGAAATCCTCCTTCATATAACCATGGATAATAAAATGATAAAATAAATAATAAAATAAAATTGATAATAAAATTCATTTTATTATCCATGATATAACAACGGCCCGGTAACATTAAATAATCCTTTCTCTTAGATTAGTCACTTCTAATCCTGGTGACGTCAACTACATGAATGTTATATAGCAAGTAATGATTGAGAACGTGGTTTAATCATAATCCTTGTTGTGTTCAAAGAGATTTTATATAAATAGTCAGAGATTCTAAGTGTGTATGGTTTCAGTAAAACTCAATGTTATATATAGTTAAAAAATTATATATTATTAATTTATTTTGTTGTCAATATGTCATATAATATAGATACCACGCTATTATTAGTTATTTGCCCGGGGGGGAAAGGAAGAAAAAACCGCTATGACCAAACGATAGCATAACACATTCTTGTAAGTAACACAGTGAGCGTATTTTCTCGTTCACGAAAGCTTTTTTGCTTCTTTAAGATAATGTTACACAAAACAACGTTCAACATCAACTCGCAACGCAACGATAAGCAAAAATCTAAACAACACGTTGTGTGAAATAAAAACAGTTCATAAACTCTCAATTTGTTTCCAAAACAATTTCTGTGTTACAAACTAAAGCTCATATATATCATATTCGATGCGTCATATTCAAAACATTGTTGCGTTGCGAGTTGATGTTAAAAATTGTTTCGTGTAACATTACCTTTAAAAGCTCACTATTGCCATCGCGATCGAGGACAGCCTATACATAAAACTGTTTGTTTCTTAAAATAAACAAGTATTCGTCCTATACAAGTCGAACGCTGTTACTGACGTGTACACATTCACAAACACCATTACACTGGCTCTTTGCCTCGTGTTATCTAATTATAGGTTTAATTCTAATTGACGATTTGGGGTAATTATTCAGCCAGTCTCTTGATGGCGGAAATCGAATGGCAAAAATGGAGACCAAAAGCGGAAACCGAAATGAGGAAAACGCTGTAGTGGGGATATTAACGTCTAGAAGAACTATGAAGAAACCTGCAATAAGGAAATTGTTTTTTAATTCTTTGCCATGCAAGGTCGTTCGAAACGTATTGTTTTTGTAGGCGAGATCGTCAACCGTGAAAGGAAAACGATAGAAATGGACTGGCACGGGTATCGACCAGTTCTCACAGAGTTCACTGCTTTATGAACAACGATACGATAAATGCGCAAGGCTGAATTACTTGTTTCGTTATACGATTCCGTCCAGGAATCTCGATGGTGGCTGCATAAAACACGCGACTGTTTGCTTGCACTTGTTTTCTTTCTTCTTCCCCATCAGGTAAAACACTCCATGCCGTATTAAAAAAATCATGTTGAGAACACTTCAATGAGTTCGAGGCTCCCGCCTCTTTCGTGCATTGTATCAAGTTTTTGATGAACTTCTTTCTGAACTACCTTTAATTCCTCCTCACTCATGTCGTTCAACAGCAGTAAGACCGCTGATAATAGATTTGAGTTCTAAAAGATAAATGAAAGAATAGTGGAGACCTATATGCATTGGCCCCTTTTTTTCAGTACATAACTTTATAATATTTTAAAATAGATCCCTACGATAGATTAAGAAGACTAACACCAATTTAATTCATTTATTTGCTTGGTTTTTATGGTTTAGGTTGGGGAGATATTTGGCATAGGAATAAAATATGCTGGGTGCTAACGGCGATAATGAGATATGTTAAAATAGAACCCAAGTTCGTATATGCAAAGAAGCGGTTTGTTCTCATTTTGTATTTCATATACTTCATAAAATACGACATGAACTAGAGAGTTAAAAGAATACAATTCTCCTCCTAGTAATTTTTTAAAAAAAAAATTGCTGAGGGGATTGGGGGAGGAGGGAGGGGATAGGGAGGAGATAGGGAGAGGAGGGGATAGGGAGAGGAGGGGTAGCTGATGAACCCAACAATGTCTCGTAATTGAGAAGCTACGGTGTTATATTTTTAGCCTGAGGGTAATGACAGTGATATATTTACTTACTTTTGGACTCGTATTTAACCCTGTTTCACCACAAGACATGGGGCGTTCTTCGGTCGAGATCAGTACGCCTTCAGTGGGTTGTGGTCCACCCTGTGTACACAACATGCTGAAGGTAAAAATATTAATGAAATTTAGCAATGGCAATGCAAACAGTCTGAAACTTGTCAATCATGCTTGCTTAGTTTCTCAAAGAGCAGAGGAATAATACTCCTATTCAGTGTCCTAAACAAAACAAAATTTTGTAAATTTCTCCTTCAATTTATGACAAAATTCAGCAAAATTTTAATGAATTCGTCGATGGCCATAGGAAATGCATAGACATATAAATACATTTTAATAGTATTTTTCCTGTTATCGCGTTCACAAAAACTGCGGAGGTTATAAAGAGATGATCGCAAAATATGGAAGCGTGAATTGAGTACAGGTACAATTACGACTGATCGTCGACAGAGTGTATTTGCGAGCGTTTGGGCAATGTTCTTCAAAGCTACAATAATTTGTTGCCTAATAAGTGCATGGTATGGTTTATATCACAATGTATATACTCCATTAACTTCGCTAGTAAAGGTTTGCTGTGTCTAAATAAACACAATACTCAAGTGGGCTGATCCGTCAGTCGGATGATACCGATGGGTCTTTCAAAGTAACGTATGTCACGCAAATATCGGAAGATAAACACTACACTTGAATTAATACATTTATCCGCATGCAAAATAAAGCTGTAAAAAATTCTAAGAAAAATCTTTTCTATGCAAAGGCATGCAGAAATTAGAAGCTAGTACAATGCATTTTCCGTACGGCTGAATACCGTTCAACCATGCATTTTTCTGGAAACGTGCCTGATTTTGAAATGAGGCTAAAGAAAGGTACACGTTTATACAATTATTGTCGGGACGATTTTGGCTGTTGCTGGATGTTAATAATGCATACGGCCAGACGTTCTCAACGTAATTAACAATTCATTCGCATGCATCTTGGACGCGCTGAGAATCGTTGTGCGTCAACACAACGACCAATCCGATTTCGAGCACCTAAGCCTCCGCTCCCCCCTGACTATCTATTATATTGGCTTAACGCATCAAAACACGACACACATTGGCTTAACGCATCAAAACAGACGGCTGCACACAAACGTGGCTCAAACTCAAAGCTTTTACATGAGAATTTCATGAAGAGATACACTCATTCTATTATTCAATATTTGGCCACGATCAACATTTACATTCTGTGGTGTTGATATTTTATATGGCAGCGTAACAACACTGCACTTAACTACAGGACTGAATGAAGAGAGAAAAAATAACATTGATGAACTACAAAGCAGCGCGCATGAACAGCATGTCCACCGCAAAATTACAACACGCGAAATCCTGGATGACGCTGTTGTTACTGCTGACTGTACTACAACTCGAGCTGGTTTGCACAGATGAAGGTTTGTTACATCTTATTCCTAAACTTGCTATTCCATATCTGTATGTTCCTCTTCACAAACAGTAACCCAGTTTGTGCAATTGCGTTTTTATAATGTTTACCCTTATTCGTACACGCCTACGAGGCTCACACGTATGAGACAAGATCAGAAATATAGAAGATTTTATCCCAAGGCTTGCAAGGCGGAAAAATAAGCATTTCCAAAAATATAATTTCCTAACCTAATTTGCAAATAAGCAGCAAAACTGCTCAAAAACAGCGATATATGAATACCATTTTCAGCTAAGAGAAACGATAATTCGCTTTTCCTATGGCGCCATATACTCTGACGCGTCTCTATTAAAGATCACAGTAAACAGCCTATATCTTGAACAATAGTATCTGACCGGTCTCATATCAGCGGCATTGTGCAAGACATTGGGGATAGACTTTATAGGTTTAAGAAACACACAGAAGTACAATAGAAAAAAGCATTAACTACGTTTCTGTCCTTAAGTCATTCAAAAAATTTCCTCGCATTAGGTCCATAGCGCAACGTCAATGGTCTCGATTAGTTGTTCACCCGTGACTTGAAAAAAACATGTTTATTTGAATGTTACAATTGACAAATTGAGGCCCCGGTTGCAATTTAGCTATACCAGATTCGCAGGTCACGACATCTTCGTTTGCAGTTGAGAAGCAATGGTTAGTAGTGAGATTTAGTATATTCACTCGGGCCTTTGGCGGTAAAAATCTCGGCCACCTTTTAACACTAACAGAATTCGTTACGGTGTGATCTGGGTCCTAAATGCTATTCAATATAATAATGATGTCCCAAACTTTGCTTTTTTATTGATTAATAATACGCTTCGAATCATGTGATCTTAATTAAAATATAGGCTGTTTTAAGTTGTTTCCCACAGTCGTAAAAAGTGTAAATAGCATTTGAAGTGAAGTTCAGCACCAAAGTCAAAGACAAAGTTGAGTGCATTTATATTTATACTTATACAGCAGTGATTTATTCTGGTTTATGAATTATGAATGTTAGCAAAATACATGCATTTATATGGTAATATAATCATATTCTTGATCCTTCGATTTCTATAGCCGTGTTCACACTACGAGACCAGGCCTGGCCCAGACCAAACTTTGGATTTGTTTCTTTTTCGTTTGAACGGACTTCGGCAAGACCGTATCTAGGAGATCAGGGCTTTCAAGAACAGGTGACCTAGATTTTCAGAGTAAGGCTTCCTCGAAGTGTTGTTTACACAACGAAAATTTGTTAAAATCGGTTTTTATAGGACTGGCTCGTAGTGTGCACGGCTTATGTCAGTGAGGGCGGAACTAGGGTTGAAGTATGACAGGTTATATATATTTGTCCTACATGCATATATTCACCAATATGATGCCAATGTTATACATACGCAAGGTTTAAAATATCAAGGAATTAGATGTAACAACTGAGGGGGAAAGTCCAGTCTAGTTCTGTGGAAAATCAGCTAGATCGAATAAAATCTACAATTGGAAACACCAATTAAAAAATTATAGGAGGACTTCTACTTACGTGCCAAAATTTTGTGCATGCATTTCGGCCAGTGATGAATTTGTCATGCATGTGTGCGCATTTCGCTTGGATTACAATTTTCCCACGGAAGATAACGATGTGCTTTTAAGTATATATAGCGTAAAAACAAAAGAACCTTTCACATATAGGTAAAAAACCTGGTAATCCAGACGTTGTCCGGGCATGAATAAATATTGCTACTTCAGGAAAGGAAGTGTCGCATGATCAGTGGCGTAGTCAGCCTGACGATTTTGTCCCGCTATGTAAATTTCACGTCATTATAATCATTAATTTCTTTAGAAATTTAATGTCTTCACAGTCAATGAACACCAAAATATTAGCATAGCGGGACAAATCGTCAGGCTGGCTACGCTACTGCGCATGACGTGCTAAGAAATGGACGCTGGTGGGTTTGAAGGGGGGGGGTGTGGAATGTTGGGAGACGCAGATTTCTCCTTTTCATGTTTCTTTATGAATTTCAGTTGCGGGAAAATCGATATAGTCAGAATGGCATATGTTTTAATTGATTATTTTGGATATACTGCAGCTGGATAACTATAGACCTATAAAAAACTAAGCCATTCTGCCAGAGTTAGGTAATTCGTCCAGCGGACTCATTTTAATGAAATTTCGAAACACAGAAAAAATCAACACACGACGGTTGAAAACCTGGCGCAAATTGCAGCCCAATAGATTAGATGGGTACTCTTCGAAACCCTTTCTAAGGTTTACGCGAAGTATTGATTCTGTGAATGAGGTCGAATAATCGATAATAGTAAATTTCCTTTCATTTTCCAGATGCAATGGAAGTCCCTGGGGACATCATCCTTGGAGGTCTATTTCCAATCCATCAGAAAAGCTTAAAAAGAGAAAACGAATGTGGTCTTTTCATCCCGATGCCTGGGTATCACTATATGGAAGCGATGTTGTACGCCATTGATAGAGTAAACGCCGATCCGAATATACTACCAAATATAACACTAGGAGCTAAAATATACGACACGTGCATGAGCAAAACTATTGCAGCGTACCATGCCAAGAGATTCATAAGTATGTCCTTGTCTGAATCCCCCGAGCATCAACTAGCCGGTGTTATTGGTGGCCTTCACAGCGATGTTTCCGAAACGGTTGCAAATTTTCTACGCGTTTTCGAGATCCCACAGATCAGCTACTCGTCGACAAGTGTCGTACTCAGTAACAAGGATGTTTACAGTTACTTCCTGAGAACAGTGCCGCCAGATTCATTCCAAGCACAAGCAATAGTTGATATCATACTGAAATTCGGTTGGAGTTACATATCAACAGTAAATTCGGAAGGGATTTACGGTGCAAAAGGCATAGAAGTGTTCTGGAAATTGGCTAAAGAGAATGGCATATGTATTGACGTAAAAGCTGAATTACCGTCCTTTCCAACGCCAGGAGAATACGACTCGGTCATTAAAAGATTATATAATGGCAAAGAAAAAAGTCGTGTGGTGGTAGTATTTGGTACTTGGTCTTATATTCGTCAACTGTTGGAAGCAGCCAAAAGACGGAAGCGTTTCGATAATTACCGTCATTTCACGTGGATCGGGAGCGACGGATGGAGTAATCGTGACCATGCGACAGAGACGGTTGAAGAGGTAGCATTAGGAGCACTCACTATCATGATGAGATCGGGAGTAATTTCACAAGGATTTAAAGACTATTTCGCCAAACTTACTTTGGCAAATTACCCACGTAAGAATAAAAGGTATGTTGACTCGAATGTCGCTCGAATTGCCTATATCCTACATGAATGTTTTTCCGCCTTCAGTTCGGATAGCCCCCCCCCCCAAAGTCAACCCCCCCCCCTTAGTTATCGCATCTTGAGTAGGTTCCTGAGAATATTGATTTCTTGGATTCGTTATTATTTCTAGTTAATTTGAGTATTTGCATTTCTTAAATCACCTCCCACGTGCACTCGACGCGGTTAAGGCCTAAAAATGGGATCTTTTACGCTTCAAGGTTTTTCACAGAATTTTGGGAAAGTCATTTCCTCTGTAACGTGCCAGAGGGATCCAATCAAACAAGCCAACAAAAGGAATATAACACAACTTGTCGTGGTTGCGAAAGTTTACAAGATGGTCAGGTAGAAATCGATTCCATTCGTGATACTGTGAATGCTGTGATCGCTTTCGCGCATGCGTTAGACAGCTTACAGAGAGAATTATGCCCGAATGAGATTGGAAAATGTCCTGCGATGACGCCCTTCATTCGATCGCGGTTGTTAGAACATCTTAAGAATGTCTCTTTCCTAGACCCTTCGGTGAACGCGACTGTAGAATTCGATCAGAACTACGAGGTAAGTGGCATGTATGATATCATGAATTTCCGCATGGAAAATGGTAAACCCCGTTACGTCCGTGTCGGAACCTGGGACGGAGAATTCGACGGCAGCAAGATTGCTTCAAGGTTGGTTTTCGATAAGGAAATAAAATGGTCGCAAGGTACTTCCAATGTCCCCGAGTCAACCTGCTCGAAGAAATGTAGTTTTGACAACATCCGAGTACCTATCCCTCCGCTGGATTTTAAATGCTGCTGGGAATGTCAGAAGTGTGGTAAACTCCAAATCGTCCTTAATAATACTTGTCAAAGTGGCCCAGTAGGTTGGAAGCCGAACGTGAAAAAGACAGGTTGGGTGAAACGTAGCCTTGTGTACCCGAAATGGAACGACTACCTATCCATACTCCTCATCGTTATTTCATTGTTCTCCCTCGTGCTAACATTACTAACAGTCTTGGTGTATATTGTTCACATCAATAACCGACTATTGAAAGCCTCAGGAAGAGAGTTGTGTTTTGTTATGTTGACTGGAATTGCATTATGTTTCACCGTACCGTTCTTGTTTCTTGCAAAACCTAAAGATGAATTGTGTTACGCACGTGGTTTGGTCATAGGTCTCGCGCTTGCCATGTGTTACGCGCCGTTATTCATGAAGATCAACAGAATATATCGTATTTTTACCGGCGCCAAATCCTCGGTTGCTCCACCAGCCTTTGCGACACCCCGCATGCAACTGTTGATCACTCTTGGTCTTATTGGTATCCAGCTCATGTTCACAGCATTCTGGTTCATCGCTAAACCAGTGCAGGCCACAGAAACCTACATCGCAAGCAGGGAAGAGTTGCTACTAGAATGCAAATTTGACGGACTGAGTTTCTCCGTGAATTTGTTATACGTGATGGTCCTAATGTGTCTTTGTACAGCATACGCATTCAAGACTCGAAACTTCCCGAAAAATTTCAACGAATCCAAGTATATTGGTATAAGTATGTACATCACGTGCGCTGTATGGATGATGTTCTTCCCATTCTATCTCAATACGGATGATAGTATCAAGCATACCTATCTCATCTCAATCGCATGCGTGATCATTGGCCTGGTCACGTTGATTGGTATATTTGCGCAAAAAGTCTACATTGTGTTTCGCGTGAAGAACATCCGAAACGGTGATCTCCTCTTCGGCCCTCATGGACATTCTGGACGAAAGAGGATCACCTCTACAGACAGCGTGATATGAAATTCAGAAAATCATTCGAACCAGTTCACCTTTAAATTTCAGTGACAAATTAGCTCATTTAGCGAGGATTTAAATAATTCACTTATTTGAACGTTAGTGTCTAGCGAATTCAATTCAGGGGGTTCTTCCAATTTAGAGATTTATTCGATGTCTCTTTTAGAAACGTAAAAATTATCACAAAAAAATTAGAATGTGTTTAATTCGTGATGGTAAAAAGCGTGCGCAGCATGCAAGGGGTACATATGATGTTTCTTAAGATTTTCGGATCTGGGCCGGTTGTACGGAAGCTGGATAGCGTTATCCACCAGAGTGTCTTTGAATAATCGCTTTGAAATTGTTCGTTGATTAAACCTTGGTATTTTTAAATTCCAAATTATTTTTAAACTCTCTTTCATAACTATTAACTCCAAGTTTGTAACTTCATTGCTTTCAAGTAAGTTTCAAACGGTTTAAAAAACACTATCCGGTGGATAGCACTAACCAGCTCTCATGTACAACTGGCCCCAGGGTTTCTATGATCAGAGAGAAATACGGGGCATCTCACAATTAATAGGCACCTTCTCAGGCAAATCTCATTATTGTACATAATTGTAAATATTATATCTTCGTGGCTCACTGTATTAAGATAGAAGATTAAGTATAGAAATAAAGAACTATCCATATTTTAAAGGCATGTTAAACACGTGGTTGCATTATGTTGATAGCGTGCATGTGATCTTAAGTTTTGTTGTTGTATGAATCGTTGTAGCTTTGCTCTTGTAAACAAATCTTATTTGATAGCATTTAGTGAATAACTATATTAAAACGTTTTTGCATTTGAATTCGTCGTAAATCTTCTGATCTCCTTAACAAATCTCCTTACACGACCATGCATTGTAACGGCTTGGACCTATTGCAATACTTCAGCCGTTACAAGGAGATATAACTTTAGTCTTGGATATATTCATGCGTTTGCATGAGTGCAAATATTTGCCACATACACGTTTTTGCGTTTTTAGTTCTCATTCATCATTGCCCTGTATCATACCCTTTGGGTATTGCCAATATTCCAATCCTTTGCCGATTGGAACTAAGAACTTGTACATATAAAAAGATTTTTTGAAAGCACTTGGCCGGAGTGTGTAAACAAGAATCCCACAATATTGTTCATTCATTTTACATTTCCTCCTCGCTCTTCGCCCTCATCATGACGTAAAACAATCGTTACGTCGTGCAAGTAAGAAATTATTTGTTTAATGTTCACATACTTGGTTTGGTCAAGTAGTTCCTGCGCGGACGATTCTTCATTCTGCATTTCAGACGTTCCTATAAGAAAGGAAAAGTGAGGAGGTTTTCAAAAGCAAGAAAAAAAATGAGGTAAGAGAAAAGGAGTGGACTTTTACTATCGGTCTCAGAAAATAGTTCACTGCAGTTAAATTGTATCTCAGAAATAGGTCTCAGAAAATAATTCACTGCAGTTACATGTATCTCAGAAATAGGTCTCAGAAAATAATTCACTGCAGTTACATGTATCTCAGAAATAGGTCTCAGAAAATAATTCACTGCAGTTACATGTATCTCAGAAATAGGTCTCAGAAAATAATTCACTGCAGTTACATGTATCTCAGAAATAGGTCTCAAAAAATAGTTCACTGCAGTTAAATTGTATTCAAACATTACTTTACCACTTTTAGCTAAATCATCAACTTCACAATCGTCTTCTCTCTGCAAAGTGGGAAAATATATCTTACATACGCACGTCACTTCACGTTGGAAAATTATTTTGCAACTAGGAAGGAGGTTGTGGCAACTTTTCAATACAGCTGAAAAAATTCTTTCTGTACAACTGAAATGTTGCCAGTAACGTACAGTACAGTATGCTTACATTGCAAGAAGCGACGTCCGGGATATTTTCAGTAATTACTTCACTGATTTCATTTAGACAGACGTCTGCAATAGAAATGGTAGAAATGAAGCCTCACCCACGTTATACATGATCCATGCAGGCAGATTTGCCAAGGTCTGGGAATGGGGGGTGTGAACACATCCCAGATAAATATCAGCAGATGGTATACCAAAAAAAATAAAGAAAAAAACCCTGATTCGTACTAAACATTATCTATTTATTACTTCATCCGACTAAGTATACTAACCAACATTATCGAGTCTTTCTATGTTTGGCAAGTTCCTTAGAACTACTGATCTGTAATCTTGAACATCAGAACACGGATTATCCGACAACCACAAAACTTTTAAACATGGCAGGTCCTTTAGGAAATGTATTTCATCTAAATCTGCAATACTATTTCTACGCAGATAAAGCTCTTTTAATTTTGTACCTTTCAGATAATATGAAGTTAAAGAAAACTCAGATATAACAAATTACATACACACCAATCACCAGATTCACCATACAGAAATATTAAACCCGTTTTCTAACAAAAAATTATGGAATTATATTAAAGCAAAAAAAGAATAATGATAATTAATTTTATACTAAATCAACATATAAAACGATCCAAATAAAAAACAAAAGATACAATGTGCAAAGTCTTTTAGGCTGTCAATTTCATTTACACTAAAGAAGAAGAGATGAGTGAAATTCTGAAAAGTAGCTCTGAAAAGACAGAGTCCTTGGGATTGTCCATATGACGATCATAAGTTCAAACATACTTGGAAAATCGCAGTTTCCTCTGATCGGTTATACGCGGGCAGATTTTATTTTCATTTTCCATCATGCAAAGTAGGATCCCCCCTTAAACTAACCCCAGCTGAGCTAAGCAAAAGTGTTTTTTTTATAAATGTACTGGTATACCTAGGAAAGCATTTTTATTTCATTTCTCAGTTTTCTCTAAAGGTCAAGGAGGGAGCTTAGGCAAAAATTATTTTTAGCATGCATGCAATACTTCAGATATAACTTACATTCAAATCTATTATATACAGCAGATTACCAGTAATTTCTACTGTTTCGATATCCAATTACCAAGAACTCTTACCTAGGCATACTAGAAATGGAACCTTACCTTAATGTTATAACTTCAACATTGGGCATCCTTCTCAATATAGAAACCTAAACACAAATCAATGAAATTATCTGTTAGGTTTTGATCATGTTACAGTAAAGTGAAAAGTAAATCCCTGGGAATTTCTAGATTTAACTAGCCAGGATGGAGATTAAGCACATTGTGTGGTCAAATATGAGTAGTTATGTACGTTTCTTAAATAACATTTCTATTGAATAAACTTACATCTGAAATACTGCTTCCCCTAAGAAATTAGAGAAAAAAGTTTAAATACTAGCACTGTTGAATATCAAGACAAGACAACCAATAGAATGGGTATAAACTATAGCAGTCTAAAAAGTCATGTGATTATACAACTTAATTAGGCTGACTGTGAGCCTGTGATACAGGTACATATGAGGTATGTATATCAACATTGCATGCAATTGAAAATGTGATTCATATTGATGTTACTGCCAGCAATGGTATGACTATTCTAAACATGACTATAGCCATAACTATTCATTTCACAGGTATAATACAATTCTGCTTACAAAGCAGCCCAGTTATGGCATGAGGGAGAGAGGGTTAGGGCCTAGAAGTGCATTTTGAATGAAGACAATGGATTTCTCTTAATGTTCATTTGCAAGTTGGATAAGACAGGACATGTGAACCAAACTGCTTTTCAATTATCAATCCAGCTAATTTCCAGAGAATTGCCTAAATTTCTGTAACTAAGCATTAACAATACCACTATACTTTTATCTGTCTTTTATCCCTACAATACTCTTTGCCCCACACTGGATTTTTTTACTGGATATATTCTAATGCACTACTAAAGAATATTACAACCTCTCCAAACAAATACAACTTTTTTATATACAGTATACAGGCATACAGCAAATCACAAAATACTGAAATTACAAAAGATTATGAAGATACATACCAACAATTTAATTTCTTCACTTTGCTCAGCGACGTAGCGCGCGATCGGGACAAAACTACATCCTCTGTTAGCGTGCACATAATCGACACCAGTTTTTACATCGATGAGGTGATATTAAAGTACTAAAGAACACTCAAAAACTAAATATAAATTCGAAACTGAAAGATTAGCGCCATTTTTGTTGTTGTTGTGTAAACTGTTGCACGAGTTACCTCAATTTACCTCTCCTACTCCAAAACATCCTTAAATATACCTACATACCCTTCAGAATCAATGCAAATCAAAATATTTTTCTTAGTATATTTATATATATATCTCAATATTTATAATTGTATATTTGTCAGTTATTTATTCTACTCATCGAAGGATGGAGTTATCGGAAAAGGTAATCGAGTGTGTTCCTAATTTTTCAGAGGGCTGTGATTCTGCGATAATCGACAGTATAGCCAATGCTATCTCACAAACAAAGGGTTGTGTTTTGGTCGACGTGGATGCCAGTTCTTCGACAAATAGAACGGTGTACACATTCTTTGGTACTCCTGAAAGTGTAGTGGAAGGAGCGTTGAATGGAGCTCTAGAAGCCAGTAAACATATTGATATGAAAAATCATACTGGTACTACGAAATTATTATTGTAGTATAATTTGTAGTTTTGTCTGCTACACCCCCTACCCACCCCTATCCCGCCTGTACCCTGTTTTTTAACATAACAGAAATAAGGTGACGGACAATAGTATACCACATGTTAGAGAGTGATGACAGAAATCATTATTAGGAGAAGCTACTATCACAATTCAGTGTTTTTTTGAATGGAAAATGTCCCCCATACACATTTTATTCCGTTAATATAATTTCGGTAGGGACCCACCCTCGTCTTGGTGCCTTGGATGTTTGTCCTTTTATCCCAATCAAAGGTGTCACAATGGATGATTGTGTAAAGTGTGCTCAGAACTTTTCTGAACAGCTTGTTAAGGAACTTGATGTGCCAGGTGTGTGCAGTTTGACAAATACCTATTGGTAACAATTAATTACTCTTGTTGGTGTGACTTACAGCTTGTAGTTAATGTTCCATGTTTTTTTAAGTATATCTTTATGGGCATGCTTCTAAAAAGGAGTATCGCAATACAGTACCACAAATTCGAAGTGGTCAATATGAAAACCTGCCTGAAAAGGTATGTTGTTTTATATAGGCATTAATTTATATAAGAGGTGCAATATTTAAAAGTATCAAGAACTTTTGTTTTATGGGAAAACCTCTCTACGTAGACTAATTCAAACTTGTTTCTTTAGCTTAAAGATGAAAAATGGAAGCCAGATTATGGTCCAACAAAATTTGTTCCTTTCTGGGGTGCATCAATAGTTGGAGCTCGAGATTTTCTCATTGCGTATAATGTGAACATAATGGCAACTAAAGAACAAGCACATAGAATTGCTTTGAATATACGAACCACTGGACGTGGTCCTACACAGGTAAAAAGTGCATGTTGTAGTTGTGCATTTAGTATATGCATTACAATATGGTAAGGTAGGTATAGTTCATACTGAGTTAATATGCATAGAAACATTGGTGTAAACTGTAAACTTATGGGATATGAATCTAAAATTATTGAATTTTGAGGACTAACTCCAATTCCTAAATACTGTATAGTCCAATTCTGCAACCCTATTCATATATATGCTATATCTCAACAAAAAAAATAGAAAAAGAAGGGATTCCAACTCATTTTTGGAACATGTCATATAGCATGCAAGAAGAGGTCTGCTGACATATAGCCATTTTGTTTTAAACGTCTACGTTTTACTTATATTTCACAAATGCTCTTTTATATACTGTCATATCAAGCAGCATAGCACTAGTATATACAATCATGTAATATTGGTCATCACCTGCATAAGCATTTTCTTTTTTATTAGCCTGGTTTACTGGACAAGATCCAAGCAGTTGGTTGGCAAGAGGAAAAAGCTAACGTCTCGCAGATTTCTGTTAACGTTTTAGACTACAACGTTACAGCAGTCCATGTCGTATTTGAAACATGCGTGGAAGAAGCAAAAGTAGCAATCTTTTGAGTATTTTTAGATATCTTATTGTAGCTAGGATGTTCTAGTGGTTCTATCCTAAAAACCCAATTCAAGACCCCCGGGTTTAGACTGCTTAATTTGGCCCAATCCGAGGGCAAGGTTTAAACCCGATCAGCTTGAAACCAACCACGTGCAACCTGGTAGACCTTAACTCAGGTCGGAACTACTAGCTTATATAACCCCGTTTTCCACTAGGCGATTTCCACTAGGCGATTTCCACTAGGCGATTTCATGCACTAGGCGATTTCATGCACTAGGCGATTTTCACTAGGCGATTTCCACTAGGCGATTTCATGCACTAGGCGATTTCCACTAGGCGATTTCATGCACTAGGCGATTTCCACTAGGCGATTTCCACTTGGCGATTACTCGCGCGATGCGAAGCGATATCTGAAATCTAGTGATTGGGCGTTACGTATGTCGCATATGTCCCTACGCAAGTCGCAATTTCCAACTCATTGTTCCAACTCTAATTTTTACAAATTGATTTAGAAATTAAAATTAGCCATCGCTGGCTCCCAAGTGGTTGGTTTAGTACCACTGAAAGTGATGTTGGACGCAGCGGATTACTACATGGCCAAAGAAGATCTGTTTATTGTGAATGAAGATCAAAAGCTTAGATTGGTAGGCTTTCTTCAACAACACTTATAGATTAATTCACTCAAAAAGACAAATATAATTACTTCTGGAGGATTAGTTTAATTTAGTTTTGATATTAGGATTAGTTTTGATATTAGATCACTGTGAGTCATAAGTTAGAAACAAACTATGCAGCAAACACTTTCATTTTAAAATGTCAAGGCATGAATGAAACTTTAAAAAAATAGATAAAAAGTAATAAGTCCACACGGCATGGGTAATGTATTCTATATCTTTTCACAGGTAATTGACCGTCTTGGTTTGAATTCACTTGGACAGTTTAATCCACAAGAAAAAATTATAGAGTACGTTTAATTTTGCATGGCGCACAACACTTTTTAGATGGAAACCTCGAGCAGGAATTTATGTATAGATATTTTTAAACTTGCAGTTATATCCTCTGAGTTATGTAGGTTTCTTACTTTTTTGTCAGGTATGTAGTTGGTAGCAACAAGAATGGTCCATTAGCCTCGATGCCATTATGTGACTTTGTCCACTCTTTGGGAAGTCGTACTCCATCTCCTGGTGGAGGGTCTGGTTCAGCTGCTGTAGCTGCTATAGTATGTGTATATAGCAATGATAATGAGAATATAATGAAATGCGCGCAAATCTACAGTGAGATAATTGATCATGTTTCGGTGAAGAATGTATAAGGTTGATAGGCATAAAAATATAGACGAATATGACTTTTTTGAGACAGATGTTATTTTGTGTTATATTGTACAATACAATACTATAATTTATTGAAAATTCCCCGTTAGGGGCTTTTCAGTGAACAAAATATTCGGTGTTAAAGGTGTTAAAATTAGAGGTGTTAAAAAATGCAATATGTGATATAAACTATTGATGTCTTCAGGGAGCCGCACTTAGTACTATGGTTGGCTGGATGTCGTTTGGTAAGAAAAAATTTGAAGGTCTTGACTCTGCAATGAGGACGTTAATTCCCCCTATCTACCAAGTGATGGTTGATTTAATGCCTTTGGTTGATGCGGATGCGAAGGCTTTCAACATGTACATGGTATGAAATGCACTGGCTTGTATATACGCAGAATATATATGTGTAGTAACGAACATATGGAACTTTATGCACCGTGCAGTACGTTTATGACGAGTTTTCTCCGTTATTTTTCTCAATTACAACGGAGTATATAAAAACAGAGAGAAAGTTCATGGGCAGTACAGCTGCTAATATAACAATTGCTTTATTGATAGGACGCGTTGAAACTTCCAAAAAATACTCCCGAAGAAAAAGAAAGGTATAACAGTCCTTGACATCAGGCATCGACAGTTGTAGAGTGTTAAAGACGTCAGTTTATAACTGAAGGACTGAAAGCCTTGACTGAAAAAACTGATTTTACTTTCTTTAGGCACACTGAGGCATTACAAGCAGGATTAACAGCTTCAATTAATACTCCTTTAAAACTAATTGAAACAGTTTCGCGTGTTTGGGAACCTCTTACAGAGCTGGCAAAATTAGGCAACATTCAAACTAAATCCGACATTCAGGTGTCGTACATTCCAAATTTGTTTTATTGTAGATTTCTCACCTTCTGCATTGCTTATATTGGCTTTAGCACAAAAGAGTCATCTGCGAACATAGACTCGCATGCATACAGAAGACTTTTCAGTGATTGAAGTCCATAACTATATATTAATATATATTTATCAATTCAAGGTTGGTGTGCGTTGTCTGGAAACTGGTGTGTGGGGAGCTTACTACAATATATTAATTAACTTGCCTGATGTTAAAGATGAAGCGTACAAAGAACAGGTAAATTTGGCTTAAAACGAAGTACTTAAATACCCCATCAGAAGTTTTTGTAAATCAAAAGTTTTTGTAAACTGTATGCGATTTACAACAAATTGATTTTAAATTTCCTGCTTAGATTTTCAACACGAATTATTAATCAGTATCTGTATGTAATGTTATATATGTAAAGATTACTTTACAGATCATTTGCACAATTTTTTAGGTGAAAACTACCTCTGAAGAAGGCTTGAATATGGCAAAAGCGAAGACTGAAGAAATCTCACATATCTTAGAAAATAGAGAGAAATAGAGTAAATTTTTGGTCTAGTGTTGTAACTGTGTTTAATTATATCATAAAGACTATAGAATTAGATAAATAAGTCATTATTTAATGAAGGAAATAACATGTGGAAATCAGTGAATTAACTACTATAGTCTACAAAGCAACAATTGGAATTTCTTGTGAATAGTTTGCTATATATAATTGTTTTCGAAAGAAAGATTATACATCACAGAGAACCGTGCATAGGCGTTTATTTCAACGAAATATTTCGCACGTATATGAAAATCAGATCTGCATTGTTAGTTGTTTGTGTCTATGCATGGATAAAGCATATTAGATTTCAATACATTATAAAATGCTTATAGTACTAAAATACTTAGAATGTGTTGATCGGAAATGCCCTAGGCCTAGCTTTCACGCCCTCCCCTGCCTCTAGATTGTTCTGTTCATGCATGTACACCAGGTCTTTATAATCACAAAAATTTTGTGGGGAAGACTCGCGACACCATTTTTTAAGTTTTGATTCCACAAAAAGCAATCTTTAAAACAATATTTTTTTAAATTTAAAATTTAAAATTACTAGATCTCATTAGCTCCCATATGGGGATTATTTACATTTCTAGAATTAAAAAATAAGCCAATTAAAACCAAATTATAAAATCCTGTCATTGATAATTATATACCTAAAATATTAAAAACTGTATAACTGTTTAAATCATTATACAGTTTTTTACCATTCAAAATTTTCACCTTCACCTAGGTAGGTCGTTATTCAATCATCCATATCGTAAGCTTTAGAAGAATATGAAATCGGGTTGTCAAAATGTTTAGGGGCAAATAAGCTCTTGGCCTTTTTCCGTCGATACAGGAAAAATGCAGCACCAGCTGCAAGAGCCACTAATATCAATACAGTAATAACAATACCGGCAACCGCTCCACCAGATAGACCCTCTGAATCACCATCTTAGAGAGAAAACAACAAACGTAGACAATGCATAAATTTTGTGTAAATTAAAATAGTTACGGAAAGAGCAGGTGCCTCACCTCCAGTATGAGCTTTTGTCTCAGCATCTACAGAACGATTTCAAATACATTTCGTAAAAATATGTCATGCGAACACGTTATCGAATTGCCATATCGAATGACCCATAATTGCATAATACGGTGAAATAAAGAGATTTTAAAGGAATACTAATCCAGCAGTCTGAGGTGCGTGTATAGATCATATACGGTTTACGAGTTACAATTAATATATTTTACAAACCTAATTTATTTCTTCTAGTAGAGCCAAATATATATTAACGAGACTCAGTTTCTTACCTCCTAGATATTTATACGAATTTTTATCCACCTCAAGAGATCCAATTTTACCACTTTCTACAGCATTCTTTAGTACTAACGTATCGTTATCCGTTGCAAATTCTGGATTAAATGTCAATTGAACTACGGCGACAACGCTTCCTTTGCTATCAATAAAAGTCGAAAAATTCATCGAGATTACGTCTTGATCGCGAAAAAGATGTAGACAATTAAATTTACGATTACAGTCATCTAATAATATATAGCACTACCAACTTACTACCACCATTATTAGTGCTACGAACTACCATGCACCTTATAGTAGTACTACGAACTCCTGTACTGCATCATTGTAGCTACTACAAACTACTGGTACCATCAAGTACTATACAAACTATAGCAACAAGTTATGCCCATCGTAACACGCACATACTGTGGCAAAGAAATTTCCAGTGCAAATGTCTGGAGGCAGCGGTTTATTGCATGATTTTTTGGACTTAATAATAACGTATACATTCTGTCTCTAGTATATTACTATAGGACGGGCCCTAATAAAGAGGAAAGGTAAAAATATCAACAACTTACGTTAACTTAATAACTTTCACTTTTCGAAAAGATTCACTCTCTTGGTAGACACTTTCCACCTTGAGGAAAACGTTAAAAAATATTGATAATACTCTGATGCTATACAGATACAATATGATCTTATGATTAATCCGCGGCCTTACCGCTTTTATAATTTTTTCACTCGTTTTAGCAAATTCCTCTGTCTTTGAGTCACCCAGTTTATCATTCCACTCAATGCTCGTGATGCGAAAAGATACTTTCACAACCTTTGGCTTTGCTATACGTAATACAAATAAAATTTAGAATTTTCCGAAGAGTGAGATGAATGTACATGGGCGATAAACCCATAAACGGTAGCAAATATGGCCCCAATTAGAGGTGCTACATTCAATAATTTGCTTTCTAACACCCCATTGTTATCGTATTATTGAATACGACATCTTTCGGCAAAGCACGGCACAAAAACAAAATATGAAAGCATAATATGAGAGAGATCGCGAGTTACCGTAAGTATATACATGTGTTTCGTTAAATCATTAACATGTAACATACTTACGTTTAGTTGACTGAGTTGTTGGAATTATTTCAGTACCTAAAAACATTTTTTTTTAATTAAAAAGTTGTAAAAAAAAGTAAGTTTTATCGTCTTTTTCGTCGTCTTTTTTATCTTCTTTTTTAACGTGAATCTTTCCCTATGATACATGCATGTATACTTACATCTTCCCTTCTTCCCATAACTGGAAATTGACATTACCATATATAAATGCTACCGACTTACCAGCGAGGCACCCAAATAATTCCACTTTTATACAGATGGACGTTCCCGTGGATGATTCTGGATAGATTCTTATTCCATTTGTGCGTAAGCCTTTCCGGTTACGATAAAAGTCTGTGAGGGCATTAAACATTGGATTTGATTTGTTTTCCTTGTTTACGGCAGTCATCACCTGTGTAGAAAAATGTTTATATGTAGCTACTCTGTTTCAAGTGAAACGGTTTACATGCATTGTGCATTTGTTCTGCACATGCAGTGCTATATATCTAAATTATTGCAAAGGATTAGATTTTTCCACTGAGCTCATTATTAATATATACCATGGTCCATGCACGTTTACCAGTTTGATATAGATACATTAAACTTTACCTTGGACCGCACTATAGCAAATGTCACCACATAAACACACAATTATTTTAATTACAAAGAAATATTACCTTCGGTTGACCTTTTGGACCATGAATATACCAACTTTTGCCTTTTTTGTATCTTAGAGTAAATGTAGAAATTTCGCCCTTTTTCCCAAAACTAGTAGGACTAGGCAGTGTGGCAATCTTGGAAAGTCTGTATTGGACGCCAAACCTAAACTGATTGTTGGAAACAAGAAATTTATTTAATGAATTGAAATGCAGATCTCTGCCCGATCTCAGTAAAAACCGCTTGCATGTTTATAGGCTGCAAAAAAACCTATTCCACAATCTTTAATTAGTCTTCATAAATGGTCTTCTCGAGAACCTGTTTCGGCATACCGCGTAATATGCATGCATTGCATTCTAAAGTATACAGTCAGGGGCCGGTTGTAAGAAAGGCGGATAGCGCCATCCACCGGATAGTGGGTTTTTTCAATCGCTTTAAAATCGTCCGTTGTTGGCTAAAACTTTAATTTTAATCTTAATTGAGGAACCTCTTTAACAATTGTTGGTTCCAAAGCTGAAAATTTATTGTTCTTCAAGCATTTTTTTAACGGTTCAAAAAATCACTAACGCGGCTTTCATACAACAAGCCCCTGGTTTACATTTATATTTACGCTTCAAAACCACAAAGAAGGAGCCCTTTTTGGGAAGACTTGTTTTGTTTTGTTTTATTCAAATTGGCATATAAAAAACACAATGTCTGGAACAGGCCTTATATATATCGAGTGCAATTCGGAGTACATTTATATCTCGAACAATAAGATGAAACATGCAGTTGCACTGACTGGGAAATAGGCCACAGGATGTTTGCCCTTGAAACCCAAAGCATTTACACTCGCATTATTTTTTCCTATTGTTAGATATCAATTGAAACGATTATTGTAAGATATCAATTTTTTCTATAGAAAGTTTTTCTTTATTGAGTATATCTGGTTGCAAATGCTCTGATATAAAAGAGCTTTTATTTAAACATCCGTAATAAATTCACTCGTTCACATCTATCAGAAGATTATAATAGCACATGAAATCGCAGCAAAAATCGCAAGTGTAAAAGAACGAAATGATCTAAGTATCTTTAATACAAACCTCTAAATATTGTTCCTTGAATGGAGTTTTTTCGGTACACCAAGCCTTTCCAGACTTAAAAAAGGCATCCTCAGGTTTTGAATTCTTATCCGACGAAAAGGATCGGAGGTTGCGGATCCTTCCAGTGGCAAGCAATGGTTGAGCGCAGTCTAAAGAAGAAAGAGACACGAAAAAATGATCCTGTCTTTTAAAAGATAAGGAAGCAAATCAGCGTGAAAAAAATCATTGTTATGGGAAATTAGTGTAAAAAGTTGTCTTAATTATGTTTATAATTAAACAAAATTAGCTTTAATTATTAACCAATCAGTATAATTATTTGGTGAAATCAGGCGGGTGTAGAGTGGAGGGGATGTGTGTATTTCTCCCGCTTCCACATTTCAAAAAAATTCCCCCACTGCGTCGTCTGTGCCTCTTGCAGACTTGCACGTCTCATGGACGGTAGACAGCATTACCCCAACATTATTTTACGCTCCACGGAACTGAATAGAATTTGGTTACATAAAATTTTTTTGCCTTCCACTCTCTCTATTCGAGTATTCGCGTACAAAAAATATAGGAAAGTATGAGGATTCATCAAGAGTGAAGAAATATCTGTAAAGTGGCTGTATACCATTTCTCTCCCGCGCCTGTAGGTACTCGGCCTCGGGCAAGAATTGTTAAAATTGTTAACATAGATATACCATTCTCAAGACGGGTTAATAAGCCCAAGAGACAACGCATAATTGAACACTGCATAGATTATAGTCAGGTCTTAAAGTTCCAACCTGCCAGATTATAGTCAGGTCCAAAAGTTCCTACCTGCCAGACATCCAAGTAACGAAATCCTCATACAAATATTGTTATTCCAAGCGAGTGGGATTAATCGAACATAAGATGTCTCGATTTTGTTGGCCAAAGTGTGTCTTACAGGACTATGGGCATCGTTATTTCCTTGGAAAATCTAAATTGAAAATTAATTTTACAAGCAATTTTTTGTCATAGAGACACTTCATACTATTCACATCGCTGGTCTATTTAACATCGATGAAAATCACTTGTTTATCAATGAATGGAAAATGCAGGCTTAACACAAGACCGGTCGAATCTGGAAGTTTTCGAAACATTCATTTGATTCTTGTTCCGCATGAGGAATGGCAATGCACGCACTATAGCTATATATATCTATATATAGATTCCTTGAAAACGATCGTATAGTAATCGATGTTATAAATATATGTCTCCTATATATATGTCTCCTATATATATCTCCTATAGATATATGTCTCCTATATACGTCTCCTATAATAGATATATGTCTCCTATATATGTCTCCTATATATATGTCTCCTATATACGTCTCCTATAGATATATGTCTCCTATATATGTCTCCTATAGATATGTCTCCTATTTACGTCTCCTATAGATATATGTCTCCTATATATGTCACCTATATATGTCTCCTATAGATATATGTCTCCTATATACGTCTCCTATAGATATATGTCTCCTATGATCCATGCAAAAGTAAACCACCTACCCGTTTAACCCCATGTTCGGTATAGTTCGACCACTTCTTCCCGTCCTCGCCATATTGTATGAAGTACTTCGTTACATAATTTTCTTTTCTATCTCCAAATGTTCGAATAACTGATATAACGCTTTCTTTGTCGAAATAGAACTGGATCCACTGAGATTTGTCGTTTTTCTGAAAGTATAGTGAGAAAAGCCACATGCATATATGAATGTCAAACTCTGGGTACACAAATTAAGACAGACACACACATTAAGTATGACCAATATAGCTCTTGTAGCCTTTTTATATAATAAAGCTGAATGGACTTCAGACCTTCCTATGATACTATATAGGATATATACCTCAGCACACCACGAATGGCCTTGTATTGCAGTTTGTTTTGGTGCATTAGTAGGGCTTTTGGTAGATGATGCTGATATCACATTATCTTTTATTCTCGTAGGGGAGGACAAGAACAGTTGCTTTTGACAAACTACAAAGGAAAGAGACACATGAAGGAATGATACACAAAAAACCTCCTGTGCCAGGGATTTCGAAGGCCTCAATTGGCATTAATATTAGACCTAACTATACCTGCCCTGGCTAATTCTTATGAGACAGATTTAACGATAGACTCGATTTTGATCCAAGATCCTAAAGTTCTTTCAAAAATTTGAAAAGCGTATGATTTGCGTTTTCCCTAGTCTGAAATCATAGAAGTTAGAGAGAACGTATTTGAAAGGCACTGACTGTCCAGTGGTGCCAGCAAATGAGGGGGGAAAAGGGCTATGAGGGACGGGGGAATAAAATTTTTAGAATCCGTTTTTAAAGCGAAGGGATTAGATTAACAATTTATAATTCTTACTATAAAGTTAAAGAGTTGAGCAAGATTTATTCCGAAATATCCCAGAATTCATTTGCCCCGTGAAAAAAACATTCTAGCGACGCCACTGCGAGTCATCTATACTTAAAGTAATTTACACTTACCATATGGACACCCATGAAGTCTTATTCTCATACAAATCAGATCCCCGGTCCAAGTGACAGGAGTGATTGATAGTCCATCAGCTTCGAATGGATATCTGAATTTCTTGGTCGTGGGCTTCCACGAGTGTTGTAAATCTAATGTCTGCAATTTCAAGATTTCAAATTGGATGCTTATTTTTTCGGGAAAATGCATTTTCTTTATATATTCGACCATGAAAAATCAATAATTTTAAGTTATTACTTACGGTTTGATAATCTCGGTTTGGGTAAAATACACGCCAATTTTCATCACGTTCGTAGTCGATTCGAAAAGATTTGACAAATTGATTACTTCGTCCCATGACTGTGATTCCCGTTACGTGGACCAATTGATTAAGATCGATCTGAAATGAGAGTCGATTAGTTGCAGATACGATGCAGCGTGTCTCATTCGTCTCAACCCGGATTGCATTTTACTCGCATGTTGCCATAATTTTTTCGATTTTTGCAATTTCTATTGTCAAAGTACCCACCAGTTGAAAAATAAACCGTCCAAATTGTTGTACCTAACTAATAACCTTAACCTTAACCTTTAGCAGAGCAGAGCAGAGCAGAGCAGAGCAGAGCAGAGCAGAGCAGAGCAGAGCAGAGCAGAGCAGAGCAGAACAGAACAGAACAGAACAGAACAGAACAGAACAGAACAGAACAGTTCTGGGGCCTGTTGTACGAAGTCTGGATGGCGCTATCCACCGGATAGTGACTTTTTCAACCGTTGTAAAAATGCTTTCGTCAATTTAGGAATACTAAGGTTTAATCAAAGTTATACAACGGGCGATTTTAGAGCGATTGAAAATAGCACTATCCGGTGCATAGCGCTTTCGGCTATCCGGCTTTCATACACCCCAGTACAGTACAATGCAGTACAGTGGAGTACAGTGAGTAAATTGTCCTTCCTAAACATTAATAATTTACCTTGATCATGGCACTTCCAGACGTATTATTTGTACACCAAGAGGTATACGGGTCATTCTTGTCTGCAATAATAGCTTGTTCAGCTCCCATACTGGTCGCATTAGAAGAATCCGTTACTGTTACCATCGAGGGATCAAGAGGTATGGGCGTAAAACATTCTAAAATGCAAAGTAAGTCTATAAAACATGTGCTTAATTGTTAATGACCAGGAGTCAAAAATCACCCCAAATCGTAAATTTTAAAATTCGGTTGTCGGTGGAAACCTGTATACTTTCGTAGAAAAAATACATATATGACCAGGTTAAATCATATTAAAAAAAATCATAAATGACAGTAAAATCGGCAAATATACAAAAGGAAAATCGTACTTTTTCGAAATTTCAAAATTCAAACTAGGTTTCGAAATAGGTTAGAACGAAGTGGGATATACCTACCTTCTTTTATGAAAACAATAGATTTGAATAGATAAAGTCAAACGTTACGGATTTTATCGAAATTTTAAAAAATGTAAATCGATAAAAATATTTTCGCACCTAACTTCTTTTTGCACACGTATGCACGATACCGGCTGCACGACAGGTCATTCCACCGTCCAGACCTCGTTTGCATTTCCACACAATTTTCACGTCGGTTATAATCATTTGGTTCGCCATTTCCCCAGTTTAAATAATCTACTGGACTGTTGTCTATCCATCGGTATCCTCGCTCCACATCTCGATCATTTAAACCTTAATTAACAACAAATATCATAGAGTAAACATATGGGTTATGGATCAGAGGTTATGGATCAGAGGTTATGGATCAGAGGTTATGGATCAGAGGTTATGGATCAGAGGTTATGGATCAGAGGTTATGGATCAGAGATTATGGATCAGAGGTTATGGAGCAGAGGTTATGGAGCAGAGGTTATGGAAGGTCGGAATTTTCGTGGGATTTAGTTAAAAGAGTAAATATATTATTTAATATTCGAATACATCATTAATTGAACGAACCTATCCAAATCCAGCTCGGATGCTTGCTTTGAAAATAATAAAGCAAGAAATCTTGCTCTCTGTCATCGTGAATGCTGACTAAATCGGCACCTTGGTTAGAACAATCGTACTGTGCCGAAGACCAAGTTCGTCCCATCGTGAAATGCTTGTAACAGTGCTTATTATGTAATGTCCAATCATTTTGACAGGTTCCGTTTACTAGAAAGGAAGGTACATTGTCAGCTTTAAAGGATACAATAATTTTACATTTTTAAATAATCCGGTGGCACACATGCAGTGAACTTTGTGAACAAGTGATAACTGATAACCACGGCTGATACAAAAAAGATGACGTAATATAAGATAAACGAGTACTCGTGCTTTACAGAGGGAAATCCAATCAGGACTCAGGAGAACACCGGGTACAAATATCCCAGAGTGCATGTACGTACAGTGCATGAGGAGTGTTTTCATATTTTCCCTGGTTTTTACTTGCGACATAAGGGGAAACGTGCGTCACAAGGATACATTCAAGGATACACATAAGCCCAAGCATAAGCACAAATTTCAAAAGATGATGTTTGTTCTTTGTATTTTTTATATACCAGATTGAAATATTTTATTTCATATGCGGGCTTGTGAAGGTTAACCTTCAAAAGCAAACTGTCACTTATCAACGATATATGCGATATAAAACAAAGCTTAATGGCTGGTTTTACATATGTCCCGGCGCCAGCATTTTCACTGTCGATAATCTCCACTACAATTAAGCGGCGCTGGATATTTGAAATAGATAAAAGTCTCAACAATCTTTGAACGAATTTAGAAACGCGAAATGACGGGGTTTCGGGAATCATTCAACAGCAAAGATATAGTGCATATAGATTTCCCCAAACTTTTCATGAGCGATTTAATCTGCATGTACAAAATCATAACTTACGTGGAATTGTAACTTTTGGCTCGCCTAAAAAACAGATTTATACATAAAATATTAGGTATTACAATGTGGTGAATTTATAGCTATAGGTTTAGACTCTAAAGTAAAAAAATAAGCAAATCTCCTGAAATGCTGCAAGTTGACATTACAACAAGTTATACGTTACTGCGGTAAAAATGCATTTTGCCCAACTGATAGGCAATCTGTGAACTAAAATCTATAATCTTTACGTCGTAGGCATACACCAACTAGCGAGTTTGAGGTGCACCAAATCTACGACGCGGACATGACATGAAAACTGCTGCTAGTGTGAGGAAACCAGTAATAATTTGTTTTACATATACGGTTTTGGCTTTGTTTATCAAAAGTCTATCATTTCCATCGCTGTTGGAAAACTGTGGAAATTAGAGCAGTATTACTTCACGTCCGCGTCGTAGATTTGCCGAAAGTCCATGCAGTCCAAAGTTCTCTGCCCAAATAATTATAAAATAGCCAAGAAAAATAAGTTATAAAGAATACCTTTGTAAATTTCACAAATGAATGGATTAGCAATGTCGCAGTCCATGTCATCCCAGACACCAAAGTTTGATCCAGTTACATTCGCCTGAACACAAGAGCGTTGATCTAGTTGACGGCTTGGTTGACCAGGTCCCCAATATGTGTGCATCGGAGAAGTGTGATCCACAAATTTAAATGAAACGTACGGTTCGTGGTAGAAACCAATCCATACGTTGACAAAACGTTTTTCCAGCAAATAGATAAGATAAGCTGTAGTAATAAAAATCAAACACTGATGTCGAACTATATATATTAACCTTCCAAATTACTAACACATGGATACAAAGTGAACTTGGTTCCGAACAAGGTACTATGACACGTTACACGGACGCCGTCTTATGCTAGTTGCTCATTAATTTGTTAACCATTTCTTTCATTTATGAAAATGAAAGGAACCCCCATAAGCCATGCATAACTTGGTCTCGAAATTTGACTCACCTTCTGTAAATGAGAAGAATTACCTTGTCTGAATTGATCATCAACTGTCATTAAATCTCCATTTTCCTTTTGACAGACTTTCCTGGCTTCATCGAACGTTTTCTTATCATTAACAAATTTGAAACAGGATTCATCGAAACTTTTATAACCGTTTTTACAATTGGATGCTAATAAGAAGATAAAATATGCTGATTTCATGGTGGCCGGTCATCTTAAAGTATTTATACAAACAACACACTAAACTACGGGACAACTACAGACAGGACAACTACAGACAGGACAACTAAAGTAAAGGCAAACTAATGGGTAATAAAAGGATAACTAAAGGATAATGAAAGGACAAATAAAGGACAACTAAAGGACAACTATATAAAGGAAAACTAAAGGACAACTAAAGGACAACCAAAGGACAACTAAAGGAAAACTAAAGGGCAACTAAAGGACAGCTAAAGGGTACATAGCCTTTCATGCAAAATTCGTCAAATTTAGGTTAAGGTATAACAAGGTGATTACCTTTGACTGTTGGTGTTGGGGTCACAGGAGTATCTGAAGCAACTGAAAATATAGAATTAGATAATAAAGAATTACACACAGTCTTACAGTATTTTTGTTGTCTGCTCTTAAAATATTTCGTAAAATGCATAAAAAAACCCATGTACTGCCCCAGACTCCGAAAGTAATAAACGAAGTCATAATATTGCAAATGTGGCGTTGACAAACCTCTTTGGCAAATGTATCCGTTCAACTTGGAACAATAGATAGAATTCCACCGACCAGAAGAGTAAGGAAAAGGTACGATCTCGACACATTTATTCCACCCAAACCTTGGCTCCCGTGTATTCCATTTCATGTAATTGAAAGCTGTATTATCAAGCCATAAATACCCAAAACCATGAATGTTGCTCAAACCAATCCATAAATGGTTGGTGGCACCTTTTATGTGAATTGTCATGAAAGAGTTTGTAAACCTATAATGAAAATTGCAATTTAATCAAAGATGAGCTCGAGGCCACATTTTTGGCTACGGAAAATAAACTATGCTGACATAAATGATATTGTTACATCAACTTATTAAATGAATCTCGTAAAACAGGCCCACTTACTCGTCGTGAATACTGGCTAATTCACCAAAAGAACTTGAATTGTGACCTCGTTCACAGGCGTCTCTTGCGTCATCCCAGGTTCTGTATTCACTGGGGTCAGTATGGAACTGATAACAATATTTGGCGTGAGCAATCCATCCTTCGGGACAGTAGCCATCTGAGGAGTTGAATTAGAAAAAAATTGATTTTGTTTATACCGTTATTATTTTGCTTGAATCTCAGTTAAACCGTTTGTACCTCGTTAAACCATCGTTGAACGTAAAGCGTTTCGGACAGATAAAAAAATACCAAACCAATTTAAAATCTTTCGCACAAATTTCTATTGTTGAATAAAAAACTTTTTCACATGCAGTGAATATCCGTTTAAACGCACATTGGTTTTTATTGATAAAAAAATTTTTGAATTTGATTAAGATCCTATATTCATAGAATTACGCCGTGCACATGCCCATGCAGTGATAGGGCAAGTAAAGAAAATCAAAATATTACCTATTGCACCCATTCAGAGTCTACATAACATGCAAAAACGATGATTTTATCTCTATAGATCATGCATGACATATTAAAAGTGATCAGAAGAGAAAAAACGCGATAAGTTACATACCATGTGGGGGTCTAGGTGGTGCTGTTGGCTTAACAGGTGGTTTATATGTTTCTAAATCAAACAAAAGATACAATAAAAAATTTTAGTACTGATTTAATTGGTTGGTAGCTTGGGAATGTTTCGGTTGTTCACGCCAAATCAATCCTTTATAAACCTTAAAATCAATCCTTTATAAACGTGGTTTATAGTGAAGTGATTTGGGTAGATTTGCGTTAACCAAGAATGCATTCATTAAATCTGTCACCTTGAATAAGTATATTATATATAGCTAATAGATAATTAGCTAAAAAGACGCGATTAAAAAAGTCATGGCAAATGGCAGTACACACCGTTATACGCCTTGCATATAAAAGAGAACTTCAATTGACAATGGTGATCATTCCACTTCCTACTCGATGTTATATGAACACAATCTTCCTGACGACTATAGTCATTCGGTTCGCTAAGGCCCCAGTTTGCGTAGTTATACAAAGAACCATCACTCCACTTGTACTCCGCTTCTGTTCCAAGGTCATTCAAACCAATCCAAAAATTTGAACTTGTGCTAGATCTGAGAAAGTATGATAGTAAAAAATATTTTAGCACGCATGACAACAAAGTTTTCAGGAAATTTGCAGTTTGCATGAGATACGGCTATAGTGTCGGTCAATACATGAGAAAAAAGTGCCTGTTATAGTGAGCATAACAGTGGGGCATATATCCACATGCAAAATTACCATTCTGGTTAAGAAACCAGTGCCAGCACAGCCTCGTACCCATACAGGGTCTTTTCTGTGTGTGTACTGTTTCTGTGTGTGTACTAAATGTGATTTTGTCGCTGATACTCGTTGCCGCAACCCTGCAAGATGAACTTTCAAGTTCCACAGAACACTACTTACTTCGTAAGAAACTCAATAAAACGTTGTTCCTGTTGATTTCTAATGCTAGCAAGATGGCCATTATTGGCACCAAGATCTTGGCATTTCTTCTCAGCATCCTGCCATGTTAGATAATCGCTGGCCGTAGCGTTTCCTCTAATGTAACATTGCCCTTGGAACAATGTCCAACCACTCTTACATAAAGGAGAACCTGTAATATTCGGACAAAAATTTCGAGCACATGTAATTCGCGAAGCAAATCGCATATGTACCTAAAACCATGCATTGTGCATGCCAAAGGTATGTTTCTGTGAGAGTGTGTTACGATTGTATTAATCTGTCTCATAATGCAGTTCAATTTGCATGAACATGGCTCGCATGATCCAGCAGAAATGCATTGAAATATAAATAAATGGTTGGATTTGGTGACTGATTTCCTCACCTGCTGTTGGATAGATTACCGGGGTCTTGGTGACTGGTGCAAGTGCTAAGAAAAACGTGTTACAAAATTAATGTTATAACGTAACCCTAATCTACTAACAACGATCTTGTATAGCGGGTGATCATCGTAGAATCAGACCTCCCTACCCCATTACCTGTGACGGTATATATGCTAGGTATATCCCTTAATTCTAGGTATTTAACTTATGTATACATATATAAGGACGGCGATGGCCTCACGATTAACAAGATTGCACGCAGCTCCCGGGTCGAATGACGTTATTTATCTTATGATGCATTAGTAACTAAATCCTTTATTTTCCATATATTCTTGTTGCTAAATTCTTCACTAGTCGAGAAAGACGAAACCACTAAGATGTATAATTTGGAGGAGAGAACGTGTCATAAAATATACCAATCTTAAATTGCAACGCTTCAAGCGCATTACGGTTGTAATTTATATTATCATATGCGAGAACGTCAACAGAGTTCAAACCTACTTTTAGCCACCTTGCAAACAATATCTTTAACTTCGTTGCAATCTTTGTCACTCCAAACTCCAGTATCTGAATTCATCTCTACACAGGCATCGAGACCATTGTAGCTGTCAGGTTGACCCACAGCCCAATTAGTATAGCGAACTGGTTGACCGTCTGACCATACATGACCTGTCAAGAACATAGACCAAAGGAAATATAATATATTCTTCGTGGAACGTTGTTGGGGAATGCATTACTATACATGAAATAGTAGCGCTGGGAGTTTAAAGAAGCAGGGAATTTGCCCGGGGTAAAAATGAACCCGGAGTCGCTGCTTTCTGCACCGTAATATGCTCTATTATGTGTAATCACTTGCGTAACCCAAACAGGCCTGGATCGAAGTATTCTCCCGCAGCCGGCTAGCCAATAAACGATCGTTTTGAATAGAGCTCATATAGAATGCACAGAGACTTTGAGTATAGCACGACCTTTCAGTATTATTACGTATCAGTAACACACGTTTCGAAGAGGAATTTACCTCGAAAAACTCCTCTCGATTCCAAACCAAGCCATATTGTATTATTCGATAAATTCCTGACAAATTCATTTTCTTCTATACTTTGTATGCTGACAAGCTTCGCCCTGCGGCTACGACAGATACTTTTTGCCCCCAACCACTTTCGACTAAATTATAGTAAAGATCCTTATCCTTGTATGAAATAAAACTAATGATATAGCATTTTGTTACATACTATATATTATGTAGTATATGGTGTGTTTCAAATATACCGTACCCTTAAAACATCCATATTTTCCGTTCTATTCAACCGTTCACTTACCTTACTATCCTGCCATAATAATAATAACAATAAGCTAGTTTGTCCTTTGTGACCCATCCACCAGAACGGCACTTTCCAGGGAACACTAAAACATTATAAAAATAAACAGCTGAGAGGTGCCCAGTTAGTTTAAAACAACTTAATGACAACTTTTCACGAATATTACCTGTCGGAACAGTTGCCGGCTTTTGAGTTATTCCTGCAATGACACAAAAATTGATCTATGTTGAATAAATTGTTACCTCAATACCTTCATCAAATTTAAAAAACTCTTGGTTTTAGCAGGAAAACGTATTGTCGAAAAAGGAAACATATTGCTTGTTTCCCAGAGATTTTCACTGCATGGGTCTATACTCCGGCAACGGTCAATAAAATTCCTTTGAAATATAATGTCAATTTAAACGTGCGAACAGTCGATCGTTCAAATAAATGAGTGCTGTGTAATTCCCTTGTTCAAATTTGTCAAAAGAAAATCGCGTCTTAAAATCCCGTGCATTACCCACTATACACCACACATTGTTTTCAACACTACCCTGAATGAGGACCAAAATAGTTAACAAGTTCAATTATACTAACCGACGTCATATGCACACATGAAAGCATTTGTATCGGTGCAGTTCGAATCTCTCCAATACATCCAGCCACGTTTTGCTCGCTCTAGGCTCATGTACACACAACTCTTATCTGTACGTCTCTCGTCAGGCTGTCCAACATACCAGTTTACCCACGAGACACGAGAACCATCTGACCATTCATAGATACCTTTTGTTGTTGTATCATGTAACCCAATCCAGACGTTTGAATACCAAGCCCGCTCCATTAAACTAGTTGCAATTTCTTGGTCTAATCTAAAGCGAGTTTATATGGAAGCACTTAACTTCCTATCAAATACTTTAAACGAATATGTTATTTAAAGAGAAATAGCTATAGTTAGATGCAAATTTCACATCTTGTTGTACCAAAATATACTCAGTTTGATTTCTGAAAAGTTTAAAATTGCTCAATGGGAAAGACTTATGTATAGCTACTAATAAGGGTAACCGTATATAGTGCATCTTTAATAGAGAAATTGAAGATAAATAAAAAATATGAGCGGTTGACTCGAAAAAAATGACTCCCCTCTGTCACGTTATAGACACTCTCAACCCTTATGGAGTTTTCACCAGTGGTTCAGTCCTTATAACCAAAATGAGCATGTGCGATGCAGAGTGAGACTTGTCATTTTGTTCGTATGTCCCCAGTATTAATGCTACGAAAATTTACCCGATGTATAAGAATGACGTGGGATACTACCCGATGTTTGAGAAAGGCTAATTGTCAATTGAACTGCAACAGCAAGGCCAAATATGGCTTATTTGAGAACGCACGGTCGATATCAGAAGCTTGCACGGCTAAACAACTTACTTTCCAGAAATAGTAATAAGATCACCGCCAGCATCTTTACAAGTCTTTCTGGCATCACTCCATGTTTTAGGCGAATCATACAACCGATAACAACGATTTGGCATGTCCTTAAAATTTTTCCATCCGGATTGGCACCTATTGCTTAGAGTTCCTATTTATGAAAATATGACATAATGTTTGTAATTGCACCCCTTTTACACCGTAAACGTTTCTTTAACAACATCTGACTCCAAAGTTCAAATACTTCATGAGAATGTTATAGAGAGATTAGAAGTATAACATTTTAGCCCTTATAAATACCATCCAATCCATGCACCTAAAGAAATCCTACATGCCAAATGTATTGTTGAATCTAAATATGAACTCGTGCATTCAAGAAAGAAATCTACAAGAACTTATGATATGGTATAGCAAATAGTTACCTGTTGTACAGCCGTAATCAACTTCCAAATATTTATGAACGTTTGGACAAACATCACTGAGATATGGTTCCGTCGGAGAAGCATGAAGACCACAGTTTTCAAAATTGTCGCATTTCGTTTTCAATGCTTGCGTTACATCTTTGCCACAGAGCTTTACACTGGTATAAGTGCATTTCTTTTTGTCTCTTCTTCCCCAATACGCAGAGTAAATTTTTATAATCAAAGAAGAAGGACAACCAATGGTGGTTCGGGTGTAAGGACAAGCCAGGCCTGATTTATTAAAACTATTGTCTAAATAAAACATAGTGTCACAAATAAATAATGATACCAAAACGTATTCGCGTTTTTAGATAATTTTTGGATAATTTTAATAGCAGTTGACATATCCTGAATTTAACATACATATAAATATTTTGCCAAAATATATTATATAGTTTTATCATCATTCATCATTAATTAAATATATAATTTAATCCCAATTTGCGAAGTTTTCAAACTTTTTATGACAATTTTTAAACCCAGTTTTGTGCATTTCCTCTTATCGCGCGAATTATAATGCATCACTTTAATTACTTACCAGGAGTAGCAGTGGTTGTTATATTAGCCGAATTTAACTCTAGAAAAAAATAAACAATTTTCCAACGCATCAATTTTTCAATTATTTATTTATAAATAATCATTGGCAAAGAAACAGAATGGGGCTAATTTAAAAAAAATGTAGAGTGAATTACCTTTTCCTTTTTCACATATATACTGTTTTTTGTAACCGCATGGCAAGTCATTCCATCTCCCCCATTTTAACAGATGTCCACAGTCCTCCTTATTCCGCCAATTATCTGGCTGCCCTCCATTCCAATTCGAGTAAACAATCGGCTTACCGTCGCTTCCTACAAATCTCCCTTCGTCACCTTCGTCGTACACCCCTACCGTAATAATTTATTCATTTATTCGTGGGTTATCAAACGGATTACCAGGACAACAGGTCTCCTCTCTACAGGTAAGGTATACGCGCAAAACACTGACTGCCGGATTACCGAAGGGGCAAAGGGGGCAGTTGCCTCCGGCCCTGGATTTTCATTAGCCAAAAAATCGAAAAAAAGATAGTTGGTCGTTTTCTCTGCCTACGGACTAAAAACTGCATGATGAACTAATAATTATTGATAAAACTACTTTTACGAAAACTGCATGTAATTGATTTTGAACAGCTCGGGTTGAAGCCAAGCACCTAATAGTAATAGGTGATGGAGAATAGCAAAATGAAAAATAATAACTTACCAATCCACGCGTGATCGCCTTCATGTTTAGTTCCGATGAATGCTTGTTCAACATTACCACCAATATTCATCAGACCTCCACCTGACTTTTCGCATGCTATCCTTGCATCGCTATACGTTTTTGTATCCATGTTTAGTTGGTAACATGACATGCCATATTCTATCCAACCAAACGGGCAAGTTCCAAATTCTAAGAAGTCGAATTAAAAACTGAACTCAGCTGTAAGCTCGAAAATTTTTCATGTAAATTGACGAAATGCATTTTAGTAGGGTTTATTCTTGAGCAGAGAGAAGGAAACCTTGTTGTTGGAAAAGCTTTTATAATCAGCTGAAAAGTCGCAGTGAGCATTGAGAATATTATTCCAATATTTGGCATAGAATTGCGCAGACCATATCTATCTAATCTCCAGGAACGAGTATTTAATAAACTCGTCAAATCCTGTGGACAAAGAATGCATGCACATGCACTTGGGGTACGATTACAATACAACAACCTTCACCTGTTGTGTATATCAAGGCAATGTCATCGTTCGATATTGCCGTATTCCAGAAAGCAACCATGGCCATTTTTACTAGACCAGCTTTAGCACCAGACCCTGACTGAAGTCCAATTTTAAAGCTTTTTACTGAAGTATCGCCCGCACTTTTACCACTTGTTGGTGCGCTAAGGGGGAGAAAAAAACACTCACCATGACTGATAACTAGTACTACAGGGTTCAGAATATCAAGATTAGTCGCAGTGAATAAATTCATTCTTAAAATATCGACTCTAGCATTTAAAATAAGTTAAAAGTAACATTCTTAGTGGTAATGAAAAAGTAAAAATGACAAATTTATCTTAATAGCAACAGGAATAGATAAATTCCTAGTTATAACACCTAATGACCCCTTTGTATATGGACATTCGAGAAAAGTTCCGCGTTACAAGGTAGCTGACAAAATATGATTCCGATTCGCAAAATTCGCCACGCAGGGCAAACTTTTTATAAATGTCTATAAAGACTGATTCTTGCTAAAGACTGATTCTTGCGGGTTCTATGAGGTCACATTCAGTAGGCAGTACTTGTTTTCATATTGTTAGTTGCTAATATAATATATAGATTTTAAATTTTCACCTTTGCGTATCTTTACCATTTACGAAAACACGAAGTGAGTTGTTCCATCTCATTACATAATGCCGCCATTCATTGTCGACTACTGGCACAGATATCTTTTGATAACCAGATGTTCTCGATACCACAAACCAGAGATTCTTATTTTGAACATAGACACTGATTCCCTTTTTAGATGTAGTCTCATCTCCCAACGAATCTAGAATGTTTACTCGCTTGGTCCAACTTATAGCAGATGTATCGAACCAAGCCATAAATGACAGGCTTAAACCGAAGATGCAGTAGTCAGTGTTTCCAAAACATTCTTTATCAAATTTTCCAAGGTCTATGTACGATCCTTCACCGGAAAATTGTAACGCTGTGTTCGCTTTTCCTTTTACACCTGTTGTCGGATTTACTTTACCATTCACCTTTCCAATTGTAGTACCGAGTATCTTGTTGTTTTCAATTGTTGATAGAGGCCAATAATATCTTGCACCGCTTATCCAGACTAGAATGTAAGTATAGTTACACAAACTTATCAATGCTATTTACTTTGCCCGTGGTAATTGACGAATCGATATGTCAAAGACGACGGTTGACTACAGGTACTCATGAGAAGTATATATCTTGCGTTATTGTTATTTATCTATTGTAAGCCAGCCAGGCTCATTAGTGAGGCAGTATCATCTATTTAATTTAGCATCAAGTCGTCAACCTATGAATCAGCAGAATTTAAGACAGTAAATGACTATATGCAGGTAACCGGCCAAACAACACAAAATTACATACATCCAGTTGGACCAGCTTCGACAAAATCTTTTCGAATAGAATGCTCTACAAAAGTATGAGGAATAATTATACCAATATAGTTTTGCCAGGGAGGGAGGTAGATAACGTCCCCCATGCATTTGTTCTCGCTTAGAAAATAAACAGAAGGGGACAATATGATCAATATTCAGAATATAATATTAGGATAACGTTTAGAGAGTTAATTCTTCTGAAAATGATATAGTTATGAAAAAGGCCCTGGATACTATAGTTTGGGTTTCTAAAATACAAAAACAAAAAACGATTTTCACTTTTGCGCTTCTTCGCTTCCTGCTACGTAATGTCGTAAAGAACAAGATTTTCTATCACCGCCAATCCACACATTATGCAGAATACGTGTATTCCAAAAAGGGGAAACTTTAAAATACCGTACCTCCTTTCATGCAGATATAAGGTCGACGTTCAGAGCAGTCTGCACTATTCCAATATAATCCAGTTCGCCGCATTCTAACACAGGCTCTTTCCTCTATTCAAGTTAATCATTAGCGATGTTATATGGCACAATCTCTTTTTAAGAATATGTATTTAGAATACGCCTTGTATTGATAAAAAACCCAGCGGCGTACCGAAATTCGGGGAGAATGAACAACATCGGCATATGTAATTAGGTACATCATATATCTCAGTAGGGTCAGGGTCAGGGTAGGGGTTAAGGTTAAAGTATATCCACAATTGTGCATGAACGTTTACGATTAATCGCATGAAAGGTATATGCAAACCTACATTTTTTGCGTGACTAAACGCAGACACTTTAAATCGCTCTCAAAAAAAATGTGATGCAAGTTTGTGCGCTCAAAAGCATTTAACTTCTACTTTATCTGAAGACACTTCAGATAAACATATGTACCTACATACCGTAATAACGAGATCCTGATCCCCATTCGATGATTCCATTTGGATCGCCATTAGACCAATCATAAATATTAATATAATCACGTTCATTAAGGGAAATCCAGTAATATTCATGGAACAAGTGCTTGATTTGATGTCCTACTGCTTTCATCTCTTTATCATTTGTTATGGTCAGTAAGTCACCTCCTCGCTCTAAACACGTAGCGCGGGCAGCTAAAACAGAATTGAGAGTTTGTGAATTCATGCAGAAATGAGTAATTGATTTAATTTTTGCACATAGCTATAGGTAATAAACCATGAAAATTGGAGGAGTGTTGGAAACAGAAATAAGTATTGCTATAAAGATTAAAGATATGTTTACCCTCCCATGTTTTGAACTCCGTATTTATTTGAAAACAAAGTTTTCCTGGCCCTTTCACCCAGTTTTTTCCCTTGCATTCTGTCGACGGTGGAGCTAAAAGTAATAGCATTGTACAGGTGTAAAATATTAATACAGGTGAAAAATAATTATATTATATTATGAATTGTAAGAGTCGAAAAATGTTTTCACTTTCTAACTTTCTAAAATTTAACTGAGATTTCATGAATTACAAAATAGGTCACTACAGTATACAGGCGGCTGCATATTCAGTATTATCAGCAATCGGACTTTTTTGTCAGCAAACTCTTTACCTGGTGCTCGACAACCAACAAACTCCACCCTGAAACATGGATTATTCTTCCATGACAATGGAAAAATTCGAACAGCTTTAGCAATTAACGACGAATTAAATTTTGTGTAGTTATAAGTCTCGTCTTGCATTAGAGTCTAAACAAAATAATTGGATGAAATATTACGATACAACGTAATGTAAACGTAATGTTCCTAAGTCAATAGAAAACAATAGGGAAACGCAAATAGTTCCGCAAATTTTACAACAACCAGGTGATCTAACGTTTATATATTAGCCAATCAGCGCTCAAAGGGGTTGTCGATAATCATACTTTCTCGCGACCCAGGTGTCGGTCGCCCCCCGCGAACAAATTGCGCCAGTGAAAGAAAACAAGGTTTAAGTCGACAATCATTATATCATGTAAATATGAAGCCAGTATATTTATATATGTTTATAATTACTGCAATGCAACAATGGATATATACATGACAAAAAGTACAAACCAGTTTTGCTGCATTGTAATCTTTGAATGTTTTTCCATCTTTGCCAATTTTCAATTTGTAAGCTGACAGGTTTCCTTCGGTGACAATCATCCTGATGTCAGCCAAGAAAGGAAACTCAACTTGAAGATATTCGTCCTGGGATACCAAAAAAATCGAATCGAACTGGTTAAGTCGTCCGTTGATTATAAAATGCGTTTACAATCATGTCATAATCCCCCCACCCCGTGCTGTAGCAGGACTATGATAAACCTATAGTAAACGTAACTTTTTATCTATTTGGGAATTTTGCACAATAGTTTAAAACAGAAATGAGGCATGTACTTATCGAGATACAGTGCAACATTGTCATCGTTCAATCCAGCTGTTTTCATCAAACGAGAACAACTATACAGTCGTATTCACTATCGTTATTTATATCCAATCATCAATATACAGCCATGTAATGCAAAATAATGTGTCAGGAAGAGCACTGCTCCGGAATTATAGATTTGCAAATTTACATGGTTCATAATATTTCGTTTACTTAACCATCTACAAGTAATTTACGTACTTGACTTGCTTTCACGGGACACCACGCCCCACTGTGACGTAATCGAGCACGGGCCGGTTCATTTCCAGGAGAGTAACTGCTGGCTGTAATTTGAGAATCGGATATCTTTCCATTTTCCATTCCAAGTGGCCCATTACAATACGTCAAATCTAGAATCAAAATCGCAATCTTCAGGTGTGTATACAGCTGGACTATGGCCACAATGGTAAAATATGTTGCCTGTTTTGTAATTTTATCGATCTGGGCCAGTTTGTCAAGCCTGTTTAGCCGTAACGGTGCTAAGTCAAAATTAAATAACACTCTTACGTCTCTCTTGAATGAGTTAACTTGAATATAATGCACTGAATATGTAGTTGTAAACGTATCTTTGTATTTAGGTTAAAAACCTTAGTTTCAATAGTTTGCTTGTTGAATGAAACAAAATAAGACTTTCTTTCCGTTTAAGCTAAACGGACTTGATACAACCGGCCAAGGGCCCTCCCCTAAATGTACATATATTGCATTTGAAACGTATTCTGTAGTCGTGCATGTAAACGACTTTACAATATATTGGCGACATGACAACCAAGGCAGTAAAATTTGCCAGGCAATTACCGATTCCTCTGCAGTATATACCGTTTTCGGTTACGGATATGTTGAACCATAAAAATGCTTACCTCTATTTCTCATACAGACAAAGTTTCTTTTTAACGTACAATTTTTAACCGACCATGCACCGTCATTTCTTGCACCTAATATCATAACGCAGTCGCGATTCTCTGCATTTTCAGTCGGATTGCCATTTGCCCAAATTTTATATCCTGTGCTTCCCAATTCTGAGTTTGTGGCCGTCCAAAGAAACACATGTTCATGGCCAAGATCACTGAGACCTATCCAGGCGTCTTCGTTAGAGATTGATTTAATTCGTTTCGAAACAAAATCTTGTTCACTTTGACTGTTTATTTGAACAAGCGATGCAAAATTTCCAATTGCATTACAAGCTGCTTCAGCTTCTGTCCAAGTCATCTTTTGCGAGGGTCGCATGTTAAATTGGTAACATGTATCATTGTACGGGATCCATCCTTCAGGACATATATTTTGCCCTAAGCGGGGACGAATGATTTTAGCTAACTGGCGAATGATTTTAGCTAAATATACCATATTTGCAAGTTTTCCCTTACGCTATTTTCTATATCACCAAGCCTTACTTTGGTGCAAAGAGAAATTAGAGAATATATTGCATGATAAAGCGAAGCTTGGTTGTAAAGACAATAGCATTACAGGGAAAGCCCGCATATAAGTGCTATTATCCGAATCACGAGAGCAAATTCGCCCGAATATCACTGATTAAAAAAAGTTGGCTGAATTTTTGCAGAATTTGAAAAAAATTGGTTAACCTTTCTATATAGATTACCTTTAGATAACCTTTCTAACCGCTCCGTAGTTCCTACACCTGTGGTAACAGTTACATGCCGGTTACATGCCGGTCACATGCGGTTTACATGCGGGTATAAGTTTTAATAACCTGTCGACATATATTTTCTATAATGTTGTCGGTAATTGCATTTTAACAAACAGACAAACAGCCCTTCTAAATTGTTGGTACCATATACCTTCCTCCTTCTCACAAATGTAAGATTTGGGTCCATTGCAGTAAGCATCATTCCAACGACCAGCTAGAGCAAATCCATACATTTCCACACATCGTTCCCTCCCTAAACCATTTGGTTCACCCGTCTGCCAATTTTTGAAAACCAAAGAATCATTGGAACGAAACTCCCAAACCCATTGTCCAGCAGTGGCGAGATCGTTCAAGCCAAGCCAAAACGTCTACAAACAAATGAGCAACCACATGTAAGTCTAATTTCGGCCGTCGTTAAGCAATCATCTTGCGAGGCTGTCATCTGTTTGTTAAAATACAATTACTTTCGTGTGTGAATTTTCGGGCTGAGGTAACTGCCTGTTGTGGCTGTTAGCTCAGCAAAGTATTTACAAAGCGACCTTTTCAAGGTACAACATGCCACCTTGCTGAGGCCTAGGTTATACGTCGCATTTTGGTCGCGTCGAATGCAATTCAAACAATAGATAATGAGATGATAATGAAGCTTAATAAGGTTTGCCATCTCATTATCTATTGTTTGAATTGCATTCGACGCGACCAAAATGCCACGTATAACCTAGGTCTGAGGATGCGAAGGGAATAGAGAAATTAATGACGACATTCATGTGATAGCAAGATTATCATGTTAGCTGAATAAATTAGCCGAAAAGTGCATAAGTTGTCTCAAGGCTCAAGAAAACAAAGAAAAGGTCAATGCAAAAAAACAAAGGGTTTATGCATCACAGTGTTTAGCTATTCCATTCATCCAACCCTGGGAGCACGGTTGGCCGAGATTTAACGAAGATTTAAGGTATTAAAATAATTTTTTATATTTAGGTATTAGTATAAGAGGTATTAGTTTAAGTCCCTTTTGAGACAAAAAAGCACATGCTATTGTTTGATGATAACACGACTACCAGAATCATTTTATTTACTCCTCGCAATACAGACCGTAAAAACAATCAATTTGAAAAGAAACTAATACTGAATGCAAAACGCGTAACGGCGTAATATGAATATTAGTCCCCTATACTTAAGGATATTCGCGGGCCTGGATATGTAATGCAGTAATACGTACATCACGTCTCGGAAGAACTTGATATGCTAGAAATTTCTGCTCATTATCATCATCAATTCTAACCAAGTGTCCTCCTGTATCTCGACAAGCGCTTTTTGCTCCAAACCAATTTCTTGGATTGGAAAAAATTCGATAGCAAGATCTGTTATATGAAACCCATCCATGATCGCATTTTGGCGGCGGATCTGAAAAAAAATAACAACGCAAATAGTCGAAAGACCATTTTAAACGTGCAGGCAATTTTTTTTTAGAAATAAAAGATCGAATATCAAAATTATGAATGAAAAAATATGATAACAAAATCCACGGATGCGTAAAAAACTGATTTTATTCATTTGCAAATTTGCATGCTGGGTAGCTGCTGTAATTTGACAAAAGATACCTATGTCGTTGGTCATTAATTGCAATAAAATCTGAATGCTGTGTAGAAAGTGCCAAAGTTTTAGATATGTGTACATCAGTACATGTCCCGGTCATACCGTACATTTTGTTGGAGGAAGAGTTCCAGCAGTAGGGGTGGTTGGATCAGGAAGACCTACAAAGAAACACAATTGTAGTCAAAGTATTTCCGTACAGGAAATGAGTTGTTGTGCGTATATATATCAGTGATAAAGACTGCATTTTAGACGACATCATTTCTTTCCTTTCATCTAAACTATTATACGTTGCACTATCCAAATTTGGCGAGAGGAGAGGGAAGGATATATTTGCCAGATATCCTCTCTAATAAACATTTGATTGCTTGTTTATATCTAAAACCGTTCGACTAGGACCTTCCATCGGCAAACAAATCATGCGGTGAGACAACCACAAAAAATAAGAGGGAAGATTGAATGTGGGAAGATGAAGAAGTTATTGGGATAATTTTAATTGTATTTTTGTGTGAAAAATTACCTTTTTTTCTTTTGCATATTGACGCGAACTGTTTAGAACAATCATTGTCATTCCAAAGCTTGTTATTTGCATGAATTTCTCCGCACTTTTCATTATTCTGATAATTATTCGGTTCGCCTGGCGCCCACTGAGGATTTGTCAAATTACTTCCATCACTCCAGATCCAGCCTACCTTTGCATCATTCGTCGTTTTGTTACGATATAACCCAATCCAGAACCAAAGGTTGCCTAGTTTACTTGTTTCTTGGTGAATAAAATTAACTTCCGATGGATCATGAATAGAAACTAGGTCAGCTCCATAACCTAAACAGTTAGCTTTGGAATCTTCCCAGCTCATCAGCCGAATTCTTATAGTAGGATTTACAAAAAGATAGCATGAATTGCCATGTTCCTTCCAATTTTTAGGGCACCCCTTACTCGAAATCACTAAAAAATAAGGATAAGGAAATGATGAGACAATGAGAGTCAAAAATCATCAGAGACAAACAGATAGGACTGTCAAAAATGCGTGAACACAGACTGGATTCACGGAATGTAGGGAATATATTTTGATCTTCACAATGTAACTCGACTTGACCGGTGAATATCTTTAATTGAATGAAGCATTTATATCTTTATTATTTCGTATAATAGTATGTAATTCGGCAGGCTGGTGGAATATTTTATCATATTGTGACATCTGAAACACAAAATTTAACTAAATTAAAAAATTAAATCAAATTTGAAAAAAATAAAAATCAAACCCTAGTGTTCATGTCCAAGAACAGTATCCCCAAGCGTGCTCTCTAAAAGGTTCGAGCCAGCTAGGAGGGTCGGAAAAAATTCGCATTTTTTGTTTAATATTTTCTAATAGTTGCGTATTTATAATTTCCTTAATATATATTCGTGTAGGTGACTACCTCGTTCACAGGGTTGTACGTGATTGGAAAAAGCCGTTGAAAAGTCAAAAGAGAAAGTTTTTATACATGCGCTGTTTTTTCCGGTTTTTAAGTGCTTGTCTGTCGCCACACGTTACAACACGTTTTCATTTTGAAGGGGTAGACGTGAAAAATTCAAACGCTATTATTGGGCATTGTTTAACTTCTGTCGTAATATTGTAATTTCTTCCCCCATTTCAAGGGTGCTGAAATCGAGATTGTATAACATTCAGTGACATTGAATTTTACTGCAATATATTTTGTAAAACAATTACCAGAATTGTTTTGCACTTTCGCAGAATGCACTTTCCTAGACCCGCAACATTCCTGGTACAATTAGGCAGGAAAAACATTCGGCATTCCTTATAAATATGAAATCCAAGTAGCCTTTTATACTTTAGAATTATTTACCAGCGTCAAAGTTATCAAAATGAAAATGTGTTGGAAAAGTGTAGCGCGCTGAAGAGCAATTGAAAACTCTAAGAACGGCGAACCCAAAAACATTCCCTTGTAACAACTTTTTGGCAGGCACAGGGCATTTGTGCGAAAAATGCCGCACCTATATAAATGAAAAAAAGCGTACGTGCAATCGATGGGAAAACTGAAGAAAAACTAGAAAACTACCATGCATATCCGAGGAAAAATAATATGAATTCAATTTTTTATAAGTCCCAATATAACCAGGAAGTAGCGCGGCAACGTCTTCAAACAACTTAGCATCAAATGTGATATAACAACTGAAGAAGTGTTTTGTCTATTTTAGGCAGTTGTTATACCGCATTTGATGCTCAATACTTTATAATAAAATATAATTACTGTATAGGGAGCTATCATATTTCCTGCTCGTGTTTAGTTACTTGAGTTACATCATCAACATTTTAGTCATGTGCTGAGACAGGGGTGGATCCAGCACTAGTGCACTAATTTGCATGACACAAGAAAACTGCTCAAAATAGCGATTTTGTATTGTAATGCAAATTAGTGCACTAGTGCTGGATCCACCCCTGTGCTGAGAAGCACTGTATGATGCGTATGGTCTACAAAGAAAAGGATAAAAACTCATGCACAATATTACTAATTTGAATATCAAAGATTAATATTTTCATTCGCGCATGAGTATGATATTACCATTTTAGTCTGCGCAGTTGTATGGTCGAGATTTGTTGTGGTAGTCATCCATACAAACAGCACACACCAGTAAACTCACTGTCACTTCACACCATGCATATGCTCACTGTTATTTTTAAGTACAACACGGCGAATTTTACACATAGACCGCATTTACAACACACCAAGTAATCTAATGTTGTAATATTTCAACTCCATTAACTCATTCAGGGTCACTTGACCTGAATTTTATTTTTAGTTTTCTGTCCTAGTTTTAAAAATTTATTAGCCTTAGTGGTTAAAAGAATATCGATAATCATTGCTCCTGTACTCGCGTAAAAGTTTATTTATTTCCTACATACATATATTATAGCACACCGTGTCCACTCGCTACTAACTCGGTACTAACCGACTAGCGAGTTAGTCGTGTAGTGTCAATCATACGACAAACACGGCATCTAGTACTTATAGCAGAAAATAGCGAACATGAAATGAGCTGTTAGACCGTACGATTAACAAACAGTTAGCTTCCTTCAAACACTTGGATTAAAGTCAAAGGAATTATCTTTGTCGGGAGATGCGTTTGCGGCAAGGGTTTTTTGACCTTCGTGCCTGTGCGCGTAATGAAAGGATTATACGAATAGAAATCAGTGAATATAAGCCTCATTCAATGCAACTTACCACACACACAGGTTGCGAGTAACGTCAGTAAACATAACCTAAACCAATATTTAAGTTTCGCCATTGATCTTGAGCGCTCCAGTTATAGTTTTGTCGAGAACTTGTCGTGCTCTTCGCACGACGATGACCAGTGAAATATGAGATGTTGTCTTTACCAAAATCCACGCACGTATTGGTAATTATTTAATGAAAAAAGTCCGTGTGCAGATGGATTATCTTTAGGATTATCCTGCCAGGAAATCTGTTCTCACGTAGTCTGGAATATTGCGAGTAAAGTCTACAAGATAAAGCTTTCTTTAAACTTTCTTCTTATATATATATGGCTTAAAAAAATTACGTTGAAGTCAGGCCAAGGCACGTCAAATTCCTAAAGCTCTATTATTGCTATTGTTATGCCACAGTTATATATACTAACCGGTCCAGTCAGCCGCCAGGTCAGATATATTCCGGTGAGAGCATGCAAGTGATACAACTCCGTCAATATTGTGCGCTAATAAATTACAAGATTGAAAGGGGCATGCTTACTTCTCCTTGCCTGATATATAGTAAAGTAATGTTGCATCCCCTAAAAAAATAAGTATATCGATAATCAAAATATTCAAACGAAACTCACAGTATCCGCCAAACACATGGATAAAATACTTGGCATTTCTTGCCTGGTATACATCCACACGAGTTGATGACGTCAATTTTGCACCTTGCAGAAACTTTTTCTTTCTCTTTCAATTTCCCTGTCCAAAGCACACACTTCAGAGACTAGATGCATTTAGAGAAATGGAATACATTAAACAAAAACAACCATGCATGTATTCGGAATACTTACATGCAAAACGAAATAAAACGGCCAGTTTCGCAAACGACATACCTTTTCATAAATGTCATTCCATGCAGTCACTCACTTTTGCAGTCTATAAATTGAGAGTTTTGCCCAGGTTCTTGTACCAGTCTCGATAAACTATAAAGGGCTATAATCCACAAATAGTTGGTTCTGATATTATTTCATGTGGTGCACACTCGAAACACGTTTTTATTTTATTTTTAGCCCATCGGCAAGCATGTGAACACAGCGAAAAATTTTATTCTATTAAATAATATTAGGTTAATAACATCACTCTTCTATTTGTTTTTTCCCTCAATCCGCTATTCAATACTTCGGAAAATGTCTAAGAGCCGATTTCTTACACTCTATTCGATGAAGTAATAACATGCAGCATAAACTTCCAGTCCTTCTTTAAGCTGTTCAGTGTCACCGCAGACGAATTGCATGTGCACATTGATTGTGCATGGGAAAATATCTCTACATCGTTTTATCATTTATAATTGTGCTAAATCAAGCTATCCGCGTTGTCGCGGCTATTTTTATTAATTTATGTTAATTCTCCGGATCAATCGGATGTCGGCGACGATAAAATAAGAACGCACCACCAGCAGCAAGTGCCAACAAAACTAGGACAGTAATAACGATACCAGCAACTGCTCCACGAGAAAGACTGCCAGAGTCGTCTAAAGAAGGGAAGAAGGAATTTCTGTCACATCCTGCCAGAAATTGAACGAATATACATGTTATACATCCAAATCTCAGATGAAGTTTAAAAGGCTGTATGTATTATAGTGCATTACTATCAATATCATAGTGTAAATGTGTACTGCTATCAAGCGTATATACTCCTCACCTCCTGTGCTATCTTGTATATTTTCTTCTAAGAAGATAAGAAAACTATTATTACTATATATTATTTAGGTTTGATGTGGCGCAACTGCACTTCATGCATGGGTACTAATTGCATGGAAACCACGACTGCAATGATAAACACTTTTATTGAGGGGTAAAGAGCAATGGAATGCATATATGTGAACAAATTTATATTTGTATCCGTAGACTTTTAGTTTAATAGCACCAATATCTAAAACTGAAAGACCATTTGTGACACTTCTGGACATCCCCCTTACATTCTTCACAATAACGTATAAAAAGAAGTAAAAATCTGGTATAATTGATACTTAATGCTTACCTCCTAGCTTTTTATACGATCCTTTATCCACTTTAAGTGACCCAACTTCACCACTTTCCACAGCAGCTTTCAGGTTTAACGTGCCGTTGTCATCATCGTCAAATTCTGGATTAAATGTCAATTCAATGACGGTAACAACGCTTCCTTTGCTGTTAATGAAAACCAAAGATTATCGAGGTTACAATGATCTGAATTATATTTGCTCAGAACGATCAATAAGACTTAAAGAGATCGCTGTGCATGGGCATATAACTCAGTCTCCGCCCAAAGGCCATGTAGTAAGTTGGCTACGTTGAGTAAATTAGCTTGTAAGTACACCACGTAACTGACTTAATACTGCGAAGCCGGGCCTTCATGCACTTATTTGATGTCAAGAATATTCTTACAGTTTGACAAATCGATTCACGTCGATTCCGATTGGCATAATCTGCCAATAACCTTACAACCGATCGATGCATAATAGGAAAATTACTGTACATATGTTTAGTACAATAAAATTGTGCTCTGTGGCAACAGAAATAAAATTTGGCGAAAAGAGGTGAGGAATCAACATACGTCAACTTAAGGACTTTGGCACTTCGAAATGATTCGCTTTTGCTGTATACAGTTTCCACCTAAAAGAAAAGTTGAAAATACGTCTTACAAATGCATGTTACTATTATTTCAGAGTTACAGATGGGACAGGGCGTTAGGGAAATTCATATAATCCCGGTTGTCAGAGGCTAAACTAAGCCTGGAATAATTTTAAAGCGATGAAAATAGTCAGGATTATGTTGTTTATCCTTTTCATTACCTAAAAGTCTTGTCACTCTTCGTTAAATCTCGGGTGACAGGGATTATGTAAATTGCCAATAAAAATGCAATGAAACCCAGTTCTCTATTCAACAGCTTTTTTATCTCAAGTTAATTTACAGGCCCTACCTCTTTTATAATCATTTTACTTGTTTCAGCAAATTCCTTAGATTTTGAATCACTCATTCTGTCATTCCAATCAATGCTCGTGATGCGAAAAGAGACTTTTTCTAAAATAAAACAATGCATATACTTACTTAAATATAGTTGAATAACCAATTTAAGTAATTAATAAATTTCGTGCATCTCTTTTTACTTACGCGCAGTTTGTTGAGTCGTTGGAATAATTTCAGCTCCTGAAAAATTGAATAAAGAGTTTATTCCACTGAGACATTGCATGCAGTATATAGTTAATAGTTTCGGTTAGTTTCAGTTTCTGCATATTCAGTATTGTCAGCAATCGGAATTTTTTGTCAGCAAACTCTTTACCTGGTGCTCGACAACCAACAAACTCCACCCTGAAACATGGATTATTCTTCCATGACAATGGAAAAATTCGAACAGCTTTAGCAATTAACGACGAATTAAATTTTGTGTAGTTGTAAGTCTCGTCTTGCATTAGAGTCTAAACAAAATAATTGGATGAAATATTACGATACAACGTAATGTAAACGTAATGTTCCTAAGTCAATGGAAAACAATAGGGAAACGCAAATAGTCCCGCAAATTTTACAACAACCAGGTGATCTAACGTTTATATATATTCGCCAATCAGCGCTCAAAGGGGTTGTCGATAATCATACTTTCTCGCGACCCAGGTGTCGGTCGCCCCCCGCGAACAAATTCGCGCCAGTGAAAGAAAACAAGGTTAAAGTCGATAATCATTATATCCTGTAAATATGAAGCCAGTATTTATATATGTTTACTATATATATATTACTGCAATGCAACAATGGATATATACTTGACAAAAAGTACAAACCAGTTTTGCTGCATTGTAATCTTTGAATGTTTTTCCATCTTTGCCAATTTTCAATTTGTAAGTTGACAGGTTTCCTTCGGTGACAATCATCCTGATGTCAGCCAAGAAAGGAAACTCAACTTGAAGATATTCGTTCTGGAATACCAAAAAAATCGAATCAAACTGGTTAAGTCGTCCGTTGATTATGAAATGCGTTTACGATCATATCGTAATGATCGTATGCTGTCACAGCGGGACTGCGGTAGACCTAGAGTAAACGTAACTTTTTATCTATTTGGGAATTTTGCACAATAGTTTAAAACAGAAATGAGGTATGTACTTATCGAGATACAGTGCAACATTGTCATCGTTCAATCCAGCTGTTTTCATCAAACGAGAACAACTATACAGTCGTATTTACTATCGTTATTTATATCCAATCATCAATATACAGCCATGTAATGCAAAATAATGTGTAAGGAAGAGCACTGCTCCGGAATTATAGATTTGCAGATTTACATGGTTCATAATATTTCGTTTACTTAACCATCTACAAGTAATTTACGTACTTGACTTGCTTTCACGGGACACCACGCCCCACTGTGACGTAATCGAGCACGGGCCGGTTCATTTCCAGGAGAGTAACTGCTGGCTATAATTTGAGAATCGGATATCTTTCCATTTTCCATTCCAAGTGGCCCATTACAATACGTCAAATCTAGAATCAAAATCGCAGGTGTGTATTATAGCTGGACTATTGACACTATGGTAAAATATGTTACCTGTTTTGTAATTTAATCGATCTGGGCCGGTCTGTCAAGCCTGTTTAGCTGTAACGGCGGTAAGTCAAAATTAAATAACACTCTTACGTCTCTCTTGAATGAGTTAACTTGAATATAATGCACTGAGTTGTAAACGTATCTTTGTATTTAGGTTAAAAACCTTATTTTCAATAGTTTTCTTGTTGAATGAAACGAAATAAGACTTTCTTTCCGTTTAAGCTAAACGGACTTGATACAACCGGCCAAGGGCCCTTCCCAAGATGTACATATATTGCATTTGAAACGTATTCGGTAGACGTGCATGTAAACGACTTTACAATATACTGGCGACATGACAACCATGAGAACCAAAGCCAGTAAAATTTGCTATGCAATTACCGATTCCTATACAGTATATAAAGTTTTCGGTTATGGATATGTTGAACCGTAAAAATGCTTACCTCTATTTCTCATACAGACAAAGTTTCTTTTTAACGTACAATTTTTAACCGCCCATGCGCCGTCATTTCTTGCACCTAATATCATAACGCAGTCGCGATTCTCCGCATTTTCAGTCGGATTGCCATTTGCCCAAATTTTATATCCTGTGCTCTCCAATTCTGAGTTTGTGGCCGTCCAAAGAAACACATTTTCATGGCCAAGATCACTAAGACCTATCCAGGCGTCTTCGTTAGAGATTGATTTAATTCGTTTCGAAACAAAATCTTGTTCATTTTGACTGTTTATTTGAACAAGCGATGCAAAATTTCCAATTGCATTACAAGCTGCTTCAGCTTCTGTCCAAGTCATCTTTTGCGAGGGTCGCATGTTAAATTGGTAACATGTATCATTGTACGGGATCCATCCTTCAGGACATATATTTTGCCCTAAGGGGGAACGAATGATTTTAGCTAACTGGCGAATGATTTTAGCTAAATATACCACTGATATTTGCGAGTTTTCCCTTACGCTATTTTCTCTACCACCAAGCCTGACTTTGGTGCAAAGAGAAATTAGAGAATATATTGCATTAAAGCGAAGCTTGGTTGTAAAGACAATAGCATTACAGGGAAAGCCCGCATTTTTGTAGAATTTGAAAAAAATTGGTTAAACTTTCTAGATTCAAATATTTCTGCGGCAGCTTGCAGCCTGGCCCGCTCCGTAGTCCGTAAACTATGGTAACAGCAAATTACTATCTTACGTTTTTCGTGCCGGTTACATGCGGGTATAAATTTTAGTAACCTTAATTGCATTTTAACAAACAGCCCTTTATAAATTGTTGATACCATACCTTCCTCCTTCTCACAAATGTAAGATTTGGGTCCATTGCAGTAAGCATCATTCCAACGACCAGCTACTGGAGCAAATCCATACATTTCCACACATCGTTCCCTCCCTAAACCATTTGGTTCACCCGTCTGCCAATTTTTGAAAACCAAAGAATCGCCAGAACGAAACTCCCAAACCCATTGTCCAGCAGTGGCGAGATCGTTCAAGCCAAGCCAAAACGCGGTCTACAAAAAAATGAACAACGACATAATTTCGATCGTCGTTTATTAAGCTAATGATCTCGCGAGGCTGTCAACTGTTTGTTAAAATAAAATTACTTTCGTGTGTGGATTTTCGGGCTGAGGTAACTGCCTGTTGTGGCTGTTAGCTCAGAAAAGTATTACAAAGCGACCTTTTCAAGGTACAACACGCCACCTTGCCGAGGATGCGAAGGGAATGGAGAAATTAATGACGACATTCATATGATAGCAAGATTACCATGTTGAATAAATTAGCCGAAAAGTGCATAAGTTCTCTCAAGGCTCAAGAAAATAAAGAAAAGGGTTTATGCATCACAGCGTTTAGCTACTCCATCATTCATGCAACCCTGAGATGATTTTGAGGTATTGAAATGAGCAGATAAAATGATTCTGGCAGTCGTATAATCACCACAACAATAGCATGTGCTTGTTTGGTGCCATAAAGACTTATTTCAATACCTCAAAGTCCTCTCACGCTTCGTTGAATCTCAGGTAACCGGGCTTATGTAAACAGCCCTTAAGTCTTTATACAGGGTGTCTCAAAAAAAACCGCAACACTTAAATATGAAAGAACATTATACAGCTCTAAAGCGCAATAGATAAGCACCTCTGGGAATTGAAAATCTTAATCCTTCATTTAAAATGCCAAAAGTCATTTTAGCTGAGCTACGGTGCAAACCCGCGAACAATATTAATATTCTTGCATATCTAAGTCGTTGCGTTTTTTTGAGACACCCTGTAATTAGGTAGTGTAAGAGGTATTAGTATAAAGGTAAAGGTAAAGCAAATGCTATTGTTTGATGAAAACACGACTACCAGAATCATGTTATTTACTCGTCTCAATACAGACCGTAAAAACAATTAATTTGAAAAGAAACTAATACTGAATGCAGAAGGCGTAATATGAATATTAGCCCCCTACTTAAGGATATTCGCGGCCCTGGATATGTAAAGCAGTAATACGTACATCACGTCTCGGAAAAACTTCATAAGCTAGAAATTTCTGCTCATTATCATCATCAATTCTAACCAAGTGCCCTCCTGTATCTCGACAAGCGCTTTTTGCTCCGAACCAATTTCTTGGATTGGAAAAAATTCGATAGCAAGATCTGTTATATGAAATCCATCCATGATCGCATTTTGGCGGCGAATCTGAAAAAAAATCACAACGCAAATAGTGGAAAGACCATTTTAAACGTGCAGACAATTTTTTTTTGACAAATAAAAGATCGATTATCAAAATTTGAAAAAATATAATAACAAAATCTACAAATGCGTAAAAAACCTGATTCTATTCATTTGCAAATTTGCATGCTGGATAGCTGCTGTAATTTGAAAGAAGGTACCTATAACATTGGTCATTAATGAATTTAAAACATAAATCTTTTTCTTTCTGGGTGTTAAAGTACATGCATAGTCATCAGGTTTTTCGTCTTAGTCCGTGCATTGTCAGACTGGCTGACTTGCTACGCCTCTTAGTATCCCTCAATGTCTAAAAGAGGTAAATGTGAGAGAGCTTTGTGATATAATGCAACTGTAATTTAATCGCAATAAAATCTGTATGCTAAGTACAAAGTGTCAAAGTTTTAGATATGTGTACATCAGTACATGTGCCGGTCATACCGTACATTTTGTGGGAGGAAGACTTCCAGCAGTAGGGGTGGTTAGATCAGGAAGACCTACAAATGAACATAATTGAAGTCAAAGTATTTCCGTCCTACTCGTACTTACTCGTGATCACTAAAAAATACAGATAAGGAAATGATGAGACAATGGGAGTCAAAAATCATCAAAGACAAACAGATAGGACTGTCAAAAATGCGTGAACACAGACTGGATTCACGGAATCTAGGGAATATATTTTGATCTTCACAATGTAACTCGACTTGACCGGTGAATATCCTCAACTGAATGAAGCATTTATATCTTTATTATATCGTATAATAGTATGTAATTCGGCAGGCTGGTGGAATATTTTATCATATTGTGACATCTAAAACACAAAATTTTAACTGATTAAAAAACTAAATCAAATTTGAAAAAATTAAAAATCAAACCCTAGTGCCCATGTCCAAGCACGATATCCCCAAGCGTGCTCTCTAAAAGGCTCCAACCAGCTAGGAGGGTCGGGAAAATTTTGCATTTTTGTTTAATATTTTCTAATTGTTGCGTACTTATAATTTCCTTAATATATATTCGTGTAGGTGACAACCTCGTTCACAGGGTTCAACGTGATTGGAAAAAACCGTTGAAAAAAGAAAAATTTGCATACTGGGTAGCTGCTGTAATTTGACAGAAGGTACCTATAACGTTGGTCATTCATGAATTTAAAACATATATCTTTTTCTTTCTGGGTGTTAAAGTACATGCATAGTCATCAGGTTTTTTGTCTCAGTCCGTGCATTGTCAGACTGGCTGACTTGCTACGCCTCTGAGTATCCCTCAATGTCTAAAAGAGGTAAATGTGAGAGAGCTTTGTGATATAATGCAACTGTAATTTAATCGCAATAAAATCTGTATGTTGTGTAGAAAGTGTCAAAGTTTTAGATATGTGTACATCAGTACATGTGCCGATCATACCGTACATTTTGTGGGAGGAAGAGTTCCAGCAGTAGGGGTGGTTAGATCAGGAAGACCTACAAAGGAACATAATTGAAGTCAAAGTATTTCCGTCCAAGAAATACGAGCAATAAAAGACCGCATTACTGATCATCTTTTTCCTTTCATCTAAACTATTGTACGTTGTACAATCCAAATTTGCCGGCGAGAGGAGGGGGAAGGATATATTTGCCAGATATCCTCTCTAATAAACATTTGATTGCTTGTTTATCTCTAAAACCGTTCGACTAGGACCTTCAATCGGCAAACAAATCATGCGGTGAGACAACCACAAGAAATAAGAGGGAAGATTGAAAGTATGTGAAAAATTACCTTTTTTTTTTTTGCATATTGACGCGAACTGTTTAGAACAATCATTGTCATTCCAAAGCTTCCTTTTTGTATGAATTTCTCCACACTTTTCATTACCCCGATAATTATTCGGTTCGCCACGCGCCCACTGAGGATTTGTTAAATTACTTCCATCACTCCAGATCCAGCCAACCTTTGCATCATTCGTCGTTTTCTTACGATATAACCCAATCCAGAACCAGAAGGTGCTTAGTTTACTTGTTTCTTGATTAATAAAATTAACTTCCGATGAATCATGAATAGAAACTAGGTCAGCTCCATAACCTAAACAGTTAGCTTTGGAATCCTGCCAGCTCATTAACCGAATTTTTAAAGTAGGATTTACAAAAAGATAGCATGAATTGCCATGTTCCTTCCAATTTTTAGGGCACCCCTTACTCGTGATCACTAAAAAATTCAGATAAGGAAATGATGAGACAATGGGAGTCAAAAATCATGAAAAGACAAACAGACAGGACTGTCAAAAATGCGTGAACACAGCCTGGATTCACGGAATCTAGGGAATATATTTTGATCTTCACAATGTAACTCGACTTGACGGTGAATATCCTTAACTGAATGAAGCATTTATATCTTTTTATATCGTATTATAGTATGTAATTCGGCAGGCTGGTGGAATATTTTATCGTATTGTGACATCTAAAACACAAAATTTTAATTGATTAAAAAACTAAATCAATTTGAAAAATAAAAATCAAACCCTAGTGCTCATGTCCAAGCACGGTATCCCCAAGCGTGCTCTCAAAAAGGTGCGAGCCAGCTAAGAGGGTCGGGAAAAATTCGCATTTTTTGTTTAATATTTTCTAACAGTTGCGTATTTATAATTTCCATAATGTACATTCGTGTAGGTGACTACCTCGTTCACAGAGTTGTACGTGATTGGAAAAAGCCGTTGAAAAGTCAAAAGAGAAATTTGCATGCTGGGTAGCTCCTGTAATTTGACAGAAGGTACCTATAACGTTGGTCATTACTGAATTAATTTAAAACATAAATCTTTTTCTTTCTGGGTGTTAAAGTACATGCATAGTCATCAGGTTTTTTGTCTCAGTCCGTGCATTGTCAGACTGGCTGACTTGCTACGCCTCTGAGTATCCCTCAATGTCTAAAAGAGGTAAATGTGAGAGAGCTTTGTGATATAATGCAACTGTAATTTAATCGCAATAAAATCTGTATGTTGTGTAGAAAGTGTCAAAGTTTTAGATATGTGTACATCAGTACATGTGCCGATCATACCGTACATTTTGTGGGAGGAAGAGTTCCAGCAGTAGGGGTGGTTAGATCAGGAAGACCTACAAAGGAACATAATTGAAGTCAAAGTATTTCCGTCCAAGAAATACGAGCAATAAAAGACCGCATTACTGATCATCTTTTTCCTTTCATCTAAACTATTGTACGTTGTACAATCCAAATTTGCCGGCGAGAGGAGGGGGAAGGATATATTTGCCAGATATCCTCTCTAATAAACATTTGATTGCTTGTTTATATCTAAAACCGTTCGACTAGGACCTTCAATCGGCAAACAAATCATGCGGTGAGACAACCACAAGAAATAAGAGGGAAGATTGAAAGTATGTGAAAAATTACCTTTTTTTCTTTTGCATATTGACGCGAACTGTTTAGAACAATCATTGTCATTCCAAAGCTTCCTTTTTGTATGAATTTCTCCACACTTTTCATTACCCCGATAATTATTCGGTTCGCCACGCGCCCACTGAGGATTTGTTAAATTACTTCCATCACTCCAGATCCAGCCAACCTTTGCATCATTCGTCGTTTTTACGATATAACCCAATCCAGAACCAGAAGGTGCTTAGTTTACTTGTTTCTTGATTAATAAAATTAACTTCCGATGAATCATGAATAGAAACTAGGTCAGCTCCATAACCTAAACAGTTAGCTTTGGAATCCTGCCAGCTCATTAACCGAATTTTTAAAGTAGGATTTACAAAAAGATAGCATGAATTGCCATGTTCCTTCCAATTTTTAGGGCACCCCTTACTCGTGATCACTAAAAATTCAGATAAGGAAATGATGAGACAATGGGAGTCAAAAATCATCAAAGACAAACAGATAGGACTGTCAAAAATGCGTGAACACAGCCTGGATTCACGGAATCTAAGGAATATATTTTGATCTTCACAATGTAACTCGACTTGACCGGTGAATATCCTTAACTGAATGAAGCATTTATATCTTTTTATATCGTATATAGTATGTAATTCGGCAGGCTGGTGGAATATTTTATCGTATTGTGACATCTAAAACACAAAATTTTAATTGATTAAAAAACTAAATCAAATTTGAAAAATAAAAATGAAACCCTAGTGCTCATGTCCAAGCACGGTATCCCCAAGCGTGCTCTCAAAAAGGTGCGAGCCAGCTAAGAGGGTCGGGAAAAATTCGCATTTTTTGTTTAATATTTTCTAACAGTTGCGTATTTATAATTTCCATAATGTACATTCGTGTAGGTGACTACCTCGTTCACAGAGTTGTACGTGATTGGAAAAAGCCGTTGAAAAGTCAAAAGAGAAATTTGCATGCTGGGTAGCTCCTGTAATTTGACAGAAGGTACCTATAACGTTGGTCATTACTGAATTAATTTAAAACATAAATCTTTTTCTTTCTGGGTGTTAAAGTACATGCATAGTCATCAGGTTTTTTGTCTCAGTCCGTGCATTGTCAGACTGGCTGACTTGCTACGCCTCTGAGTATCCCTCAATGTCTAAAAGAGGTAAATGTGAGAGAGCTTTGTGATATAATGCAACTGTAATTTAATCGCAATAAAATCTGTATGTTGTGTAGAAAGTGTCAAAGTTTTAGATATGTGTACATCAGTACATGTGCCGATCATACCGTACATTTTGTGGGAGGAAGAGTTCCAGCAGTAGGGGTGGTTAGATCAGGAAGACCTACAAAGGAACATAATTGAAGTCAAAGTATTTCCGTCCAAGAAATACGAGCAATAAAAGACCGCATTACTGATCATCTTTTTCCTTTCATCTAAACTATTGTACGTTGTACAATCCAAATTTGCCGGCGAGAGGAGGGGGAAGGATATATTTGCCAGATATCCTCTCTAATAAACATTTGATTGCTTGTTTATATCTAAAACCGTTCGACTAGGACCTTCAATCGGCAAACAAATCATGCGGTGAGACAACCACAAGAAATAAGAGGGAAGATTGAAAGTATGTGAAAAATTACCTTTTTTTCTTTTGCATATTGACGCGAACTGTTTAGAACAATCATTGTCATTCCAAAGCTTCCTTTTTGTATGAATTTCTCCACACTTTTCATTACCCCGATAATTATTCGGTTCGCCACGCGCCCACTGAGGATTTGTTAAATTACTTCCATCACTCCAGATCCAGCCAACCTTTGCATCATTCGTCGTTTTCTTACGATATAACCCAATCCAGAACCAGAAGGTGCTTAGTTTACTTGTTTCTTGATTAATAAAATTAACTTCCGATGAATCATGAATAGAAACTAGGTCAGCTCCATAACCTAAACAGTTAGCTTTGGAATCCTGCCAGCTCATTAACCGAATTTTAAAGTAGGATTTACAAAAAGATAGCATGAATTGCCATGTTCCTTCCAATTTTTAGGGCACCCCTTACTCGTGATCACTAAAAAATTCAGATAAGGAAATGATGAGACAATGGGAGTCAAAAATCATGAAAGACAAACAGACAGGACTGTCAAAAATGCGTGAACACAGCCTGGATTCACGGAATCTAGGGAATATATTTTGATCTTCACAATGTAACTCGACTTGAAAGGTGAATATCCTTAACTGAATGAAGCATTTATATTTTTTTATATCGTATTATAGTATGTAATTCGGCAGGCTGGTGGAATATTTTATCGTATTGTGACATCTAAAACACAAAATTTTAATTGATTAAAAAACTAAATCAAATTTGAAAAAATAAAAATCAAACCCTAGTGCTCATGTCCAAGCACGGTATCCCCAAGCGTGCTCTCAAAAAGGTGCGAGCCAGCTAAGAGGGTCGGGAAAAATTCGCATTTTTTGTTTAATATTTTCTAACAGTTGCGTATTTATAATTTCCATAATGTACATTCGTGTAGGTGACTACCTCGTTCACAGAGTTGTACGTGATTGGAAAAAGCCGTTGAAAAGTCAAAAGAGAAATTTGCATGCTGGGTAGCTCCTGTAATTTGACAGAAGGTACCTATAACGTTGGTCATTACTGAATTAATTTAAAACATAAATCTTTTTCTTTCTGGGTGTTAAAGTACATGCATAGTCATCAGGTTTTTTGTCTCAGTCCGTGCATTGTCAGACTGGCTGACTTGCTACGCCTCTGAGTATCCCTCAATGTCTAAAAGAGGTAAATGTGAGAGAGCTTTGTGATATAATGCAACTGTAATTTAATCGCAATAAAATCTGTATGTTGTGTAGAAAGTGTCAAAGTTTTAGATATGTGTACATCAGTACATGTGCCGATCATACCGTACATTTTGTGGGAGGAAGAGTTCCAGCAGTAGGGGTGGTTAGATCAGGAAGACCTACAAAGGAACATAATTGAAGTCAAAGTATTTCCGTCCAAGAAATACGAGCAATAAAAGACCGCATTACGATCATCTTTTTCCTTTCATCTAAACTATTGTACGTTGTACAATCCAAATTTGCCGGCGAGAGGAGGGGAAGGATATATTTGCCAGATATCCTCTCTAATAAACATTTGATTGCTTGTTTATCTCTAAAACCGTTCGACTAGGACCTTCAATCGGCAAACAAATCATGCGGTGAGACAACCACAAGAAATAAGAGGGAAGATTGAAAGTATGTGAAAAATTACCTTTTTTTCTTTTGCATATTGACGCGAACTGTTTAGAACAATCATTGTCATTCCAAAGCTTCCTTTTTGTATGAATTTCTCCACACTTTTCATTACCCCGATAATTATTCGGTTCGCCACGCGCCCACTGAGGATTTGTTAAATTACTTCCATCACTCCAGATCCAGCCAACCTTTGCATCATTCGTCGTTTTGTTACGATATAACCCAATCCAGAACCAGAAGGTGCTTAGTTTACTTGTTTCTTGATTAATAAAATTAACTTCCGATGAATCATGAATAGAAACTAGGTCAGCTCCATAACCTAAACAGTTAGCTTTGGAATCCTCCCAGTTCAACCGATTTCTTAAAGTAGGATTTACAAAAAGATAGCATGAATTGCCATGTTCCTTCCAATTTTTAGGGCACCCCTTACTCGTGATCACTAAAAAATTCAGATAAGGAAATGATGAGACAATGGGAGTCAAAAATCATCAAAGACAAACAGATAGGACTGTCAAAAATGCGTGAACACAGCCTTGATTCACGGAATCTAGGGAATATATTTCGATCTTCACAATGTAACTCGACTTGACCGGTGAATATCCTTAACTGAATGAAGCATTTATATCTTTTTTATATCGTATTATAGTATGTAATTCGGCAGGCTGGTGGAATATTTTATCGTATTGTGACATCTAAAACACAAAATTTTAATTGATTAAAAAACTAAATCAAATTTGAAAAAATAAAAATCAAACCCTAGTGCTCATGTCCAAGCACGGTATCCCCAAGCGTGCTCTCAAAAGGTGCGAGCCAGCTAAGAGGGTCGGGAAAAATTCGCATTTTTTGTTTAATATTTTCTAACAGTTGCGTATTTATAATTTCCATAATGTACATTCGTGTAGGTGACTACCTCGTTCACAGAGTTGTACGTGATTGGAAAAAGCCGTTGAAAAGTCAAAAGAGAAATTTGCATGCTGGGTAGCTCCTGTAATTTGACAGAAGGTACCTATAACGTTGGTCATTACTGAATTAATTTAAAACATAAATCTTTTTCTTTCTGGGTGTTAAAGTACATGCATAGTCATCAGGTTTTTTGTCTCAGTCCGTGCATTGTCAGACTGGCTGACTTGCTACGCCTCTGAGTATCCCTCAATGTCTAAAAGAGGTAAATGTGAGAGAGCTTTGTGATATAATGCAACTGTAATTTAATCGCAATAAAATCTGTATGTTGTGTAGAAAGTGTCAAAGTTTTAGATATGTGTACATCAGTACATGTGCCGATCATACCGTACATTTTGTGGGAGGAAGAGTTCCAGCAGTAGGGGTGGTTAGATCAGGAAGACCTACAAAGGAACATAATTGAAGTCAAAGTATTTCCGTCCAAGAAATACGAGCAATAAAAGACCGCATTACTGATCATCTTTTTCCTTTCATCTAAACTATTGTACGTTGTACAATCCAAATTTGCCGGCGAGAGGAGGGGGAAGGATATATTTGCCAGATATCCTCTCTAATAAACATTTGATTGCTTGTTTTATCTAAAACCGTTCGACTAGGACCTTCAATCGGCAAACAAATCATGCGGTGAGACAACCACAAGAAATAAGAGGGAAGATTGAAAGTATGTGAAAAATTACCTTTTTTTCTTTTGCATATTGACGCGAACTGTTTAGAACAATCATTGTCATTCCAAAGCTTCCTTTTTGTATGAATTTCTCCACACTTTTCATTACCCCGATAATTATTCGGTTCGCCACGCGCCCACTGAGGATTTGTTAAATTACTTCCATCACTCCAGATCCAGCCAACCTTTGCATCATTCGTCGTTTTGTTACGATATAACCCAATCCAGAACCAGAAGGTGCTTAGTTTACTTGTTTCTTGATTAATAAAATTAACTTCCGATGAATCATGAATAGAAACTAGGTCAGCTCCATAACCTAAACAGTTAGCTTTGGAATCCTGCCAGCTCATTAACCGAATTTTTAAGTAGGATTTACAAAAAGATAGCATGAATTGCCATGTTCCTTCCAATTTTTAGGGCACCCCTTACTCGTGATCACTAAAAATTCAGATAAGGAAATGATGAGACAATGGGAGTCAAAAATCATCAAAGACAAACAGATAGGACTGTCAAAAATGCGTGAACACAGCCTTGATTCACGGAATCTAGGAATATATTTTGATCTTCACAATGTAACTCGACTTGACCGGTGAATATCCTTAACTGAATGAAGCATTTATATCTTTTTTATATCGTATTATAGTATGTAATTCGGCAGGCTGGTGGAATATTTTATCGTATTGTGACATCTAAAACACAAAATTTTAATTGATTAAAAAACTAAATCAAATTTGAAAAAATAAAAATCAAACCCTAGTGCTCATGTCCAAGCACGGTATCCCCAAGCGTGCTCTCAAAAAGGTGAGAGCCAGCTAAGAGGGTCGGGAAAAATTCGCATTTTTGTTTAATATTTTCTAACAGTTGCGTATTTATAATTTCCATAATGTACATTCGTGTAGGTGACTACCTCGTTCACAGAGTTGTACGTGATTGGAAAAAGCCGTTGAAAAGTCAAAAGAGAAATTTGCATGCTGGGTAGCTCCTGTAATTTGACAGAAGGTACCTATAACGTTGGTCATTACTGAATTAATTTAAAACATAAATCTTTTTCTTTCTGGGTGTTAAAGTACATGCATAGTCATCAGGTTTTTTGTCTCAGTCCGTGCATTGTCAGACTGGCTGACTTGCTACGCCTCTGAGTATCCCTCAATGTCTAAAAGAGGTAAATGTGAGAGAGCTTTGTGATATAATGCAACTGTAATTTAATCGCAATAAAATCTGTATGTTGTGTAGAAAGTGTCAAAGTTTTAGATATGTGTACATCAGTACATGTGCCGATCATACCGTACATTTTGTGGGAGGAAGAGTTCCAGCAGTAGGGGTGGTTAGATCAGGAAGACCTACAAAGGAACATAATTGAAGTCAAAGTATTTCCGTCCAAGAAATACGAGCAATAAAAGACCGCATTACTGATCATCTTTTTCCTTTCATCTAAACTATTGTACGTTGTACAATCCAAATTTGCCGGCGAGAGGAGGGGGAAGGATATATTTGCCAGATATCCTCTCTAATAAACATTTGATTGCTTGTTTATATCTAAAACCGTTCGACTAGGACCTTCAATCGGCAAACAAATCATGCGGTGAGACAACCACAAGAAATAAGAGGGAAGATTGAAAGTATGTGAAAAATTACCTTTTTTTCTTTTGCATATTGACGCGAACTGTTTAGAACAATCATTGTCATTCCAAAGCTTCCTTTTTGTATGAATTTCTCCACACTTTTCATTACCCCGATAATTATTCGGTTCGCCACGCGCCCACTGAGGATTTGTTAAATTACTTCCATCACTCCAGATCCAGCCAACCTTTGCATCATTCGTCGTTTTGTTACGATATAACCCAATCCAGAACCAGAAGGTGCTTAGTTTACTTGTTTCTTGATTAATAAAATTAACTTCCGATGAATCATGAATAGAAACTAGGTCAGCTCCATAACCTAAACAGTTAGCTTTGGAATCCTGCCAGCTCATTAACCGAATTTTTAAAGTAGGATTTACAAAAAGATAGCATGAATTGCCATGTTCCTTCCAATTTTTAGGGCACCCCTTACTCGTGATCACTAAAAAATTCAGATAAGGAAATGATGAGACAATGGGAGTCAAAAATCATGAAAGACAAACAGACAGGACTGTCAAAAATGCGTGAACACAGCCTGGATTCACGGAATCTAGGGAATATATTTTGATCTTCACAATGTAACTCGACTTGACCGGTGAATATCCTTAACTGAATGAAGCATTTATATCTTTTTTATATCGTATTATAGTATGTAATTCGGCAGGCTGGTGGAATATTTTATCGTATTGTGACATCTAAAACACAAAATTTTAATTGATTAAAAAACTAAATCAAATTTGAAAAAATAAAAATCAAAACCTAGTGCTCATGTCCAAGCACGGTATCCCCAAGCGTGCTCTCAAAAAGGTGAGAGCCAGCTAAGAGGGTCGGGAAAAATTCGCATTTTTTGTTTAATATTTTCTAACAGTTGCGTATTTATAATTTCCATAATGTACATTCGTGTAGGTGACTACCTCGTTCACAGAGTTGTACGTGATTGGAAAAAGCCGTTGAAAAGTCAAAAGAGAAATTTGAATGCTGGGTAGCTCCTGTAATTTGACAGAAGGTACCTATAACGTTGGTCATTACTGAATTAATTTAAAACATAAATCTTTTTCTTTCTGGGTGTTAAAGTACATGCATAGTCATCAGGTTTTTTGTCTCAGTCCGTGCATTGTCAGACTGGCTGATTTGCTACGCCTCTGAGTATCCCTCAATGTCTAAAAGAGGTAAATGTGAGAGAGCTTTGTTATATAATGCAACTGTAATTTAATCGCAATAAAATCTGTATGTTGTGTAGAAAGTGTCAAAGTTTTAGATATGTGTACATCAGTACATGTGCCGATCATACCGTACATTTTGTGGGAGGAAGAGTTCCAGCAGTAGGGGTGGTTAGATCAGGAAGACCTACAAAGGAACATAATTGAAGTCAAAGTATTTCCGTCCAAGAAATACGAGCAATAAAAGACCGCATTACTGATCATCTTTTTCCTTTCATCTAAACTATTGTACGTTGTACAATCCAAATTTGCCGGCGAGAGGAGGGGGAAGGATATATTTGCCAGATATCCTCTCTAATAAACATTTGATTGCTTGTTTATATCTAAAACCGTTCGACTAGGACCTTCAATCGGCAAACAAATCATGCGGTGAGACAACCACAAGAAATAAGAGGGAAGATTGAAAGTATGTGAAAAATTACCTTTTTTTCTTTTGCATATTGACGCGAACTGTTTAGAACAATCATTGTCATTCCAAAGCTTCCTTTTTGTATGAATTTCTCCACACTTTTCATTACCCCGATAATTATTCGGTTCGCCACGCGCCCACTGAGGATTTGTTAAATTACTTCCATCACTCCAGATCCAGCCAACCTTTGCATCATTCGTCGTTTTGTTACGATATAACCCAATCCAGAACCAGAAGGTGCTTAGTTTACTTGTTTCTTGATTAATAAAATTAACTTCCGATGAATCATGAATAGAAACTAGGTCAGCTCCATAACCTAAACAGTTAGCTTTGGAATCCTGCCAGCTCATTAACCGAATTTTTAAAGTAGGATTTACAAAAAGATAGCATGAATTGCCATGTTCCTTCCAATTTTTAGGGCACCCCTTACTCGTGATCACTAAAAAATTCAGATAAGGAAATGATGAGACAATGGGAGTCAAAAATCATGAAAGACAAACAGACAGGACTGTCAAAAATGCGTGAACACAGCCTGGATTCACGGAATCTAGGAATATATTTTGATCTTCACAATGTAACTCGACTTGACCGGTGAATATCCTTAACTGAATGAAGCATTTATATCTTTTTTATATCGTATTATAGTATGTAATTCGGCAGGCTGGTGGAATATTTTATCGTATTGTGACATCTAAAACACAAAATTTTAATTGATTAAAAAACTAAATCAAATTTGAAAAAATAAAAATCAAACCCTAGTGCTCATGTCCAAGCACGGTATCCCCAAGCGTGCTCTCAAAAAGGTGCGAGCCAGCTAAGAGGGTCGGGAAAAATTCGCATTTTTTGTTTAATATTTTCTAACAGTTGCGTATTTATAATTTCCATAATGTACATTCGTGTAGGTGACTACCTCGTTCACAGAGTTGTACGTGATTGGAAAAAGCCGTTGAAAAGTCAAAAGAGAAATTTGCATGCTGGGTAGCTCCTGTAATTTGACAGAAGGTACCTATAACGTTGGTCATTACTGAATTAATTTAAAACATAAGTCTTTTTCTTTCTGGGTGTTAAAGTACATGCATAGTCATCAGGTTTTTTGTCTCAGTCCGTGCATTGTCAGACTGGCTGACTTGCTACGCCTCTGAGTATCCCTCAATGTCTAAAAGAGGTAAATGTGAGAGAGCTTTGTGATATAATGCAACTGTAATTTAATCGCAATAAAATCTGTATGTTGTGTAGAAAGTGTCAAAGTTTTAGATATGTGTACATCAGTACATGTGCCGATCATACCGTACATTTTGTGGGAGGAAGAGTTCCAGCAGTAGGGGTGGTTAGATCAGGAAGACCTACAAAGGAACATAATTGAAGTCAAAGTATTTCCGTCCAAGAAATACGAGCAATAAAAGACCGCATTACTGATCATCTTTTTCCTTTCATCTAAACTATTGTACGTTGTACAATCCAAATTTGCCGGCGAGAGGAGGGGGAAGGATATATTTGCCAGATATCCTCTCTAATAAACATTTGATTGCTTGTTTATATCTAAAACCGTTCGACTAGGACCTTCAATCGGCAAACAAATCATGCGGTGAGACAACCACAAGAAATAAGAGGGAAGATTGAAAGTATGTGAAAAATTACCTTTTTTTCTTTTGCATATTGACGCGAACTGTTTAGAACAATCATTGTCATTCCAAAGCTTCCTTTTTGTATGAATTTCTCCACACTTTTCATTACCCCGATAATTATTCGGTTCGCCACGCGCCCACTGAGGATTTGTTAAATTACTTCCATCACTCCAGATCCAGCCAACCTTTGCATCATTCGTCGTTTTGTTACGATATAACCCAATCCAGAACCAGAAGGTGCTTAGTTTACTTGTTTCTTGATTAATAAAATTAACTTCCGATGAATCATGAATAGAAACTAGGTCAGCTCCATAACCTAAACAGTTAGCTTTGGAATCCTGCCAGCTCATTAACCGAATTTTTAAAGTAGGATTTACAAAAAGATAGCATGAATTGCCATGTTCCTTCCAATTTTTAGGGCACCCCTTACTCGTGATCACTAAAAAATTCAGATAAGGAAATGATGAGACAATGGGAGTCAAAAATCATGAAAGACAAACAGACAGGACTGTCAAAAATGCGTGAACACAGCCTGGATTCACGGAATCTAGGAATATATTTTGATCTTCACAATGTAACTCGACTTGACCGGTGAATATCCTTAACTGAATGAAGCATTTATATCTTTTTTATATCGTATTATAGTATGTAATTCGGCAGGCTGGTGGAATATTTTATCGTATTGTGACATCTAAAACACAAAATTTTAATTGATTAAAAAACTAAATCAAATTTGAAAAAATAAAAATCAAACCCTAGTGCTCATGTCCAAGCACGGTATCCCCAAGCGTGCTCTCAAAAAGGTGCGAGCCAGCTAAGAGGGTCGGGAAAAATTCGCATTTTTTGTTTAATATTTTCTAACAGTTGCGTATTTATAATTTCCATAATGTACATTCGTGTAGGTGACTACCTCGTTCACAGAGTTGTACGTGATTGGAAAAAGCCGTTGAAAAGTCAAAAGAGAAATTTGCATGCTGGGTAGCTCCTGTAATTTGACAGAAGGTACCTATAACGTTGGTCATTACTGAATTAATTTAAAACATAAATCTTTTTCTTTCTGGGTGTTAAAGTACATGCATAGTCATCAGGTTTTTTGTCTCAGTCCGTGCATTGTCAGACTGGCTGACTTGCTACGCCTCTGAGTATCCCTCAATGTCTAAAAGAGGTAAATGTGAGAGAGCTTTGTTATAATGCAAACTGTAATTTAATCGCAATAAAATCTGTATGTTGTGTAGAAAGTGTCAAAGTTTTAGATATGTGTACATCAGTACATGTGCCGATCATACCGTACATTTTGTGGGAGGAAGAGTTCCAGCAGTAGGGGTGGTTAGATCAGGAAGACCTACAAAGGAACATAATTGAAGTCAAAGTATTTCCGTCCAAGAAATACGAGCAATAAAAGACCGCATTACTGATCATCTTTTTCCTTTCATCTAAACTATTGTACGTTGTACAATCCAAATTTGCCGGCGAGAGGAGGGGGAAGGATATATTTGCCAGATATCCTCTCTAATAAACATTTGATTGCTTGTTTCTATCTAAAACCGTTCGACTAGGACCTTCATCGGCAAACAAATCATGCGGTGAGACAACCACAAGAAATAAGAGGGAAGATTGAAAGTATGTGAAAAATTACCTTTTTTTCTTTTGCATATTGACGCGAACTGTTTAGAACAATCATTGTCATTCCAAAGCTTCCTTTTTGTATGAATTTCTCCACACTTTTCATTACCCCGATAATTATTCGGTTCGCCACGCGCCCACCGAGGATTTGTTAAATTACTTCCATCACTCCAGATCCAGCCAACCTTTGCATCATTCGTCGTTTTGTTACGATATAACCCAATCCAGAACCAGAAGGTGCTTAGTTTACTTGTTTCTTGATTAATAAAATTAACTTCCGATGAATCATGAATAGAAACTAGGTCAGCTCCATAACCTAAACAGTTAGCTTTGGAATCCTCCCAGTTCAACCGAATTTTTAAAGTAGGATTTACAAAAAGATAGCATGAATTGCCATGTTCCTTCCAATTTTTAGGGCACCCCTTACTCGAAATCACTAAAAAATTCAGATAAGGAAATGATGAGACAATGGGAGTCAAAAATCATCAAAGACAAACAGATAGGACTGTCAAAAATGCGTGAACACAGATTGGATTCACGGAATCTAAGGAATATATTTTGATCTTCACAATGTAACTCGACTTGACCGGTGAATATCCTTAACTGAATGAAGCATTTTTATCTTTTTTATATCGTATTATAGTATGTAATTCGGCAGGCTGGTGGAATATTTTATCGTATTGTGACATCTAAAACACAAAATTTTAATTGATTAAAAAACTAAATCAAATTTGAAAAAATAAAAATGAAACCCTAGTGCTCATGTCCAAGCACGGTATCCCCAAGCGTGCTCTCAAAAAGATGCGAGCCAGCTAAGAGGGTCGGGAAAAATTCGCATTTTTTGTTTAATATTTTCTAACAGTTGCGTATTTATAATTTCCATAATGTACATTCGTGTAGGTGACTACCTCGTTCACAGAGTTGTACGTGATTGGAAAAAGCCGTTGAAAAGTCAAAAGAGAAATTTGCATGCTGGGTAGATCCTGTAATTTGACAGAAGGTACCTATAACGTTGGTCATTACTGAATTAATTTAAAACATAAATCTTTTTCTTTCTGGGTGTTAAAGTACATGCATAGTCATCAGGTTTTTTGTCTCAGTCCGTGCATTGTCAGACTGGCTGACTTGCTACGCCTGTGAGTATCCCTCAATGTCTAAAAGAGGTAAATGTGAGAGAGCTTTGTGATATAATGCAACTGTAATTTAATCGCAATAAAATCTGTATGTTGTGTAGAAAGTGTCAAAGTTTTAGATATGTGTACATCAGTACATGTGCCGATCATACCGTACATTTTGTGGGAGGAAGAGTTCCAGCAGTAGGGGTGGTTAGATCAAGAAGACCTACAAAGGAACATAATTGAAGTCAGAGTATTTCCGTCCAAGAAATACGAGCAATAAAAGACCGCATTACTGATCATCTTTTTCCTTTCATCTAAACTATTGTACGTTGTACAATCCAAATTTGCCGGCGAGAGGAGGGGGAAGGATATATTTGCCAGATATCCTCTCTAATAAACATTTGATTGCTTGTTTATATCTAAAACCGTTCGACTAGGACCTTCAATCGGCAAACAAATCATGCGGTGAGACAACCACAAGAAATAAGAGGAAGATTGAAAGTATGTGAAAAATTACCTTTTTTTCTTTTGCATATTGACGCGAACTGTTTAGAACAATCATTGTCATTCCAAAGCTTCCTTTTTGTATGAATTTCTCCACACTTTTCATTACCCCGATAATTATTCGGTTCGCCACGCGCCCACTGAGGATTTGTTAAATTACTTCCATCACTCCAGATCCAGCCAACCTTTGCATCATTCGTCGTTTTGTTACGATATAACCCAATCCAGAACCAGAAGGTGCTTAGTTTACTTGTTTCTTGATTAATAAAATTAACTTCCGATGAATCATGAATAGAAACTAGGTCAGCTCCATAACCTAAACAGTTAGCTTTGGAATCCTGCCAGCTCATTAACCGAATTTTTAAAGTAGGATTTACAAAAAGATAGCATGAATTGCCATGTTCCTTCCAATTTTTAGGGCACCCCTTACTCGTGATCACTAAAAAATTCAGATAAGGAAATGATGAGACAATGGGAGTCAAAAATCATCAAAGACAAACAGATAGGACTGTCAAAAATGCGTGAACACAGCCTGGATTCACGGAATCTAGGGAATATATTTTGATCTTCACAATGTAACTCAACTTGACCGGTGAATATCCTTAACTGAATGAAGCATTTATATCTTTTTTATATCGTATTATGGTATGTAATTCGGCAGGCTGGTGGAATATTTTATCGTATTGTGACATCTAAAACACAAAATTTTAATTGATTAAAAAACTAAATCAAATTTGAAAAAATAAAAATCAAACCCTAGTGCTCATGTCCAAGCACGGTATCCCCAAGCGTGCTCTCAAAAAGGTGCGAGCCAGCTAGGAGGGTCGGGAAAAATTCGCATTTTTTGTTTAATATTTTCTAACAGTTGCGTATTTATAATTTCCCTAATGTACATTCGTTGAGGCGACTACCTCGTTCACAGGGTTGTACGTGATTGGAAAAAGCCGTTGAAAAGTCAAACGAGAAAGTTTTTATAATACATGCGCTGTTTTTTCCGGTTTTTAAGTGCTTGTCTGTCGGAACACGTTACAACACGTTTTCATTTTGAAGACTGTATTTCGGTAGACGTGAAAAAAATCAAACGTTTAAAATTTTCACGCTTTCGGAAAGTTTCGCAATATTCCGCTTGCAGCATTTCATTGTGTCTGAAAATGACTTTAAAATAAGTCGAAACTTTTCTTTTTAACTTTGCTGTATTGTGATGAGTGGCGAAAATTCAGACGGGTCATACATTCAGTCTGTCAGTCAGTCAGTCATAGTGTAAACTTTACGGGGGGTAGTTTGATTTATGCGTATATTACCGTTTTGTATATGATCAGTAATTTAAAGTTTTTAAATCAGTTTAACTTGCTTTATTTATTAATGCTCTAAATCCCTTTCGCTAAGTTCACCAAAATATTGAGGAATTCCGCGGTTTGGGTTTTGTTTCAAAGGGATTTAAACTGAGTTAATATCTAGGTTAACCCTAGTCCCCACTTCTTACTTACCAATTTGGAAGGTTAGGTGCAAGCTGTAGTCCGAGGTGGCCCGGGAACGAGGCAAGGTCGCAGGTGGCCTGGGAACTAGCACTGGTACTTGGATTGAGGAAAGATCCATGCCAATGGTATTTTGAACTGCCAACCACACTCGGATAGCTTGCACCCATCACACCAATGTAATTGGTGGTAACTAATGCTGCTTACCTATCTTGAACAGGGTGGGACGGTGGGTATTTAAACTTTTTGTTAAGCTTGTCACAGTTTGCGTGCCGAGCAACTAATGACCGCAAAGCGAGCGAGCACGCCATCCTCGACAGGAACACCTAACTTCCGGATCACGCGTGGTTTCCTCGCTATTAACTTTGGTTATTGAATAACCTCATAAAATCCGGTTTACGCCCAGTTTACATGAGCAACTAAAAATATAATTTTATAGTGACAATATCCGCGACCAACGTAACTTGAGTACTTTGAGTAATTTCCTTTTGATTAATGTTTAACCTATTTCATTATATTTTTACTAGCATAAGTCAAAATATTCATGTTGGGAAAACGTCTGGTTGCTTAGGTACTACAGGTACAGGGCATGAAAACTTTGCACTATTCTTGGATCCCAAGTTTACTATACGATTAAAAATCAGTGAATATCAACCTCATCCAATGCAACTTACCACACACACAGGTTGCGAGTAGTGTCAGTGGACATAACCTAAACCAAGATTTAAGTTTCGCCATTGATCTTGAGCGCTCCAGTTATAGTTTTGTCGAGAACTTGTCGTGCTCCTTGATCGTACGACGACGATCAAGTGAAATATGAGATGTTGTCTCGAGCAAAATCCACGTATTGGTAATTATTTAATAGCCGAATTAGAGACGCGGGAAACTCGTCTTCGACGGGAAACTCATCGAAAACGGAAAACTCGTCTGATGTGAATCCGGTCACAGAGGGGTTTCTCGTCTGAATTTTCCCGCCTAAACTCTAAACCGCATTCAGGCGGATAAATCAGACAAGTTTCTGAAATATCAACACGGTCAAGGACGCCGGAACAAAGTGATTATCGTAATTATTTAGGGAGGGTCAGGGTTGGTAGATAGCTGCATATTTGAGGCCAAACAACATCACACTAGTTCTTTGTTTCCTTTGTCTTTGCCTTTTCTTATCTTTGCTTTCTTGATAGCACTAATGACAATTTGGCCTCAAATATTCGCATATCTGCCAACTCTGATGAGAGTAAATCAATTATGATTTTTGGCACTTCACTCGATGCAGGAATATTGAAGAGGTTTAAAGGGTCTTAATTTCGAGTGGTATTATACACACTTCAAATTCAAGCCAGGAACAGTTGAAGGAAAAATTAGTCAACTAAAGGTTAGTTGACTAATTTTAATTACGATATATACAGTTTTTAGCATCACCCAGATTCTCATCATACTTTAAATAAATTTATCCATTCCTATTCATATTTAGACGGGGTTTTACCATCAACTTTCCCGTCTTTAGATGAGTTTCCCGTCTTTATACTGTGAATTCGGCTAATGAAAAAATTCCGTTTGCAGATGGATTATCCATAGGATTATCCTGCGAGGAAATCTGTCCTCGCGTGGTCTGGATTATTGGGAGTAAAGTCTACAAGATAAAGCTTTCTTTAAATTTTCTTTTACGGCTTAAAAAAATTACGTTGAAGTCAGACGAAGGCACGTCAAATTCCTAAAGCTCTATGCGGTTTTTGATATGAAAAACCTGGACACCTCGAAGTTGCTTTATGCGAGCAGTGTAGGATTGCAATTGTTTATTGCTATTATATATGTTTATTATTATGTTTATTGCTATTATTATTGCTATTGTTATGCCACAGTTATATTTATATAATAACGTAAAGAATTCAAGCAATTTCATTGGTCGAGAGCCATGATCTATAAGAGGACAGACGCACGGAATGACGTCACAGCAATTTTCTTGTTTTTAAATTGCAAACAAATAATTCAATTAATTTTGGATTTTTTTCAGTTTTATTATATAAAACAAATAGATTACAATGAACCGTTGTCTGTTCAGTTATAGATACACGGTATGATACGTACGTATAGGTACGGTTCATTGTAATCTATTTGTTAAATATTAACCGGTCCAGTCAGCCGCCAGGTCAGATATATTCCGGGGGGAGCATGCAAGTGATACAACTCCGTCAATATTGTGCGCTAATAAATTACAAGATTGAAAGGGGCATGCTTACTTCTCCTTGCCTGATATATAGTAAAATAAAGTTGCATCCCCTAAAAAATAAGTATATTGATAGTCAAAATATTCAAAAGAAACTCACAGTATTCGCCAAACACATGGATAAAATACTTGGCATTTCTTGCCTGGTATACATCCACATGATTTGATGACGTCAACTTTGCACTTTGCAGGAGCTTTTTCTTTCTCTTTCAATTTCCCTGTCCAAATTTGGCACACACTTTGGACACTAGATGCATTTAGGGAAATGGAATACATTAAACTGGCAAAAACAACCATGTATTCGGAATACTTACATTCAAAACGAAATAAAACGGCTAGTTTAGCAAACGACATACTTATTCATAAATGTCATTCCAGTCACTCACTTTTGCAGTCGATAAATTGAGTTTTGCCCAGGTTCTTGTACTGACTAGTCTGGATAAACTGTAAAGGGCTATAATCCACAAATAGTTGATTCCGATATTATTTCATGCGGTGCATACTCGAAGCACGCTTTTATTTCATTTTTAGGCCCATCGGCAAGCATGTGAACATAGCGAAAAATTTATTCTATTAAATAATATTTGGTTAATAACATCATTGTTCTATTTGTTTTTGCCTTCAATCCGCTATTCAATACTTCGGAAAATATCTGGAAAATGAGCCGTTTTCTTAAGCCCTAATTCCACGGGTTAAATTTTCAAGCGAAATTCGAAATATTTCGCCTGCTTCTTTTGAATTGTGAGCAATGAAGCAGAATTAATTTATTCAAGTGGTCGAAATTCAAAAGAAACAGGCGAAATATTTCGCATTTCGCCAAGAAAAACCGCCCGTGGAATTAGGCCCTTACACTCTATTCCATGAAGTAATAACAGCCTAAACTTTCAGTCATTCTTGAAGCTGTTTATCGTCATCGTAGACGAATTGTGCACATTGATTGTGCCTGGGAAAATTCTGTACATCGATCGTTTTATCATTTATAATTTTGCTAAATCAAGCTATCCGCGTTGTCGCGGCTATTTTTATTCATTTATATCGTAAGCCTTTGAAGAAAACGACATGGGATTCTCGAAATGTGTTGGAGCAAAATCGTTCTTCGGATGCCGCCGACGATAAAATAAGAACGCAACACCAGCAGCAAGTGCCAACAAAACTAGGACAGTAATAACGATACCAGCAACTGCTCCACGAGAAAGACTGCCAGAGTCGTCTAAAGAAGGGAAGAAGGAATTTCTGTCACAGTCTGCCAGAAATTGAACGAATACATGTTATACATCCAAATCTCAGACGGAGTTTAAAAGGTTGTATTATAGTGCATTACTATCAATATCGTAGTGCATTTGCAAGTAAATGTGTACTGCTATCAAGCGTATACTTCTCACCTCCTGTGCTAGCTTGTATATTTCCTTCTAAGAAGATAAGAAAACTATTATTACTATTATCTAGATTTGATGTGGAGCAATTGCACTTCATGGGTATTGCATGGAAGCCACTGACGATTGCAATGATGAACACTTTTATTGAGGGGTAAAGAACAATAAAATACATATATATGAACAAATTTATATTTGTATTTGTATCCGTAGACTTTTATTTGGATTGTATAGCACCAATATCTAAAAAAGTCTATTTGCGATACTTCTTGGACATGCCCCTTACATTCTTCACAAGAAGAAGTAAAAATCTAGTATAATCGATACTGAATGCTTACCTCCTAGCTTTTTATACGATTCTTTGTCCACTTTAAGTGATCCAACTTTACCACTTTCCACAGCAGCTTTCAGGTTTAACGTGCCGTTGTCATCATCGTCAAATTCTGGATTAAATGTCAATTCAATGACGGCGACAACGCTTCCTTTCCTGTCGATAAAAACCAAAGGTATTCGAGATTACTGACAATGATCTGAATAATATTGTGCTCAGAACGATCAATAAACTAAAATAGATCGTTGTGCATGGGTATATAACTCAGTTTCCGCCCAAAGGCAATGTAATAAGTTGGCTACATTTGGTAAGTGAATTAGCGAGTAGGTACACCATGTATAACTGACGTAAGTATTTAATACTGCAAAGCTTTCTTTAAATACTTACGCGCTGTACCTACAAGCTAATTTACTTATTTGATGTCAAGAATATTCTTACAGTTTGACAAATCGATTCACGTCGATTCTGATTGGCATAATCTGCCAATAACGTTGCAAACGATCGTAGCATAATAGGAAAATTACTGTACATATGTTTAGTACAATAAAATTTGTACTGTGGCAACAGAAATAAAATGTGGCGAAAAGAGGTGAGGAATCAACATACGTCAACTTAAGGACTTTGGCACTTCGAAATGATTCGCTTTCGCTGTATACAGTTTCCACCTAAAAGAAAAGTTGAAAATACGTCTTACGAATGTTACTATTATTTCGGAGTTAGAGATGGGACAGGGCATTAGGAAAATTCATATAATCCCGGTTGTTATGACGCGATGAAAATAGTCAGGATTATGTTGTTTATCTTTTTCATTACCGAAAAGTCTTGTCACTCTTCGTTAAATCTCGGGTAACAGGGATTATGTAAACTGCCCAATAAAAATGCAATGAAGCCCAGCACCCAGCTCTCTATATTCAACAGGTCTTTTTTTCTTAAGTTAATTTGCCGTCCTACCGCTTTTATAATCTTTTCACTTGTTTCAGCAAATTCTTTAGATTTTGAATCACTCATTTTATCATTCCAATCAATGCTCGTGATGCGAAAAGATATGTCAACTTTTTCTAAAATAGATCAATAACCAATAGTTGAATGAACAATTTAAGTATTTAAAAAAAATTCGTGCATCGCTTTTTACTTACGCTCAGTTGGTCGAGTCGTTGGAATGATTTCAGCTCCTGAAAAATTGAAGAAAAAGAGATTATGAGCTGTCCCGTTCAGTAGTTTATTGGTATACTTCATTCCACTGAGACGCTGCATGCAGTATATAGTTAATAGTTTTGGTTAGTTTCAGTTTCAGTGAGTTTCGTGTATATATAACTCAGTGAGTTTCGTGTACATTATATATTTCGTCCCAAGACGAAATATTGTTAGAAAAAATGAACCAGCGGCAGTTGAACTCATGCATCACACTGACCTGCAAGACAACCATACAATTCCACTCTGATGCAGATCCGTGTTCCTGTGTAGGATTCTGGATAAATTCTTATTCCTTTTGTAGACAAGCCATTCTGGTTACGCTCGTAGTCTGTGAGGGCATTAAACATTGGTTTTGATTTGTCATTCTGGTTTATGGCAATCATTACCTGTGTAGAAAAGAATATAGAACCATACATAAGTGATACATGACCTGAGTGACCTCTAGTACATTTTCCTCGGCTATCATTCTTGAAGCTTTCTCTCGAGCTTATTGTAAACTTCTTCTGCATGGGTAGGAGGTGACTTAGTCGAAAATCACCATGAAGGACAAACTGAGATGTGGTTATCATATACTGAGCTATATCATGCAGCCGCACTATAGTTTAAAAGGACTATACCTTTTCTACACCTTTTGGACCATGAACAAACCAATTTTTGCCTTTTTTGTATTTCATGGTAAATGCTGTTATTTGTCCACCTTCGTTATTATCTCCCGGGCTGGGCAGCGTACCAATCTTGGATAGTCGGTATCTAACACCAAGCCTGATCTGCAAGATCAACAAAAACATCGAAATATCTTTCATAGGCAACTCGCTCTCAAAATTGGCAGAACCACAAGATATGGCTGAAAATGTGTTTTTAAACAGAGGAAATAAAATGATATATTTTAACAAAACAATTAAGGGGGTAACTTGACGTTACCTTCTCGCTGTTATCTTTATAATGAACTATTGTGTACGCCGAACTTATTATACGAACCTCTAAGTATTGCTCTTTAAGTGGTGTTTTATCTGTGCACCAAGCATTTCCACTGTTAAATAAAGCATATTCAGGATTTGAATTTTCATCCGAAGATAAATATCTAGGTTTCGAAACTTTATCCGTAGAAAGCAATGGGTTACTGCAATCTGAAATTGGAAATAATACACGTCGATAAGACTTTGAGGTCTCTTAGATTTTATTAGGCCAACTGCGAACTTGAGAAAACATTTCAGTCCAGACTCGTTCGGCAGTTAAACTCCAAAACTTGTGAAGTGAAGAATAGAAGCCAAAATTAAACAGGCAAAGATGTGTACCGAGTAATTGTAAATTGAGACAATGTATACTTTGTCGGTTTGGTTTTGACCAGGTTTTTGGAACATGGGTTATATTTAGCCGCTCTTTCTTTTCTCTGTATAAACCAGCAACACAGTCTTACCTGCCTCGCATCCAAGTAACGCTATTCTCATACAAATATTCTCATTCCAACTGCTTGGGATAATTCGAACATACGAAGTTTCGATTGGATAGGCTAAAGTGTGTTTTTTAGGACTATTTGCATTGTTATTTCCTTGGAATATCTAAAATGACAGTTAGATTTTGTTTAAATGAAAGGCATTTGATTTAACCGATATATTCATTAGATTTTAGGTATAAAGGAACGTTATAAGCCTGGCCCTTGTCATTTGGCTGGTTCTTGTTGCTACCATGACAAGTTAACGAACAGTAGGGCCAAGGGCGGCGGAACAGGGGGGGCTAGGGGGGCTTTAGCCCCCCCCCAGAAGTAAAAGTGGGGGGGCTTAGCCCCCCCAAAAATTTCATGAAGAATGCCAGAATGAAGAATGAGAGATGCTTTTTCAAATGTAGAAGATATCACTACACGCGCTGTGCCGTTTTCAGTTTGTGTTTGCCCATGAAAAACTACGATAAAAGCGGCAAGTAAGACTCTGAAATGGCCATTTCCGAAGAAGCACTGAAATTCCAAAAAAAATTTGAAAAAATTAGAGCACTGAAATTCAAAAAAAAATTCCCTCGGCGCCAACCATGGTGGCGCCTCGTGAAATCAGCCCCCCCAAAATGTATTATGTTCCACCGCCCCTGAGTAGGGCCGTTTTGCATACCTCGCAAAAAAAGACGGGAAACACTTAGACTATTTGTCACTGTACCAAAGGTTGACGAATGCAGCTTGAACCTTTGCCCATGCAAATATGTTTATCAAAAACATCTAAAATTTTATGTCATAAGACGAACATGAACAGACAAAGAATGCACATAGACCAAAACTTGTTTTTTAGCATCAGCGTAAAGCATGAAGACGAATATAGCTTACTGCTTACCCGTTTAACTCCATTCTCCATATAGTCCGTCCATATCGTTCCATCCTCGCTAAATTGTATGGAGTACTTTGTTACGTAACTTTTCTTTCTATCACCGAACGTTCGAATTACAGATATAACATTTTCCTTGTCAAATGTAAACTGAATCCACTGGTTTTTATCGTTTTTCTGAAAAAAGAGGACCAAGGTAGAGAAATTAAACCAGACGTGATTCCAATCATATTTCGGCAAATTTAACAATAATTAATTTTACAAATTATTATTCATAATTAAATATTTTCACAAGCAAATTTATTCTCAGATCCCTGTGAAAGTATTGTAATATGTCATTACATACACACAGTGGGAGAAAAACAGACAGGGGGTACACCCAGACAGGGAGTACGCCGCAAGCTCATATATGTACCACCGTGTACCACCCTGAGTTTTGCATGGAGAAAATTGAACCTAACATCCAGGCGACGACACAAGAAAGTATACATTATACATAAATTATTTTCGAAGTTTCCGCACAACTTACGGTTTGAACAGACTATAGATTGTGAAGAAAAAACAATCTATCCTAGTTTATAAAGTTGTTATGTCCCATCTGACAGATTATCCCTTTGGCATGAACGCATGTACGCTAATGTATACGAACATACCTCAGCACACCACGAATGCCCAAGTGTCCCTGTTTGTTTTGGTTCGTTAATTGGATATTTCGCTGATGATGCCGATATCACATCATTTTTTATTCTGGTAGGAAATGGTGCGAATAGTTGCCTTCGACATACTAAACACAAAGATAAAAAGAAGCATATGAGCAGAAATATTCAGCATGTAGGCCCATTTAGGCAAAAATCAGCTATCGCCCTCAATTATTTTAATTAAAAAAAAGTTCTAGATTTCTAAGAATTTCTCTTTCAATATATTATAAAGGCAACTCACTCACTCATGCCCGTTATGCCGGCTGGGATGTTGGGCGGAAACAAAGGCAACCGTGAGTAGTAAATGGGGAGCACCAATAGCATGCATACTTTTACACTCTCACCATAAGCACATCCATACAGTCGTATCTTCATACAAATCAGATCCCCAGTCCAAGTGATTGGTGTGATAGAAAGTCCATCAGCTGTGAATGGATATCTGAATTTCTTAGTCGAGGGCAACCCAGAGTATAGTTGTATTGCCTGTAAATATATTTATTCATTGTAAAGGATTATCGGTGCTAAATTTCTATACTGTTAAAACCATGCACATTTCTTGCATACAGTGCAGTCACTGGGCTAAAAAAATACAGTCTGAATCGTTAAAACTTTCACTATAATATATGTAATGAATATAAATAAACATTGTATATAAATGCAATTGAATAATGTCACATTACCATTCTTATGACAAGTTGTACGAAATAATTCAGTTCTGAACAATACATCTGTACTTACACTTTGGAAATTTCTGTTTGGATAGAATATACGCCAATTTTCATCACGTTCATAATCAATACGAAAAGATTTGACAAACTGGTTACTTCGACCCATGACTGTAATTCCAGTTAGACGAGTCAATTGATTAAGATCAATCTAGGATAAATGCGGTTAAATAATATTTGAAAAAGCAGATGATCACATGCACGAGTGGTCCTCAGAACGAAGCTCTACTATAATGTATTTATTAATGATAATTTTGGGTTATGGTTCAACTTTAAGAGTGTAAATCGTGTGAGCGTCAAATTATTATAACTGACTATGGTCTGCTCACTATGCTGTTTGTTGATCGATTCAGTCTTTCACAGTACAAACCCACTCTTCACTGGATTGCTCACCAGCATTATAATCACTTAGAGTAAAAATCATAAAACAAAATTGTGTCAAATAGTCACCATGATTTTTGCTGTCCCAGATGTGTTATTCGTGCACCAAGAAGTATATTGGTCTTTCTCATCTTTTAAAATCGCTTGTTCTGCACCCATGCTGGTAGCATCGTAAGTATCAGTGACTGTTACCATTGATGTGTCCAGAGATATAGCCGAGGAACATTCTATAAAAAGAAAAAGATCAGAATAAATGGAACATGATTAGAGCACTCGTTGCTTTTAACCATAAAGAGCTCATGCAATGTAAAAGAGGGAATATCTAGGCTGAAAGTTACTTGCAATTGAAAAGAATTTGTATATAACTGAAGTTTGCATCAAGGCTGTTTTTATCTCCTTCACTTGCCCAGGCGTAAAATTTGGCCATGCATGCAGGCGTGTCAGGCTTGAAAAACAAAAAATGCTTTTACCTGTGCGGGCGCCGCAAACAGAATAGAAAATTGCATGAGGGGGAAAAGAGCGCTTAACACAATGCATATAAGGTAGGTAAATCTTAATTTTATCACCTATATTTTTCTTGCACATGTATTCAAGATTGTTCGTGCAGTACAGATCATTCCATCGTCCAGATTTGGATTTCATTTCCACACAATTTTCACGCCCGTTGTAATCATTTGGTTCACCATCTTCCCAATTTATATAATCTACTGGACTGTTGTCTACCCATCGATACCCTCGCTCCACATCTCGATCATTCAAACCTTAATAATGAATAAATTCGGAGTTCGCCTAAAACATACTATTTTCACAAAAAATTTTTGGAAATGAACATAACGCCTACTCAAAAAGGCAGGGAGTGTTAAGTGACATTATAGGTAACTAAACAAACCTGTCCAGAGGGAAAATTGAGATCGGTCTTGGTAATAATACATCAGGAAATCTTGTTCTCTGTCGTCGTGAATACTGACTAAATCTGCACCATATTTTGAACAATCATACTGAGCTGCACCCCAAGACCGTCTCGTCGTGAAATGCTTGTAGCAGTGCTTATTGTAAAACCTCCATCCATCCTGGCAGCTTCCGTTCACTACGATAAGACAATTTATTAATTTCATTAACATGCTTAGTACTATATGTAATTCCGAATGCAATTAATTAGACTTTCTTTTTCCAAAATATTAACAGCTATTTTAGTGGGCCTATTCTACCAAATCATAAACAGCAATTATATTAGTCATCTAATTCAAATACTCACGTGGAATGGTAACTTTCGGCTCCCCTAAAAAATGTAAGATTTTAGACGGTTAAAGAGAGGAAAGTGAAATCCAGAGTGTCTAAAAAAGCCCTTAGAACTCATTGCTGTAGGCTAGCGTGCAATCGCCTCTTCTTGCAGAGTGCAGACACTCGATACTGCTCAATTGTATATAAAAGAATCGACGGACAAAATCCATTTAAATACCTTTATAAATTTCACAAATGAATGGATTAGCAATGCCACAGTCCATGTCATCCCAGGCACCGAAGTTTGATCCAGTTACATTCGCCTGAACACAAGAGCGTTGATCTTGTTGACGGCTTGGTTGACCAGGTCCCCAATATGTGTGTGCTGTTAAACTGTTGTCGACAAACTTGAACTGGGAGTATGGTTGGCGATGAAAACCAATCCATATATTTCCAATATATCTTTCCAAGGTATAGATTAGATAAGCTGTAAAATGACATACAAATAGCAGAAGTAGAGATTTTTACTGCGGTAAAGCAGATATTTATTTTGATTTAGCGTTTGATTAATGAATGATGTTATGCAATTCTATACCTAGGTACGGGGAGAAAAAGCAACACTAATTAATAGACATTTCTCATAATGACGTTAAACATAGAAAGTCAGATATTACACGAAATTTGATTGGCTCCAAAAAACTAACGAGCCAATGAAACATCGTAACTGCAACTAGCCAATAACGCATGCGGGCGTATTTCGCCTGGTATAATTTTACCTTGTTTGAATTGATCATCAACCACCATTAAATCCCCTTTGTCATTCTGGCAGATATCTCTGGCGTCATCGAAATTTTTCGGAGTCTTAACAAATTTGAAGCAAGATTCTTCATAACTTTCATAACCATTGGCACAGTTTGATGCTATAAATAAAAGTAACTAATCACTAAATCTGGTATATAGAATGGTGCTTCAGTGTAGAAATTATTCTGCTAAGCCTATAATTAGGCAGTCGAGATAATCGTGTCTAATTTCACACAAAATCCACGTACAAGAAACAATTTATGTATAAGATTTATAAATTTCCATAATATAATTGCATAATATAACGGGTAGTAGTTCCGACCGAGTTCTTCATAATGGTGCGAGAGTTTAAACGGATTCCCAAAACATATGCCTTTATTTAGAACTACATGAAATATAGTGCTTCAATTGTGCGTGATCGATTCTCCCTGATGTTTACCTTTAACTGTTGGTGTTGGTGTCAATGGTGTGTCTGAAGCAGCTGAAAAAAATCAGGAGCATTTAAAAGTTTAATATTTACCTTTAGGTTCGAATGGCAAACTGTATACGAATAAACTTGTTTCCTTTTTTGCAACATAATTGCATCAGTGTAAAATGTGTTAATTTTACTCACAACAGGTTTATACTTAAAAAAGAATTTACATACATAATACATATATATCGGTAAAAACAAACCTTTTTTGCAAATGTACCCGTTTGTTTGGCTGCAATAAACAGAAATCCACCGACCAGCAGCTGAAGGATAAGGAACAAACTCGGCACATCTATTCCACCCCCAACTTGGCGGTTCCCCAGTATTCCACTTGACGTAATTGAAAGCCGTGTTATCAACCCACAAATACCTGTTTAGATGTTTGTTGTTCAGACCTATCCATAACGGTTGCGTCGAAGTTTTCACGTTAATTGTGATAAAAGATTGTTCGAACCTATACGAGAGACAAACATGCAAGGTTCTTATATTTCATATCTCTTACTTAGCTACGTACTATCACTATATGCATGAACGAGATTTTTTGTGATATAGAGCTTTTGTTGTAAAAATCAGAACCTATATAGAGAATAATTCGAAGTCCACTCACTCGTCGTGAATGCTGGCTAATTCACCAAAAGAACTTGAATTGTGACCTTGTTCACAGGCGTCTCTTGCGTCATCCCAGGTTCTGTATTCACTGGGGTCAGTATGGAACTGATAACAATATTTAGCATGAGCAATCCATCCTTCGGGACAGTAGCCATCTGAGGATTAGATTAGAAATAAATTACTTTGCTTGTACCAATGACACAACGTATATTTTCTGTATTTAGGCAGTTGTTATATACCACGTTTGATGCGAAGTAAGCGTTATTGTATAATCAAGGGTATAGGAACAAATTTGAATTTATCGAGGGCCTATTTTTACAGTGTAAATTACGCCAGACAGTAAATAGAGAAAACAGAAGTTATTGATGATGTTGCTGATTAAATCTACAAGCATCGACTTTGCATATCAGGTAATGAACGAATCTATCATATAATGTATCATTTATATTGCGCAGGTGTTATAAAGTAAGAGGAGAAAAAAAAAATTTAGCCAATGATAAGTTACGTACCATGTTGAGGTTTAGGTAGCGCTGTTGGTTTAACAGGCGGTTTATAGGATTCTAAATCAAACAAAAGAGACAAGAAAGTGAAATAACTATGGACAACAATTTCTTTCATTCCGTATCCGTAAAAGTTCCTTCGTTCAATTTATTTTGTTGGATATATGATGGCACATATATGAAACAGGAGTTACAGCCCATACACATATCCAAAGTTTATATTTTACAAAAAGCAAACATACCATTATATGTCTTGCATACAAAAGATAGCTTTAACTGACAATGGTGATCATTCCATTTTCCATCCGGAATCAAATGAACACAGTCTTCCTGTCGATTAAAGTCGTTCGGTTCTTTCGAGTTCCAGTTTGCGTAGTTATACAAAGAACCATCTGTCCATTTGTACTCCGCTTCAGTTCCAAGGTCATTCAAACCAATCCAAAAATCTCGACTTTTGCTGCCTCTGAAATTAAAAAAACTGCATTTTCAACAAGACAGTATTCGGTAAACAAGAATGCATAGACTATATGCACGCGACAGCACCGTGCAATCGTAACAATTTCATTCTATGGAGGAAAACGAGTACATACTTTATTAGAAACGAAAGAAAATCCTGCTCCTCTTGACTGTTTACGCTAGCCAGATGGCAGTTATTACCACCAAGACGACGGCAATTTTTCTCAGCATCCTGCCATGTTAAATATTCGTTGGATGAATCGTTCCCTTTAATGTAACACATTCCTTGGAAAAGTGTCCAGCCCTTTTTACACAGGGAAGAACCTAAGATTTTGCGCAGATTAAACAAAAAGTAATCAGTTATCAATCCTGCAGCCAATTCTATGAAACGTCTCTTACGACTCTACACTTTAGGTATAGCTAAATCGTAGATATAGTTAACTCCATGCAAAAATTACAACCGAGTCTAACAAGAGACAATAAATAGGTACTGTTTTTCATCTAATCTAAGTTCAAACTTTTTCTATTACCTGGTGTTGGATATGTGACAGGAGTCGCGGTGACTGGCGTAAGACCTAAAAATGAAATCGTACAGTTTTTATAAGTTGCGTGCACATGATGGGGGTTTTCGGTTACTTGTGAGATGTTAGCTTGGCTACATAGTTTTTGTCCTCGGATGTGGACCACTTGTGATGTAACATTTCATCGTCAACATAGAGGTGTTGCCACCTGACATGCACTTACCTTTAGCTTTCTTACAAATCACATTTTTATGCTCATTACAATCTCTGTCACTCCAAACTCCAGTATCTGGGTTCATTTCAACGCAAGCCTCGAGACCATTGTAGCTGTCAGGTTGACCCACAGACCAATTAGTATAGCGAACAGGTTGACCATCTGACCATACATGACCTTTATGAATAAACCATGCAGGATTTAAAGAATGATTACAATAAATGGATATAAAGTAGTATAAGAAATATGGGAATGTTTGTGCATGGCAAATTCATGCGAGTTAAGATCTAATATATCGAGTAGAAAAAAAAATGGATTACCTCGAAATACACCCTTTGCCTCCAACCCAAGCCACATTGCATTTTTCGATAATTTCCTGACAAATTCATTTTCTTCTTTACTTTGAATACTTACGAGATTCGCCCCATCGGTACGGCAAGCGTCTTGTGCGTTCAACCAATTTGGTCTAAAAAAAATAGACGTATGTCTTTATAAGCCATGTTCATGCAGGATCGCAACGCGTTGTCTTTGCTATGGTTCTTGCCTTAGGCTGCTCACGTGAGGCAGGCCAGCGCCCAGCTCAACTAAAAGCTATAAAATAGACATTTTTCTATCCATCTAAATTTGCATTTCCGAGTATTTTTACCGCAACAACTATTTGACTCATTTGGATATGGACTCGTTCTCATCTTAATCTGAATTGGAGTAATCGATGCAAGCGCAAAAGATTTCGTAAGTGAAAAGCTTAGTTTTGTCGTATTTAATTTATTAGCGATATCCAATGCTGGTGGTAATTCATGCATAGATTGGTAAAATTATTTTTCACCATTTCTATTACTATACCTAGAAATTCCGGGTTTATAATGATAACAGTAGGCCAGACTTCTATCTGTCACCCATCCAGCATCGCAATTTCCATCAAAAACTAAAACAATATAATGATATATATTAAGATACAGCAACAACACTGAATATTGCCTTTCACTATGGCATGTCTCAGGCTAGTAGAAAAAAAACAATTTACCTGTGGGAACAGCTGAGGGCTTTTGTGTAGGAACTGTAGGAAAATATGAAACACGTTATTTAAGTAAAACTGCTGCATATGTTAAAAGGCATCCTGAAGGCCTAGTTTATACAAGTTTGTTCCCTTCGAATATAATTCAAACAGTAAATAATAAGATGATAAGCATCACTAGGATCCCTGATTATCATGTCATTTTAATAGCGGTACCAAAATTTCCCAAGAAAGATATATTTGTTTGTTTGCCTGTTTCTCGTTCTATATGATATAAATATACTCGGACAACATTAATTGAATCATCATTTCCGATGCGCAATGCAGATTTGATCATTTGATCAACTTACCAATGAAATAACCACACATGAAAGGATATTTCCTGGTGCAATTCGAATCTTTCCAATACATCCAACCCCGTTTACCTCGTATCAGGCTCATGTACACACAACTCTTATCTGTCCCTCTTTCGTCTGGCTGTCCAACATACCAGTTCGTCCAGGACACTGAGGAGCCATCAGACCATTCATAAACCCCTTTTGTTTTTTCATTTAATCCAATCCATACTCGAGAGTACCATGCTCGTTCCATAAGACTCGTGGCAAAAGGCTGTTCTGAACTGGATGTGAAAAAGAACAAGAAACATAGATTTCCCAGACAACTAGTTAGCCGGGTGTTTGAAAAAGTAGGAACCGGAAAGGCATGTAAATTACTAGTTCGCTGTAAGTAGGGAACATCTTGTTTACCTTTTGTGCGACTCTCCTCAGTTGTTTTTGGCATTCATGCTAATTACTATAGTCCTATGCCAAGCACTTACCTTTGAGAAATGCTAAGTAGCTCAGCTCCTGCTTTCTTACACGTCGCTCTGGCATCACTCCAGGTTTTAGGTGTGTCAAATAAACGATAACAGCGACCATAATTAGCTTTAAACTCTGTCCATCCAGATTTACATGTCTTTTTAACTGCATCTGGGGAGATAGTAGTTTTCGTTCATATATCTCGATTCCCCCATTTCTACTATTATAGGCGGTGTTCACATGAGCCCGGTTTTCTGAGATTCAATCAAACGCATGATGGTTTTGAGGCATTAAAAAGAAGTCGTCATGAAACTAAACAAGCACATTGTTCGAAATGACTATACTTTAGGGGCTGTTTACATAATCCCGGTTAGCCGAGATTCAACGATGCGTGCATGAGAGGACTTTGAGGTATTGAAATGAGCATATAACACGATCTCGTATAATCACCCCGACAATAGCATGTGTTTGTTTTGTTTCAGAAAGACTTATTTCTAAACGGCATCTTAGATCTAAACGGCATCTTAGATTTTAATTTAATGATTTACCATTAACACAGGTGAAATTCACTTCCAAATATTTATGAACACTTGGGCAAATAGTATTAAGATATGACTCGGTTTCAGAAGCATGGAGTTTGCAGTTTTCATAATGATCACATTTTTTCTTCAAATTATTCGTCACATCCTCGCCACAGGACTTTACACTGATAAAAGTACATTTCGATTTTTCTCTTCTTCCCCAAAATGCAGAGTTAACTTTGATAACCAAGTCAGAAGGACAACCAATTGTGATTCGGGTGTAGTGACAAGCAAGAGCGGTTTTTGTGATACTTGTGACTACATAAAACATTGTAATCTTGAATATTACATATCACTTGAGTATGCATACATACAGGGTGTCCCAAAAAAAACGCAACCACTTAAATATGCAAGAATATTAATATTGTTCGGGTTTGCACCATAGTTCAGCTAAAATGACTTTTAGCATTGTAAATGAAGGATTAAGAGCCATTTTCAATTCCCAGAGGTGCTTATCTATTGCGCTTTAGAGCTGTATTAATGTTCTGCATATTTAAGTGGTTGCTTTTTTTTTGGGACACCCTGTATACTTAATTAGGCCTACGTGGTCTACGGGGGCCTGTTTCGTGCCATTTCTTCCGGTTCTAAAGTTTCCCAACTAACTTAATTTGTGTCTTATACCTGGCGTTGCTGTTGCTGTAGAATTAGTTGGCTTTAGATTCACATCTAGATAAAAGGAAACAAAACCGACAAAATTGGATCGCGTAATTATAATTCGCCCTGCATGAAAATATGATTTGGCCACTCATGCAGCTAAATTCTTTTCAAAAATGCACCACATTCATCGTAATATTAACTAACAACATGAACAGGTGACGCGACTAAGAATGTATAGTAAATACTATTTATACTAATGGACATTTACCTTTTTCTTTTTCACATATATATTTTTTTCTGTAATAACATGATGCATCACTCCATGATCCCCCTTCTTGTAAATATGTACAATCCTCATAACCACGTGCGTTATTCGGTTCTCCCGGATGCCAGTTCGAAAATGACAACCGTTTTCCATTGCTTCCAACGAAAATGCTTTCTTTTGTTTGATCGTGGACACCTGAATGTTGAAATGTTTTTAGCTTTTCATTCACCATTCATTATTTTAGAAAAGATAAAAAAGTAAATGGTGTCATGAAGTACTTGCCAAACCAAGAGTCAGCCACATCTTTTTTAGTTAGGATAAATGCTTGTTCAACATTTGTATCAATATTCATCAGATCTCCCCCTGCATTTTTGCACTCTCTTGACGCATAATAAACCGATTTCATATCTTTGTTAATCTGGTAGCATGACTTTCCAAATCCAAACCAACCAAATGGACATGCCCCAAATTCTGGAAAATAAATAGTCTATATATGACAACAGTTAATATATAATCTAAGTGTAAGATAACATGAGGAAATTTAACTTTGGCATGCTTGTCATTTGTAAAATGCAATGAGTGGGGATTAGTTATTATTCTTTTATTGTTCCTGCATGTTAAGATGACTTTCGAACAAGAAATAAAGAGGTAATAACGGGCGAACATTATATCCTTACCAGTTTTGTAAATTGATGAAATATCATCATTTGGCAAGATTACGTCCCAGAAAGCAACTGAAGCTATTTTGATTGTACCAGATTTAAAACCAGAGCCTTGCTGAAATCCAATTGTAAAATTTTGTACTGGAGTGTCAATACCCTTGCCAGTGTATGTTGTGCTGGAAAGAAAAGTATATATAACCAACGTATATTCAGTAAAATGAATGTAGGCCTATCTATCTTTTGTAAAAGCATTAAACGAGGAAACATTTAAGACTGGAAGATTGTTACTCAAATTGTTAAAATACATTTAAAATAACTAATATAAAATTGGATGTTTCGGATTCAGGTAATCAATTTTGTTTGCGGTTTTTACAATTTGGTTAAAGTAGGTTTATATTCAAAAACCTACCTAGGAATATCTTTACCATTTACAGAAACACGAAGACCAAGAGAATTGTTCCATTTCATTACATAATGTCGCCATTCGTTATCGACTAATGGTACAGACACTTTTTTACTTTCAGCTGTTCTCGATAACACAAACCAGAGATTTTTATTTAGAATATAGACACTGATTCCTTTATTGGATGTATTCTCATCTCCTGACGAACCCAAAATGTTCACTTGTTTCGTCCAACTCATAACAGATGTATCGAACCAAGCCATAAACGACAGGCTTAAACCAAAGCCGCAGTATTTGGGATCGCCAAAACATTCTTTATCAAACCTTCCCAGGTCTATGTATGACCCTTCACCAGTAAATTGTAACGCTGTGTTCGCTTTTTCTCTCACTCCTGTTGTCGGAATTACTTTACCGTTCACCTTTCCAATTGTAGTACCGAGTATCATGTTGTTTTCAACTGCTGACAGAGGCCAATAATATTTAGCACTGCTTACCCACACTGAAATACGGACATAATAATATATTGAACCAACCTGCAAATTTTACTGATTAGCAATCACTTTTTAAGAATTATTTCGAAATTCAGGATTATATACATTTTGTACATGCAATCATCTTATTCGGTCCTTCCTGCTCTGCATCTATTGTACATACCTCCAGTTGGACTGTAATCGACAAAGTTTGCTGGAGTATATTGCACTATAAAAGAGAAGTAATATGATGCCTGACATTATAGAGACATGCACCTATATGGTGATTCATAATCGCAAACCTCACTGTCTTTGGTGTCAGGTGTAGGTACCCTTGGTATAGATTTATTGATATATTGATAATGATAAACTAAATGTTCTCTTTATGAATTTTTGCAATAACCATTCACCAATTTTGTTTAGATGTAACTAGATAATGTCGTTACCTCCTTTCATGCAGATATACGGTCGACGATTAGAGCAGTCTTCATCTTTCCAATACAACCCAGTTCGTTTCATTCTAACACACGCTTTTCTATCTATATTTAAAATAGATTGTACTACACGTTGTATCGTGACATCTATAAATGTTTGGTGCGTTGTTTTTCTAAAAGTTGAACAGGAGATAAACATACTGATTTTCCCACTGTTATCAGGAGCTCCGGTTCCCCAATTGATTAGTCCATTTGCGTCACCGTTGCTCCAATCATAAATATCTCGATAATCACGATCATTAAGAGAAATCCAGTAATAATCATGGAACGAATTCTTGATTTGGTCGGCTACTGCTTCCTTTTCCTTTTCATTTGTAATTGTCAGTAAGTCACCTCCGCGCTCTAAGCACGTGGAACGGGCCTCTAAAATATTACAAACATGCATGTTAGTTGTATATATTTATACAGCGGCATTGCAAAAAGTCCAAATGCTGTATATACAGAAAAAATGAAGTCGACTTTGTCAGTTATATTCTATATCAGGTTACGGAAAAGGACACTGGAAAACAAGAAACTAATATCACGGAAAAATTTACCTTCCCACGTTTTGTAATCGCTATTAATTTGAAAGCAAAGTTTTCCTGGCCCTTTCTGCCAGTTATTTCCTTCGCACTCTGTCGACGTAGGAGCTGAATACCATGGCATTATAGAAATATATAAAATATTATTATATGATATACTGAGATATTGGCCAATAGTGTTTTCAATCCGGTAGGCTATATATTACAATAAAAGAGGGTGTCACCTTGTGCACGACAACCAACGAATTCCAACCTCAAACAAGGATAACTGTTCCAGGAGGATGGGAAAATTCGAATAACTTTTGCTATGAATGCCTTTGTTGGGGCAAAATAATAGTAGTCTCCGTCTTTGGTTGGACGCTACGAAAATAAACAAGGTAGAGATTAGGATGGCAAAACCAGAAACAAGATGATTTAAATGAAAAATACAGACCACTTCTTTTGTATGTCCATAAGGTTTAAAATCTTTGAATGTTTTCCCATCTTTACTTTCTCTTAATAAGTACGTTGAAACGTTTCCTTCAGTGACGATTTTCTTTATATCAGCTAAGAATGGCAACTCAATTTGAAGATATTCATTCTGAAACACGAAAAATATCATGCATAAAACATCATTTAATGGCTTTTATGCAGAATTTATATTGTTAAATATGAATCTCTTTTGCAAACATTACATGAATGCTATCTTTCTTTTATCACTGTCATTGTTGTTCGGTAATCCTGTCTGGATTAATTGCCCATGCACCATACCTTATTTGCTTTCGCGGGACACCACGCGCCACTGTGTCGGAATCGAGCACGGGCTGGTTCATTTCCAGGAGAAAAACTGCTAGCGGTAATTTGAGAATCTGATATCTTCCCATTTTCCATTCCAAGTGGCCCATTACAAAACGGCAAGTCTAAAATTGAGCTTTATTGCATTAATTATAAGCGCTTTAATCAACGATTTAAGTAAGGGGAGTAGCCCTAAATGTTAGGAATTTCATAAAGGGTGTAAGTGTCGATCCCTATTTCTTTTTTCATATCACAACCGTAATGATAACGGCGATGTCCAAAAAGACGCCTACACTTACCTCTATGTCTCATACAGATAAAGTTGCGCTTTAGTGCGCAATCTTGAACTGACCATGCGCCATCTTTCCTAATACCTAACATCACCACGCAGTCGCGATTCTCCGCATTTTCAATCGGCTTGCCATTCGCCCAACTTGCAAATCTGATGCTGTCCAATTCTGCGTTTGTTGCTGTCCAGCGGAACACATTTTCATTCTTCAGATCATTGAGACCTATCCAAACGTCTTCGCTGGAGACCAATTGAAGTCGTTTCGAAATAAAATCTTGTTCATTTTGACTGTTTATTTGAACAAGCGATGCAAAATTTCCAATTGCATTACAAGCTGCTTCAGCTTCTGTCCAAGTCATCTTTTGCGAGGGTCGCATATTAAATTGGTAACATGTATCATTGTACGGGATCCAACCTTCAGGACACATATTTTGCCCTAGAAAAAAGGCGGCGACATTGTCTCATACGGTTTTCGACACATTTTTACAAATGTTAACAACCAGCGTCACTCAGGATATTGGATATTGATTATTCTGACTCGCATACCTTCTTCCTTCTCACAAATGTACGATTTCCAACCATAGCAGCTGGCATCATTCCAATAACCAGCTTGAGCATGACCATACATTTCTACACATCGTTCTTTTCCTAAACTATTTGGTTCACCAGACTGCCAATTTTTGTACTTCAAAGAATCATTGGAACGAAACTCCCAAACCCATTGTCCAGCAGAGTTAAAGTGCAAGCCAATCCAATAATTCTGCAAAAAATTAAAACGTTATTTGTATGCAGTAAACCTAATTTCAGTTGTGATTTATTTTCTAAAATAAAAAGATTTTGTTATAGCTTCGCTAACTACAGTGCATCTGGCTAACTCCTAAAAGATTTCAAAATACTAATAGACATGTTCTATGGCCACTAATTTTTCATTCACACTTATTCATATACTGTATCCTCCACAGTAATGACAGTACATATAACATACTGAGTAGATTTTGTATGTCTTGATGTATAAATATATGAGTAACGTCTGTAACGATTGTTGTTATTCGGTGTTTAAGAGCAATAGTATTCAGCACAAAGTCTATCAGTTGAAAACATATGATTTCCGAGAGCGAGACTCCCAGGACCAATGAAGTATTTATCATAAAGAGCGGGAGTATATTATTTACTATTTGGGCAAAAAATACATACATGACGCGTTGGGCGGACTAATTCTGCCAAGAAGTGTTGCTCATTATCATTATCAATTCTGACAAGATGCCCTCCGGTATCTCGACAAACGCTTTTTGCTCTATCCCAATTTTTCCAATTTGAAAACATTCGATAGCAGGATCTGTTAAATGCCACCCAACCAACATCGCATCTTGGGGGCGGATCTGGAAATATATAGAGTCACTTTTTTAATTTTGCATTTTATTTCGATTTGTCAGTGTGTTTCATTTCCCATAATGCGTAATCGGAAGAAAAACCGAACTTTTTAAAGTTATTCAATAGTTTTCTCTTTGATAGCGATACAGCAATGCACAATGTGAACCAGTGATCGGATTTTGGGGTAGAAACTTCATAAACACCAATTTCTGCGGTGTTATTGAGTATTGCTTTGAAATGTAGGAATGAAATATTAGTTGTGGCGTACCTTTAGTCGGAGGAAGTGGGCCAGCAGTAGGGACGGTAGGATCAGGGAGGCCTAAGATAAAATAAAACGGTAAACTCGAGGGTAGCTGTAGAAAAAATGTGAATATATCAAGTTCTCTCACGTTAGATTAACAAACAAGATTTTGAACAAACATTGAACAGCCCAAAATGCTCAAAAATTTCCGCCTTCGCGTAAAAAGGAATTACCTTTTCTCCTTTTGCAGATGGAAGAAAATAGTTTAGCACAATCATTGTCATTCCAGCCTTTGCTTTTTGCGTTGAGGTCAGCACAGTTTTCATTTTTCAGATAATTATTTGGTTCACCGTACAGCCAGCGAGCGTCCGTAAAATTACTACCATCACTCCAGATCCAGCCCTCTTTTGGGTCACTTGTCGTTTTGTTACGATACAAGCCAATCCAGAAATTATAGTTGCCTAACAAACTAGTTTCTTGGTAGATAAAATTGACTTCGGATGAATTAAGAATGGAAGCCAAGTCAGCTCCATAACCTAAACAGTTAGCTCTGGAATCCTCCCAGCTCATCTGTCGAAGTTGTAAAGTAGGTATGACAAACAGATAGCATGAATTACCATATCCTTTCCAACCTTTTGGGCACGCCTGGCTTGCAATTACTAAAGAAAGTAATGTAAAAATGAAAAAGTGACTCGAAGTTACGGGAACAAATGTGTTTTCCCAAATTACAATACAAATCTTTGAAGATAAGCAATAAATAATTTCCTTTATACTGGTGATAAATTGGCCGATTTTTTCTAAAATTCTTGGTCCCTGAAAGACTTGGTCCTTTAACCGGCATCCCACGCACATATGCGCAATATACGTATATGTCCATTATTCCGACCAGTCATTTAGTTAGACGTTATCGTTTGGCAAGTGTTAAGCAAGAAATTTCGACCGTAAATTTTTTTAGGCTACTTCGACGTTTTTATGATAAAAGAGAGACTTTGACACCTGAACAGCTTTGATGTTAAAACAAGTAGAGACAAAGACGGTTTTCGGAAAGACAGGAAGATTTCAAGAGGAGTATGACTGAACCATGCAGGTGGTCATGCATATAAGTTTCAGTATAATAGAAAACACGAAGAACAGCAATATGGAGAGAATTAATTTCCAGGAATATAACAAGGCGGGTTGTGGAAGCATCCTCAAACAACTTTTCATTAAATGTGTAGATATAACACATGCCTAATTAGCCTAAAATAGACAAAAGTTTGACGTTTCGACCTAAAAAAAAGAAAAATAAACTTTCCAAGCTTTCGAACCATATCGGGAAAAAGCCCATCTATGGTTGGAAACGTCGAAAAGTCTTTTCTTATTTGGCTAAATATAATTATTTCTTCGTTTTGTTATTTTTCAGTATAATAAATGAAGACATTGCGTAACCAAAAAACGATAATGTTATTTATGGACAAATACAAACTTGTGATATTTGTCATACATGCATGGCTATGGACTGGAATGCTCAGAATTTAAGTTTATCAAAGGTACTATCATATGATCAAAGTTATCATTCATTCGTGCAGATCGGTAGAAATTTAATAGAAAAATAGCCATAAACATTCAGCTACGAATGATTTCTTATTCAGAATCACAGCAGCCTCGGCAAACTTATAAAGCTTATTTCTATCATAATCATGCTATTGAATTCCGATTAAATTTTATGGCCATGGCCATTGGTGAATGTTCTGCCGCCAGGTTAGGAAACCAAAAGGGTAATTATTTTTAATAAATTTCTTTCCCACTGATTTTTTATAGAAAAGTTTAAAACATTTCACAAATATTCGTATAAAAACTCGTTGTCATACATGCACAGCTTCGATCGAAGAGAATAATAGAAAATGTCAAAATCACGTGAAAATCATGTTATTGTGACTGGGACGAAAGTTCACTCGGGCAGGGGGATGCTTCCAAATTGTACATGCACTAGTGACCTTATTTCCCCCACATGCACTATGACTGGATAGTTCCGGTGAACCAAAGTTTAAAGACATAATTACTTGTATGTATTGTTAATTGCATACATCTGAAAAACAAATGTTTGGAGAGTCGCCTCGGTAAGGCTTGAAATCGTAAAAAGACGTGAAAATATAGACGAATGTATTAAACTCCCTTCCAAAGAACACCCCATGACACGGTCAAAAGCCAACGCATAGGGCTGCATATAGAAACACGAAGAGTTAACAGCAAACAAGCTGTATGTTAGCCTGAATCTCGATCAGACTTTCTATAATAAGTTAAACTTCTAGAACCGTAAACAGCATGAAGAAAATGAAATAAAATCAGGCACGCAGAAATGAATATGGTAAATTTGGGCAATTAAAGTACCTTATTCAAATTCGGCGGCACAAAAACAAACAATGTCACACAGCGCTAGGTCACAAGACTGCGTGCATGTATGTTGTAATCACGACTATTAACTTCCATGCAACAAATTAATTCTAGGACGATACAAAATGACAAATTTTATTCCGGCACTATTAATTTCCATGGCAATTTAGCCACATGTAAACCATGAGATTTAATTTAAACAGTTTTTAACTATAATGAATTTAGAGTTAAAGATAAACTTTTTCGCCGAGTAACTGATTGGAAAGCATCCGAATAAAAGGTGACCGTACTCAATTTCAAGGCAATAAATATAATAATTTGTACAAGTACAAACTTATATTCAACCGAAAATCGGTGATCGCTATACTTCCTATAGTCGCTAAGTTTCTTCACATATCTCATAAATCTAAAGTATATATATAGCTTGGGGTTCGAAGCGAGCGATTTCGAAACTTGCTCCCGTTTAAATTATTGAACAGTTGAGAAAAGATGGAAACTATTTCAAGCAACTTCAATGCAATACTAGTGACACAAACTTTCGAAAGTGGATTAAGAGGAGTTTTTTGAGAGATCAGGTCTTAGCAGACATTTACTTGGATTAGAACGATTTCGTGCCCTGTCTGTGCACGTTCGTGATGTTTGTAAAGAATTGAAATTTGGGACTAGATAACTCAACACAACTCACCACCAAGACAGGACGCGAGTAGATACAAGCCCAGCCATGACCTCGGGTTCGCCATTCAACTCCAGTTACCTATTTGGTCGTGAACTTTCCAAGCTCGCTGCTCTCACCAACCTAAGGGTGAAATGAAATGTGACACGCTGAACAATCACATGTATATAAGATTGATGAAGGAGTATTTTCTTCCGGTTTGATGGTACGAGCCTTGAGTAAATCTTCAATTAGAAGTGAATTAATTAAATGTCCATGTGTCAGCAATGAGCTTAATGGCTGTTTTCCATTGCGTTCGCTTAGCCCGCGCAGGCGTCGAGGCTCTCGAAAATCTGCTGCAGCAGTCTGCATAAAGGGAATTTCGCGCGCTTGCATCTATTTCTGACGAAAAGCAGTTTTGTATAGTTTGGTAATAGCAGTTGTATTTGTTGTTCATCTCAGTGATATCCACGCAAAGACAACGACACGCCATTGATTTTTTTGCATGTGTTTATTCTTATTGTTTATTGCATGCATTAGCCTTTAGGAATATATGAAAAAAGAATTATGAATGGTGTTTTAGGGCTGTAAAGTTACATAATAATTACATAATAATTACAAAGCAAAAAATGAAATTGTACAAGAGTATAATTGATTAAAAAACAACTTATTCTTTCGGCCGTTTTACTTTGATTTATCAAAGATTTATTGATTTATCATGCAAGGCATGCTGTCGGAGGGAACGATTCATTTATGACATAATTCCTTCCTGAAAACACTATAAACTTGTGCATTTTGCCACCTGAATGTATGTGTTACCTAATTTTACGATTAAAAAGATTATTGTGAAAAGAATAAAACAAAAAATTGGTTAAACTATCTTATAGACAATTTCAATCCATATCATATTCGTCTGTGTTGGCAGAACGATAAAGAATGGGATTATTAAATTGCTTTGGCCCATAAAGGTCTCTCTTTCGTTTTCTTCTCCAGTAAATTCCAATGCCAACAACAATCAACAGCACTAATAAAACAGTGACAACCACACCAGCTATTGTGCCATTCGATAAACCACTATCACCTGAAAAGATCGATATACAAATGACGTCTACATGGGCCTCTTAGCAAAGATGTAACAAAATTACAATTTATGAAGGTCAAAAATTTTTTTAAAAAATGGATTTTGTTTTCAGATGCATTGCTATTAGCTACTACGTTGGTGGGGAAGTTATACAGCAATAATTCCACGCACACAGGCATGCAGGCGTGCACGGATATAAAAAAACGCATCAGTTTACACGTTTACCTGATTTAGAACGATGCGACACAACAGATTTGTCTAAAATTGGAGAGCAACACCCAATTACAATGTAGTCACCGAATGCAGAAAAGAAATTTCATTGTTATCCATTAAAATATATTAATACTAGTTTTATCATTATTTCATGCACCCATCATAATATATCAAATCATATCGACAAATGAATGATAATTTTTTTACAGTTGATGATCTATATAGAATACTACTAAATCTAACTCTGTAACAAACCAACTATCCCTATATAACACACCTTTGAATACGAAGTAATCCTTATCCACTGTTAAATCGCCAATTTTTCCCTTCCTCACAGCTTCCATTAGCGGTTTAGAAATGTTCTCATTTTTGGCAAATTTCGGATTAAATACAAGTTGTAAATCAGCTATAACACTGCCTTTCCTACAAAATGCAGTAAAGAAATTGCAACTGTTGAACCACACTGGGTGTCCTAAAAATATGTATACAACCCAGTCCTCTGTGCCGAGCAAGGGTGTAGTTGCATATTACAGACAGAACTCAGCTTGCTTCTCAACCGTCGGATCATGCCAAAAGTCCAGGGGCCAGTTGTTCAAAGCTAGGTTAGCGCTAACCCTAAATTTTAATCAACTGTTTTGGTTTGGGTTCAAGTGCCTCTGAACCGCTGTTCTTTTTTAAACTTTTACAAAACTATGGCTTTTGTCGGTCCAGAAAATATTTATGGAAAAAGATATTCAACTTTGTAAACAAGCGATTAAAAAAATCGATAAAAAAATTTGCTTGAACCCAGGGTTAAGCTAACCGGCTTTTGAACAACTGGCCCCAGAAGGACAAGATTCTTACCTCAGTTTTTTGACCCTAGCTTCTCGTAATGCTTCACCTTCCTTAGAGTCGACGTCGTCGTTGTATAATTTCTCCACCTAAAAAGCATGAAAAATTGTACTTTTGATTAGAAAGACATTTTGTTTGCTTTTAAGAAGGTGATTTAGCTATATTGGATGCTTGATTCCAATAAGAAAACGCGTGATGCGCTATACTAATTAATATACTTTTAAGATTCGTATACTGTTATTTCACATACCGAGTTCTGGATGATTATGGCGGTGGCCTTAAATTCGCTCGAAAATTCATTGTTAAATTTATCGCTCCACTCAATGCTGGTAATACGAATACTTGCTTCAGTTATCTCTATAAATTATACAAACATGATTACTGATTACAATTTATTAATAGTTTTCGATTGTCAAATTTCCGATTTAAATTTTCTGATGTCTTCAAAAAGCAAATGGTATATCTAATGTTGAAGACTGCGGTGTGCATGAAAGTCAAGAGCTCATTAAATAAATTTTAAAAAAACGAGTAGTAACGTATAATCCAGGTTACTGTTCTGTTATGATTATATTAAAATTTATGTAGTTTATAGGTATATATAATCATGCACTACAGTTGATTGGACAGGTTGCACATTGTCGGCTTATTCAAGCCATGCAAGAGCTCCTGACACAAGTGCATGACAGCTGTAAAGTATAAAGCCTGGACAGCGTGGTTCTAATTAACCACCGACAGTCGAGGCGAGGTATTGTTGGTGGCTGATGGACGAAAAAAATATATTCAAAATGACAAAGCACTTTACTCTCCAGTAATCACAGACAATTATAATAGCCATCACCGATTGTCGGTGACCTATGAGAACCGGGTTTTAAAATCAACAGAATAGCATTCTCATATACTTACCGGCTGTGGGTGGTGTTGTTGGTATAATTTCGAACCCTGAAAGGAGACCAACCAGAGTTAAGGTAATGCTACTGAGATGGTTTCGACTTTCAAGTGTATGCTTTGTAATTTTTTGGGCAGATAGATCGATCGATGCACAGATAGATAGTTACATTACCTGCTAAACAACCATAGAACTGAACTCTCATGCAGATCCCGTCTTCCGTGAACATCTTCGGGTATATTCTTACCCTATTAGTAATTATACCATTTTTGTTTTCTTCACTACGAAGAGAGTGGGTACTCTTTATAGTAGAATTTTTCCTGTTATCAGAGACAATAGGCTGAAATTGAGAAAGTAAATTGATTGATACAAAGAACAGCCTATATTATGTGATGATCTGAAAGATAAAAATTACATTTTAATTTGGTTGATATCATATTTTATGTGAGCCGAAAGAAAATAATTTATAGTTGACACATTCGTATGAAAAACCTTCGAATGAAAAACCTTCATTAAAACTTAGGAAGCAAGTCCTAAACCATTTGTTCACACGAACTACAAATTTTGCATCATTCAACTGTATAGCTAACAGAAACTTTTCGATGACCAATCATGCACGATGTCGGATTTCGCATTGTTCATTAATTATCTTAATCCAGTCCACCCTTCTCCTATAATATCGATATTTATAACAAGTGTATTCTTAAGGCCTTGTTACACGGTGCAATTTTTCTTGCAACTCGCAATGCAATTCTACTTTTGAGAGATGTAAATTTGGCAACTACCGAACTTTTGTGATTATTACACTCCATGGAAGACTAGCTCTTCTCAAATTTACATCTCTTTAAAGTAGAATTGCATTGCAAGTTGCAATTGAAAAATTGCACCGTGTAACAGGGCCTTTAGAGCCACAATAATACTAACTTCAAGACAACAAAAATTATATGAACGTGTTTTAAAAACAAAGAAACAGCACGTACTTTACTTAACTGGTACCATTTTCCGCGTTGATAATACTCAAGAGTGTAGACAAAAACCCGCCGTGGTTTGCCATAATTCATAGGACTCCCTGTGGTAACAATAAGACCCAATCGAACTGTTTTCATAAAGTCGACCTAAATAAGAAGGATATTTGAACACAATAAATAATATATACACAGTCCCGAATCACACCTCCTAAATAAAAAATCGACCATTATTCTGAATTTTCTATTTAACAATGTAAACACAAAATTCGTTTCAAAAACTTTCGTTTTAACAAGATTGTATTTTCTACATTTAAACAATACAGGTTTAACTACAATCATCGCTAGTAGTTTATCATCAATAGTTCACCAGCTTCATACCTGCAAATACACTCCTTTCTTTTTGTCAGGACACCAAGCCTTTCCAGAATCCATGCGTGCCAATTCTCCTTCGAATTCTGGATCACTTGAAATAAGTTTAGTCTCTGATATTGTGTTACTTTCCCCTTTAATCAGTGGTCCATTGCATGCTAAATACGATCGAAAATAAATCCGCATTAGGAAGCCATGCAAGTCACGAGTGCAAGCTGTTAAAACGACAATTCAATCCAAACCAACTCTAAAACGGCAATCCTTTGAATTGGCAGTGTATGTATATAGACTATATATAGAGCAATGTTTTTTTATTTTTTGGGGGTAATCATTGAATATTTTACCGCGTGTTTAAATATATTTCAATATAAAAAATTCCTTCCTTTTTCTTGTCGGGGGCATCATTCATCATTTTAAATTATATCTTAAGAGTCAGAGCTACTACGATATAATCTTATATAAAGACAACTTGCATGGAAGTAATAGGGACAATGTGTTTGTTTTCCAACGTGATAACTGGCTATAACTATGCATCGATGTTTCTTACCTGCGACACAACCAAACAACTCGAATCTCATACAAATATTGTTGTTCCAAGTTAGAGGTATGATGCGTATAAACTGTGCTTGTACAACATTACTCAGAGAATGAGTCACTGGATGAAGAGCGTGCTGGTTACCCATGAATACCTGCAACGAAATGGATTTATTCACCTTACAGATGCGAAAATCAGGGTCAACCTTAAAAGCAGTTATCGGATTCTATATAGCCTGCATGCGTGCAGACGTATGGAGAAATATTTCTTTATACGTCTGCACGCAGCTATATAGCTATATTGTTTAAAGTGCTTACCCTTACAGCGCCATACTGTTTGTAGTCGACCCACTTAAATCCATCCCCACTAAATTGTATCTTATAACGTTTTACATAGTTATCTTTAGTATCACCAAAGGTTCTTATTTTCGTAACTGTATTAATCTGACCAAAGTTAACTTGAATCCATTGTTTTTCGTCATTCGCCTAGACAGCAATATTATTCCGTTGAATTAAGATATGCCTGATCGTCTGCATATACATGCATGTGAAAGCATTCATTTACCTCAGCACACCAGCCTTTCAGACGGCGTCGAGCATTTTCCGGGGGGTTGTCAGGATATTTGAAACTTGAGGCCGTGATCTGATTATTGCGAATCTTCATATTACTCATCCCTAATGCAGACTGACAAACTGGAAAAGTTTAGAAAAAACAACATAATAATCAGAATAATCACAATCCAGTTTTCGGAACTATATACTCTACGGATCTATATATCGAACAATCGAGCGGTGACTAGTGACTACGTAAACACGTCAGAATCCAAAATGAAGGCAATCAAGCGATGCAGAGACACATAAATATCAATGTGTTTAGTAGATAAATCGTTTCGTTAAATTGGTTGGCGCAGACGTGCAACACGTACAAAGTACGCAAATTGTACATTTATATTGACGCTGAACGCCTGAACCACATTCTCTTCAGTTTCAATGATACAGATACAAACATACCAAATTCGCATCCTTGAAGAGACAGTCGCATACACGGACTTTCAACACCGGAAACTGTAGGTAAAATTGCAATGCTGGATGCCACAATCGGCGGATAAAAGGCCTTAGTAAATAACCCATAGCCATTGACATTACTGAAAATTTTCTGAAAACAGAATATATATATATTCATATGTAATATATTCTCAGGATATATTAACTGCTCGGGCGCTATTAATTGTTTTGCTCGCGCGCTATTAATGAGTTTTAGCGTATAGCGGTCTATGTCATAAACTTTCCATATTTTCCATCAACCTCATTTGCTCAGCCTATACACTGGACCTCGATCTTAACGTACAAAACCTGGCCCAACGGGTTTGGTCCAAACAAAAAGATCTCGCGCTCAAATAATGAGAAGTTATTAATGCCTGCACGGCCCACAGAAGGAGGGGTTGTGGCGGGAAGGAAGGTAACTCGCCCGAAGGCGCAATAGGAAGAACAAATGCAGCGGCTATAGACAAAAGGCCCCCACATTAATTTTGTCTGACTGACTTGAAGGTTGGAAATATTTTGCCGCCGGTTGAGTATACATCAACTGAATATTGATCTAGACAGTTATATTGTAATTAATGACCAATGATTGCCAGTTATATTGTAATGATTTTTTATGATCAATAAAGGCTATCGATATTATTTAGATGTCCATTAACTAGGCTATAGGTTGTTCCTAAAGTGTTAAAACCTTCATATAAATCACTTACCTCAGGTATTCCTTTTCGCAAATACGTTTTCCATGTCTCACCATCAGTAGTATACTCGACATAGAACGAATTGGAAAAGAATTTTTTAAACACTCCACTCTCTGTTCGTCCTCTGGTCGTTATTGAAGTTATCTTATACACGCCAAATAGATCAATCTGCAATTATATTATATAACCCACATTCAGATTTAAACAAGTTGAAGTATATGCCCGTTACATAGTTCATCAACGTAGACAAGCAACAGGTAAATATTTAATACAAAAAAGTGCATGTAGGTCAAGTGAATCCTTACCACGCAGCTAGCGTAACATAATTTAGATTTCAATTTATCTTGACAACGCATTATTTATTGACTTGATTTTGCTTATGCATGTAATTCAAGATATTTCTTTGTGATATTCCTAATTAAGTATGCAGCGAAACTGTTTTGTTATATCGACGGCGTTTGAGCATTACTCGTGAATTATTATTTTTTTGAAAAGGAAGATATTAACAACGTCGAATGTAATAGAGCTTTCTTAAAATGACCTCAAATGCAGAAAGCATTATGTTAGACAATATTTCATTGCCTCCGCAAAACTAACGAGCCAATCAAACTTCGTGTGATATCAGGCTTTCTGCGCTTGGAAACTTGCTTACATAACCTAATTGAATCATTTTCAGTCCTATACATAAACATACCCGAATCCTTGGTGAAGTATCTTTTTTATCAGGACACCAAGCAGAATTTCTGGGATTATTAGCACCTAGAATAGCTTGATCTTCGCTAAGATTGGCTGCAATGCGGCTTGACACGGTTATCATCTCTTTGTTCAAAGGTATCTTTGAAGAACATTCTATATTAAAAAGACAAAACTAGTCAATTTACAAAAGATAAAAGGCTCAAATTATATCATAGCCTAAGGACATGCATGTACCGTGAGATGAACTTAAAACAAACTTTAGTAAAATGACCGACTTAAGTTTAGATAATTAGTATAATATATAATAACGTATTATATATAAGAAACACACATTATATAGCCTCGCCCACCCTATACTTAGGCAGGGCACAGCTAAAATGCTAACCCAATACCCATACCAAATTTCATTCGTCCTCGGACTATACCATGCATGAGCAACGCTGAAAATGGTACGGGGACCCACTGAACTCAGCCGTGCCAAAAATTTTAGTGTAGTGTAAACGGGGCTATAGGCTGCACAACGCCTGGGCAAACTGAAACACATTCATGCATCATTTTAATATTTATTATATATCCCATGCGCCCACTATGCAACGGTCTTTTTTACTCTTATTCCAATTTTGGATCCTAATAAAAGAGATCTTACCAAGTGGTTTTTTACAGACAAAAGAATACGATGATGCACAGAGCCAATCTAACCAACGACCACTACGACTATCCATTAGAACACAATTCTGAGTTTGCCTAGCATCATTTGGTTGACCATCCTTCCAATTAGTATATTTAACTGGCGTATAGTCGCTCCATTCATAACCTCCTTCAAAGCTACGATCATGTAGACCTAGTAAAACAAAATGCAATTAATATGATCGAGGAGACCCAGCAAAATATATGAAGGTACTCCATCCCTAAATAAATTTGAATTGCTAAGGTTCTCCACCCACGAAGTTTCTATCGTCGGATTGACACATAAGCCTGTAAAATAGCCCATAAAGAGTAAAAGGTGATAATATTACGGCTTTAAAATGAGAGTGAAAATGTCCTTGACCGAAAATAATAAATTGTTTTGTCTACTTTCTTTTGATGTTTTGCACACTTTCAAAAGAAACAAAATCCATATTTGATACAGAATATCCCATCCCCATGGATGTTTTTCTGTCATAAACACGGCACATGCCGTAATGTTAGAGAAATCCAAAGTCCAAACCGATGATAACGAAATTTTGCCAAGACGCTTACCTAACCATAACCATGATCTTGGTTTGTTTGAGAAATAGGTCATAGCAAAATCTTGTTCTTCATCATCTCCGATACTCAGCAAATCCCCACCGTTTCGAAGACAGAAATAACGCGATGCAGGCCATGAAGTATAACGCTGGAAATGTTTGTAGCAGTTTTTTCTATATTTCGTCCATCCAACCTCGCAAGTGCCATTTTCTGAAATGGAAATTATGGGAATACCATATCAGCTGTCAACAAATGTCAGCTTTAAATCAGATAGGTGACATTACAGGAGACATTGCTAATGTATAATGATATTAAAAATCATGCGCGAGTCTGCATTTGATGTATTGTCGTACGTGCAACTTTATTCATATAGAATTAGTGACAATATATTATATAACAACATATATTTTCATACACAGCAGCAAAATGCTTCAGTGATTCCAATGTTTCAAGCAATAGATTTCTTACCTTCCAATGTTACTTTTGGCTCACCTGAAAGAAGAAAACTATGATATATAATCGTAACAGAGAAATACGTCTGATTAAGCTGGACTTTATCCATTGAAAGGATCTTGCATGCGTGAACGCTGACATAAACCTCGTGGAAAATCCCTGGGTACGAGGTTACGCTGACTTAAGTTCCACACATGCAGACAGGTCGCGAGAAATTAATTTTAACCTATCATAATGTTCTTGTAGATTACATATATAACAATAACACATTTTGACTTTCCATAGAATTTAACGTCCGGTCTGTGTCGACCGTTATGCGCATGTCACGTACTGATTCTGAAACGTACTTACAGGACATTCAAAAAGACCAGACCAGTCCTTTATATCGACGGGAATAAAAAAGCAGCATTTATTTATTAAAAAAAAGAAACTTACCATGATAGATTTCGCATATAAAAACATTCTTTTTACTACAATCAACATCATCCCAGCGGCCAACATGAGATCCAGACACATTCGCTTGAACACATGTTTCTTCATCAAGCTGCCGGTTCGGTTGTCCTGCGCCCCAGAAAGAATAAATCGGGGAACTGTGATCTGTGAATTTCAGCGCTGACCAAGGCTTCTTACTCAAGCCAATCCAAACGCTGCCTAGTTTCCTCTCCATTAAATACACAAGCAGAGCTGAAAGAAAAGCGCACGTTGATATATATTATAATATAGCTACTCATTCTACATGAGCTATTCCGCAATCTGATTGGTCGAGCTACCCACCGTATATCAGCTCATATACGGTGAGTGGTAAAACCAAAGAAAAAGCAAAATGGCTGACCGGTTTGCTGAGGTAAATAAAGATGAAATTGACAGAATTCTGGAATATTTTTGTCGCTTAATAAATGGTATTTGGCTATATTATAAAAAAGCATTATATATACCACTCACTCTCGTCGTATATAGCTGATAGCTGACTCAGCTAGTGCTACGCACCTCGTCGGCTATCAGCTCATATACGACTCGAGCTCGTGGTATAATTGTTAATTATTCGACTCCAAAGCTAGGCCAGATGTTCGAAGCCCGTTTAGGTGGTTTGGGTTAGGGTTAGGGATGTTTAGACATTATATATTAATTAACGTGAATGATGGCAGAACTTATTAATTAACGTGAATGATGGCAGAATTATTTAATTCGTGCACTAAATACATAGTTTAAACATAGTTATTCTTTCTTCTATATAAAGTGCAATTATTTTAACATGGTTATTTAATTGAATGTATAAACTTGATTGGTATTTCTAACTACATCCACTGCCTAGTCTATACGCCCTTTGAAAATTAGCGTCAGAAAGGTTTCAGAAATTAGAAAGTATATATTAATATATAAAGAATATCAAGGAAACAGACAAGTATAGCTTATCAAAAATGTAATGCACTTATACGCACCTTGTTCAAACTCAGAATCAACACTGATAAGCTCGGCATCCTTATTTTTCGCTTTGCAAGCCTTCTTCGCTTCGTCGAAGGTTTTTGGTGTATTTACTAACATATAGCATGATTCGTCATATTTCATGTATTCTTTTCCACACGTAAATTTGGGTACTTCTGAACGCGAAAGAGAAAAAAATGCATTGTTGGGGAGGTATATATAATATGCATCAGTCCAAGTATTTATATTGCACTGATGACGGCCCGGGCTAACGGACCGAAAGCTTTTCGTTATTAAATACTTAAGTGGTGTACTCACAAGCTAATCTACTTATTGCATGATGTCACATGCAAACATGCAAGAAAATATATATGCAGTTTGAGCCTATACATTAATCCTAATGAATCACCCATAGGTGTTTCGTGCGAGAGGTTGTATAAAGAATATCATAGATCCCATGCAGGCTTCGAAACATGTCGCTAAAAATTCTCTTGCCATGCGCCTAAAGGCGGACACGTTTGGGCCAGAAACGTCGTGCATCACGTCGTAATTTACCTGTTGTCACTGGAGTGATTGTCGGAGCCGTAACTGGCGCCTCCTTTGCGGCTATAAAAAGAACAGCCATGAAAAAAGTATTTCAGTAAGCAAATTTGTATTTATTATGAGCTTCGATGCGTGTATGCCAATAAGAATGTCTGTTCAATTCCCAGGGGTAAAGGAATGTGATTTTAACACACGATTATTCGGTTATTTTTTGGTATGGCTTAAAAATTTATTGTTTTAAAGCTAAATTTCGGTGCATCAGTCAAAAAAAACTTCATTTTCTTGCTATGTAAAACCTAAATCGTTGGACTCAATATTTGAGACACGCTGTACATTGGCTCCCAGCATTTAATATTAGCATTCATATAACCTACCAGTTTTGCAGATAAACCCGTAGGTCGAAGAAGTACACGAGGTTGTACTCCATTTCCCGGCATTCCTTCTAAACGGAGAAATTACGACACAAAGTCTCCAAGTATTCGATGGTTGTCCCTTGTTCCAATGGAAATAGTTTGAGGGAGAGTTATCCGCCCAATAAAACGAACTGGTGAGGTGGAGATTGTTCATGCCAATCCATAATGGTGCTTCCACTCCATTCAGATGCAATGTGATGAATGCTTGTTCAATTCTAGGAGTATTTTCTACAATTAGTTTCGCATGTTTGGGACGTTTAGCGAGATAAACAGATCTGTTTGTCATCTTGGGAGAAATTAAATATTACTTATCCTGGACAAAGCAGGGCCTTAGCTAAAAGTTTAATTGGGGGGGGGGGGTTATATTCATATATTCGCCCTTTGTCCGACCGATTTCTTATGTACGTTATTGTTCCTATGATATGTAAACATATGAATATACCTTCCTCAATTAAGCGGTCTAGCTACGGCCCTGGTTGAAAGGTGGTCAAATTATTTGTTTGCGCTACACAGTTGCATGGATAACGGATGAGACTTCGCGTTAGTCTAGAGGCGTAAACTAGAACGAATTCTAGAACAAATTTCGTTTGTAAGTGCAATAGCTGTAAGTGCATAGAAATCCGTCGGACAAAACTGAATATATGAAAATACACCCACCACCATCCCCACCCTCAATTATCGTTCTAGTTACGCCCCCGGCTTTAGTTAAAGTACTAGTTACTTGGAATAATTTAACCAAATATATAATAAAAATAATACTTACTCGTTGGTTATGCTGACTAATTCTCCTACGCTACTTGAATTCGTTCCTTGTTCACATGTACTTTTTGCATCATACCAAGATCTGTATTCATTTTTATTGGTATGAAATTCGTAGCAGTATCCCCCGTTTTGAAACCATCCGGGAGGACAGTAACCACCTACGATGAATGACAATTGATAAATTAATTGAAGAACTATTGATGAGAACCTATTTTATATTCTTTTTCTGTCCAGAGTAGCATTTTCTTAACTATCATTGAAATTCAAGGGTGAACTCACACGCTATTCAAGCTGCAGATATAATCGGCGCTTTTTAAAATTTTTTCCTACTATGAAGGTGTACAAATGTATCTGAGATTATCTTATTGATGTTACTTACTGTTTTTGATTGGTTTGATGCGAGTTGGCTTTATTGGAGTATCCACTAAAGTGAAGAATTGGCAGGAGAACACGTATTCAATAAGTTTCAACATTAACTGAAATCGGGAAAATCCACTCAATACAGATGATACCCTTTTTGAAATTAAAGTAAGGATTTTGAGGACCGGTTGTATAAAACTCTTCAACTACTTTCATAGTTAAATCCTAGTTAAATCGGAAATACACGACTCTGATTGACCAATTCTGTCTTAACTAAAGTTAAAAGTTAACTAGTCTTTTTTATGACTGGCCCAATGAACCTATAACTAGTAACATGAAGTTTTTAACAGGATAACACAATGGGTTCGCTGTATCGACGAGAAAGGGTGTAGGGAAGGATAGAAATGAGAAACCCCTAGTGGTCGGGAAAATATGTAAAGCATATTGAACATGAGCAACTCAGTTATCCATACCTGTACTAGATTTACAGACAAAAGATTTCCTTGAGGAGCAATGATTATCATTCCATGCCCCAGACCCTCTAATCATAGCTATACAATCCTCTTGGCGATGATAATTGTTCGGTTCTCCACTAACCCAGTTCATGAACTTTCCATAACCTGTTCCGTCCGACCACTCATAAAGACTCTCCCCGGCCATATCGTGTAACCCGATCCAAAATGAGTACCCTGACTTAGTTCTGGAAAATATTATACCATATTTATGCAATTTTAAGTATAGGCGTACGCGGCTGTGTGTGGGGGGGGTGTTTGGCGGTTATTTATGGGGAGGGGTGGTTAGCGGTCATATGTGGTTCGGTATAATATACTTGTTATAGACCTTGAACAAGGGGTATTCGCCCAAAAATTACCCCCTGGAATGATCCCTCAGAGTAAAATTTGGGTGAATGATCCTCGTTCAATGTCTAATAAGAATACTAATAAACAAATAAAAATTAAATGTCAAACCTTATTAGCTGCTTAATGTAGGCATTTTCTTCGCTAGAAGAGATACTGGCAAGATTTCCTCCCATCAGTTTGCAGTACGTTTCTGCGTCATACCACGCCTTGTATCCGCTGCTATTTCTCGTGTCGCTAGCAGTGTAGCACATGTTATTAAATAGATACCAACCAGTTTTGCACCTAGTTGAGTTAACTGAAAGGATGAAAAAACTGATGAACACAACATTGTATAAAACTAAGCATCTGCATGAGAATCACACGTTATACGTTATAAGTAACATTAATAACCTAATTGCTAACTAAAGTATACAAAACAACTATTAACAATCTATATTATTAATCTATTTTGAATGAAAACATTTGTATAAATCTGTCATTTGTCATAGGAGCATATATGTATCGGTTCACGATATTGTGACGCGCCATATATTCCAAGAGCCGTTGTTGTTAAAGTCTGGTTTCCATTTAATCGTAATTGTCATGAATGAATCATTTTCATGCACCGATGAGAAATAGACCAAAAAACCATGACCAGCCGACAATTTAAGAAAGTAAAGTAAAAAGCAAATTCCGAACAAACAAGACATCTTGAGAATCAAAATATAATTCAAACAAGACACAGATTGAGACTGTAAATTTTCGACTTTATTACAAAGTCATCTTCAGACAGATTAGTCCGGTTGTAAATTTGTCTTTATTTCTTTATTCAAATCGGTCATTGTTGACAACCTCGTACCCCTGCATGGGCACAAGGTTGCATTGTTGACTGCACACAAATAGAAATATTCTATCACATCAGCCACCTTGACACCTACGACTAAAATGGCAACGAGGCAAAATTAGAGTTTACCTAATGTTGTTCCAGCTGTCGGCAATGGTCCAGCTGTAGCCACTAAAAGGGAAAATATATTGAAAATGTTATGCTTGATAGACCGCTTTTCTTTTTCCTGTTCCACAGCCTATATAATCTTAACTCTACTCCAACCCTTATGATGGTGACGTCATCGACTACGAACTGTAATTGAGTTTAGTCCAAATAAATGTTATTTATTTTTCTCAGCCTCTACCATATGGTAAAACCACTATACGTGGATAATTCAAAAGGATCAAGTGAGAATAATTACACTGAATACCCCGCCATGCATTAAAGCAACTCGTTTCAGCAGATAAACCCACACAAAAAAAACTTTATTAGAAAATCCACATATATAGAAGCATGACTATTACGGAATGCCTAAAGAAAAATATAGTAAGAAAAGGCTGACCCATGCATGCACGGCCACAAATAAAAAGTTGTTGTAGAGGATGAATAAAGTATACTTAATAACCTTGCGGGGTATTCTATAATTGTACCTATGCTAAAACTTACATGAATCCCGTTTGCATACATACGGTCTCCGGGAGTAGCAATTTACATCACCCCAATTTCCAATTTCAGCATAAAGTTCCGTGCATGTATCACGTCCATTGTAACTGTCAGGCTGACCTATGTCCCAATTTGTAAATCCCACCGCAGTGTTGTCAGTCCATACATGACCTTTAGAAAATAGAAGTAGGCAATGATAGTAGAATTTTAAATAGTTCCTGCATGTATTCCAATCAGAAAAGATTGATTACTACGCTTGCTTGATTACTACGAAAAGAACTCACCTCGGTATACACCTCTTCCTTCCAAACCAATCCAGATGGTTGTGTTAGCTAAGTTTGAGACAAAATCGTTTTCTTCCTTGCTTGTTATGGTTACTAAACGACTAATTGATGTTCTAAACGATCTACAGTTCCGTCGAGCTTGTTCCCAGGTGATCCTGCATGTGAGTAAGGTAACAACAACACATCAGGGGCCAGTTGTATCAAGCCCGTTTAGCTTAAACGGCGGATAAGTCAAAATTAAATACCACTCTTATCTGTCTTGAATGAGTCAACTTGAATATTATGCACTAAATATGTAGTTGTAACCAGTATATTAAGGGTAAAAACATTTAGTTCGCTTGTTGAATAAAACAATAATAGATTTGCTTTTCATTTTAAACTTAACCACCGTTTAAGCTAAACGGGCTTGACACTACCGGTCCCCGGCATACAATAGGCAAATTAAAAAGTTCGATCATTTTTTGAAATCTGATAGTCAAACTAGAGAAAAAGAAATGTTTGGTACGGAAAATTCCAAAATTAGGTAGAACACTTTTCGGTCGCAAAAAATGCAAGTTTAGTATTTGTTGCTCGTTTGGTATTTGCGACTGTGTGATTATCAAACATTGGATCTTTAAGAAACTTTAATATTTACTTACATATTTGAATAAAACTTGTAGCATTTGTTTTTGAATGGCGTCCAACCAAAAGAACATGAAGCGTCTATAACGATAATTAAAATTTAAAAATACGCAGTTTACATGCATCAATGGTGTGTGCTTAAAAATGGACCTCGGGCTCATACACAGGCTCAGAATAATTTAATAGTAACGAGCTGCGGAAATGCAACATGTGTGGAAATAGTACAAAGATTACTCGCGCAAGATGACAGACATAAATATTACTACAGGTCGGTCTTACATTCATAGATAATAAATCAATAATTCATAACACAAACCTTTTTTAGGTGTGCTCGGTGGATTATTACGACCTTGGTGAAAAATATATGATTATTAGTTGACCCCAAATAACACATGCAATCATGCATTGTTACGTATTAAACCAGGGGTCGGTTGTATGAAAACTGGATAGCGCTGTCCACCGGATAGTGATATTTTCTATTGCTCTAAAATTTCCTGTAGTTTCATATAACCTAAACTAACTTTCATATCCTTAAAGTTGGGGATTATCTTTATTAATTTTAACTCAAAATCTGTAGTTTTACTACTTTTTAGCTATTTTTAACAGTTGAAAAAATCACTATCCGGTGGAGTAGTCCTATCCAGTCTTCGTACAACAGGACCCTGTAGTATAAAAATCAGAAACCAGATCCTGATCAACCAGATCATGTTCTACCATGATGAATTTTATGGTTTAATTGCATTCGCGACGAACATGCTTCATGCAGTGCAGAACAAGATGCTCCCTGCATTTCAATATTCCATGCAGTTCAATGCATAACTTACGGACAATTTTCTTGCAAATGAACTGTTTTTCTTCACTACATTTTCCTAATTTCCAATACATTAAATCTCGTAGTGATCGTTCAAGGTTCATGTACCCGCAACGTTTCCCAGTCCACGAACCACGCGGATTTCCCACGCCCCAGTTGGTCCAAGTTACCGGTGCTCCGTCAGACCAAATAAATTCATTGTTTGACAAGGACAAGCCAATCCATACATCTGTATTCCAAGCACGCTCCATCAGAGTAGTCGCAAGGACCTGCTCGGATCTAAATGTTAATAAAAATATTTACACGTCCAATTACGGAAAAATATGCATTGGAGTATACTGGCTGCGATGAACAAGGTGTCTTTAGTAAGCCAATCATCCCTGCGCGTTTTGATGATATAAGAGCGAGGTTCCAACGCGAAAATAGTATAGGCATAACTTGATCATCGATAGGGTGGATTGCACATTGATTAACGATTATTGAATGAGTTTGAACATAATATGCATGAAGAATAATCAAGCTAAAATTTGTCGTCAAAGGCTGAGATTGATAAAGACAAAACTGAGGCTTATAATTTTACAAATCGCGTGCAAACCGAGTTCAATACTTGTTTTATTGGCAATTTTAAAGAATGAAAAATAAATAAAACTTTATTCTCTCGCATTTTTTTCGGTTTCACATTTCCGCTCTTTTGGGACGTTGCAGGATGCCCTTGTTTTTACGTAATAGCCTGCGCATAAAAACTGCTATCTTACGTTATGACGAAACGATTTCACTCACAGCTATTAGTGAATCAGAGGCTGTAAATTCTGTTAAGTAAATAACGATCATAATTATTACATGCAATAATCCTGGTCAAAGACATACTTCTCTGTAATGCTCATCAGTTTTGCACCAAATTCTTTACAGGTTTTTTCAGCATCAGACCAATTTTGCCTTGACTGCATGAAACGATAGCAAGCTAAATCACCGCCATGTTTACTTCGGATCCAGCCAGGTGAGCAAGGGGTTTTCATCTTCTCTAAAAATGGAATTTAAATCGATTATATTAAACTACTAAATCGAGTGGGTAAGGAAATAAAACTAAAAGCCAATTGTATTCAAAAGCGGTCGACTGATAGCCATTTGAATGAAAAGTTTCACCAAAAACTTAGTTACAGCATGAAAAATTTTCTGCTTAAAAGTTTTTCAATATGATATGACACGCACAGTCTTTCACCGACTTTGAAATATCGAAAACAAAAAGTCCAGATCGTCGCAACCAAAAGCTTTGCAATTTTCATAAATTTTGCATATTCACATGTGTCTAGAAATATTTATACCTAATTTATACCTTTACTTATGCAAGTATAATTCACTTCCAAATATTTTTTAACTCCTTTACATATTTCCAATAATTTGTTCTGTGAAGCTTCTACTTTGCAGTTTGATGATCCATCGCATTGCTCACGCAACTTCTTGGTTACCTCAGGAATGTTGTCTAAGCCACAGTTAATTATACTGACATATCTGCACACGTCGCGTCGTCTTCTTCCCCAGAACGCCTCGTCGATTTTTATAACCGATCCAATTGGACAGCTGAGTGTGGCGCGAGAAAATTGACACACCCTCGTAAATTTAGGAGTATCAACGACTGAAAGAAGAAATGTAATTTAAAAGACCATAACCCTAAACTTATTGGGATAATCATGCATAACCTTGGATCGTCCCCTTTACGCCACTTATGTTATTTTGATCTGTCTAATTGATTGCATGGAAACACGTAAATTCCCCAAACATTTTGAAGAGGACGAATTCAAACTGGAAAGAACACGAGGCGTGTTGTTTTAAAATTTAGTACATGGTAAGGGCATTTTACTTTTTCGATCTTTATGTTCTAAGATACACGAAGGACTATCAGGACTATTTTTTCGAAATTAAAAAAATAAAAAAAATCCTTAATTATTTGGAAATTATCAAACTTTAAAACTGTTTTGAAATCGCAATACGCCTCTTGCTCCTTTTCGAAAAAATCATTGCGACGACAGTGTGTGAGGGAATGGTAAAAAAATGGATGGTTTAGTATTGAGCATGTTAATTCCTTACCTGTTGTGTTAACAACCGGTTTTGTTTCGTCTACAAAAATATATTATGCTGAATTAATTGCAGTTATTCTTTCCCACAAGAATTAGGTTTGGATTAAGAGGCGATTTTAAACCTGGATAGCGCATGACCGATGACAATAAGTGAAATCTAGTTGGCCATCGCCACATCTCGATACCCCTGATTAAGTGCTCTGAGTATGCCTAGATTTACAGAATGGCTGAATCAGGTTTATTCATGTCGACAGGATTGGTTTTGGTATTAGGGTCGAGGTTTGAAAAAAGTTGACATTACGGATAGGGGATTGGTTCGTAGTTAGGTTTGGGTTAAAATGCAGTTGTTGTATTAACATTATCAGAAATTGGAGGATTATTGAAATAAACTAAATCTTATTATAAAATTCCAATCATACCTTTTTCCTTTTCGCAAATCGACGCGGCAAATGAAAAACATTGCATTTGAGCCCAAAATCCATGGCTAGTCTGAGTAGCAAGTGCAGCCACACAAGTTTGCCAAGATCTGTACATGAATGATGAGTGAGATCGCCAGTTGGTGTAGAGAGTCGGTGCACGGTTTGCCCAAAGGAAGTTTAATTTACTGTTACGTAAATATATGCGTGGAAGGGACGCGAAACGGGGACGATAGGGACGAAGCGAACGCCGCGAACGGCGAGAAAGCGAGAAATCTTTTAACCCTGTAAAACATCGCAATGATTCAATTGGTAGGTTGTGTCACAATTCATTGCACTGTGCCTAAAAATACGATCTAGTACATAAATAGTTTACATATCCTAAGGGTGCATGGTGTATCCCATGCATGATGAATCCTGAGCTAGACAAATCTCAGGGTGAACGAATCCTAAGAGGAGCGAATCCGAAACGGGAAGTCCAACTTACAACCTATAACTTATATGTCGCACCTTTAGAAGTCAGTTTCAATTCACGTTTAACTGGTATATACTCAAGATGACCTTATAAAGTCAAATATTTACAGCCTATATTAATGCAAGCCTTTCACTCAATACAAACGTGTGAATAAATCCTATACGGAAATCCTAGTTGAATCAGTATTCAGGCGGGGAGGGGTGAGAAAAAGATTGGTCAGATATTTCATAAACTTTGCTTTATGATCAACATGTAGCGGTGCGCACGGATATTCAAGAATAAAAGTTATATATACGTACCAATCCACGACGTTTGCTCTATATTTCTGTTGATAAACGCTTGCTCGACCGGTGAACTAATCGTGACCAGGTCCCCGCCCAACCTCTGGCACATCCCACGTGCAGAATTCCAAGGTAATCTCCGGGTGGTAAATTCATAGCAGGACATTCCAAACGAAATCCAACCAACAGGACACCAACCAAATTCTATAAAGTAGAAAAACAAAAAAAGTGAGTTTTTAAATTTATGCGCCAATATAAGATATAAAATCCGAATCTTAACTAGTCTATACATGTTCTTTGCAGTACAAAATGCATCCTATCTTCAATATCTCCACTTTCGTATGCTTCCTAATACGAACGTTTTAATAGATATTGGAAAGAGAAAAAGGACATCTAACCCTTGTTTACCTGTTTTATAAATTGTCTGAACATCCTTCTCGGCGATAATACCCTCCCAGAATGCAAACATGGCTAAACCAATTACACCTGACGTTACTTTTGCATTCGGCTGCAGTCCAATAGAAAAATTTCTTTTTATGTTTTTCAGGTGTACTGACGTTCGGAAAATTGGTTGATCTTGTCTAAAGTACGAATAATAGAAAAGTTTAAGAATTGACGTTATATGTCTAAAAGAAATTTAGGGGAAGAATAGTCGCCTGTCGTTAATTACAATAAACTGCAAATATTGAACTTTTAAATATTGCCTATAAACTATCTTTCTTTAGAATTTATTTTACATTGTCAAATGTGGTGCCACCGATACTTGGCGACCCTACTTTTAGGGATCAATAGTGATGCACGAGCAGGGTAATTTAAGCCTGGATCAAACGAGCGGACGCATGCAAGTTCGTCGTAAGTTTTTCCTTGTGCTTGCTTCATACTTCTTTCGACTGTCCACTTGCGACGACTTGTGTTGACTTTCGACAACTTTAAATCCGTTCAAATTTCAAGTTTTTTCCGCAAGTTTTTTTTAAAACACAAGAACGTTTAAACATGAAGTGTATTTCGAAAGTTAAACTTGCAATGGACTTGCGTCCTCGTTTGATCCGGGCTTAAGACAGAATGGTGGTATACACTTGCAATTTTTGCTGCGATTTTATGTGCGATATTCTTCTTTTGAGAAATGTGAACGAGTGAATTAGTTACTGATGTTCAAATGAGAGCTCTTATTAATCAGAACATCAGTAACTAGCTAATTAATTGACTCGTTCACATCTATCAAATAAAGAAGAAAATCGCACAAAAAATCGCAGCAAAAATCGTAAACGGGCCTTAATAAGATCTATCACTATCATGGTTCATTTTCGCTAACTTGATGTCCCAAATTTACATCAGTGCCATTAAAAAGTACAGCAGATCAAGGTAGTGTGAGGTAATGTGCTCGCTAATCGCTATTTAGTCGGATAGTTTATGACAATATATAATGCTAACCCTGCATTTAAACGTTTCCCGTTGACAAAAACTTGAATACTGTCTGGGGATGAAATGACAACGTAATGTCGCCAGTTTCCATCTCCTTGAAGAGTTACACTTGTCTTCCAAAATTGGGCAGCATAAGAAACCAAAAACCATAGTTTGTTTTCATCAATATAAACGGATATTCCAGTTGAAAAATCTTTATTTCCTCCCAATGAATCAAAAATCGTTACATTTCTCCAGCTCTTAGCGGCAGCATCAAACGAAGCCATGAACGAAATTGTCAGCTGTTTCAAAGGGCATATGTCCGGAAAGGTTAAGCAATAATCCTCCTCGAATGGAACTTCAATATACATACCAGGCTTTGAGAATTGTAAGGCACTTTTAGGTTTATTTTTTACACCAGATATAACCTTTATGTCTCCGAAAGCTCGGCCATCTTTTGTTCCAAATATTTTGCCACCTTTAACTGCGGAAAGAGGCCAGTAATGCGTTGCACTGCTCATCCAAACTGCAGAAAAAGAAAAATGTATTTAGAATATTTTTTCAACGATTTATGAAAAACATGCATGCATATGTCCATGCAAACAAACTGGATGCGATTATATGAATTAATAGGAATTTTATTAACGCGTCTTCGCGAGTTTCATGCACGTATCAATTCTCTCGTGGCTAAGGGCACAAAGTCGTACACAGAAGTCATGAATTACGTTTATTAAAGCAACAAGGACTTCTGTCAGATCGACATTTTGTTTTAAAGCTACTTTTTGCGTAGTACGCATGCAGCAGAGTTAAGTTCCGTTTTCCACCATATGCATTCTTCATCTAAACTTTGTCTCCACAAGTACTTACTGGATGAAATATTGCGAGTTGATTCATAGTTTGGCAGTATAGTATAGTATGTAGCAACATGAACGCATGGTAAATAAATTACTTCCTGAAAATAAGCCACATACCTCCAGTAACACCATTCCCGATTGCTCCATCAGTTTTCCGTTGAGTCGCATTGTATTTCGAAAGATCTAGAAAAGTTTTTTTTTAATTATTTTCTTTCTAAAATGTCAAACGAAACTATAACGCATGCGTAAATTATAAAACCTAGCTAAAGTTGTATTTATTAATGGTTGCCAACCTTTTTTCATGCACACAAATGGTCGTAGTGAACTGCATCTGTCAGCTCGCCAATTTCTCCCATATTTCCGATAATAAACACAGCCATCAGTGTCTGATAATAAAGAAACAGTAAACAATATTACTTTCAATTATTATTGCTTGCATGCATGCATTGGTGTAAACATTTTAGACATACATCAGCTATGGAAAGAAATGTTAATTTTGATAACGTATAAGCTGCCAATACAAAACATTATACACTAGGAGCTGAAGCAATCACCGCAAAGGGCTCGAGCCAAACTACTATTTTGAAAGAAATTAATGTGTATAGTGATGTGTAATGAGTATTAGTCAGTATAAAGTTGTTTGAAATTCCGTTACATAAATTTACTTCGGCAAAGGAGATACATACTATATCTTGAGATATAACCACCCCACGCAATGTAGTGAACAGGGCTGCCATCTGTCCAATAGTAGTGCAGAGAATAATCACGATCCGTTAACCCAATCCACCACCCGTAAGGTGAAAGCGTATTTAACACTGCCTCCATATAGTTTGCCACGGCTTGAGTACTTGTACTTAACAAATCAGCCTTCTGTTCCAGGCAGTAAGATCGCGCATCTGAAAAAAGAACTAAAATTTACTTTGTTCTTGAAAAGGGCTGGTATTGGCATTCAACGTTCCAATGCGCTTAGGGTCACAAAAAATATTATTCTTAAGATCTTTATGTCCATGCATGTTCAATATTGTGTATAGTTATATAAATGCCCTTATCGGGCACTTATATAATGAATATTAACAATATTATAGCCACTTAATTAACAGAGTTCGACCCAACAATCACTGGCTTAACTACATATATTCCATGCACGCGAGTATTAGGTACGGCCACCATATAGGCTATATGTGGATAGTGCATTTATGCAGGGGAAACCACTGCACGTACCTTCCCAAGGAAGACGAATATGATTAATCTGATATTGATATGTAGTATAGGGAATTCTCTTCCAAACAGCACGTCTATGGGCGTCGGAAATGATATTTTCTAAATTAAGAAGAAGCATGGAAATGAAATGGATGTAATAATCATTGTTCCATGCAAATATCGGACACAATCATTTTCAATTTCCGGAGGTCATATATAAAGCCACTTTAAATATGCAATTGCTCACCACTTAAACAACCGTAAATCTCGAGACGTGTGCACCTGCTTTGTCCTCGAACTGGTTTGATTCGAATTATTCTTGCGATAAACGGTTCCAGATTCTTCAGAAGATGTGGTTTTTCTGATGGTTCGCTGCTCAACTCCTATAGATAATAATGATCACTATATATAAGGCATAAAATATTTGAGGTTCACGTGGCAAACAAAAATGTTCATATATAATATTCTTGTATGTTTGCATGGTGACAGTCGATAAGTAATTTAGCTTGTAAATACACCACTTTTATATTTTGCAGTATTAAATACTTACACCGTGGTGTACCTAAAAGCTAAATTCACTTGAAAATATTCATGTTTACGACAATTTTCAACTGGAGGGTATAATATTAATAACATGTATATACCTTGCAACCCGGGCCAGTTGTTCTACCGTACTGCCTGACTCCTTCGCCTTTACCACCCGTACCATATTTAATACAATATGCAGTTGCCAAGCCTTGTACCGCGATCATCTTAATTTTATACAACGAGCCGAGGTCGATTTCCAGATAATCGTCCTTAAATTTAAAACAAAAATCATTTGAAAAAATTGTGCTACTGTAAGCCTTGAAAAAATTCTAACTGATCGGTGATTTAAAAATTAGACGCTTGTATTAAACCCGTTTTTCACTTCTCCTCAGCAAACTTTATAGTCATTGGCTTTAATTTCCTGATAAAAAACGATACTTGTTTTTTACCAACCTAGTGGCGACCAACCTACATAGCCTGCCATGCAGGCTACGATTTTAGGTCTTAATCTCGCGTGGCGGTAACAAAGAGTATGCATGTCACCTGATATTTTGGACACCATGAACCATTGCTACGCAGACGAGACATTGATGGTCTGGTAGAAGGATTAAGGGAGTTTTTGGCTGAGATTTGATCGTCTATGATGTTTCCATTTTCCATTCCAAGAGGCGCATCACAAGCAAAAACGGCTAAAAAACGCGTGCAAATAATGAGAACTTCAATCAAAGTTTGACAATAAATTAATTAAGCGCTTTAGCACCATTTAGCACCATTACAGCATAAAGCCGGTTTTCCACTAGCGATATTTTTCGCGCCAAGCGACATTTTACTTTTGTTTCAGAGCTCTCAACTGCAACCATCTGGAACAAATTGCTCAAATACAAAGGAATAAAGTCGCTTCGCGCGAAAAATATCGATCGTGGAAAACCGGCTTAACGGGATTTGTTATATCGGTGCTGTGTATTTTAAATATGATTGGTTCATTCGTAGTCACATGACTTTAAATAAATGCAATGTTTCCCGCCAGAGAAACAAGTGAAAAATTGTTGCCCGCTTCTTGTCATAACAAAGTAAAGTGGTTTTTTTTTAATGAAATTGTTGGGTAACACGTATGTTTTTGTTCCTAAAAACCAAACACTTAATGTACACTGCATTTGTACACTTAATGTACAATGAGTTTGTTTTCTATCGAGTCTCAATGTTCAGACTCTTGGGAAAACAAAACTCACTATTTCCCTCGGGAGCATATACATTAAGTGTATAATATTACCGTACCTTTTTTGCGTTTACAAATGTATCGACGAAGTTCTGAACAGATTTCCATTGTCCATGCGCTGTCTGATCTCATGCCCATAAGTACGGCACAATCTTTCCATGCTTTGTTTCTAGGATTTTTACCAATCCAGTTCCGATAATCCCCTTTTGATTTATCAATCCAACTATAGACATTCTCAGATTTGCGGTCATTTAGGCCAATCCACACCGCAGACCTGGAAACAGTGCTGATTTCTTTGGCTACAAATTCTTGTTCACTTTCGCTAAGAATGCTGACCAAAGAAGAGAAGTCACCGACTGATTCGCAAGCTTGCTGCGCCGAAGTCCAGTTTTTAAGCTGATCACTCGCGAGATTGAATTGATAACAATTATCTTCATGCATAGTCCAATCATCAGGACATTCGTTTTTACCTGAATATGAAAACAAAGAGATCGTCAATAAAAGTGATCGTTTATAAATCTTTGGAGATTGTTAACATATATATATATATATATATATATATATATATATATATATATATATATATATATATATATTTATATATATATATATAAATGTACGTAGAATCATTTCTGCTAGCAGTCTTCAATCCCGGCTCCTAGCTTCTCCTATGCAAGTAATTCCAATTCCGATTCTAAATATCTTTGCAGATCAACTAACCTATACAGGCGTAAGCCTGGCGAAATTTTACGAAACTTTGAAGAGCAGCGATGCAAAAATGAACAACTTTTCCTTAAAGCAACTCAAAATGCTTTAGGCCATTAAATTTAAGCCATTTATATTTGTTGAAAGGGACACCCTTGCAGGTCTAGAATTTTTACAGTTGACATTTGATATACCCTGTACAAAGCAGGCATATAAACATACCATCTTCTTTTTCACAGATAAATTGCGATCTTCTTGAACAAAAGTGATTATTCCAAACTGGTGCTAATATACCTCCATACATTTCGACACACCTCTCGTTCCCATTGCCATTCGGCTCACCTACATCCCATTTATTAAACTGAAGACTACTACCGTCAGATTCCCATTGCCAACTGAAATTTCCCTGTGTATCGTATAGACCAATCCAATATCGCTAAAAGAATTTTCAGTCACAAAGAGTTTATAAATGCATGAGTTAAATAAATGTGTTAAATAACTTAAATTGGAGTACAATTTGAGTTTTTTTGAGGTGCAGAGACTCTAGTGTATATATACTGTATCAAGATGCCCGTATATTTAAATGCTCAGGAAAAGTTATAGTCACTGGCTTTAATTTTTCCGAGTAATCGTTCCAGTTATATTAGAGATCACCGACGTCAGCACATCCAAGTCGTATTTTTGCCAAACAAAGTAAACTTCCCAAACTGCCTTGTCCTCTATTGCACTGGCAAGTCAAATTACAAAAAAAAGGGGACGGCACGTATTAAGGCAGTGTGCACTGTGTATAATTCGTATACTGTACCATGACCTTTCGTATAGTTAAGAGTTTTTTTAGAGACGTTGCTCAATCAATGAAAAAATTACCATTGCAGCATCTATTTCTTACCGAATTCAAAACAGGGCCAATTTGAATAAAGAAATAATTTAATTCGGTTTGATCATCAATCTTTAACAGGTGGCCACCTAGATTACCACAATGCATTTTAGCTGCATGCCACGATCTTCGTAGGTTGGATATTTTGTAGCAGGATTTTCTGAAGCCTTTCCAACCTATATCGCAGGTCACCGCTACATTGAGAAACATATAATCAAATATTAAAAATATAGCTTTAAACAATATACTGAAATATAGCTTCAAACAATATATTGAAAATATTGCTTCAAACAATATACTAAAGGTGTATCTATTATGTTTACATGGCACCATTGCAATATAAATATATAATTGTTGCCGGCATCATTATTTATAGCGTGTACCGCCCATAGTTTTCAAGATTGAAGCACTATACTCACTATAGATCATTGAATATATATTAACATTTAAGAGAGTCATCATCTCTAATTACACATTCAATGATCCGTACTGTGCGGGTGTGCCCGTAATACTGCCTTTTTTGATTAGCTATATAGATGTAGCTAATAAAGTTCACCATGACTTACTATTATTCACTACTATATTCAAGGTAGGAGGAAGTCCAATTGTTGGAAAAGGAGTACCTTAATGAATAGAAATATGTTTGTAAAAAGGGGTTAATTTTCAACGCGCAACCTCAAGTTACACACTGATAAAAGTAGGCACAAAAAATTGAATACAACATGGTTCTTAAACAACTGTATAAGATGGAAGAACATGCGAATACCATTTATTGCAACGTGAAGTTAACAGCCTGAGGAGGCAAGACAATGTCACAAGATAATATTCTATTAACTGGATTGGAATTAACAAATTTTAAACCGGTTCAATATTCCAGATAGGAATAAGGATAGGATTACGCTCAAGTTTAGGATTAAGATAATACTTACCCTTTTTCCGTTCACACACAAATGGTCGCTGGCGAAAACAACTTTGGTCATTCCATTTACCAGACCTTGCATAAAATTCACCACATTTTTCGGAATTTTTCCAGTTGTTTGGTTCGCCCCAAGCCCAATTCGTGTACGTTCCATAACTAGTCTTACCCATCCAAACCCACCCTTCTCTAGCGTTCTGAATGGACGAGTTCCTGTAAAGCCCAATCCAAAATGGTATTGCACCAAATGACGACAGCTGGTTTTTAATGAACTGGTTCTCTTGCGAATCACTTATGGATAGAAGATCGCCACCAAATGCCCGACAATACGCTCGCGCTTCTTCCCATGTCCTCGCAGGAACGTTCACAGTATGACGTACAATTTTGTAACAAGAATCTCCATTGGTAATCCAGCCGTTTAGGCATTTCGTGATCGGTGGTGATTCCCCTAACATATAAATAACAGGATTTATTTTTTTCTTGCGGTCCGAATTCATATTTTAGCGTTTCCTGCAATCTGATTGGCTACGCGAGCGGTCCGTATGAGGCCGTACGGACCGCGCGAGATTTAAAAGCACAGAGCCAACGCTAAAATATGAATTCGGATCGAAAGAGAAAAAAATCTATTGTTTACCAGTTTAGTCGGTCCGTATAGGGAAATATTTCCCTCGGTCTCAAAAACGTCCCTGGGAAATATTTCCCTATACGGACCTCCAATCTGGTAAATAACATATATCTTCATCAGTCTTAATGATAAGTGAAACTGGAAAGCACGGTCTTTCATTGGGAAAGGGCAGAGGAAAATTTGCCCGAAGCTCCGGGCTTGAAGAGGCCTGCAATAATGCATGAAGATTGACATTGTACAATAACAAAAACGGGGGAAGAGAAAAACCAACTTTCACAGCCGGTCAGTACAACACAATGCATGGTACTGACGGATAGTCTCTAGTATTCCCTCTCAAAATAACATCAATATTAAGTTCGTGAAATCCTAGTTCTTTAAATTCGCAAGTCTTAATAATTCTTTTTGGCACATTTTGGCAATAATTTTGGCACATAATATGAAACAGTCATTGCCCGTAGTGCGAATGCACAAAGCATGTACACATTCGACATATTTTTTAGTTTTCCTCTATTCTCTTGCGGGATGCATGTTCGCTTACATCATAACTTAGAAGGCATTTATATACGCACGTATAAAAACGCAACAATGGAAAGCAGCCTTAACTTTTATGACATTGCAAGAAACAGACTAACATGCAGCTTAATATAAACGGCAAGTGAAATAGGATGGACGACTCATTTTTTTTTGGATGATATAACACTTGAAAATAAACCCTCGCGTTGGATTATTGATAATATTTCGAAACGACTCAAGAACAACACGCGCTAGCAGATTATATGACTAGAATGGATAGTTTTTATGTCTTCGTTTGAAAATTACTATATCAAATTAAAGATGAAAGATCTATAGATTGAATTTATATTCGCAATATAAAGGGAATTATATTAACAATTATGAAGGTTATATATATATATAAGAGTTACAAAATGTGCTAATAAGTGTCACGTATATCTATTAATGTTTCCTATATATAACATCGTCATTTGGTGAATTGTAGCCAAAAAAACAATCCTGGCTCTTATACGAACATTGCTGCCGGTAAGATATATTCGATGCTCTTCCGGAGATAACTAAACGGTCCAGTATATAGGCAAAAAGGGGAAATGATACTTCATTCCAACGCCATTATATAATCGCAATAAAAAATTAAATATTTTAGACATTTATACAAAATATTACGTGGTTTAAATATCTGTTATCACGTAAGACACGTATGTACTAATTAACCCTATAATTCGGTCAGATTGCTGTTAACTGCGACAATACATATTGCATAAACTTTATAACGAGGCTTTACGTACATAATATAGAGAATTATCCTCCAATCGGCAAATTAATTTTGAAAAATGTTTAGCAAAGTCTTATGCATATAGTTAAGCCAAAAACGTCTTCGCTTACGTAAGTTTAACTCCCCAAAAGCGTCAGCTGCGTGAGTTGACATCTATATTGGACCGGTATTTGTCATGAATGTCAAAAACTCGCTAAGTAAGTGCATTATGCTCCTAACTCCTGCTTGTTTTTTAAATCAACATCGTGTTACTAAATATTGCGCTAAAACGGCAAGCCAATATTTAAGATGTTGATAGTATTTCATTATGCAAAATCATTCCTGAACTACTACTCATGAAACTTTTTATATAGCAATGACGCCAACAAGCGCAAAATCATGTTGTCATATTCACTAAGGCCATGGAGCGAGTTATCCCGGCTAGACGAGGTGAAAAGCGCATTGATTAGTCTTTTATTATATGCAGTTTTCACCTCGCCTAGCAGGGGTAACTCGCTCCATATAAACAGGCTCTAACTTTATACGAACTTAATTGCATGCAGACCACTACACTCTCTGTATTCGATTTTAATTGGTCACACGGAATAATGACAAAGGATCGCTCAAACCTCTCTTTTGTCTGATTGGCATTTATATACATATAACAATTCACTTTGTCTAGAAAAGACTTAGTATTTAGAAAAACACAGAATTTCGAATAACACTCCAGATTCCGAGAGCAGCTGTTAGAAAGGAAGTATAAACATATAAATATATATGCACCATGCAGCTTTTGACACGCGCATAGTATCACCCTATGAACAAACCGTGGCCTTCTTTTTCATCTATTATAAAACTGACGCATATGAAAATGCCACCGACATTTAAAACCATGCATCATGCATCATACATGTGATCTGAAAATTAATTGTATACGCAATACGAACGCAGAATGAATGTATTTCCATTTTCCATAGTTGTATTCGCTTTGTCTTGAACCTTGCAGGAGACATATATATATATTGTTTCGTAACAAAGTCTGTATATTGGACAATAGATAAATGTAGATTAGACTGCGGTTGAATAAAAATGTATTACTATAGTCTATATTTATATTATAGTCTGAAAGGTTTGGCCCAAACGAGCATAGGAATACCCTAACCCTAATTATCCTCTTGCCGGTTTTGTTATCTCGATCTCTTCTGGAAAACATATCTATGATGCAATCCATCGCGATACCGAATAATTCAATTTTGTGTCACTTTAAACACAAATTCAGTATAGAACACCATAGTTTAATTTGGCATAAATCCAACTCATAAACGGGAAGTATAGTTTATGGATTGTTTCTTATTATTAGGTAGCGGATGTCGTATAACAAATATGTTTGTTATATTCGTTCATTCAATCGTGCATCATAACTCATCAATTCATTCATCAGTAAAATGTGTTATGCATATATATAGCTAGTAAAGTTCCAGTAAACATAGATAGATAGATAGATAGATAGGATTTACAATCCATATTTAACAATGCATTTCATTTTCAACTACAATGTACATATAGCTAAACTGTATCGTAACAGCCAACAATGATATAACATATGGAAGATTGGCGCCCATGAATTCGCAATATTTTGTATAAAGTAAGAAGGCAGACAAGCTGTATACTTGTGCAATCGTCGTATACGAAAAACAAATACGTTTCGTTAGTATTTGAAAAGACTACAGTTAGAAACCGTAAAATGATGACGCATTATGAATATGAGAGCAGCTGTTTCAAGATTCGGAAATGGAAACTTAGGAATATCATTTTTCAACTCATTACGATCGAACATGGTATTGTCTTCCGAAGATGTGCGTTAAAATTGTCTTCGTACTTCAAACAATGTTATTTACATTCTAATTTTATTCCGCTTTAGTTTCAAATTATATTATGGCTGGAGGAAGAAGATTTAAGCTCAATATCCACTTAGGATTTTGGTGTGCGTTATTTATGCGATAAGATGTTCAGCCATAGCCTGAAAACAGCAAGGTTTCATTATGCCTTTAGGACGTCACTTTTAGCATAACTGATCAGCAAACTATAGGTTTTGTGATCATAAGACAGATAACGGCAAAAGCTCGCAGGTAGATCACCAGTCGAAAGATCAGGTTCTTTATGATTGTTTATGGAAATCATTTTCAAATAATACTTTAGAATCCCAAGCATGCTAGCGAGGCTACGTACAACGCCTGCAAGTCTTTAGGTAGAATTCTCTCTCTTTCTTGATTTTGGGGGAATGCGTTGGAAACCAACTCACAATCACTACACCGAGCGTGACAAAGTCATCTCGTTCATGTGGATCAGGGAAATCTCTTTAGGTGAAACACCAAAAATCAAGCTTCGAATCTCAGTGCGGTAAAAAGCCGTTATAGAAGATGGTCATTTATGAAGTGAACCGTTAGAATACAAACGTTTCGTACAAATTATAGCAACAGATTGAAATGAATCCTAGTCTGCAGTAAACAATTCGTATATCCATGCATGCAATATTGCCTTATTGCATAGTTATTTATACTATATGGATTAACGTCTAGTAATACTAAAGTTATAAGAGTAAACATTGCATGGACGAGGCGCCAAGATTTTAGCACATACATACCTCTTATCAGTTCAGGAGTGATAAGAACCACAATTAACCAAAACGCTCCCATTACTTGATAACTGGAACCATAAAAAGCGGCAAAAAAGTTAGTTTGAAGCTTTCGCCGACATCACAGCATCAAAGCAAACAGCAAGATATTATGCTAATATTGCCTTATTAATGTGAAGATAACTGCATGTGATGGATGTGTAAACCATCACGTGGACGACTAGTTCACAAACCGTGACGAGAAAGTGGATACACTACGATACAACTTACACTTACAGCGAAGACGATGATCACATACTCTATAATTATTAGTGATACGAACTATATACCCAATATTTGCGTGTTTTTAACTCGAATTTCCACCAAAAACAACGAGATTCAACTACATATGCACACTTGATCGCTTCATATAATTTCACATAATTACAAGGTGATTTGAATAATCTTCAACAGTCAATCTTTACAAGTAACTCAATTTATAGAGAAAGATGATCCGTATACGATCAAATTGAGATTAAAAACGATCCGTCTTAGGGAAATCTTGGCAGATCAATATGTTCGCAAACTCATACAGTCTATTTGAAGGATGATCCATGTTGGGGTTTGCCCGTGTTTATACATGGAACACAGAAGATTATGAGAAGGATTATCAGACAAACCATTAGTAACAAAGTATCATAATCGGAATCAAAAGTAAAACACTATTTTGAAATTTCTTGTGCATGCTTTTCCGAACTTTCGCCAGCCCCGAAGAAAAAGATCCATTTCAAAATTCACTTTACTCATATTATGGGGGATGCTCTGGTTAGTTTCTTAATGAGTATGTTTATCTTACGAAAGTATTAATCTCTCCGTGGAATTGGAACCATGCATTTAAAAAACGAGCCTAAAATAATGACGGGAACTGCGCGTCAATGAATTTCATTTCACACACAGTCACAGATGTTATAATCTCCCACACAGTCACACTCGCTGATCCTTAGTTCTCTCGTCTATTAGAGTTTACTGAGTTAGTATTATAAATAATAATCAAATATTGTTCTAACTAGTCATCAAATATGGAATAAGAACCACTTTAATCATGTTGTTATTTCTCGATGTGTTGTCTTTCTGACGTAAAGGCCCTTAGGTCGAAACGTCGAGAAGAGTTTTTTTTTCAAGGCCCATTTACATTGACAATTTTTGGTGCAATTTTTGGTGGGATTTTCTTTGTTTGATAGATGTGAACGAGTGATTGTTACGAATGCTTTGGTGAATTTGGCACACGTAGTACGCGAAAAACCTGGGAACGAGGATGTCGTTCACACGTATATCACAAGAAAAAATTTGCATATAAAATCGTAGCAAACCGCATGCGAATTAAGTTGTTAAAAGTTGCTGCCACGGTGCTCCCTGGCTATTTTGCAACTGAAGTGTCAGGTGTGACTATATTCTTCGCGGACTAATTCAAAGGTTTGAAAACTTTCAAAGACAAGCATGAATTAAGTGAATATGCATATTATACCAAAAATTTTCATTTTCAATTTTTTAATTGATATTATTACAATATAAGTAGCATTTTCAACATTGTTCTATTTAGTTCTAGCTACATTATAGGTTTTCTTAAATTTGTCATTTTAATAAATAGACGGACGGGCAACATCTACATACATTTTGTTCATTTTGATTTTTGCAGAAAATTTAGCTGAGAATTTTTGAATTTAATCATACAAATATTATGATGATAAAAGTGCAAAATACACCTCTGGTTTTTAGCTATCAAGTGCTAGCATATACATCCAGACTTGTTTTAATTACCAATGCCGGTAAAGCCTGTGTCAAACAGTGCAATTTTTCTTGTAACTTGCAATGCAATTCTACTTTTGAGAGATGAAAATATAACAACTAAGAAACTTGTGTTCAATGCACTCCACGGGTGTTTCCACCTACATGTACAAACTTTCGAAAAGTATTTATGTACTGCAGTTATGTAGTGGAATTGCATATTTGTATTGCCAGTCGCAAGAAAAATTGCAACGTGTAGCACAGCCTTAAATCACACTGACAAACGCATTTTGAACGTTGGTCGCCCGAAGTTGACATCCATACAGGTTGAAATGAATCATTAGGTTGATCATTGCTGAATGAATAAAAAAAATTTCCTCCAAAATATCGCCAATGTAGGAAATACCTGGGAAAGACTGAATGACCAAACAAGGCACTCCTACGTTCTTCCTTGCGGCTAGCATGCGTAAAACACGTGCGCTGGTTTTCAAAACACGCAAGTATTTCTGCATGAGGGTTTCGCCCACAATTTGAAAAAAACGACAAAGTTAGACGAAAAGAGGTTTTTAGAGGATCCTATATAGCGTGCATTCATCTTGATAAGTTGTTAAAAACTTTGCTTTGTATTGACTTCCATCAATCACGACTTACCTTCAGCTTTCATTCAGCGATATTTACCTCGCCTTCGCTCATAATTGTGAATTAACAATTAATAATTACCATCAGAAATCATGAAGCTATCAGACCGAGATACCTGCATGACTTCTTCCTGAAGTTGCATTACATTAGTCACACTGTTTTTAAAAACCTGGTCTGGTTTCGTACAGTTTTTTTGGTTTGACCACGAGATGTGCATATCTGACAATGTAATTCCTTAAGGAAAAAATATATTAATCGAGATGTGCATATCTGACAGTGTAATTCCTTAAGGAAAAAATATATTGATTGTTAATAAATGTTAATTTTGAAGAAATGCACTAATATATGGCAATTTTTAAAATATGTAATACACAATCACAAGAATTTAAGACAGTATGCATATTTTCCGGCATTTGTGGGAAAAAAAACATGTATGCATGTAAGGCTGAGGGCAATCATCAAAGCCATTCAGGAAATTTCAAGCTTCTTCAGACACCTATCTGCAAGTATGTTTGATAAAAGAGTTTTGTCAACACTCTTTTGTCAAAGAGTTTTGTCAACGTACAATTTTCAGGAACTTTCGATTCCTGTCGGAGAAACCGAAGGATATATTTAAATTCTTCGTGCGAAAAGCACGTAAGGAAAACGCTTAAGGATAAGCATCCTTATACTCTAATATTTAATCATTATTCACCTGATCTTTTTCAGCCAAACAATCCATATGAAAAACATGTTTGCAGAAGAACGTGACAATTTGACTTGCTTGACGTGTGTCTAAAATCAGTATAAAGTACTGCTCTAAAATTACTGCGATTACCAGCTTATTTTGTAAGAATGTATATTACAATAATCCAGTGCTAATAGCAGAGGTTTTATTCAAGCAGGTTTTTCGTCAATTTTCCCACCCTTAGGACTTGTTTACATGCAGATCGTGGCAGTAAAACGTGGCATTTTTTCACGCTAATTCAGAGGCCGGTTGTAGAAAAACGTAGTTACAGAATTGACCAATCAGAATCATGCATTTCTGAGTTAACTACGATTTAACTACGCAAAATGTAGTTAAGAGTTCTATACAACCGGCACCAGGGCGTTTCTGCAAGCCGTGCGGGACTGGCACGGGGCTCAATTTCCGGCATTCTTAATCGGCTTCACATTTGGACTTGTGTTTCCACGACATTAATCGTAACGAAAATCATACGAAATTATGTGTTAGTACCTAATACCAATACGCTTCCTTGACAACTAGAACATGTCGACAACTCTACACCAAATGGGCAAAAATTTTGGTCAGTTCTATTTGAATAAATGACAACTTGGAACCTCAAATATACAATCGAGGAATAGTTGTGTAACATCGTACCAGTAATGGAAACACCTTTCTGTCTTGTTCTTGTAGCTCGCTGCATTAACGATACACTGAAAAAGAATCGACTGATCAGAAAAGTTACAGTCAATGCTATTAACTCATGACTCAGGTCGACAATGTTGACAACCTATATTTATGACATAGCAGCTATTAAAGATGGTTCTTCTGGAGTTACTCTAAACGCCTATAGTGTATATTATACCAATAATCTATACAGGTTCATAATATAACATTTTTAGTACGCGCGTGCTGATTGGTCGAGAAGCGTGCTTATATAACTGTGTAGAAACATGGGACTTTTCCCGCCGAACTTGACAAGCGAAACGATGTAATGAGAGAAAAATGACAAAATCTTTTTTATTGAGTTATATTACAAAATAATAGAAAATTTTTTTCCTGTGTTTCTATACAGTTATAGAAACACAAGTGGGAGTTTGAGAGAACTCGAAATAACGTGGAAATGATTATTTCTTGTTCTCCCAAACTCCCACGCGTGGTTCTATAATTGTACAACTGTGTTTCTATTTCTTAAATATAGTGCCAGGAAATAATTTCATCGCATTGCTGCATAACTTATACCTATCTTTAACCAGTATCTTTTTGCATCCTTCACGCAATGAAATCTACAATAGAGAGAAAAGCTCTTATTAAATTCAGAGACGGAACTGTAGGAAAAAACGCATTGAAGATATAGGAGATTCACAGTATAGTTGCGAATAAGAAACCTGCAAATTGTAGTCGTGTAAAATTTTGACCAACGAATCACGAAGTCCGGGAATTTCCATAACAGAAGGTATCCTCTAAAATGTTTTTAAATACGACGATAATAAGGAGAGCAATGTTGTCGATAAAAAAAAATACAGGTGCTGTATATAGATCATTAGGTGTGCCTTATGTCTCTATACATTACTTTATAAAACCATGTCTCCATATATATTACTGCATGTAACATTCTAACTGACCTTAATAAGTTTTATGGGATCAACATGTGTCCCTATATTGTGCAACAATCCAGTGATAAACGCTACAAAAAAAGTTGGATTTAAAATTTATAGACCAGCTTTATTTTACAGAGATAAATTTGAATATATGTATATACACCTGGTTTATCTAAAGAATACGTGATGAGGTCTTCCCACAGTTCTTCATCATCTTTCTCTTTTGCGAAAACAATGGCCTTAAGTATAGAAGTAAAGCATAGACATGTCAATTATTTCTATGGGCATAGCAACAAGGAGGAATTTCGTTTTGAACTAATCGCTATATATGTTAACATTTTTTAGGCAAAAGCAACCAGAATACCTCAATTTTAAATACTTCATGTAAAATAATATATATTGTTTTTTTTATCAAAATTTATGCATTCTGATTGGGTTACTGAAAATGTAAACAAACTTGCTGATTGGTCCAAAACGAAATTCCCCCTTGTTAGGCATACCGCAATTACTCCCCTATACACTGTAAATATAAACGATATTCTTAATAAAAGCTGGGACATGCAGCTGATGATCTTATTTCGAATATCATGGTTGACTGGTAAAACGGCATGAAGAAATATCTTCTATTTGTATCTGTTGAAACTACATACCTTCTCAACATCAGCTTCTTTTTCAATAATCAGCTGAAGAGCTTCCTTGTTATTTCCCATACGACCTGAAAGAAAAAGTATGAATTAAGGTTCGACGTCAGAACACATGCACAAGATTTCACTATTAGAATCCTGACGTTTTTGGAAAAATCTCCACTGTGGTAAAAAATTCCCAATATTTATGTAATTCAGGCTGACCTACACACAACACAAATTAGAACCTTCACGAATTTAAAGCCTCGTGACAGGAGTCAAGACTTTTCGTTCAATGGAAACACACATGCAGGTGTATAATTATATTGATGAATACAGGAGAACGAAGGAGTAGAATATTAAGGCCTGTTTCCGACGTTTTTTACTGTGCCGAACCTAATGTTAATGAGCTAAAGTCTCTGTTAAAGTTCAGAAACGGGCCTTAGATTGAAGAACAAACCTCCACACTACTTACCAAGTAAAAACACCATTTCTTCGATCAGTTCTCTTTGCTTGCATTCATTGAGTGCCTGTTACAGTAAATCGATAATGCAAAACAGGAATGTCTTACACCAAGTATTACATTTTGCTTTTTGAACAGGTCTTGTCACCACTAAACTTATTGGCCGCATATGCAATTTAATTTGAAAGACTATGCAAAAATACGACCCTCAGCTAGTACTGACATTCTACTAAGTCACCGGGGTCATTAGAACAATCTTCCACGCTCCCTCAGCCAATGTTGGTATGTACTTCAAGATTAGCCTTACTTTTACAATATATGCATGGAAAATATTTCTGCTTATGAAAAAACGCATGGGATATCTTTTGAAGGCGTTTTTCACAAATGCCGTAAAATTTATAAGGATAAATTTATAATGTACTTACTTTTTGAAGAGGATAATAATTACTTCTTTTTAGAAACGGGAGCAGCTTCGGACGATCAAACTCTGCATAAAGTGGAACCTGTACAAAGTCAAAGGAGGCGAGAATGATGTAAAATTAGTTACGTGAAACGTATTAAGAATACCAGCTACTGTGGTGACGAGATGGAGACGAGGTGATGAAGCAGTGTTTCTCGTTTTGAAGTTCACCTAACCGAGATCTGCTAGAAGATTCTAAGATTTTGCTATGCAGCATATTTTGCTACTATTATATCAAAAGCTGTATAAATGGAAATTATATCTGTAAGAATCCAATTTAGTAGATACCTGAATTTCATGAAAATCCATACTAAGTTCTGGGTCTTTCTGAAACACAGCATCTAAATACTAAAATCAATAGATCCAAACGGATTTAATACATAATATCTCAACCTCAACCTATGCTTAATTTATACAACGTGATCAGGTATATAAATATGGTGTTCCATCGAGCTTGCCTACATGCAGTAGGACATACATGTGTGCGTGTATTATGCATAACACGTAACATTTTATCGAATTCCCCCTCGCTCCATGTCTATAAATAATAAATGGTTCCTACCGTGTACAAGTATTCTGGACGTGGGGTTAATTGTCGAACAACAACTTCAATCTGAAACAATAAAATATACAACATTCGCTGAAACACACTGGAAGCCCTAGGTGAAGGCGTACGTGAAAAAGAGAATACAGATCGCAAGAAAAGAGAAGTGAACATTCTTCCTTGATAGTACATATAGGCAATGTAGTAAAAATGATACATAGGTTAAAGTAACAAGATACTGTGTTTTTTATATGTACAGTATGAACAGAATCATCATACCGAAACTTTCTTAATATTTTCTACCAGCATTGAAACTGCTTTCTAAACATAAAAAAGAACACTCGTTTTGTCTTGTACATGTATCGGTGGAATACTCTACATAGCATAATTATTTAACAGTTACTCTGCGAACTCGAGTCGTATATGAGCTGATAGCCGACGAGGCGCGTATTTATTATATACACAAACTTTGTCGCCCTTTCGGTGCATTTTGGTGTGCTATCATCAACTAAAGCTTGGATTTCTATTTCACTCAACTCCCCAAATCTTTCAGCCATTTTGTTTACTTTCTCTACTAGACAGATATGAGCTAATATCTGCATGTCTAGTAGCCAAGCAATGAAATTGCAGCATACCTCATGCCCGGTGCTTGTGTATATAATAAGATATATTGTCTTGCTTGCCATTTTAGAGTATTCTTCTACAAGCTACGAGAGCTCAATCTTAAGACTGTTAATAAATTGTACTCACGATCGTGAATGAATTTTTTCGACATTGTTTTCGGTAACATTGCTAATTATCTTTATATCAAGGTACATATACTGTAGGTTTATTGAAAAATCTAATTTACCTTCGTATTAAAATCCATTAGCATCACAATTTTATCATGAATAGAATCTAGTAGGTTGTGCTTGTGGATTAATTCGAATACTCCATCATATTTTAATCTTAAAAATAGCAAGATTCATTAAAATAATATTTAGTGGGTATGGCGCGCTATCGATACATGATAGTTTCGAAAGAATGCAAGCTTGCGAAAAAATGCAAAAGTGCATGTTTACAGCTACATATTTAGTGCACGGGCGAGATTCAAGTTCGATAATCCACGTGCAGAACGTGTGAAATGGTTATATAAACTAGTAGTAATCACAGATAGTGATGTGCGTTCGGAATGTGCTGATTTCGGTTACCGATCATTAATAAAAATGTTAACAGTATAACGTCACAGCGTATGTGATTAAAAGGTTAAACGCAAATATGCTTTAATTAACAACAAAATGTCAAAATGGAGCGAGCACATGATCTCCAGCTACTATGAAGACGCATCAGAACGAGGCAAATCTGACATCGCAAATTTCGATATGACACAGCTAGGAAGCGTTCACCTTCGTCGAACGCAATTATGACATTGATTTATCGATGCACTATTGATTCATGCTACACAGACTTCGAACAACCGGCCGTTGCTCTGGACAACAACATAAGAAACTTACTCGAGATAGATTGCCAGGCTTTGATCATAACGACCTTGCGATGTGTACCTTAATATTGGAAATACAATTAAACCGTATTAAACGGGTAACTAACAGTTTGCATGAGAACATTTTGAGCCTTGAGGTAGCTACATATGTAACTTACAGTTCCCCAAGACATTGTAACAGGATTGGATTCTTAGGATCTTTCAACAATTTATCCTGAAAGAGAGTTAGACCTCATTATTAACATATAGGCTATAGACGCTATAAGCCGAGGGTCTTAAAGCACTGAGGCTCCGACTTTGTGCAGATTAGACGTCGACGTTATGATAGCACGTACAGTTTACACCAAAGTAACCAAAAAGGAACAGGTATAAATACCAAAGAATGGTCTGAAAACATTAATCTCTCACACTTTGAAACCAAAATTGCAGCTTAATCAGCAGAGAGTTGTTGATGACTTGAGATGTTGTGACTTACTTTGAGTGCAGCTATGACAGGTTTAACATTGTACAGCTCAAAGGGCCATTCTTTAACGAGTTGTTGGAAACCCTAAAATAAGGAAACAAGAAATAATATTTGTTTGCATGGCTGCATGGGAAAACTGACCTAAAAAGACAGTTGCGACCTAGAGCTTGATAACTTACCTCGACATTGTTTTGTAAAAAATTGCCCAAGACAAATTCATAAATTGTACTGTTTAGTCTGTTTGAATCATTTGGGTCACGCGGAATAAAAGGTGCAATGGCCTATAACAAGTAAAAGGTTTTTATCAAATACAATGTATGCGTTTGCCATATATTAATACACATTTCTCTTTCTTAATCTAGACCCCCTTAGAACTTGCTTGCAGACATTTATAATTAGTTAGTCCCAGTTTTTATTTTATGATACAGCAATATACTTACGTGCACTTGATGGTTCTTGGCAAAATTGTAAACTTCGTCTTCCCAAAGACTTGTTTCATTGCCCAAAACTTTCACACACATTCTAAATAAAACGTCTGTTGCGGTATTCCACGACTAATTACAGTACATTCTAAGATGCATTAAGTCCTAAATATTCCACAAGGTCGACTTTTTCACCATGCATGTATGCAGGTAAAATTGCTCCAGATTTTGCTCAAATTGGATGTTAAGCAGCCTAACTAATATGCATATTGAGATCAGATCATGTTTGAAACGTGAACTGATCTTATGATATATTTACTGGATAGATCACTTTAAATCTAATACGAGTGAGACTGGGAGCAAGTTCGGTCTAAGGTGAAACAAAATTTCAATTGCTTCCACAACATGAATTCGTACCTCGCAGCCTCCGAATATTGACCTTCAGACTTTAAATGTCTCAGGTATTGCCGTCCAATATCCTAAAAGAAAAACTCGAGTTATATACACTGTAGCTGATTTCTCAGTTGGAATCTTAATGCGTTGATGTTCAAAACAAAAATTCAAAATTCGTGTACTTACCAAATAATTATTCCGCTTTAGGATTTTTTGATTCGCCTCCACTGAAATGAGAGCTTCCTAGAAAAGATGACATACGGCTATAGCTAAAATAGCTAAAAATATTCTAGTTCTTATAGAAGCTAGGGAAGGGTTGTGATCGTTTATGTGCATGTATTGTTGTTGTATGTAATTTTTTAACACAAAAACTTACTGAAAATTTTTTATTTTCAACCAGCCAGTCAATATGGTCATCAATTTCTCTTGGCTAAAGAACAAGTTACACAGCAATTCATGCGGTAAAGACTCGGAGAAAAAAAAATATGATATACTGTATAATATACCTTTGCCAAGACAATGTCTTTTGGACTAATGATAAAAAACAGACTTTCTTCTGGCAAAGGTTCTAATCCAAAATTTGAAACAGATTGTTAATGAGAGGCGTTTAAAAGTGCATACGAATGGCGGGAGGCCTTGATTTCGTAAGTAAAGTACCCTTGATTAACGCAGTAATGAACCTCATTAAAGTGTCAATAGTATGTTTAAATATCGTCCGCAAGTTACCTAAATGATAATGATTACACGAATAGTTTTCAAATCCTCTCACTGACAGTGCATCTGCGATAATTTCTGAAAGTTCGTCATATTTTTCTGGGTGCATGATTCGTACTAAAGGTCGAGTCGCTTTGCTCTGGAAGAAATTATGTTGAAATTGACAAGAGTGGCTGTTACCGCGTGAATTAAATGGACCATGCACTCAACAAACCGATTTCAACACACCTTGCCATCGTTTGTATTTTTATCCACCACGTAAGATAAAATGATCTACAATTTATCAGATGGCCAGACGTTACGTTATTAGTTGTGGTAGTTAAAGCTGGTTTTCAAATGTTTTTCAAATCATTTCAATATTTTAATGTCAAGTCAAGCCTCGTTTATCAATCTCAGCTAAGCGAGATCATGTTAACAGGCCCTAATTTTACATTAGTACTTACCAAATCATTGCCATATGGTCCAATTCCACAAATATAATATTCCAGAACTGTCATAGCCACTTGAAAAAAGGGTCACGGTTAGAACATGTTTTTAAGTGTATAAAAGATAACTGCAATAACGCGGTTACGCCAAATACTCTTTACCTATTTCAACATATTTCGAAGGAAGAAACTTATGATCTGGATTTTGCACAACAGCATTTTTTATTCTTTCTTTAACATTGCAAACCTAACAATGACAATGCTGCAATGAGGAAATATAAACACTAAAAATAACAGTTTTAATAATACATATACATAGCATTCTCCCGCCCTCCAATAACCATTCACCCCCGTTTATTACCCTGGAAAAAAGCGAGATACGTTGTGTATTCATTATCGCGTGCATGAACAGACATCTTCATTTCGTATGGTTTTATTACTATTACTAATTTTAGGCAGCTAATGAGGCTAATGAGTCTAATGAGGCTATAATGAGATTCTATTGTTCTGAGATTTTATCTTACTTGAACTATGTTTGCCCAACCCACAATCAAAGTCGTGTTGTCTTTCCAAAACAAGTTGCAGCGATAGAGTTGAGGTCTTGGGCTATAAACGAAGACAATGGTATTTGATACACACACGATGTACTTCTACAGTTTACTTTTTAGAAGTTCAAAGCCATGCAAAGGGTGTTTTCTCAGAAGTTTCGAGAAATTCCACATAAAAAGGCAAAACAATTGCATCAAACAAACGCCGAGTTTCAAAACATTTCAGGCATTTAAAACTTTTCGACTTCGCATTTGTAACTTTTGGAAACTTTGGAAACGAACTTAGGAATACATGCAGGTATGATAAATATTACGAAATCAGCTGTGGGCGAGAAAGGCTGTACTGTACCTGTTTGGTTCTCTTCGTATATTCGTTATCAGCTGGTTCAAGCTGATATCGTACACTTTGACACCCTACAAAAAGACAGCGGTGTCATTTATTTACTTTTCGAATATTTTTGCTAATATGACTTGAATAGTTTGTGGGAGTTCAGTAATGTATGTTGTAAAGCATGCAAGTAATCAAACACAAAGAACACATGTAATACAGCTAGTCTTTATTTAGGTACCATGTCATTTGCCCAGGCAATATAACACGATTTCCATCGTATTGTACTAATTGCCCCTTCACCACCATGCAGCACTGTTGATTTGTAACGAAAGAAACCTTTCTCATGAAGTACCAACTAAGAAAAATGATGGACATTATAGTCATTATATTAAGTCAAAGCGAAAAATCTCTGAAACGAAATTTCAAAGATAATTGATCTTGCTAGGTGTTTACTGTACCTTATCGCCACCAGTAACAAACGGCTTGGTGCTTTTCTTGGAAAATTCTGGGTCTAATGCTACAGCCTTAAAAGTAACAGCAAAATCAGGGACGTCATATTTTGATTTCGAATTGAAATATACAGTAGCGGTGAAACTGCATTTTTTGTGCTAAGCAGATGTAAATAACGATATGCTTGACTACAGAGTTAAAAACTCTAAAAACCAGTAATCTGTCTGTACAGCAAATGCAACAGCTCCGGTCTTGCCGTGTTTACAGCGTATAAAGGAAAACACCCTAAGACTATGTGCACACGGTGACGTTTTCAAGCGTCAGCGCCATAAACTAATTAAAAACGATTTTGAAAACGATCGAAAACGACGCTCGTGTGCACATAGCCTAAGGCGTAGGTTATACGTCATATTTTTGGTCGCGTCGAATGCAATTCAAACAATAGATAATGAGATGATAATGAGGTTTATCATCTCATTATCTATTGTGAAAATGCTATTATGGGTAACTAACCGGGTACGGTAGAAAATTAGCTTGACCACCGTGGTCAAATTTAACACTATGTTTTGATGAAAGTAGCCAGTATTGTAGCCACAGTAAATGTATTTTGTGTATAAATACAGAGGTTCTTGAAGTAAATAAATGAGTCTTACTTTAACAGGAGTATCAAAACTCTGTTGAAAATTATTTTCTGAGCTGTACAAACCATTGATTACCACCTGCAAAATGAACAAGAAAATGAGGTAATTAACATTTATTTAATGCGACAGAGTTGACAAGTGGTATTACAGGTATATAATAATACTGATTGTTTGGGTTACAGTTCTAAACAAGCACAGTTATTAAAATAAAGCTGATGTTGACTTATGATTGCCGTTTCACTCACCCGCCCATCATCTGAACAGCTAGCAATGTAGTCACCATTATTGTCAATGCTTATTTGGTTAACCGTGGTTGTGTGCTGGAAAAAAGCAAAAAAGCCCAACAAATTTTAGGTAATTGATTTGTATAATTTTATCGCATCAGAAAATCACTTACGGAGGGAAATTCCTTGTTTCTTATGTTGTTTCCCTGGTGATCAAGAACATGTACCACACCACCATGAGTACCAAGAGCTAAAAACTAGAGAAAAATCTGTGATTTTTAACACAGTAATCTATGTATCAGCTATTCAATTTACTCATATAGTATAGCTTTTTTGCAAGTGACGTCATAGCCTTCGATCTGGCAATTTTGGAATAAATACTGTTATATACACTGTGTACCTTAGAATGGACAGCCATACAACTTGCAGAATCATCTGCAAATAATTTAGATATAGCATTTCCAATTCTTTCATATTTCAGTTCTGGTTCTCGCTCCTCTTCATCTTCATCTTCATCTTCGTCCTCTTCTTCACTCTCCTGTGCATTTGAACACAAGTTTGTAAACCTTACAGTCAGGCTTATTAAAACCTCATTCAATATAATATATCATGAATGCAGGGGCATTAAATTAACTCCAGTAGGTTGAAGGAAACGTCAAGCGTGAGAGGAATATGAGAGGAATTATATGAATTATGTAAATATTAACTGCTGATTCACAACCATTTCAAGACGCATAAAAATTTATAGAGATCGATGGTCAAGGAAAGTGTAAACACCCCTGCACATTCTATTGACCACCGATCTCTATTAGTGATGGGCGATACTTCGATACCAAGTATCGATACTCACCGATATTTATGATTTGCACTAAATATCGATACTTGACCAAGTGGTCGCAAAATTTCGATACTGAGCCTACAGTATTTTAGGTCAGCGTTTTCTACCAAAAAGTATAAAATTTTTTATTTATTTTTCTTTTGTTCGTCACTTTTTTGTTCTTTAGTTCTTTAATTATATGCTACCAATCAAAATAATTTCTGCCCATTTTTCATTTGCGAAAAACAAAGGGAAAAACCAAAAATGTGAGTGAATAAATGCACATTATGGTATGGTATATGAAATTACAAACGGTAAAAAACGGCTCAAATTTCTGGTATCGGTATCGAAATTTGGTATCGATACCACTACAAATTGTCTGGTATCGAAGCGGTATCGTATCGATTTGAAAAAGCTGGTATCGCCCATCACTAATCTCTATATATAAGCTGAATGCAACCTTTATAACCTTTGTTGTTCAAAAAAGAACCTGGGTATGAGACCACATCATTCTAGTTATTCTAAATGGTTCAAAGAACCTGGGTATGAGACCACATCATTCTAGTTATTCTAAATGGTTCATAGAACCTGGGTATGAGACCACATCATTCTAGTTATTCTAAATGGTTCAAAGAACCTGGGTATGAGACCACATCATTCTAGTTATTCTAAATGGTTCATAGAACCTGGGTATGAGACCACATCATTCCAGTTATTCTAAATGGTTCAAAGAACCTGGGTATGAGACCACATCATTCTAGTTATTCTAAATGGTTCATAGAACCTGGGTATGAAACCACGTCATTCTAGTTATTCTAAATGGTTCAAAGAACCTGGGTATGAAACCGCATCATTCTAGTTATTCTAAATGGTTCAAAGAACCTGGGTATGAGACCACATCATTCTAGTTATTCTAAATGGTTCATATACATTCTGCTGGGTTACCGTATACCTCAGGCGATATTAAAAATGATACAAACCTCTTTCAGCCTATTTTCCTCCTTTTTCTCCTATATTAAATTTTGTCAGAAAAAAAGTAGATATGAAGATATCTGAATTTTAGGGAATTATTGGCATGACCAACAGCTAGGGGATCAACTGCAAGGAATAGTAAAAATAAAACTTCTGATTTAACTTCTAATGTTCTAATTTAAGCCCAAAGCTGTGCAGAATTGTAATTCAGGAAGGAACAACAGAAAGCAGAACTCAGACCAAGTTTATGATTGCATACAGTTGTACAATTAGTTCAGTCAAATGAAAAATGCCATTGTCAATAAATATTAGCAGAAATTATTATAATTGAAATGCTGGAGTGGAGGTTATATCATTAACATGCCAAATTAATAGAAAAATACAGTGTGTTTTCCACTTATTCTATGCTGTCTAATCTCTATATATTCTAGACTGAAAATCTCTCTTTTAGATTTCAAACCTCATGAAGAGAAGTGACAATGTACTCAAAATAAGTAGTTTATATGCAAATAGCCTGCTAGTAACTAGCCTGTGTACAGACCAGGGCAACATGCTAGTCTGAACACAAACTACCATCAATGAGATATGTACAGCACACCAGTAAAAAACACTACATATGATCAATATTCAAGAAAATATCAAGAAAAAACATAAAATAATGAAGTAAATAGACTGTAGGCTAAATTTATTCGTTATTTATTACTGATCGCTGATGCCTATCGATATATGCCAAAACATAATAATTTATCATTGTCTCTTAACACAAACAAAACCACATTAATTGTAGCACGATTTCACACAAAAAATATTAAAATAAGCAACAACAAGCAAAATATCAACAAATTTATATTCTTCGTACCTCTGAAACATCCGCCATGTTGGTCTTCGGAAAAGGGGTATATATAAGGTTGCCTAATAACAGCCATGGATTTGCATGGATACATACAGATACAGTATTTAAAATTCGTAATATCCCTTCGGTTCTTTGTCAATTTCTTAAAAGCCCTTTCGGTAATTATGTCACAGCATTTTAACATCACAACGTTTTAAATTTAGAACCACCTTAATTGAAATGGATTTCAAGTTTTACTCTCAACAGCCACGTGCAAAGATACAAAACATCCTTCTTCAACACATGCATGAAAAATATTTTTCGAATAAATGTGGAAATAAGCCACAACACGAGAACGAGGCGTTATGGCTTATCTTATACTTATTAGTCAAAATGAAAAATTATTTTTCATGCACGAGTTATAGAAGGATGTTTTGCATCTTTGCACATAGCTTGTGAGAGTAAAACTTGAAATACATCTCATCTAAGGTGGTTCTAAATTTAAAACGATAATGTTGTGACGTAATTACCAAAAAGGTAGGTCTATTCGTTTTACTAAAAAAGACTAAAAAGTAGTAAAAAAGCGGTAAGCTTTCATACGACAATTGCGTACTATTTGCAAAGTGACTGCTAAGTGCTAAGTCAGCTAATCCTGATCGATGGTGTTGGACGGCGAATCATTAGGGATGATGGAAGACTTTGTTGATGGGGAGATTTCGTGAAATTATTTCGTGAAAGGTCACTCTTGTATTGCGCATATTACCGATTCTAGGGAATATCAGTTGCGAAACTTAAATATATAAATAATAAAACTGATAATTAAACTGAACCTCGCTCCCAGGGTTTAAAGACCCTTGGAACGAAGTTGAATTGAACTTTGTCAGTTTGTCTGCATGAACGCGTTTTCTCTTTGCTACATGATTTTGCTTTGATCGGAATTCGGGTGTCCACCAGACGATTGTGCTATCCTTGAAGCTCATTGGATGCATTTCTAGCTGTTTCTAGACTAATGCAGGTTTATAAACGAATTGCTATGCAATCCTTCAAATCAAAATTAAAGGCATCTTTCAGGGCCGTAACTAGAACGATAATTGGGGGGGGGGGGTGTTTATTCATATATTCAGTTCTGCCCGACGGATTTCTTTTGTAAGTGCAATAGCTCACAATGGAAATCCGTCGGGCAGAACTGAATATATATTTCCCTCTGGGAAAAGGCAAGAGGGGCAGCTGCCCCCGCCTCTCTATGCAAAATTTCTGAAGGGTTTGCAAAACCCCGGGCGAGGGCTATGCACAAACGAAACCATTTCAGGATGCAGGAAATGTGCAAGCTAGGTTTGTACAGAATCACTTAAAGAGCCATGATTTAGTGTTTTGTCCCATTTCCATTCACTGCTGCCACAACTAGTGATTGTTAGGTATTCTAGACGAGACGATTCCATTCAGATTCCGGCCAAATGAATGATAGCAATCAAGCCATATCTGACGACCTGCTGTCCGGCTTCTAATCGCGGAAACTGACATCTATTTCCGAAAGCTATATAGATATAATCAGATTAATAAATGTTTTTTGCTCACAACCTTAGTGATCTCGATGAGCTACATGCGTTAATAGAAGTCAAACCGGGTGCTGCCTGTGCTACTCAAATCCAATTGTAAGTTTTTTCAATGTCAGAACCTTTTAGAGGTAGCTATATAACTTTTAAGGTACATCATTATTAAATTTTAGACTGTGCTTGCTTTTAGCTATATCATGTATTAACTCTTGTACTTATATGTAATAATTTACATATGAAGTTATGCATATTCTTATTCAAGTTAAAAGGTTTTCGAGTACTACAGTATACCACTTCTATTAAATAACTTTTATCATAGATAGTTAACGTTGAGCCTGGGAGGTATAAGGAAATATAATTTTAATTTTCAACTTCAGCTTCAGTTCATTATACCGTTTATACGACTAAATAATTCATGTGAAACTATGTGAAAATCTAAAATTTGCATTTTAAGTCTACATGCAGCAAATTTAGGGCAAATCTAAGGTTTCATCCTGCAGCGCCATCGCCGATGATTGGGCTGTAAATGAGAACCAAGCTTTATGATCAAAGGCTATATATGTCAATATAAAAGACCAATAAAGATCTATACACATGCACAAATGATTTTATTTATTCAGTGGACACAGACAATAATATAGATCGCCGACTGTTGGCGAGCAATAAAACCGGCAGACGGCAGACCGTGTTTTAACAAAAGTAGTAAGGATGTATGTTGACAGCTGAAAATAACTGATGATTTTTCATGAAAAATTTGAATGAGAAGTTGTGGCATGAGCGAGAATTTTTATGTTTTCGATCTATCATGTATCGTAGTTTATCGATGAAAATTGTCACGTTTTAAATATCTTGTTATTGAATAAAAACACCTCAATATGAAATATAATACGAGTGACAATGGAATATAATATACGCGACAATGGCCAATATAATAATGCATCAGTCAAAGCAATCTCAAATCAAATATATATCACTGAAATATATAGAAGTTCATAAGTATACGGGCGTTACGTGGCTTCTAAGGCTTTCATTTGGTCAACTTGTCTCAATGATGTATATCTTCACTAAATACAATGAAGAAATCGACAAATTTCTATTCTCTTTAGTCTATGCTTCAGTTAGCTCATCTGGGCGCAAATAGAATGACAACACGTTCAAATAGGGATTCATAAGGCCTTTTCAGCGCATCATTCACCTGGCCTACCGCCTATGTTATTGAGCAGCTGTAGTTCCTATCGATACCCTCATATCATTTAATGTACGTCAATTGATATCAGGAATTAATGTATGAAGAAAATGTTGTTTCCTATTCAGTGATTATTTTTTCATTCCCCATCTTCAATAATACTGTTATTTTATGAGTGTTTGCGTTTTTATTTACAGAACATTTATGTAATTCTATTTAGCTAGTGATTCAAAGAAATAAAATGCCTTTATTCAGTAAGCTCTTACATGTCAATTAATTAGTTAACTTCGACATATGGTTATGCTGCACCATACAGAGCTCAGTAAAGATGGAGCAAACAGGGACTGAGCTGAAGTTCACTCTGAGCTGTGAGTTCCCTTTTTACAGTTCTTTAATATTGCAAACCCTGAGTTAATAGCAAGAGATTTGATCCAAAAAAAAGTATATGATTTCATGCATACACATTTGACCTTTTTCATCATCAGTTTCGTAAATGAGCCTTAAAAATCCTTGTCTTAAATATCCGTGATTTCGTCTCTCTGAAAGATGATATGGGAACTGATACGGTGATACCGTATTCATGTACGTATATGGGGCAAAAATTTTCTCATTTGCTAAGATTTTGCATTTTTGTAATCTTGTTGTCCGACCTAACCACATGCATGCTGTCACAGTCGAAAACCTCAAGCGCTTAGAACAGATAACAAAGACTCAGTTCCTTTAATTACCGCATAACCTACGTCACTATACGTCCTGACGATTGGAGCTATTGCTACAATAATGCACATTTCTTTCATTAAAGATTGCAGGGTGTTTAGGAGTTACGCGAACACTAGGCAAGTATAAGATATTTTTCATATCAGGGTCTCAGCACTTGAGCTTAGCTATCCTATCTGTCTCCCAACTCCCAAGTGTAATGTTTCAAAGTAAGTTGGGCAGGAAAAATGAATTGCTATACACAGCTTAATTTTGAATTTAAAATACCACAGAAAAACGTCAAAACGATATTGGTTATGGATTTTCAAAGAATATCTTTAAATACAAATCTGCAAATAAAGGTGGCAAATAACGAAGTAAATTTACTTTATTTTCGAGTAATGGGCATGTAACGAAGTATATTTGTGAGAAAATACTTTTACTTGAAACAAAGTAATTTTTTAATGTAACATTTTGCTTCGCTATTTTCTATTACAGTTGCAAAGTATTTCGTTACTTTACCAGTTTTTTTAAACATTTTTCCAGTGAATCTCACCCGTTTTGACAGGAGATTATTATAGAGTACGCAATCACACAAACTAGTCAACTATACATCGATCCTCAGAAGTTGATATGTAGTCCGCTGACCACACAAACACGCCTTTAAGCGAATAAGTTTTTTATTCAAATATGCCACTAGCCACGTTTCAAAATGCAACGTTATTAACTCTCAGAGGTATTAGATATTTTGTTATTAGGTTTTTTATTCACCCTGTAGCCAACGTACTTTTACTTCGACTTCAGGCATTGTAATTTTTACTGAAGTGTATTTTTTCTCCGGTACTTTTTACTTCTACTCAAGTCGTTTTAAAGCTAATTACTTCTACTTTTACTCAAGTACAAAATAAAAGTAGTTTATAGGCACCACTGTCTGCAAATGCGATTGCGATTTTGAAGTGTAATGATTTATACTTTATTATGTCTTATACCCCGGCTTCGTCTCTGACGGTCATCTAAGTGTATGTCAGTTCGCTTGTGGCCTTGTGTCCTGCATGTGAAGTTCAGAAGTTGCGTGTTTTCTGAAAATATCATCTGAAGCGTGCACATGCGCAAAACGCATTCTTTGGACAGCCGTAAACATGGTTTCCCTAACGAAATTGCATCCCCATCTAAATTTAATGTAATGAAAAACGTTTGCTAATTAGATTTTATACCTAAAAAAATATTGATCAAGCAAACATATTGCCGTAATTAGACTATCTTCCTTGTTTGCTCTTTAACTGAAAACACGTTTCATTAGTAGTAGTCTGCCGATTTCATCTCCTTTCACTGTTGATGCTGTGAGATCCGTTGCAGGGATAACTGATTGTCTCAACTGATAAGAATTTAATATTCATTAACGTTATTACTTGGAACAAATCACAAATGTTATATTTTAATGTTGCATGAAAAGACGAAGGCTGTTTGTTGTTGGCTTACAAAAACAGATGTAATCATTTGCTTTTATTAATTTTTAATTAAGTGTCCTCACGGAAGAGTATTTGTATCATGCCAGCAATAAGTACTACATAATACTCCCGTGAAAAGTGCTACCTGGGATGTAATGAGCACTTTCATATCGTCTTATTATTTTGATTTCAGAAAACTACTACAAAGTAGTCCATTCAATTTTGTAATTGACTGCAATAAAGAGATGGTTGATAACTGATCGAGGCTCTTGTCTGATTCTCGGCCATACTCAATGCTTAAAATCATTAACTTTTTATTCTTTAGATGTTGATATCATTCTTGTCGTGTATCTCATTAATGCCAGCACTGATATATTTTCAATTTATTTGATGCAATTTTAGAAATCCTCGTAAAACTTGCTTTTTTAATTTGTTATCGAGAATTCAGCTGTATTAATATGCGAGACAAACGTACTATCCAAACTTAGTCGGAGAACAATATTAACGAGTCGACATGAAGGAAATCTGGGTTAAAAAGTTTAATCAGCTGATGCGGTAATTATTCGCTATTAATAACTAATATTCTCGTTTCGTATAATATGCATTTAGTCCCAAAAGCTATACTATGCACCAGCTCCTGGTGATGGGAAGCCAAGCGCACATATTGACATGAAAACACAATATACGTCTTTTAAATTTGAAATCACAGCAGTCACTCCCCCCCCAAAATTTTCCAAGGGACCATAAGTGCCCATTTTGTGACGAAAATGCCTTTTTAGAGAATGTAGCTGTAAATACTATTTTAAAATCGAAGCTCCCCTTTTTGTTTACTACGTATGCCCACTTACACGTGCATGTCCAAATCTTTTGGCAGAGCATGAATATAAATAACACTAGTGGTGTCCTTGCAGCTTTGCAATAGAACCGCCCGATACATATTTTTAGCTGTCCTTTATATTAACCAAAAGTGCCCCCGGAAGCTGTGCCCCCCAATCTCTGGATGCTTCCTACGCCACTGACAGTCGGCAAAGGTCATTTATGTTATATAAGTGCAATATTAATATTTTCAGCGGTGTTAAGGCTATATCCATGCTGGAATCAGAAAGAGATCAGAAATGCAGCAATACAATTAAATCTACCTCGAGAAAAAAGAGAACGTCACTGTGGTTAAATCATGTCCACGGATATCATCAGTTATAACAAAATATTTTTAGCCATCCGTATTCTTACACGTGCATGCATGTATACATACAAATGCATGCAATGATATTATCTTGCTTGTGAAATAACTTCCATATATTCAACACCAATATATTTCGATGTGCTAATGGAAGGACTTTATATTCTCGCTAGCATATATCTTTAATCTTTCAAATGTCAATATGCATATAATTTCTTCTAACGTATGTTTGATTGATAGTTACATAAACGTGGGAAACATGCCATGATATATCTATTAAACATTGACTTCGGCCCTTTTTTAATTTACAGTGTATATTATTAACGTTTGCGCCGACCACAAAGGTGTTGTTACCTGGAGAAGGCCGAGTGAAGTAGTGGATAACTCGATCAAAGATCTTTATCCAAAGGAAATTGGATCACACCGTGACCCCAATATAATTTTCACCTACCAGGCCGCAGATAACTTATTTGCATAAAAGAAAGGACTTATCGCTGTCGAGATTCCCGCAGGACGCGACATTGACAGACAAAATCAATCAGTAAAACTATACCATAAAAAGCATACGGTAAGAGTTTGAGTCATATAACTGCCTGGATTGTTTACAAAATACGAACAGGTCAATATAACGACAGGCTTGTGAAGATGTCATCGCTGAATTCCAGTAACGGTACAAATGCCACGGGCCAAAACGATTCATATTTAGACATCATCAGAAGTTGTATATTGTTTTCGTACTTCTTTACCATTGTGGCTGCTGTAACTATGAATTCCATTGTTTTGCTAGCAGTATACTTGGATAAGAGCCTACATAATGCTAACAAGTACTTCGTTGCCTGTCTAGCAATTTCCGATTTCATGGTAGCGGTATTTAGTGTTACCATTCGTCTTCATCTGTACATGAGACCCAATGTTCCACTGAGTATTCACGTGTGTCGTTTTTGGATTTGGGTTGATATCTTTACAGAACTTGCATCCATCACAACGTTGACAATAATCAGCATTGATCGTTACTTCAAAGTTGGAAAACCATTTAAATACAAGATCATGATGTCGACTAAAAGATGTAAAATCATAATCACGTTTCTATGGTTGTATGCGTCTGTGGTCGCATTTCTTGGTCTGGTACCTTACCAAGGCACGAAAGGGGTGCATATAACTGTCATCGGGAACTGTGCCAATGACAACAAGGTGTTCTACATCTTAGCTGCATTTATAGGATTCTTTATCCCAGTCATTATCCTAATTATTATGTGTGCGATGATGTTTCGCATTGTGAAACGATTTCACAGATCAAGATCAACCCACAACCGGGAACAAAGTATGGAATCACCTGCTATACCAAGGATTAATGTTAGCGGAAAGAGCGTCGCTAATTCAAACCACCGAACAGTCGCAATCTTCAGCTTAGTTGTATTTGCTTTCATCGTGTGCTGGGGACCTTTCTTTATTCTTTTTCTTATAAGCCAATACAATAAGGACTTATTGTCTCTAAATGATAAAGGATTTCAAATTTTATCAGTCGTTTGTTTTAATATTTTGCCGTACACAAACAGTTTTTTAAATCCCATAATTTATGCTTATTTCGATAAGTCGTTCAATATGGCAATAAAGAATATACTGTTAAGAATGATGGGAAAACAGCCTCGGTCGAAATCCTTACAAACAATGACAGCAAGTCGCGTGCATCTCCGTGTTTATTCGGAGACCGGAAGAACTTCACGTCTTCGAACAGACGAATCCTGCTAAAGAGCTATATTACAGAAAATAGCGAGGATTCAATACCAAAAATACTTCGTGAAATAACTGCTCATTTTCCATTTGTGGCCAACACCGGGACGCCAGGACAATGCGAAAGCAGGGTGAACGCACTATCATAATCAGGTGCGTTGGGGTTCTCTAACATCTCTCAAATATCTCATCAATAATTTATACATTTATGTACATTTCTTCAAAGGAATTGAATGTGTATAATAGTTAGGTAATTAACAAATTATTTGTTTCTTATTTGTGCCTTAAAAATAATCGCGTTTAAAAATCAACTGTCTTAATACGTTTGTAGCCCAAGGCTTTCTCTTGCTACTGATTCGCCTCATTCTAAGTGGTGCATGCCTATCTAGGATATCCATTGTTTCCATTAACAAAGTTTTCCATGCTTCTCACATTTCATTAATTCATTATAGGGTCTAGGGTCTCTTAAAAGGTTAATGTTTATCCAATGTTGTTGTTCACATGAGTCATTAAGAAAATTGTCTCTATTAAAATATTTCATGGATCTAACTTCAATGTTTTTCCTTCTGTTGAAAATTTTTCTTTCTGTTCTTCTTTCTTTCCAAGCCGCTTTTGCATGATATCACCCACAGCGCCGCCTAATTTCTTGCTATAGTCTGGAAGTAATCTCGACACTCCGTCGTTCTGGAGGCACTTGTAGAGTTACAGTACACTGGTCAAAAATGTACTATACCAAAAATATAGTTCAGCGCAAGTCGAGAGCTTGAAAATGTAATATTTTTTATCATACACTGAACATTTAAAATTTTTAAATTGCGAAGCGAAATCATTTTATTGAAGATGGCCGTAAAATTTGGAGATGATTACAGGGCGGCGGCGGAACATTGTCGTGTTGTCCGCTGACAAAAATGGCTAAAAAATTGTTAACAATGCAAACCAGAAATACAAATGTTGTCCATATAGTCTATACTCCTGGTGTAACGCATATAGTGAACAAACACAAAGTGAAATTCTTATTCAATGTTCTATTCGACGTTTTTTACTTTACCCACATTTACTGGGGGAGGCTATATCCCCGCTGCCACTCTAGCGGATGATAAAGGAAACAGCCAGTATGTAAAATATTTACGGTTTCTCAATGAACACGGCAAACTTTCTCTTAAGGCTGCTTTCCACTGAAGATTTGGGATGTTTTTTCTGCAATACGTATGTACGTGCAAAAAACGCGATAGTGTGCAGGGGCGTAGGAACCGGGGGGGACAAGGCCCCCCCAACTTTCAAAAATAATAGAAAAAGTGCCCTTTTGCTAAGGTAAAGTGCCCTTTTTCTTTGTGGAAACGTCTATGCCAACGCAACAAATTATAATATAATTCAACTTTTTTCAACAATAATACGTGGCAATGTTAAATGCCCTTTTCATCAGGCAAGTGCCCTAGACGTTAATGGCCCCCCCTACTTAAATATGGTTCCTACGCCCCTGATAGTGGGAAGCAGCCCTAATCCCTCTCACGCTGAATGAACCACTTGCAGGAATCAGAGGATGATTTTTGCACCCAAATCCCTGTTGAAGTGGGAGCCGTGGAATGTATTGTTATAATATGGAATATAATATGTATATATGTATTGAAATGCAGCAAAAGGAAAATCATTTTTCTCTTTTTGCGTTCAACGAGATTTGCGATGTCACTGATTTGCCTCGTTCCGATGTGTCGTCATAGTAACTGGAGATCATGTGCTCACTCTATTTTGACATTTTGTTGTTAATTAAAGCATATGAGCCATCACTGTTGTTAAATTACTCATTTTGCGGGTAACCTTTTTAATCACATATAATCTGTGATTACTGCTAGTATACTATATATACATATACTTGAATACAATTTTGATTTCTTAATTAATCACCATAGCCTATAGATTCAATTATTTTTAATAAAGTTAAGTTACATTTAACTCGTGTCTTCAGGCAAAATCATGTGTCGTCTGAAGCAGAAGTGACCTCCTGGTTGCGACTCTCTGGATTCTGGAATATTAACCTAGTGCAGTAACTTATCAACTATAATTATAAAAAGATTGCCTTTTAATATCTACATCACAATTGGTCATCTTTGAATTAAAGATATCTCTCCGTTGCCTTCTCCTAAGAACCTAGGAAGTAGGAACCCACTAAATGAAGCCATGGCAACCACAGGGGTGATCCTGAATCCTGACAAACTGAAAGTCAAGCCAGTGGCGTAACGGACGAATATGGGGCCTTTAGGTACAAATTTGGTATTCTGTGGAACCTGTTTGTTTGCAGTCATTGTTTACTCATATTAATTAAAATTATGTTTCTTTATCTGTCCTTTACTATACCAATGGGGGTGCACTAGTCTTTGGAGCCGGAGACCATTAGTTTTCCTCTTATTCCTACCTACCGTGCGCTACGCCACTGAGTTTGATCCTGGGACTGATTGTAATGATACATGAAACGATTATCAAGACGGACTGTCTGGTGCATTCTTCGCTAGTTCAATCATCAGCCGAGAAGAAGACGAGTTTCGAGTACCGCGGGTACTTTCTCTAATGTACGTTCTGCGAGTGGCAGAGCTTAGACTTGTTTCTGTGTTTTGCCTGGTAAGACGTCTGCACAAGTTGTATCTTTGAAGAAGATGTTTAAAAGCGTTGCTATACTCGCGATCAAAACAGGCATAGATCAATGGATTGCACATACTATTGAAATACGGAAGAATGGTAATGAACAAACTGCCGATTATCTGTTGCTCATGCAAAGTTAACGGGATGAGGTATTCGGGCTTGTAAAAATTTATCAATAATAGAACGAAACTTGGAGCCCAGCAGACGATGAAAGTGCACACGACCAAAGCCAACATACGAATCGTCTTCAACTCTTGCCGGAGCTCTTTATTCTTTTTATCATTCTTCGTACCCGCAAATGACTGTCCTAATTCCCCTCGTCTGTTCATATTCTGCCTTCGGTGTGCAATGTAAAAGATAAGGGCATACATGAGGATTATAATCACCGATGGAACGAAGAAAAAAAGGATGGAAATGATGGTATAGTACATTTTGTTGTCGTTAACACATCCACGACCAGCCACCGACATTATGCCGGCACTTTCACCAAACGAAGACAAACTAAATGTAGCCGATACTGTCGAGATAAACCAAATATTTGCAATCACAATTACAGATTTTGACGTATTCATTCGAATTCTGTATTTGAATGGCTGGCTGATTTTAGAATAGCGATCTGCGCTTATCACCATTAATGTTAAAATGGAAGCCATTTCACAGAAGCAATCAAACCAAGTCCAAACCCGACAAAGCCCGATTGGATGCAGTTTCGCCTGGAAAAGTTGCATGTGCAGGCGAATAGGAGCGCTAAGAACGCCGACAAAGAGGTCAGCAACAGCAAGAGAGGCAATGAAATATTTATTTGGCTGATGGAGACGTTTGTCCAGCCAAGTTGTTGCCAACACAAGTGTATTTCCCAGGACGGTTGCAATCAAAATAATGACCAATAATACTGTTGTGGCAATCCAAATTGGACCTTTCGGAAATACAGTTTGCTGTTGCGAAGATACAGTGCTTGTGGATGTTTTTAACCAAACTTCAGTAAGAACTGTAGACCCGTTCATTGTCCTGGTTGAAAGAAAGGAAACACATTTAGTTTTTTCTTTAACTAAAGAACACGATATACAACAGTCAAAGCACAGTACGTTCAGTTGCACCTATAGATACAACCTTTCCCCTACATATTTATATGTAGAACTGGTAGAAAAAATTTTCCCCACAGAATACCTGGCCGAAAGCACTGACATGCATGAGCGGTTGCATCCAGCTGCACCATAGGATATCAACTGCTATTTAATAACAACAATTTTGAACTGCAATATATAAGTATTATAAAGTGTCTGCATATCTTTATTGGCTGTTTTCGCACTGATTATATACATGCACAAGCGGCTTTTAAAAAAATTTGCTATATAATGGCAATGCGACCGTGACAGACCTGAAAAACAAAGCGCTGAATGAAGGAGGATCGTCTTTTGGCCACGTCGAGCTTTTCATGCTGAATCAAATGCAAATAAACTTAAACAAAAACGTTTTAACATTAGTTTCGGCACTTGAAGAAGTCGACGTCTGAAACGGGCTTAATTAAAATTTGTGTATAACTGTGTATAGCTGCATGGGGTAGCTATTTACTTAAGTAAAATAAAAAAGCTCAGCCCCCACATTTCCATTGGTCAGCCCCCATTCAATTTATGCTTCCCATGCTGTAAATATGTGATATTATGATTTTTATTGTCTTTCGCATATTAATATAGTCACAGTTGTCAGTTGAGATCAGAATACCGTCTGCAAAAACTTGAATGTAATAAAATATTTAAAACCCTACGAGTAAATTGTACCTATATACAAAATTATAACTTTTAGTCACATTAATTTGCCATTCAGCCGAGTCCATGCATGCATGCAACATATACAGTGAAATTGCTGTCTCTGAAAATCGGCCTCTGCATGTAATATAATTTTCACGTGCATGCAATGCCAGGTAAATATATAGAGAGAAAATCCACGAAAATTTTGATAGTGTTCTTCATTACTAAGATATAAAAGACGATTCGTGATTCATGACTAAGAGTAAAATATAAAGGATATTTTAGGAAAGGAAATTTTTTTCTTTTAATTTTAAAAAAATGTTCAACTGTCGGTCTGATTCGATATAATGTGGTCTGTTCATTCACCTGTTTTAAGACTTTTAAAACCACAAAAACAGATTATGACACGAAAATTTCAAGTGAAAACATTTTGAAAGGTTTGAATTGACTTTGGTATATAGTGCGTCTGCACATGCACTTTGAGAGATTTTGACTTACCAAATTCCAGAGCAGTTATACGATTTAAAGGCAGCGCCAGCGTTCACCTACGGCTACGAGCCACACGTAAACACATGCAACAACAACTTCATTTGATTGATAAGTCAAAAGGCGTTACCGCGTTACTAAAAATGTTTCAGAGACAGAGTGGACTATTGACCGGCGATTTCAGATTGTTTAATATCGACGATTGTTTAATATTTCCGACAGTTTGACATGAGATGTGTTTAACTTGCCGACGTGTATAAGACTCAATTCGTTTAACAATAGTCGAATAGATATTAATGAAATCATGCATAATGTTTCAGTATAATATTTTATTCATCAGGCTTTGTTTGTCTAATATCGGAAACGTTATACTGAACGCAAGCAAATGTATTTGAACAATATACTGCAGTCTTTGTCTTGAATATTTGCTTTCAATATGATCATGCAAACGAATTTTTTTTGTAAATGCTTAGCTCATAAAAGTTATCATTTTCCAGAATCTATATATAAATATAATTGTACAAGTCCTTCTAATTACATATATCGTGTGTATATACTATAGTATATACCGTTTTTAGTAACTCTATTTTTCCACAATCGATTAAAATCGAATTGGTTTGGGTACCGCGGCTTTTACTTATATTACATACAAAACGAAGAGAAAAACTAGTTCCAAATTAAAAAAAATATATAACTGCATGAAATGGGCACTGCCCGAACATCATTTTCAAGTCCTCAATGAGCTAGTTTATGTAATACATAACGAGGCATCCCAACTGTTTATCGAATCGATTGTTCTGAATGCATGTATTTTGAAAATAGGAAACACGACTTTTGAGATAGATCTTTAAAATCACGCAAATGAAACCTTCCTTTATATTTACTGCAATGTATATCTATTACTGTATGTAGCTATATATAACTGCATGCGATGAAAAGACCATGGCATGCGTAAATATCAAACATAAATTACGACTTTTATTTGCTGCATCGCCAACGTCAACGAGCATCTGGTTTTTAGTGTTGATAAATCAGTTATTATTTTTAGTAAAGAAAATTAAATATTGTAAACGACGCCGAGATGTGCTGCGACAGTCAAATATTAATAACCTCGTAATAAACATAACACATTATATATATTTTGTCTGCTTAGAAAAAAGCCTATTTATAAGCTTAAATGCATGTGCCTAATGTATGCCTGCATGCAGACATTAATTTTAAGCCTTTGCCCGTAGGTCACTGCTGTGAGTTAATTGTAATAATCATGCATGATAAGACGACGTGTTTTTATACGGTGTTTATATATTATGGTTTACATGAGATCATATAAACGGATAGGCATTTTATATACAAGTGCATAAACAATAAATCATGATTTGATATATGGAATACAAGTATTTCTTAATATCTCTTTAGTTTAGCTCCGACATGCAGACACTTTTGGCCTTTTTTTTTGTCCGTTTTCATTGTGTGCAGCGGATAGCATATAAGCCTATATCATGCAGTCTAAAAGGCTATTCAGCGGTATAGGCCGCGGATGAATTCGTCCGTCCCCTGTCCCTGATAACCTTACCTCAATTCTAGACTAAAGTGCATTTACTCTATATTAAACGTTCGGAGTTCTCTTGCCAAAGGGTATGGAATATAGGCTATATCGTCGTGGTTTTGAGCTAGGGATTTTATGGAGCGAAGCAGCTGCATGCATGTGCATATAAATGGACTGACTGCTTGTATCTATAGGAAACTGAAGAGCTAGCCGAGGATATAATAGCCGTCATGCAGTAGGTTCATCTGTGCATGGATCAGTCATATATATCATACATGCAAAACACATACATCAACTGTATATAAGAAGGGTGTTTTGTATTATGCATATTATATAGCTATATATATAGCATCACTACTTGGAACTTTTTGTTAGTGGCACAAATTGAACCGCTTGCAGCGCATAACGAAATTAATACATTTCAGTTCTACAGTCAAATAAAGCAGCCTAGTGCATTTGCTATCACATACAAACCTGGAAATTTGTTCCTGTACTGCTCTAATTCGTAAGGAAACGTCTGCCACTCAGGAGTCAGGAAATATATTTATCACGGCTCAATAAAAATGCATTGGCCGCGTGATATGATCATATTATAATAACATAATTTGTCAAAACGTGTGACGTCCCGAGGAAATAGGCGTTATTGGCTTGCCACATAACCTTGGACTATTGGCTCGGAAGAGGTGGGTTGGAAAAGAAGGGTGTTTCATCTAAGGCAAATCTGTTGGACGTGGTTTTAATTTTCGAGATGGTCACCGAAAATTGTTCTGCGTACAGATTCATGAACACTGACCGAAGTATTCTACGAACATGTGCATTCTCTCTTTCAACTTAAAACTAGAAAGTAGTAAGGGAAGATGCTAGAGGCTCGGCTTGAGATAAGCTAATATTTACTGTAGGTAAAATACAGGGGCCGATTGTAAAAAACTCTTAACTACATTTTGCATAATAACTTAGCATCAAATGTGGTATAACAACTGCCAAAAATAGACAAAATACTTCTCGACGTTTCGACCTGAGGGCCTTCGTCAGGAGAGTCGAGAGTTAGTATGAAAATAAATAGGGGAGAATACATGTTTTGTATGGGGGCAAAAAACGTGATAAAAATGGGCCAATAGAAAACCAAAAAATCAAAACAAATTGCATGGAATCATTACGTTGCCAAATAGACGCCTGCATGATTGATTGATTGTGGGTTAAGAATAGCCCGCAATAAGGGAAGCCTGATCAGCAACGAGAATATATTACAAACAGTTTTGATGTATACAAAGAAATGGAAGTCATATTACTCTGGGTGAATGAGCTTTAATGAAAGAGAGGGATAAAGAGTGCCATGCAAGACTGTGGATGAGTCGCATTTCTTGTCGTTTACGGCTATTGTTAGTACCGAAAATGGGACGGAGGGTGTCCGGCAACAGGCTTGGTACCAGTTATCGTGGTTGTTGACCGATCTACTGTGTTCACCAAACCTTAAACTTAAAGATCTTCCAGTTTCACAGATATATCGGTCAACAACAAAGATAACACCAAGCCTGTTGCGAGACACTTTACCTCTGGTAGTCATTGTGTCACGCGGACATGAGAATTAGAGCTCTCTGCCCCATTCCCGGTACTAACGATAGCCGTAAACGACAAGAAATGTGACTCATCCACAGACTTGGCACTCTTCATCCCTCCGGCATAAATGAAAGACTCTCTTTCATTTAAGCTGATTCACCCAGAGTAATATGACTTCCAAGTTGTTTGAAGACGCTGCCACACTGCTCCCTGGTTATATTGGAACGTATCTACATTTTGCATAGTTAACTCCTAGTTAACTCAATCTCAGAAATACACAACTCCGATTGACCAATTCTGTCCTTAATCAGTACAGTTAAAAGTCTTTTATACAACTGGCCTCCGTATGTATATGCATGGCAGCTTAATAAGTTAATTAAGAGGTTATATAAAATGTGTTATTTCAACGAGCAACGCCCAATTTCGTTAAATATCTCAAATCACAAACAAGTTTCTTTATAGTATAAAATCTTTTATATGTTTATTCAGTAAAACCTAGTTTTCTCGATTTACCTCGCCAACTCCCTTAAGATCCCGAGTTTGTTATAAGTCTAAAGTCTATGCAGTGAATCCGGGTTCTCAAAGTTCCTCAGGCCGGCCGTTTCTCTTAAAACCATGCAAGCGATATTCGTCCCACCCTGTTTAACACACACGCAGGTCCAACTTAGCTAAGTTTCTCCCACTCGTGCAGGCTCATATTGTCAGCGGACAACTTACACAAAATTGAGAGCAAGGCGTAAAACGAAAAGCTTCTAATTTTTCATGCGAAAGCCGCTGGAAAACTGAGCCCTCTTTACCGGGAGAAAATTTGCCGAATATGACCAACGTGACACGCGTCATGATCACATATGAAATAACCAGCGTTACGCCAACAACCGTTTTATTTACATACAGTTTCGTGATGATGAGCAGATAAAAAACAGCCTTGCGGAAACACCTGCTATTGCTTCGCTGTGTTTTAAGATAGTCTACAAAACATCGAGGGGGGATGTACAGGAAAAACAATGCAAAATGAGTAACGCTTTGCCAGAAACATGGCTAGCTATAAATGACATGTTGTTGAATTTGATTGGAAACATTCTAACTTCCCGAGAGGCAATTGAATGAATTGAATGTTGTTCCGCAACAATGTTTTCGCAGGAGGAAAACATATGATTAATTAAAGAAACATCGCAAAGACGACCACGACTACAAAAGAGAGGGTCAATAGTTTTAGCCTATAATACAATTTTTTTCAAAAGCTCATCATGTCCACCCTTTTTTTTGGCGATACCCACTCAAATAAACTGCGCGCGTGCATGCATGCGTCGAAACATATAGAACATATAAGATTTTAGTATAGCGATTCAAGATTAAGATGATCACGGTTGCTGACCTCTATTGAGACGACAATTGATTATGTCAAAGTTAGCTTTCCCTGTGCTTCACTAATAGACAGAGATTCGTGCACTGTGATGAAACAATATACATGTCATAAATATAAATGGATTTCAAATTTATCATCCTCATTTGTTCAAGCAACTAATTAATGTAAGGTTAGGAGAACGAAGGAAGAACAGAAACAGGGTTCGCGAAGTGTTTCGCTAAGCAAAATAAAGAATTTTCTAAGGACTGAATTTCAAATTTCTAAGCACTTTTCGGTGCATGTTAATGCCACTTAAAATAATCAGCCTGTAGTCTGAAATGAATACTTCTCAAAATTAGCGTGAGTATATTTCTCGTGGTTTCCAAGCCCCTTTTAAGCACTCTTTTAATTTTGATTAGGCCGGCCAAGAACGTCTCAAGTGTCACTATAAAATTGATTGCCCCATGCATTTCACCAATTTTCAAGGGCTTTAGTTTTTAAGTGCTACACCAGCCCTGAGAAGCATGCATGCAATTCAAGACGAAACCGACGCTAGTTCTTTTGGAAAATGCAACTGTACCGGTTTTTCCGCAGGAAATGAAGCTCTGCCTATGTTTCTGCCGACAATTCTGCGGATGAGTTTAGCGTATATGTGTTTACCTGCATACCCTAGACAGCTGGTCTATACAATAGCCGACCGGGCAAGTTATTGTCATTCATTCAGGAAAGCTTTTCCCCAGAGGGTTTGCATGATACAGTTTGAAATAGTAAAAAAAATTATCTCGTTCGGATCGGCTTATAAATGTAACCATCAGTTGAATGTTTATCTGGCGCTGTTGCGTTAACGTGTCCTAATTACTAAATTAGTGACATGTAACTAAAATAACATAAAATTTTGAATGTGCCTGAATTGTACTGATGTGACCCACCGTAGTTTTAGTAGTTTAATTCGTTTATCAAAATCTGTATTGGCATATACTTACTATTCCTTTTAATTAATCGCCTCTCTAATTAATATCTTTCACTTCAGGTAATACAAACTATAACGCGCTCGCTGACCAGATATTTTTGCTTCGAAGAATTGTAGCAATTCAGTTTCACCACATGCAACACATATATTTATACCAGCATAAAAAGCAAGTTGACCCTTGCAACACAGACTGTATGAGTTTATATATGATAAACGTTTTTGCAATTTGAAGTTACCAAATAGCTATATATGAACACGCCTTTCTGCCTGCTGTGCTGTTAAAAGTTTTAAAGGCTCTTTTCTCTGCGGGACGCCATTTCGGTAAATTTTTAATGTTATCGTTTAGAAAAAGTATTGTGTAAGTAATTGCATAATTTTGACCTGCAGTTACGTTACCCTGGTTACCAGCTTCTTTTAACTTGCATAAACATGTTTTACTGGTCAATTATTGTCAGCCCTTATTTGCTAACACAGCGGTAAGTGACCAGCTACTGCATGAATGACTGGAATGAATAGTCTGTAAATCGTTTTTGTCTGGTTATTCTAAGCTTTTAATTTTTGTGTGAGTTTCCTGTGCTGGCTGTCGTTCGTAAATACGAGTAAATAAAGTATTATTTATTTGAATCATATTTGTTACATGCTTACGTTTGACCCAATTGCTGGCTAATATCAGCTGGCGCATATAGCCATAGGCAGCATAGCTATACAGGAGCCACATCTTAGACAATACTCACAATAGTTTAGATTTTTGTTGGTGGAAATTCGGTTTGTAGTTGCATGCATTTGATCGGATCATTAATGTCTCTTTTCCCCCGGCACTTGCTGTTCTGCACCGCAAACGGCAATCAAGTGAATCACTGAACTAATCAAGTCTTTTTTAGTGAACCTTAAACGTCTGCGATATTAGAAAGCTAGAACTCAACTAAACTACGATAAAAATTCATATAGTATACATGCAGGTATTGGCGTACAGGCCGAGTGATTTAAGCAAAAATTATCCGATTCAAGATTACAAATTTTATAACATATCATTAATCTTAGCAAAAACACTTTTCAAGATTCAAATGTTTCTGGGGGGAGCCGCAGACCTTCTCCCCCGCCTGCATTCATACCCTATGCATTCAGATTTAATTTCGATTTATCATTCATATATAACACTGGTTTTCTATGCCTCCTAGTAAATTACAATAATGCCAGTCCTAAATATATGGCATAGTATATTTGCGCCTCGCGTAGTCCATGTAACTTAACGCTCGCCATGTATCCTGACATAAAATAACAGTCAATTCCTATTTGGTATATTCGTTTTGGCATATCACACAGTTTTCATATATTATCCAATCATAAAGAATTCTACATTGTTTTATAGCATATGTCATTTTGCTCGTAAACTCGTCATTTTTTCGGGCCTGCATGTGGCCAGTTCTATGCACAAGCTGTTGGTTGACCAACGATCAATGCGAGTCTTCAAATCAAATTGTTCCACAAAATGTAACAAGTTTTTCCCGGGATGAATTTTCCTCACCAAATTTTGCAGGAAGATGTAAGGTTTATGAAACTGACCAACTGCAGGTGTTTTCCAATTGAACCTACTTGCCCGTCAAAAAATTCTGTGTGGGCGACAATAACACGCACGTCTGCTGACTAAAGTGATCGTGACTTTTTAAGGACCCTGTTTACTGTTCAATGAAAGCTATATTTTCTATATACATACATAAAGAAGAACAGTAATTTAAATCTAACTTGCTGCAACGGTCGGCCCTAATCGAGCATTGAGCAACCAGCTGCTGGTGTAAAAATAATTTGAGTTTCCACATTTGAACGAGTATTAGGGCTCAAACTTTGAGTCGCTGAACTATATCTCTCTCTTCCGGAGGACATTTTACAACTCAACACCATTTTGAACAATCTTTTGAAAGCGCTGCTATATTCTCGATCGAAACAGGCGTATATCACCGGATTGCAAAGGCTGTTGAGCGATGGTAAAATGACAATACAAATGGTGCCTAGAATCTGTTGGAAATATCTGCTGGTAGGCAAATATTCTGGGCTGTAAGTGACAAGAAAAAATAGAACAAAAAAAGGCATCCAGCAAATCGTGAACGCCCCAACAACAAGAAGAAGCATTCGAACGGTTTTCAGTTCTTGATAAAATTCCTTGTTTACGGATTTCCTCCTTCGCGAAGACATCGTTCTGCCCAATTTTCCCTTTCGGTTCCGTTTTTGCTGCGCATGCGCAACAGTGAAGACAAGGCAATACATGACGAGCATGATCAACAAAGGTATGAAGAAGAATATGGCACTGGTGACGGTCAAGTAGATTTTATTATCAATAATACATCCTCTTCCAACCAATGCAACCACGCCATGACTGTCGCCGTATGGAAATAGTCCCAAAGTGGCGTGGACCCCCGATATGAGCCAAATCGTAGAAATGATAAATACGGATCTCGAGGTCGACATTCGCGATCTGTATTCGAACGGATGACTAATTTTAAAGTAACGATCAATGCTAATAATCGTTAAGGTAGCAATCGATGCGACTTCGCAGCTAATATCCATCCATGTCCAGAAACGACAAAGGTAAATTGGGGCAAGAGTTGTTTCGTTAAGGTGGAGATGTAATCTGATAGGAACACTGAAGACACCAACAAGTAGATCAGCAACAGCAAGACAGGCGACAAAATACTTATTTGGTTGATGAAGACGTTTATCAAGCCAGGTTGTTACCAAAACCAGGACATTGCCGACTACGATGGCTATTATCATGGCGATCAATATTACCGATGTAGCTAACCATGTCTTTTCTTTTGAGAACTGCGCTGCTGTTTGATTTGGAGGTGGATGTTGTGACAATGCGGGATTTACGATGATGGCATCAGTGGTGTTATTCTCCATTCTAGAAATGCTTCCACTGAGAAGAAATGGAATAAAATAATATCAGCAGGATAAGGACTACGTCTCGCTGAGTACAAATCGTGACTTTGGACATGGCGATGTCACCTTCTATATAATATTATGTCTGGGCAAGCACAATCAGACTAGATCAATGATAACTATAGATAAGCCATTGGTATTTTTTAGGGCTGGACGTGACACAGCTGCACTAAAAAACACAATGTTTTCACAACATAAAGCACGAAAAGAAATTGTCTCTTCAAAAGAAAAAAATTTGTGGCAGATATAGAAATGCATAACAAATAGTTTCCATGCATCGCCTTATCGTGATATTGGGTATGTTGATAGCCGATAAGAATGTGCACGTGCACGTGCATGTACACCTTTATAAGCTGCTCGAAAACCAGTTACTGGACAACGCGCACACGTTATTCAGTTGCAATGTGGCTAGATATTCGAGAAAACATGTATAGACGGCCACTTTCTATCCACGTGTGTGGGGCAAGCCACCCACGAATGATTGCAAACATTAGTGCTGATATTTACTAATTTATTGTTATTCTTCAGTTACCGCAAGATTGGAGCGATATCACAACATGGATGAAATGCATTTGCCATTACATTATAAGCGTCATGCAATTACGATAAGAAAAACTAAAACGATATCGAGATGCTGCAAAAAATCATTAACTTATCAGGCTACATTCATTTTGAAAGATGATACACTAATTTATAGTTTTTAATTTTCTATTAAAAAACAACCATATATAGGGGCAGAACTGAAATACAGTTTGATACTTCTGTTAAATTTCTTCAAAAGTACGTTCTAAGAATAACTATGCAGTGCACAGCCCCATCTCTTCAAAACTCAGAAATACACGTCGGTAATATATATAGCCATTAACTACTCATGCAGTGCAATGGTAACATGCATTTGCGAATGGATGCTGTACTTGCATAGCAGACCAGCTCCTGATTAGTCCCTTCAATTGTCAATTTATATCCAAACAATATAGTCTATAATACTATTAAACGGTGCATAGAAAAAGACTTGCCGGCCAAATGATATTTTAGAACCTTCCCATTTATCACACGTCACGCCTGTCATACCACATGAATGCATAGACGTATATACATATAATGCCTTACATTTTCCGGATGAGTATCCAATGTTACTATAAGTCACTCATGCAGCTTATGGTTCTGAAATCAAACACACCACGGCTACTGTATATCCACGCATACGTCTATATACATATATACAGGACAATATAGCCATATACGATGATAACATCTACACTAAGGCTAAGCGTTAACATGCATGCAATAAACCCACAACAAATCACAAAACAACTGTGATAAAAGTGTGCTGAGTAAAGATTTCGTTTTGATCTACTTTGGTACTACATGCTTCGCCTCCTCGTACAGTATGTTTCTTCCTTATATGTACATGTATTTATACAAATTTCGTACTCACCTACATTACATATGACTTACGATAAACCTCGAACAGGTGAACATTTCAGCTGAAGTGAAACAGCTGAACTGATACGTTTATATAAAATAGTTTACATCAGCATCAGTCACTACATGTATACATTAACATCAATCATGTTACTGCATGAATTTAAATTTACGCGGAAAGAAATATTTTGGAAGTTTATAACTATGTATATAACTATAAGGTATAAAACAGACAATAATAAAGTGAAATATAATCGTGTATAGCAAAACTCTTTAAAACGTAGACAAGGAGGCTGGGATGAGGGGTTCAAGGACGCTTTTTCACTTTTGACTTGCAGATCACGAATAGAAAACACGATAAAACGAAACTGCATGATTCAACTGCCGATGTTTTGCAGTATATGCGTGATGTGAAGTGTCCACAGACTGCGTATCCTCACTTAGTAGAAATAATTTGATCATTACAGAAAATTTGCAACATAAACGTGTCCTACTAGCCTATTATACGTCATGCTTGGCTTGCACTAACAAAATATTTGCTATATTTAATCGTATACAGGTACGTGCAGCCCTGAATAAAAAAATGTTATATATCCTCTATTAAGAAAGAATTCATGCAAGGAACGAGAATATAAGAAAAGGAGTTAGAATGAAGCAGTCCCTATTCTTACTTATAGGTAATAATTGGTAATATACTGCTAAATTGCATATTATAATGATCATTCATTTTACAACTAAATTTTTTAAAATCAGTTTTGAATAATCCTACCAGGTGAGATTAAACAGCTGCAAATAACATGAATAAGACAAATTGCATCGATGTAGAGCATATATGGCAATGGAAATTCCACCTTTAAAATTGCATGACGGATTTGAATATATAATGAGTGACAGTATTCAGTATGATGTATACAACGACCGGTTGTGATCGATCACAACCAGTTTATACAGCACTAGGCAGTTGTTTTAACCCGTTATCTAAATTGTTCTAAAAAACAAGAAATGTTTGTTTTACATTGTACACGTTTTACAGAATTGTGGGATATTCCGTCCACGAATATAGTATTGCATCAATACTTTCTTCAAGTACTAGATCATGTTGACAAAAGGTTTTTGAAAAAACCTGATAGAATACAACGTTGTAGCTAAATAGATGTTATACAAATCATCTCACCACGTGCATTTAAAAGATGTGTACTGTTCTGTAGTGTATGGCTGTCTCCTCTCGATTCATTTTAACTTTTAACACTGGCATTCGTTTCTATTTCATTTTCACTCTACTGTCGGATTAATTAAAATCTCAGCAACAGGAAACACAGAACACTCAGGACCGGTTATTAAAAAGCCGTTAGGTCTAATCCTGGTTGGTTCTTGGCTCCTTCGTTTACCAAAGCCCATTTAAAAAAAATCCTGCAGTAATAGGATCGTTCAGGATGTAATCCAAGGATAGAGCGATTCGGGCTTTGAAGAACAATAAGACAATTCACAAGGCATCCTATTCCATACGCTCCAGCAATTATTATTTCTGTGAATACCTACTTGCTTTTTTTGTTAATTGAACTACCCGACGTATGTCACATTTCACTGACAATTGTTAAGCGCCGGGCCATGTAGCATTGTGGTCGCTTTTCGTTCTCGTTCCGACATGCAATGCGATCTCAGGCATTCGTATAAAGACTATACGTACATAGGGTCAATGTTCATGCCGATAATGCCTGAAACGCGTATGTTTAAGAATCTATTTATTAAATAGCGTTGTATGGTGAATTTCGTTAAATCAGCTATCACTGTTAATTGACCTTACGGCTCAATTACACTTGTATATAACCTTAATAAGCCTTATTTGAGAAAAATATCCACCCACAACACATCACAAACACAGGTCTACAACGCAACTTGTTGTCAGTGTTATGTCAGGTTCTGTGAAATTGAGACGGTCTCATTTTCAAAATATCATGCTGTATTATTATAATACGTATACATACTAGGTAGTATTTACAACCCCATGGGTAATCTAGTTAAATAAAACTTATTCAGTCCGCCTACCTTTGTTATCAGCAGTGCTTTCATTGGATTAAATGTTCTGTCTTTTCTATAGCTGTTCACGTTTAGATTTCTAGTTCAATTCAACACTTTGATTTCATAAAGAATAATGCGATTAATAACTTCGTCATTTCCTAACTTAAAAAATCCTATACTGAGTAACTGAAGACATATGTCTTAAGACAATCCTGATAAATGGTCCCATAACATCACAAATTCTTCGCTTCAGATATATTCCCTATAGTTATGATTAGTTGGTTTCTAAGCTATTACTGGACATGTTATTTGCCCGTTCCAATACTTCAAAGTCATGTCACACTTCAGAGGTCACACTTTGCTCAATCTCAAGACGGGTGGTCAGTCGTATAAAACATCCCCTAAACCATATCAAATTTGTCGGATTTAATTCACTTGCGATGGATATGGGATATAGATTTATCAATAACAGACTACATTTCATACGTCAGAAGGGTACTGGTTGCATTAATGTGTGCATGTTACGTGCGACGTAGTACAGTGTTATTATCATGGAGTTAAAACTTCCTCTATTAATAAGCAGTAAATTAGGTCAAACATGCAGGGAGGGGGGATGCATGAATGCATTAGATTTTAAGCAGTGTTTTGAAACAACTGTTTAGCTAATGGTCTTCTTACAAATGTGTGCGCATATACTATTTATTGATCATTTGTACAGCATTGTTTACGCAATATAACATCACCTTGGCTTGGCCACTGCATGTTTACTCAAAAAAATGAGACGTGATCATATAGCAAGAATATAACATGCCTGCGTTATAACAATCAAGCAGTAACTATGACGATCTTACCAGTCACTGCATAAAATAACCCAGGTAGAAAAACCATGTTCTTTATCCGTGCTTAATACTTGAATACCAGCGACATTTAGCTTAACACAATTTTGCATTGTAAAGGACTGCAAGTAATAACAACGGTCTACAGTAGTGACTCTTACAAGGTGCATGATAGAATAACTGTACAACTGATGTACATTTATATATTAAGATCTGTGAACGTTGATATTTGCACCGATTCTTTGGCAGTTGAATATGACAGTCATATTTGTCAACATTTACATTCACAATTCACATACAAAAGTCAAAACGTACATGCGAACGTTTGATTAGTTAGAAAATACATTTAACATTAACATGCCCAAATTAAACTGCAGTTTAATGCATGGGGACTAAATTTATGAGAATACTTACATACAATGGTGTTGTCAGTATAGCCATCTAAAATGCATATATAGCTACACGCATTTAGAATCTGAATTTCAGATGATATTCTGTCTTTCGCAAAAAAGCGTACAAGCGAAGCAGGCAGTAAAAACAAGACAGTGTTGCCAACTGTAATTTTGTAAAAATCCCAAGTAACCGCCTGAAATATCCCGAGATTCCCCCTAAAATCCCGAGATTCTAATTTCGACCCCAGTCCTCAGCTTTGGCGCACCCTAGTACCAGGTCCGCTCAGTGTGCGTTTATAAAGCGGTACTTCTCTGCATAACCGATTGTACAAATAGTCTTTATTGAGTGACTTTAAGTAACGTTTTTGCCGCAAGTATTAATTTACGCTATATATTATTTCAATACCTTGGATTTTTAATATGTTTATTTATCAATTTAACGAAAACATTTTTTCCCAAATTCCAAACTTCCCTCTCCCAAAAATCCCTAAAAAAATCCCGAGATTACCATTTGAGAAATAAATCCCAAAAAAATCCCAACTGCTTCAAAAAATCCCGAGATCTCGGGATAAAATCCCGAACTTGGCAACACTGAAACAAGAGCTGAATAGCGTTGAATAATCGGCCTCGTTTTCACGTCAGTTATATAATTATAAGTACGTTGGTAAACCGCGTATATTTATTGCCGGCCCAGCACCTATATCATCGCAATTGCCGGGTAATATTGAAATATACGTGAACTACCTAATAATTATATATCTACATTGTTAATCGCCATGTCGCAAATTAGAGTAAAATCAGAATCCTGTCGCGAAATCTTACGTATTGAATGAATTTTGTACTATTCAAACTTTGAGGGTAGTAGATGTGAGCCGTGCTTTGCATGCTAAGACTTTGTGGTGAAATGTGATTTATATATGCTTCCTGCATGTGAGCCATGATTACCAAGCGAAGAAATGCTTTGATGTCCAGCTTTTCCGCACCCCGGGTTGAGAAAAACATTAAAACTAAGTTACGATTATTCATGCTTTTTCGAAATTGCCCATTTATTCAGTTAGACACGTTTAGCTATACTTAATAGCGGTGTTTCGTCACGTGAAACGTGAACAAGCCCCTGCCTCTACCACCCTCGTCGTTTAAACAAGTCATTTATTAGTCTCCTTTCGCCGCGGCAACAATTCTGAGAATGAAGAGGAAGAGATTGATGATATCCAGATAAAGATTGAGGGCAGCGAAGATGTATTCTTCTGGAGAAAGAGCGTACTGTTTCCCACCGCCCATCATAAGCTGTGTGTCATACACCAGATACTGAAAGAAAATATCAAAATGTTTGTTACGAAAGGTCAACACCATATTTGGCTAGTTTGGCTTGGAACCATTTTCCTTCTGTGAGTTAAGACGAAACGAACTTAATTAAATCAGATTCAGCGACGCTAAAAATCCTTCGCAGTAAAGTGAATACAGCCACGCGAAGGATTTTAGTCTAGAGACTTGTAAGTAATCAATTCTTGTTAAGTGCAAAAACAAGACAATTTATAGAATTTTGATGGTTCTGATTTTCCTTTTTCAATCAATCAATCGATCAATCAATCAATCAATCAATCAATCAATACCCCACTTTAAACATTGCATTTGTCACGTCGCATTTGTCACATTTGTACGTAAGCAACATAAAAAAAATAGTAAATGAGGTGTATTTATGCTTGACCTCGTATACTGGACGGTAGTGCTTATGTTACGATTTTACCGTATTGGTGATGGTAATAATTGTAATAATTGGTTAGTAAATATATGCTCACTAAAGATTTAGACTGCTGCATGTAGCTACTTACAAGTGAGAATATCAATGCTCCAAGACAGGCATAAATGAGGTTAACAATCTGAAAAAAAATTTAAAATAGCTATATACTGTATGTTATCTAAAATTACGCAAAAAATGAGCACATTTATATAGGAATTTTTTTCAAAAAGAGAGGCAAATTCCACAGTACTTAAACAAAATACAGTATATGCGTGAAGAAAATGAAAGTGGAGGAATGAAAGCTAAAAGCCAAATCTCGAAGGGCATGACCCTCGAGTCAAAGCTTGTTTCAATATTTTATTTGTATAGCAAATTGAAAATCCTTTTTCAAGCATGTGTTAAAAAAGAATCATAAAATCGTTCTCTGCCCTTATCCATGTAGCTAATACGTGAGAAAATAACCGGGGAATAAGAAAGGCAAGGTGTTTCATCTCCGGCATACATGCGTACATTTTATAATATTACCTTGTTGTAAAAGAAGATGGACAAAAATCCAAACAAAATAAGAATGATCAGCGCGACAAAAAGCATTCCTCCCATCATTGTGAAATCATACTTTCGTAGTAAAGAAAAACAAAATGGATGGCATTAGTTTGACTGTAAAAGCTACAGTGGGGCGAAAATGAACGATACGATTGTGGTACAATGGACAGGTTTACCTTGGTTTGGAATGAAAATAGCGTAATGGCAAGAACAACAGCCTGAATAAAACAAATGTCTATTATATCTATACGACAGCGTTGAACCATGCACCAAAGTGTGGTATGTGAAGAGATGAGGGTTTTAATAACATAAACTGATTCAACAAAATGCATCTTAGCTAACCAAACATTACGGCCTATTTAGACTACACAATAAGTTGTATATGCAATTATCATTCTGGCGAATGCAAAAGAGGCCCTATGCCACGATCTTCATTCAATTTTGTTTTAAAGTGTCACGTTTATGTGTGTTCATACGTTCGCACACGCCAGGGTACGAGTCGTATACGAGAAATCGCATACTGTAAATCGGCCTTTAGAGGGTTTAGAGCCTGTTTAAATTATCCTGCTCAGCCGGGAGGGTTGCTAAAATCACTCTCGTCTGCCAGGCCGGAATTCCGGCATCTGTTGCTGGGATGCAAAATCCCCATATAAACGTTTCATTTCATGCAGCTTGGTGACCTATTACTGACCTAAATTTCGCGCATGCGTAAACATAATTCCCTAAGCATTTAATTGGCTTTATCCTGGCAATGTTTTTGTCCATTTAAACAAACCAAGTCTTTCCCGGCTAGGCGGAATGAAAACATCACGTCCCGACTAGGTGGGGTCACCCTTACGGGCCTTATTGACGTAAGCAAGGAGCAGTGTGATAGCGTCATCTAACATCTTCGTATCAAATGTGGTATAAGACTTATAACAACTGCCGAAAATAGACAAAAACACTTCTCGACGTTTCGACCTTGGCACCTTCATCGTCTCAAGGTTAGCCTGCATGGCAGGCCGCCCTAAATTCATGCAGGCTATTTCAAGGTCGAAAAATCGAGACGTTTTGGGGGCATTTGTCATTTCATATAAAAGAACCACTGGGTTGATTGTAAATATGATCGTTTGACGTTTGACAATGAAACGATGAAAAAAATCTTTCGCGGCTACATAAACTTGTAGCAGCCTGTCCTAGTGGGGCTAAAAAGTACAGAACTGGAAACAAAATTTGAGATTATGCTAGTATTAAACAGGCTAAATAATTGACAACATAACTTTTTAAAAAGCGTTACTTACGGTTGTGATTCCTGCTGCTATAAGAACGGCATCAGCCTCGTATGTGCTATAGTATTAAAGACAAAAATATATTTAACTCTCCAAACACACCATATGGTTTGCTATATTTAACTGGAATTGTGTAGTTGACACAGTAATAGCTTTCTGCAATAGCTGCATGCTCGTTAAAACAACTAAATCCAGTGCGTAAAAACGCGTAAAATATCCAGGAAATAAAAAGTGTGCACTTTTACAGGCAACTATGTACCTATTCGCAGGCTACCGTACATCATGAAAAAATCAGTTGTGTGAAATTTTGGCCAATAACTACTGTACCTGGCAGCAACACCCAACAGAAATCCCTCACAAAGAGTCTGAAAAAATATATAAAAACACAACATTATAAATCCGTAGGGACTTGTAAAGCCTGTTCTATTTCTACATAACATATTGCACTGGTGTATGCCTATGTTGTAATGACAACAGTTTTACCCGTTTAACAATAGGCTACAGTTAAACAGATGTCAGTAAGCATTTATAAGTTGTTCCAGCCAGGTGACTATAACTACAGAATGTGAAACTGCAGGGATTGAAAACTAATGCCATCATATCACACTTACAAATAGGCTCAGAAGAATGATATTGTGGGGGAACTTTCTCCTGTGAATGAAATTTATTGAACATCAACAAAAAATTTAAGACATGACAATAATATTAAATGAATAACTTTGTAGGACAGGGTAACATACTACAATAGGGGATGGCACTCATCCAGTCCCCAAGACTATATGAAATTAAAAGCACTTTTTACGCATTTTATACAATTGGCTATACATAATTGAATTTATATGATAGAGATACCTCAGACTTTCACAACAAGCAAGAGCAATGATTAGAACAAATGACATCACCCTGAATATTATAAGAATGCTTGTTAAAATACAAACACTTGTGTGTACAGAGTAGCCAAAAATAAAAAGAAATGAAGTGGACAGAAAAACACACATTAAAAATACATGTTTACATCTAATGATTATGAGCTGTATTATTATTAGTTGTATCAATCAAATATCACTCAATATAGTTATACTTATAATAATATATTTATAATATAGTCTTCATCAAATTCAATGCATACTTACACTGCTGCAATGAATAGTCCGACATGCTTTTCCGCATAATTCTGTACCGGTTCACTATAACAGCATCAGAAAAATTAGGCAGGAAGCTCGAATGAGTTAATCCAGTGCATTTGATTGGCATCTTTTTTTTCTCAGAGCAATCAGAAATTATGGTAAAATTTCCGCTAAGTGTTTCAAACTCTACATTAATTGTTTATATTGGTATTACTTACCAATACAGAAAAAATGCAATAAATGCTACCGTCACAACAAGTTGACACATGAGAATTGAATAAACCTGTCAATAAAAAACAGTTAATATCACTGTCAGTGTCACCACAACAAAAGACCATTGTTCCCGGTTTGTTTTGCTCTTATGTACCTTGCGGATGAAGCCTGTCAAGTAGAAGAGAAAAAAATATTAGTGAAAGTATTAAAAATAGCCACTATTTAAGAAAAAAAAAATTATATATATATATATATATATATATATATATATATATATATATATATATATATATATATATAGATATAATTTTATATAATACCCCATTAAATTTAGAGCGTTTAATTGGCTGATGACGATCACGTGATTTTGAATAGAAAAGCCCATTTCCCAAGAGTGCAATGGAAAGCGTTCCATTGCACTCTCCAGAGTGCAATTGTACTATACATTTTATTCCATTGTACTCTTAATACTTTCAGTAAATACCATCCATTAAAATGCTTCTCGCACATATGGTTGTTGATCCATATAGTATGTTTTTTAATAAATTATATTTTTGAAACAAGACAGTCTATTTTGGTATTATATAAAACAAATAATGAATGTTTTCATTCGTGCAATGGTAAAAATATTTTCACTAGGTGAAAGATGGAATGTTCCATTCAACTCGGCTATCGCCTCGTTTTTACCATTGCACTCATAAACATTCATTATTTGTATAATATATAACATATATAACATATATGTGTTATCAAAGGGGTGTTTTTCACATAATATCCAGATACTGTATATTATGTAGATTGCATCTACTGATCTCAAAAGTGTTAATTTGGGTTAAATTATACAGGATATAATATATTGATCCTGTACTATAACAACAAGTGTATACCATGTACAAATATTGTTTTATTACATAGGTCTTTACAATGGGTAATTTCATTTACTATTAGATCACATTTTTATGAGTAGTTCTATAATTTTATTTGGTTCAATATGCATTGTATTGTTTGCTATACCATTTCATATTATGAACATTTATATTCTGACTTTCACTTTTGTTTTTATAATACAAAAGGGATTTACATCATACAATCATTTCAACTGATGACAACAACGTATAAAAATAGAGATAAATCAATGTACAAATGCATTGAAATAGAAATTTAAAACATTAAAGTCCAACAATATTCATGCTAATACAACACAAATTTATATGTACAGACGTGTTTATTTGTGTATACCTGCACGAATAGACCTCTCAGTAAATGCTCCAGCCGTACTGAAATCATTCGATTCTTCTGATCCTCCATAATGATAAGGCTGTGATCCGAACGGCTCTGAAGGAGGTGGTTGTGAAGGTGGTTGACTGGGATAAGGCTGACTTGCATAAGGCTGATTTGGATTAGGTTGAGCAGAATAGCCTTGAGGTGGATAGGGAGAAGAACTGTAAGGCTGTGAATATGGCGGTTGAGGAGGCTGTTGTTGGTAGGATTCGTTCCCAGCATAAGGTGGAGGAGGTGCACTAGGATAACCACTAGCCATACCTTTGGCCTTCAATACGTTTGTAACAACAGAATATATTTTATTCAACAAAAAAAACTCCTAAAGAGCACTGTTTTTATGTCGTAGTTTGAAACTTCCAACCAGCTGAGATAATAAATTATTTATAATTTATGAAATAATTTATGAAAATAATGGCTTCCACTTATTAAATCTCCACTTCACTGGTCATTTCTGACCAGTGAACTGTAATAAATAACATTATATTCATTTCACTGTTTCTGACCAGTGTTTCTGAGATTCTTTTTTCCAATTTTTCCACGGCTCTAAAATTCCTCAGACTCACTAGGGACAGAGGTTTCTAGAATTCACCAATGGAGTTCACTGCCACTGAAGGTTCCCATTTCTGATGTTCTGTTGTGATGTTCAATTCTGATGTGATTCTGAGCCATTGTTCTGAGCCCGCCACAAGCTTGTCATGCTTGTGCCATTATATATATTTTACATCTGTCTCCTCAGTAATACCGTAATCAAAATTTTTTTTTTGAAAACCAGGAGGGAGATGAATTTTTCATGCTTTGGATCGCGGTTGGTCAGTTATAAGTTTATAACTACCATTAGCAATAGAAACCAGTGTGGCTAGACGCTAGTGGCGTCAGCACGCAAAATGCGCTTTTTGCTAACAAACTTTCATAAATCTAAGGCACGATTCACAGACGTGAAACGAAAAAGTATTTATTAATATATATAGACACTATGAATAAACAATAAAAATTACTGGTACTGAAGATTAATAGAGGAAACTGACAATTACCTAAGTTATCGTATGGGCGTAAATACGAAAGCAAAAATTACCATTACAATACTAATCTATGAATCTGTTGGAAGGCTATCTTAGCATGTGAGACTTCCAGCTTTAGAATTATAACCAAAATCTTTCGAAAATCTAATGTATATATATTCAGCACTAAAATGAAGTTACTATACAGTTTATTAACAGTGGATGCACTGATTATAGAAATATTATATCGATCCTCCACTTAACAGTACACGAACATGGCATTTTCAGCACTCTGTCCAAATACTGACTGCTGTAGAGGGTAGTTAGATACTGTGAAGTGTCTTCTTAAAATACTTTAAGGAGAGTAATGCTTTTTGTGATAACTTGGGACGGTTATACAGGTTACAATCCTAAACTACAAGAATGTACACCTATAGCATGCAATACTGGATCAACATTGAACAGACCTTGTATTTTGTATAGGAAAAGTGATTTAGCGAAGCGTTTGAAGTTTTTCAATGTCATAAGATCCAACATCAACGCTAAAAATGATCTTCAAATGCAAGGTCTTAATAAAGATTACTAAATTATTGTTCGCTAATAACGAAAACAAACTTTAAATGCCGGGCACTGGCTTGGCTTAGATTTCTTATTTACTATGCTGTACCACAGTTCTACAAAATAATATACACCTGCATGATAAGCGTGGAACACAGCAACTGTGAGTCATTGAAAGTGTAAAAAAACATTCAAGAGTCCAAAATATTAAACAAAAAGATCGTTGGATTTGGACTTGGCTCTGCTCAGGTTTCCGGTGGAACTTACGGATGGCGCTGCACGTGGCTGCGGAGCGTAGGCAGATCCTGCCGCAGGCACGGATACAACAGAACGAGTAGCAGCACGAACTGTAGCGGTACCAACCACAGTACCATCAGCTTTCTCTAGGATCTGATAATCATTCTTGTGCTGCATCACAAACCATATAGTCAGCACCACCACAGCAACAAGTATCAACATCAGCAGCAGAGCAACAACAATAAGTACAGCCCAGTTAGTATCCTCAGCTTCGTGGATACCAACATCACGAAGGAACTCGGTGGAGGGATAATCAGTCGGCGTTGTAGGTCCAGGAATCTCGCGGGTAGTCATGGGTAATGGCGTATTTATTGTTGGCCCGCACGATTGACGTTCAATCTTCGTATCTGAAAAAGAAATACAAGTGGATTTTAGATTCAATTCAACTTGAATTACATCTTTTCAAACTTCTATTAATTCAGTGATCTTGTAGTTGTAAAACATTACACAATTTACAGAGCTCACAGAGCCTTCTCCATATTTATATAAAGCAATATTTAGGCTTCTATATTTATATCTAAAAAAATGAGCTAGAACACCTACCTGAGCTATTAGATAGTACTCCAACAGCGATCGGTTCCACAGTCTTCATAAATCCATTTTTTGAAAGAAAATCTGAGAAAAGGTGAAATTTCGCCCCAGAAATGCAGCCGATAAACGCATCCCTTTCTTCCTTTGAATTCCCGACATAATAATGGTATGGCTTTTTGAAAACGGGAGCGGCTGTTCGTTGAAACGTTTTTTCCACCAATTTTCGACCATCGATTCTATACTTGATTTTATTTCCGATGATATTCTCCGCGGGGTTTTCAACAGATCGTTCAATATTCACGATGTGCCGCGTAGAATCACAGAAGTCAATGCTATCTACATCAATCACTAGTCTTTCCTCGCGCAGCAATGGCTGTAATTTAAATGTAAACACCAGCGTGTTCCTATCTGCCAACCTCAGCTTGTAGTATTGTTTTTCATCGTTTTTGTCTTCGGGTACATCATTATGGACCTCAAAAAGTGTTCCACTGCAACTGGCAACGTCACTTTCGGTAGAAAACGCCAGGACAATTTTCTCAAATTTGGACGAATCCATGGTGAGGTTAGCGTATATAGCTGAATTCTCGATTCTCGTACCAATCTCTACAACCGAACACAAAATGATTAAAAGGCATGCTCACATTTTAAGATCATTGCAGAGAGTAAAAAGTATTAGTTCGCTCGTTGTTTCTTGATTGTGTAATTTAAAGCCTGTTCACGTATTGATAATCATTTTGATTGGTCCGTTCTACGCCCAGTAATTGGTAGACTAGCAATTGTAGAAGCATAAACTGCAGGAATTTCCTCTTTTGAACTGAAAAACTACGAAAACTTGAAATAGTGTACGTAAGTCGATAGCGGGAATACTGATATTTTCGAGAAAGCAAAAAATTGAAAATGTCAAGTTATTTTGCATGAATCAATGATTATTGTCGCTTGACAATATCTTCTGCAGATATTCGCGATGAGTTTGTACATTTTAATTCATACAACTTAAATTGCTGAAAAGGAGGAATCATGGCGATCTGATCTGGATGCATGAATTACGTACCTTTGCTGCAATATTTCCCGTAGAATGGAGTTTCCGCACAGTCGCATTCGTACGAAGTATATTTCTCAATACACTTGCCGTAAGGGCAAGGTTTATGCTCACAGGCATTACCACAACCCTTCACAACTAGTTCTTCTGGCTCCATTGCGAGATGGTCAACGGCATTAGCAAGATCAAATAAAACACCATTTATCGTCTAAAACATAATGAAAGTTATGACTATACAGTACCTATACACAAAGCCTTACACCTGTATAGCTTCAACATTCATGCATGCTTGATAAAAAGTAATATTGAACAAAAATTATGCATAGGCGCAGCACGCGATGACGACGCGGCTGAATCAAACGCTGCTCTGGAGTCTTGTAAAGAGTTGTCGTATATTACCAATCGTAATTTAATTTAATGAGGTATAATACGTTGAAAACATTGGGTTTATGTTTGCGAGTAGTTCTATGGAGCGGAATTGAATTGAGAGCAGAAATGCAGACGTTGTATACAAGACGTGAAAACCTGAGATTTGAGTGCTGTAACTCTTTACAGCATGTTTTGAGTGCTGTAACTCTTTACGAGATGTTCAATTTTTCTTTTCGACGACTCACTGTATTGCCGTCCTAAATGTTTAAGGCCCCTAATGACCTCGTATAAGAACATAAATGATAATATAAATACTCCTGGTTTACTTACGAAGCCCTTCATGCATCCAACGTATCCAAATTTATAAGTTGGGAACCTCCAGAACGATCCAACAAACATGGGCAGATCAATATCTAGACGACTTCGACCATCTCCAGTGAGTTTAAGTGGCGCCAAAAGTTTTTTATTCGCAGGATTTAAGCCACGTTTATTATCGATCTTTACTGATAACTCCCATAACGTACGAATAACGTGGATCCTGTGCCACTCGTTGTCATTAAGTTTACCAGGACCAGGCATCGCTACTCTATATTTTGTCCGAATACTAGTACCAAAACTGACCACGACCTCTATTGTTGTTTCATCGTGTATGCGAACCTAAAAAATTTTGAGAACGATGAAGAAGCGCACGATTATATTAACCAGGGAACGGATGTGCGAAAGCTAGCTGGATAGTGCTATAGGTATAGTACATGCACCTGATAGTGTTTCTTTTTATCGTTCAGAAATTGCCAGTTGTTCGGTATAACCTTGGTTAAACCTTAGTATTCTTAAATTGGGTATTCTCTTTAATAATTCTCAGCTCGACATCTGTAGTTTGTTTTTTTTGCTTTCAAGGATCTTTAAAACGGTTGAAAAAATCATTATCGGCGGATAGCGCTATCCAGCCTTTGAACACCATGCAGCCTCGATTATTATACCATTACCAGACTTGAAGTAACGAACCAAACCACTGCAGTATAACGACCTGCCAACTAGCTATTCGGAAAATATATGATCAAAAGCGTATATTCATAGACGACGGCGAAATCGCGGAGTTTTTCTCTTTCTTGCTATGATTTTGGCATGCTATAGCTGTACCATTTACTTCCAGTATCTCTTATTTCCACTTTCGAATCTAGCAGGAACAATTTCTGTTTATTGGCCTATGCGGAGATTGTGAATACATGCATATTTTTTCTACATATAGAAAAATATAAATAATTACGATTTTATCATTGACATGCAGGTGGCATAACCGTACATACAGCTTAACGTGCACCGGAATCAGCAACAAGAATATACGCCAGCAGCATCACTTACGTGGAAAAGGTGACTTTCATCGCCATTTCTATGATCAATCAAATCTCCTTTTGGGAAAACCGTTTTTATATAGAATGAAATATCTCCACCATAAGGAGAGTTCCATGCTGGGGCACGAACCCAGCCGTCTGGAGCAAGAAATGTTACAACACCAAGAGTATCTAGCGAAAATAGGAATTATATTAATAAAATGAAAAAAAAATTATGAATGGGTGAGCAGTTTGGGTTGAGAGGACACTGAACTATAATTGGATTGAAAGGATACTGGATGTACCAATACAGCAAGGGATATGAAAAAGGTACTGTGTACCGTATATAGCTAGTGCAAAACATTATGTAATGATGAAACCGATGGACGGTAAAGCAAGTATGTCTGTAAAACTTGCAGAATATAGTTTTAAATATCTCTAGAAGGATTTTTCAACTTACTATCTCCGACGCACTCAATCCTCCGGACAGTATATTTGGCAAATGAAGTCTTACTTAAACCACCGAACTGCACCTCTCGCACAGGAAGATCACGTGTGACGTTTAGCAGGCCTTCGTCGGCATCAGGAAGCGTTTCAGCATATTTACTGTCGCAGTTACAGAACGCTTTATTCCAGCAACCTTTAGCTGTATACGCACACGCACATTTATAACTGTTGTGCTCTGCGCCGCCCCAGTAATACTGAAGATAACCATTAGCGGACAGCCACCGGGACGCAGGATCGCCTCCAGGTGCGTTGAAGAGCTTCGCATCTTTGCAGTCATACTTCACTAGTTGTGTGCAGTATTCACTCCGATCTACGACACCTTTTACAGCGTCGATTGGAATCTGAAAAAAGGATATTTTCTAATCAGTCATTTCATTTGTTTGATTATTATATTGGATGGAATCATTCAAATTTTATTAACTTAAGGCCATGTTACACGGTGCAATTTTTCTTGCAACTTGCAATGCAATTCTACTTTTAAGAGATGTAAAATAGCGAAGAGTCTTCAAAATGGAAGTGTAAGAAACGCCGTGGAGTTCGTGGAGTGTAATAAAGACAAAAGTTTGGTAGTTGACAAATTTACATCTCTCAAAAGAAGAATTGCATTGTAAGTTGCAGGAAAAATTGCACCGTGTAACAGGGCCTTTACACTGTAAACACTATAGGACAAAATGTAAAACTGCACTTCCTTCGCATCATAAGCCTTTGATATTGATTTTGTAATAAAGTACTGCAGGATAATATGTTACCTCGTAATTGATTTCCCTCTTGTATGAGAATCTCTCGTGATAATCAGTCGTGGGTGAGATTGTAATTCCTTTACTCAGTGGATCTTTCGTTTTAATTTCAGTGATGCCTCGATCGTCTCTGGTGTAATCACATGTGACAAAGACGGGGCGGAGTGGGCCCGAGTCATCAGGATCAATATACGCTGGTTGTTTTTGACCAGTAATACTACCAGGTTGGAAAATCAATTTCGTACTGCAGGTCGTAGCAAATTGTGCTATATAGAACATCATATATCAAATCAGCAAGATTATAATTTATAGAAACAGGCTTTAGGACAAGCAAGCAACAAAATTCACAGCTGTACAGCACTGTACTTAAAAAAATAGCACTGCATGTACATAAAAAATATCCTGAAATAGATGAATGGAGCACATTCGCAACAGGAATACTACTATAGGAAACTGCCACATATATAGTTTTACACCAAAACGTGTGATTAAGACAGGAACGTGTACTCACAGAACTGGCATAATGGCGGCTTGTAATTATGTCGACATTCACATTGGATGCCAGGTTCCCTAACAACAGTCAGACATTCTGCTTCGTGAAAACATGGATTTGGTATACAGGGGTCACTAGCTTTGCATCCTTCGGTTAACTTCTTGTAGTCCTCCGCCAACGGACTTTCTCTGTATGGATTCACAATTTCATAAAACTCAATTTTTTGAAACTGTACAGTCATATTGCGAATGCAACCAATAAAGTTAGGTTTGTTTTTGAACAAACCAAAGGTTATCAGGGAACCATACTGCGGATTATTAGCGGGCTTTATTCTCCTTGTAACATCGTTCAATTTTAACTGTAAATTATTATTCTCCGCAACATATTCAACCCGGAACCACCGGCCATCATTTGCCTGGCCTTCGTTAGGAAAATTTATGGAAACTATATCGCCACCGCTGTTCAAACTCAACTGGGATCGCTGGAATGTCATTGAGACACTGGACGCTGTGAAAATCGTACCTTCCAACAACACAGTACGGAATTCGAAACTGCCGTAAAATCTCTGCAAAATTTTTGTCGGATCAATTGGGTCAGTCTCTTGAATGAGGAAGGTCACAAAGGTGTCACGGTCAAAATTCATTGCCCTTGGCGGTATTTTGGGATCATCAGTTATCCTTATATTTTTTTCGCTGAATCCTGCACTATTACTTATTGCTCCATCGATAAAATCAACTTTATCGCTGCCGCGATCAAAAGTGGCTTGAAACATGCATCCAATGAAATTCACACGATGGAATGAGGGGTAGTGAAGAGGTGGGTCTATAAGGCCACCAACGTACATGAAACCATTCAGGTCTATACGATTATCTGTTCCGGGGATAGTTAACTCTCTTTTGTCAGATTGACCGCCATGGGCAGAGACCACAAGTTTATTCTTGTCTCTTTTTACCACCACTGTTGAAACAATATTGTCACCCAGGCCATCACCTACTATTGCGCTTTGTAGTGTGCTGTTTTGGCCTAACTGGTAACGCACTCTAAACAGGACAAAATCAATCAATTGTAAGGGGTTTAAATTTGAAGAACATGCTATAGATAAAAAACAAGAGTTAATTTATTTTTTGAATGATTTCCAGGATTCATTGCTTGCAACAAGACATGAAGGATAATAACATGTGAACAGAAATCTTTTTCTCTTTTGCTAGAAAAAAAATGAATATACCTTAATTTTCCTCTGACAAGTTCCAACAAAAGATGATCACCATTTAAACCTATGGAATGGGCATATAACAGCAGGCCACTGGAATCCGATGAACGAAATTTAAACTTTATTTCCTCTTTGGCGGAATTTATTGGACTTCTTTCTGGTATTGTGTAACGAATGTATGAGAAACCATCAAAACAGATTTGGCTCTCTGTAAAGTGAAAACGCAAATAGATGGTTATGTGTTGTCCTTGGATTATAATAATAAAAGTTTCACGCTTGCATCATGTAACACCTAGCCTTTACTCTTGTTTATTTTAGGAAGTTTTTTCAAGGTGCAGACATTTCCACATGCACGCCAATGGATTGCTTGAAACTAACCACAGCAATATTAAACAGATAGGCCTAGAATCACATAGGCCTAGTGACAACAGCTAGGGATGTGACAATCCTTTATCAATTTCTCCCCCAATAAATTTAGATACTTTCTCAAACATTTGATATATGTGAAAATTGTGGCTATGTGGCTATTTCTTTTGAGATGAGTAAGAACTCCAATTGGCCTTCCTTGCAATGACGAATAGAACCACCATTTTTGTGGTACCTTTTTTAGCATAAGACCATGTATGCAATAGTAGCTATTTATAATTTTCAGTTAAATTTATTCTGTAAATGATTAAAATAATATCAAATTTCTTTGCAGGAAACTGTTTTCAGGTGAAGTATTGACCCCCACTTCTTAGGTACCTCCCAGAATTTCTAAGCTTATATCTTTATGGTCCTTTGGCTGGGTTATATGAAACTCTTAACAACAATTTGGCTAGTTAAATTGTAGTTGACTCTAAAATACATGATTTAACTACATATAGTAAACATACAACATAGCCCCAGACAAATACTTAATATTAGTTAGTTAGTAACTGTTTATTTCGACATATACTGGGTAATTTTCGTTCTTTATAAAATAATTTTTGTTAATTTTATCATGTAAAAATAAACAACAAATACTGGTACTACCAACCCAAAATGTCGTCAAGCCTCCCTTGTGTATAACCGTCAAGAAAACGCTATATACACTCAATACATGTATATTTAGCACTGCTCATTATCTGAACCTAACGTAAGGTAAACGCTACACACAAATTTGGAAAATTTCTATCATTAAAGACGTTCTCCTTCTACAGAATCTGAATGATATAGATTTAAGATATTTCAAACAACTAAAGACTCTTTCAAAATATACATATATTGCCAAATGTTTTGCTGTGAATACACTTAGTGACTAGATTTTTGTACATTATTTCCCCACCTATTACAATTTTAACTAGTCTAGTAATGAAGTACTAGACATTAAACCCAAACGAGATTAAAAACATACCTCTTCTACCGGCTGAAACGGTGGTTATCAACACAAACAAAGCGACAAGAATCAGCTTCATGCCGAAGACTGATATTTCTTTTTTGCGTATTATTTTAAAAATTTATCGCGTCAATCAAAGCCTAAAAGGAAAAGAACATATTTTATAACAACAAGTTTGAAATAAGATATTCAAAGAAGAAATTTCTTACTTTATTCTTTATTTAATGCAAAATACAGTATTCCAGAAACAGACATACGCTAAAGTACTAATCTCAAATATTTTCAGAATGGAATGTAGCAATTATGCCAAGCCTCGTTTTGACACCTGGTGCTTCCATATTAAAAGTTGTAGATTTCATTTGGGCAATCTCTGTCAAAAGGTTACAAGGTTATCACAATTATCGTTATCACGAAATTGACGCATGTATTTTCCATTGGAATTAGCGATTCTGCAATATTGCAATTTAGTTTACCTCAGGTTGTTCCTTACTAATGAATAGCTTTCTGCTTTCCGCATAATGTAACAAGATCCCATTCTTTTACATCCTTTTTCCACCGCCAACCCAACTCTGAGGAAAATTAATAAACTGAAGTACATAATATATAGGTATATATAGAATTAGTACTAGAAAGCTGAAATGCATATTTATGCACCTTTGTGAATATTTTTCTGCTGTGTGGTGGGGAATGTGGGTGGGAGGTGCCATAGGTGCCATCATCTGTCGTGCCATTCATAAGACGATGACGTCATCAGTTCTAATTATGATGCAAAAACTTCCATAGAAAACAACAACTTTATAACAATTATGGCGGCATTTCGGACGAAGTTGTTGGGAATATTGGCAAAATATGACGCCCAGATACAAGCTCGTCTGCCTCGTATGGGCCAAAAGTTTTGGAATTCCGCAACGGGTATTTCAATCAAGTGTTCAGTTTTAGCGAAAAAGTATTTTGTTAAATTATGTGTGACTATATTACTATATTTTTGTGAAAGAAAAACTAGTTCAGGCTTAAGAATCCACGTTTGTTGTGCCTTGTACGATATTCTACAGCATCGTATCGCGTGACATCGTGTAATAGTATTTGTCTGGCAAGGTTGGTACATTTCGGAATAAATAAGCCAAATAACCATGCATTGTTTTCCTTGTTTAAGACAAAAGAATCAAACGGTCGCTAATTACAATATCTGGCTTATTATTCAGTAACTTACCAAGCCTGTTGTCTAGTCCTTGCTATTGCTCATATCTTCGCCCACATCGCTAGTAGTTCCTACACGTAATATAAATCTTCTGGCTACTTGTAGATTGTAAAAACTAAAAATCAAACTTTGATGCCTTTTGGAGAACATTGTTATATTGTGGTAATTTTCATCAATATGGGGACCTATATGACATGAACAATAGCGAAGACTTTTTTAGACCTTGAACTTGTAAAGCCCTATATTTCTACTGTTTACGGTTTACACTATGTTCACTCTCAGTTTTAGTAACGATAAAATTGACATTGATATAATTTCATACCAAAGTTATCTGTACCGAACCTGAAGTAGTGCATATCGTAATAAGGCTTTAGTCCATTTGGTATTGGTCAGTAAATATGGTACACTTCTTTTTCAAAGGACCAAAGACAATATTTTTTTGGGCACCAACATTTAAGTGGGTTAGTAATGAAAATATTCAAATTATTGAAATGAAATACATTTGCTTGAATATGATACTAGCAAGTGACAGTATCAAAGTAAAATAGTCCAAATAATTATGATTTTATAACCATCTATTCCCAGGGTTTAGTTATAGCTGGTATTGCTGATTTGACAAGACCTGCTGAAAAATTAAGTGCCTCACAGTCATTGTCTTTAGCAGCAACTGGTGAGTTTAATTAATCCTGTAAATTAGGATCAGCTTTCCTCCCAAGAAATGAATTTTTTTTATACTTATACATGCACATGTTTGAATTTGGGTTTGCTTTGAATTAACATATATTGCTTAGCAGGTCTACTACGGCAATTTGGGAAATGTAATGTATTATGATATATGCCATATGACACTAGCTTTGCACATCATTTCAATTAATTTTGTCTTTATAGGATTTATTTGGTCACGATATTCCTTGGTAATTATCCCACGAAGTTGGAACTTATTTGGTGTAAATTTTTTTCTTGGTATGACTGGTTTAAATCAGCTATATCGTGTTTGGGAGTAAGTACATCTCAATAAAAAAAAATTTGGCCTGGCACCACCACTTATTTCACACTTAATATGTGTTACTTATTAAATGTTATTAAATATTAAAACTATCAAATAGATGTGACTAGTTAAATCATTACACCCTCTTGCACCCCTCGGTAAATCCATCTCTGATATTAATACATGTTTACCCCTGGATTTGCTCTACTGGGTCTTATCCTCTGGTGATGTCACAATGTGCCATACATACTCATAACAACCTTCTTCTAATGTTTGTATAGTTACCAAAGAAAGCTAAAATCTTCACCTGAAACAGACATGGACAATACCTCAAGTTCTACCACATAACTATAATTCAAGTGTAAATACACATTTATATTTAATTTGTAAAACTTAAAACAGAACTTCATATTTTTCATTTGAGCATTTATGACAGACATGACTTTAGGTACCCCTAGCTTGAAAAGTGAGTTCACTTTTTGGGAATTCTGTATATATATTCTGACACATATTAATGTCAAATTGAAAGATATACAGTAGCTCTAAACTAAAGGAACATTGCCTTGCATCAGCTAATTATTTATTATAATGCTTTGAATTTCAAAGAATGAATCCTACTAATAATTTTGTTGTATATCATTTCTTAGGTATTAATTTAATTTAGACTGCACATATTTCGTATGATAAATATGAATAAAAATCTATTTAATTAAATGATTTTGCAGACTTTGTAAAAGCACTTAAAGCACGCTTAAGGATTTCCGTCGTCTCATATGCACTAAAACAATAGATAGAAATGATAATGAGGTTAATGAAGCTTATCTATTGTCCTCTGTTTCTTGAGGCCCACATACACTGTCATTTCGCAACAAGCCGATTTTTACGAGTTTCAGTTTTAAGAACAACTGAATAAAATGACGATTGACGACGTATTATAAACCAGAAGGAAATGACTGATATGTAAAATGGCATATACTATGCTCAAATTCTCGACCAATCGAAATGAAATAAATTCTTTTGTCCATATTCCATTCATCCGTTGTCAGGTTCATTTGTTTGGTCAAATGATATTATACCAAGATATATTATGCGGCTATTAGGTTTACCATACATGTATTGGGTCACCTAAGACGTAGAAGTTGGCGAACCCTTGGAGCCAGCCACAAGCCAGTGATCAGAACAAACAATGAAGAAAATGAGGTTGACATGCCTACAAACTGCCAACTGATTTATGCTTCTAATCAACTTTTTTGATATTATCTAGCTAATACAATTTGTTTGACATCTATTCGAACAAATATTTAATACACACCAAACTAAATCTGAAGTGACATATATCACAATATACATATTAAAAACTGAATACATATTTTACACAATAATAGTCAGTTTTAGCAACCAAAGGTCGGTTGAAAGGGTATAAATTACAGGAATTGACCCAGCAAAAAATAAAGAGAAACTTTTACTTTCAGATTGCTATTGATAGATGCTGCTTTTTACGTCGCGCCGAAAACATTTAGAAAAAACATGCAATGAATGAGCTGAAATACCTCAGCGCTCAGGCTCAGTATAGTTTTTAATGCATTCCGGCAAATGAAAAGTTCGACGTTTTAAACGGGTCTTGGATTTTGATTGTCTCTTTTGAGATTTGGCCGAACAATTTATCAAAACGAGTCATGTGGGTCATATTAAAACCCCATGCAGATTACAAGTGTTTAAATAGTTTTTCCTTCTGCGCCAGTATGAAATCACTGAAATGCACCGTTCAGAAAGCGCATCCATGCATGAGCATGCTCCGTGAAACGTTAAACGCCCAAAAGCCCTAAATCAAGGCTGTTCAAATATACGTGTGTTGAGGTAATGTTGCATTAAAAGTGAGCTGTGAAAGTGCTTTGTAAAAGTAATACGTCGTGTCTTAGTCATTTAAAATCCTATATCAAGCATTCTCATCCCAACCTTGCAGTATACTACCTAGCTCCGACTCAACTTCGATTTTAAACTCAATTTAACTGATTTTGAAGTAAATAAGAATCCTAAGCTAAAAAAAACGCAAAACGTTCCTGCAACTTGCACCGAAACGTGCGTTTGTGGAAACCTGTTGTCCTGTTCCTGAAATTACTGATTTGTTAACGTCATGCATACTTACAAGCTGAGCAATTTGTGCTCCAAACCTTAAGGCAGATAATATTGACCTAGGAAATCGAGTTTTTTTATTTTTTTAATGTTCATCTTTGTTTGATCTAAAGGTAGTACTCCTTGCCTTGGTCACCCTCGGCTTCTTGTTCCCCAGGTTTGGTAACTAGTGTTAAATTGTCAGTGTCTCCGTGAATGTCCTCAGCTGAACCTTCGTGTGTTTGGTACACGCCCTTGTTACGTTTCAGATACCAGGTAATGAAGAATACCGCAACAAGGATGATGAGTAAGATCAGGAAAACCACCACAATCGCGATTATAGCTGCATCGTCATTGCCGCCACTGTCGACCTCGCCACCACTACCAGGGGTCTTCGTGGTAGCTGTTTTGGTGGTGTTTTCAACCTTACTGACCGTACTGGTAATTGGAGGATTGGTGGAAGGATTGCCGGTGGTTGATGGATCACAAACTGCTTCTGTGGGTGGTGAACAACCTTCCTTTACGGACGCCTTATTTTTCGACTCGGTAATTTTACTTGTGTAGTCCTGACCATCGACAGTCTAAAAATAAATTTTCAAGTTCGAATATATAATCGTAAGTTTGATTTAACTGTGCAGATACTGAAACTTGCATTTTGAAATAATAAAAAGGAGTAGAGCTCAATAACATATGCACTGGCTCAAAAGTACAATTCATACAAGAAAATGTAGTATGATATAATTCAGAGGTATATTCAACATCAACGATTATCACTCTCAGAGATTATTACTCTCAGATATTCATATTGAACTTCGTTTGGCGTTGTAATGAAATGTAATACGTTACATCTTGTGATGCAATTAAAAAAGGTTTGCTGGTGACAAAACAATCATTAAAAAAAGTTTGGGAATTATTACATAAACAAAACATAAACATGACATAAATAATACATACCAAGCCCTTAACACAACCAATGAAAGCTCTACACTTGCGTTGAGGATGACGATCGCCCAAAATTAGCTTTGCTCCAACAGTACTAACATTTAAAGTTTCAAATACGACTCCCTTTTTACCGTTATCTACAACAGCATAAAAACCTCTGCTATCCTTTGTCAACACAATGCTATGCCATTCCTCGTCCATCTTATGGAAGGGTTTATGACCAACAGAAAGCTCAGAATTGTTGTTCAGTCCAATCTAAAAAAATAATTCCCCAAATAGATTAACTAAAAAAATGAAATGTTGTTGCAAATGTAATTTTTTGTACATGGAAAACTTGATACTGGTTTTGTAAATGCTATGGGTAAAGACAAAATGGTACCCACTTCATTATTTACCGATGAGTATTCCCCCTTTATTATTTTCCCCCTATATTAATATATATCCCCCCTTTATTAACCCTCATTATTTACAGATGAATATTCCCCAGGGTTGACAACCACTATGGTGCCAACAATAAGTCAAAGTGTATCTTCACAAAATTGCTCCAAGTGCCATGAGAACCACATTTAATTTTTTAACGCTATGAGCAAGTGTTATGCGACTCCCACCAATCTCATCATCTACCTTAAGCTCCATATCATTTCGCATTTGAATGCTTGCAATGATCACATCAGCCTTGGGTCTTGAAGATTTAAACTTGAATTTTAGTTCTTGCATTGAAGAAACATCCAGGGAAACAAATGCATCTCTATTTAGAAACGTATGTGAACCTTTTTCATTGTCTACAAATGATATTAATACACAGAATGTAGTTGGAGTAACTGAGTAAGGCATATAGCTGGATCATTTTTAATGTAATTTGGGTCAAATCTGCATTTATTTACAATAGGCTTAAGAAACACTAGCAGAATGGGATCTTGATTGTAACACATTAGTGCAGCAAAGTTTCTGATATATATTACAATACATATATTATAACAACACTCAAACCAACCTCCATAACAAACAATATTCCCAATCTCAACTGAAACATTTGAGCTGGAGGACAAACCACCAATTTGTATGGCCTTCACCGGCAAATCTCTTTTCTTTGTCAAATATCCTGCATCTTCTTCAGGGTTGTTGTTTTCCTGGTCACACCGACAATCTTTGTCAGAAAAACTGCAACCTGCCCAGTATTCATTCGGACTATCACTGATGGAGGTCCAAGAAGAAAGGGCACTCTGTCCTTTACCAAATAATGTAGCATTGCTGCACTTGTAGGATACATACTGCTTACAACTTTCACTTTGTTCAATGAAAGCCCTGATGACATTCACAGACAAACTACCATAGTCAACATTATGTGAGTATGACTGTGAATGGATGGAACCTGTAACTCTTATAATATCACGAACTTTTATGATTGTTAGAACTGGCTGTGATGTCAGATTACAAGAAACTTCAACGGTTTCACCATGGACTTGAATGGTGTAAGTAGCAGAGGTATTCACTTTAGCATCTTTTATTTCAGCACATGATTTATAGTTACCTATAAGATTAGTTAGCAAATTTTGTTATTCTAATAAATTCTATTTAATTCTAGGGGTTTATAGTGCAGTGGTCAAAATCTCTCCATTGCCCAAAAGAAAAGTACATTCGTGATCCTTCACCAAAGTAAAACATGACTCCATGGGCTATGGCTCCTTATGGGCTGGTTAGTGGATCTACAGGCTGCATGGTACAAAAACAAGTACACACATTTAACCAGCTATATGGACCCCTTTCTTAGTAGGTAACGCTTTCGAAAACGGTTAATGGCAGATTATGATAAATCAATCAAAATGTTATTTTCAGTTCGATCACTTCGATGTACAATTTGTACATGTGTTTTAGAAATCATGCCTATGCGTTTAACAACATCTCTTAATTTAAAAGGAAATATATTTGCAATAACCTTGCAATAATATAAGGGTCCTAAGAGCACAACAAATGCAGTAAAACACCCGTTTATTTTGCTATGTTTATATTCAGATTCGGATTGAAAGCTGCAAAAATGACAAACGTAGACGATAAGCCACACCTGTTTGAAGCATAATTTCAACAGATTTTGTACATGAAATGGTATTTTAGATTTCATTGACATCAATGATAGTGATTCACAATTCATCCTACCTTTGACGCTTGTGGTTAATGCCACAAACCACAAAAAACACATAGCAATTACGTTGACAGCCATCTTGATCGAGATAATTTCGACAAATTATTCACAAGTTGAGAACTTGAGACAAACCAGTAGTTGACACACTGAGCTATATATAGCCATAATAGGTTATCTCCGTGTTGTTTTCAGAACAATTAAATTCAATTTTAGAGTTTAGACTGACGACATTTTGACAGCTATCAGCTATGGGCAATGTACTATAGTTACCAAAAATATCACAAGATGATCAAAAACTCCAATAGTTGCTTTTAAAAATTGAAAAATTCGTAAAAATCGCGTCGCGCTGGCGGATCACGTCCGTCCCGCAAACGTTGAGCCTCTTTTCCGCTCCGGCATTGCACACATTTTCTCGCAACCTCGCTTCGAGTGCCTACACTTACACAAAATCAACAAAAAAAGCTCACTGAATCAAAACTCTGGCTTTGAGCAGAGCTTTGAGTTTGCGAGTGAAAATTGCTACGAGAGTGAAAGCACTACGTAGGAAAGATTTGGCATTTATTTTAAAAAGACTATTAGTATGGAAAGAAATGTTGACTGCTTCATACGGATACGTATTTCCATGCATGGAATGATGTGCGGAGGAAAAACAAAATTATATCCTATAATTCATCACGAGCTTCATCTGTATCATTGGCACAGAGATCTAGATGAAATTGATAAAAATCACTCTCAATGTCGTTGTGTTGAAATTTCGCTGTGAAATGTCGTTGGCTGAAAATTAAAAATCATGCGCGAGTAAACAATGGTTAAAAGTTGGGCGACACATTCATTCATTAGGCGTCATAGGCGACACCTTCAAAAGCAATAATTTTTCAAACGATGGCCTCTATTCCTAAAGTGATTCTTGGTTTATGTGTTCTTTTCTCTATAACCCCACCCAAAATTTCTTTGGTTTTCTTACCGGTCTGTCTCTGGCAGAATTCTTCAGCCGTGTCTTCACGTTCTTGTTTAAAGATATCCACAATCGTATCTTCATAATCTTCTATTACACTTTCACACTATAAAAACATACAAACGAACATTGTATATAACGCTTCAATCCCAAGGGCAGGTAACAAGGAGGCAACGTGCCAGCTTCTCTAAATAGCCTATATTATCAAACGTAGTTTAGTAATCTCCTAAACTGATAGAAAACGTCTCAACCTTATCACTTGATAGCTCTTGGTATTAAGTGTGGCCCTAATGCCTATTTCTGACACTTTGATTTGGTTGGATAAGTTGTAAGTGGTAATTGGTAAGTTCTTTTTGGGGCAGAATAAATGAAAAAGAATGAAAATTGAAAAGGGTTCTAAAAAAATGCTCCATCAAATTGGTTTTGAGATCAGTGACCAGGTGAAATGATCCTGCAATGGCGGCTGCAACAGCCCAAGGAGATAGCTTTTGGGACGAAATTGATCATTTAACCACGAAATTACAAAGAGAAAACCGAACAAAACAGACTGTAAATCCAGGAAGCCATATCGGCGGTATAAAGGATGCACCTTACAAGCAAACGACGAGATCTGAAGTCATTAAAAAAATTGAATTTTTCATTGAGGGGTTATTGACAAAACTCGCTCAAAATAATTTGCCTGATATTCAATTCAAGAATAGGCGTTCATGGGCAAATATGTCCTTTATAGATGATGTCGGTGTGGAGATGAACGGAAATGCGACAGAGACGACCATTAAGCTCAACTCAAACTACTCCATACAAAAATATGCAAAAACTCTAAAAATTTTACGCATTGCGCATGGGTTATTGCAAGAGAACGTTTACTCGACAAAAAGAGAAATCTATTACAACGATGTACCATTTTTTGGAAATCAAGCGACAGTTGACCATATAGTTGATGATATATCATGCATGTTTAATCTCCCAAGACACGCGCTGCACATTTTGGCTTGTTCAAAAGGATATGTAAGTGGGAAACTGTCATTTCGTGAGCATGATGGTAACTTGATCGACTGCAATGTGAACCCGAATGGCATACTAATTCCAACGCATATTCATGGTATTTACAACATCTGTTCGGATGCAAAAGCAATTCTCGTAGTTGAGAAAGATGCAACATACCAACGCCTCTTAGATGATGATATCTTGGAAAAACTTTACCCAATTATCATGATAACAGGAAAAGGATTTCCAGATCTTAACACACGGGTACTAGTGAAAAGACTTTGGGAAAGTCTAGAAATTCCTGTACTAGCTTTGGTCGACACAGATCCTCATGGAGTGGAAATCATGTGTGTCTATCGATTTGGATCAATGTCACAATCATATGACACAGACAATTTAGCAGTTCCCTCTATGAGATGGATTGGCGTACTTCCATCAGACTTGGAAAGGTTGTCCATCAATAAAGAAGCCCAGATTCCTCTCACAGAGCAAGACCGGAAGAAAATTTCACAACTTTTGGATAGGCCATATGTGAAGGCACATGCATCAATTCAACAAGAGTTATTGGTGTTGTTGAACACTGGTCACAAAGCTGAGATGCAAGCTTTGTCTACAATATCAACTGGGTTTATCACTGATGTCTTTTTGCCAATAAAGATCAAGCATGGCAAATGGATTTGACTTGAAAAACTCATTTGCCATGAAAAAATGATATCATATAAAATTTTCAATAATTAAATATTGTATATACACAATTTGGGATGAAATTATTTAATTGTTTTGATTAAATAAATGAGTTTTTTGTGCACTTTGTTTTACTTATTCAATTGAATTATTCAAAGATAGTTAGAAGATCAAATGGTTATAATATCACCCCTCTCTGCACCCCTCTGAAAACTACTGAAGCAACCCGGTATATTGTAAATGGGGCAAAAGTTCAGTTAGTGGACTTACCGCAAATTTCAAAGCTTTCGCTATGTCTCCGCTCATTGAGATATTTTCTAATGTAACTGCCTCCCCAGTACGCGAAGACGTCCTAATATACTTTTTACGGCCCGTTTCTTTGTCAGTTGACTCAGCATAATTATTCATCCTTTCACAGACTTTCTCCAAAATTTCAACCAAATGCGTTTCTGATCGAGCATATTGAACCTAAATAATAAATATAGGTTGACCAGAACATTGCATAGCGGATCAATGAACATTGCAATATAGCATATTTATGGCGAGCTAATCTATCATAATACTATAAAGTTACTAACGATGTCATGTTAAAACTAATCTTACACGGAAATCAACAGACTTTTTGACTTGTGGACTGGATTACTTGTGGTTAAGGTTATTATTGTGAAATCACAAAGATACTTCTCCGGCCACCGCAGAACGTCTTCCATTCTTATACAGGTACACATGCATATTAGTTATTTTATAGTATACAGACCTTCTTGCTTCTTTGATTTCCATGGGAATCAATACGAAAACTCTCGACCTACAATCAATACTAAATATGTTTTTGCAACTTCTTGGAACTTTTGAGGAGACTTTGAAAATATCAAGTTCTAACCTCCAAAGTCTTTCTGGGATCCACTTGTGATATATCCCAATTTATTTCTTCGGCAATAATTTTACAAGCTATATAACATGTCATTCAAAACAGGTCTTTTAATTTAAAATGGACGATTTATAGCATGTGTCTATACATTGCCATTATGTATAGTTACCATGTAAAAATGCCTTTTAAAATAAAAGCCTGACCATACCTCCACAATAAAGGTCATTTCTATCAGTACTACATAATATTTTCTTCGAAAAAATGAAAAGGGTTGTTATCAACAAAAAAATTGATGCATTCCCCATTCTTTAGATTTATCTAAAATAGTACAGTACAATAACATTGGATAAATGTTTAGGGACCTATGGATACCTGTACAGTACAATAAAAAGCTCTAAACTCCCTTTTGGAGTAAAACAATGTAAACTTGCATTAATAGCATGGTTCAGATTTGACTACCACTACCTTTTCCTGATTCTTGCACCCATGATAGATTTATTGAACTTGATTGGTGCACTCACATTCCCTCAGTGGTAATGTGGTAGTGGAGGTCAAATCTAAACCAGGGTTGGTAAGTTACTGAATAAATAAGCCAAACATTGTTATTGGCGGCCCTTTGATTCCTTTGTTTTAAACAAAGAAAACAAATGTTATGTTAATATATTTGGCTTATTTATTCATAAAATCTACCAACCCTGATCTAAACTTCACTAATAACTCACACAATATGGTCAATACTACAGAAAACTTATGATCCCATATGCTACCTTGCCATGGAAGATATAGAACACTGGATGAACAGTTTGTGGAGAAATAAATATTATATATCTTGGGCAACTCTATTAGTCTCTTATTAGTCCGGTTTGTATAAATCTATCTATAATTTTAGAAATTGCTATTAGGTGAATAAAATTGTTAGTTTAATTTATTCAATTATATATTTTCAGTTTACGTATATACATTTAATATATAATAATTTGCCACATTACCTACAACACTAAATATATATATATATATTCAGTTGAAATTATCGAAACCTTAACAGCTTTAATGTAGGGTGACGTTACACTACCAGAACATTGAAATTTACGTGTCACCAACACACACTGACTATACAATTGTCTTTCGTCCTATGTTGCCCGAGAAATATTCCATCACTCAAAATGCGACTTCTAATTTATTGGATAAAGAGATTTAGTAATTTATATTTAAAATAATCCAGCATATTTTTGACTTACTATTTAGTCATAGAGAGTAGAGTCTTTCATGTGTGTGGTTACACATTGGGGGGAAAGAAAGTAAAAACTCCCAATTACAGATATGAAATTGTACTGTAATTTCCGGGGTTAGAGTTCAACAAGGGAAAGTGCCTGATGGGAATTACTGGGGGTCTTCTAGATTAAGGTCCTATTCAAGCGACTTCCGAGTTCAATGAAAACTGAAAACTGAACGATTTTTCCAGTGAAGTTGTTTTCGATGACTTCTATTTTTATTGTCTTTCTGGGCTTTAAACCGTAAAATATGGCCCCACCGAAATCAAGAAAAATCGCCATCATGGGCTTTCGTTCTGTGGGTAAGAATTGTAAATGCAATTTGAAGCATATGATAGAGCCGTAATAAATGGTCTGTATTTATATTGGAATGAACTGAAATTGTAATTCCTGTGCGGTATTTTATGCAAACAACATCCTTTTCTATTGCCTCATTTTTTGTAATTTCTTCTAGGAAAGTCCTCTTTGACTATACAGTTTGTTGAGAATCAATTTGTGGATTCTTATGACCCCACAATAGAAAACAGTTAGTATAGTGATATTAATGATATTTTATTTTATTGGCATGTGTTTCATCGTAATATTCTGGCGATTGATGTAACATTCGCATACCATTTAATAGATAGACGATATTGGAATGATTTTAATACATGATATCAAATTGGTTTTTACAGTACATTAAAAATGTATTGTTGTAAAATTTTGAATAATTTATGATTTTGTGGAAATCATGGTATAAATTCATTAGAAAAAAATCATTCAAACGTGTGAATATATCCTTGCTTTTACCAATACTCTCCTGATTTTTTTCATGGAAAGAAATATACCCGTTATTTACTTTAATTGGTTTGGATGAGAAAAAAACCAGACCCTAGTAATGAAATAATTAGTCCAGTTTTCTCTCATCTGGACCTTGCAGCCACCAAATAACATGTATCCTTTATACATATCCCACATAAATATAAATGGATCCTTACCATGATTTTTGAAATATGCCTGAGTCGATGATTATAGTGCATAATTTCACATTTCTAAAAAAAGGCCTTTCTTAAAATAATTTCTGAGGATAACATTTTTGAAGTAACTGACCATCTATGCTTTCTTAAATTTGCAGCATTTACAAAAATAGTAAAGAATCGTGGACAAGAGTATAATCTGGAGTTAGTAGACACTGCTGGACAGGTAATAAATAGTTGTAATTATTTGTCCATAATTAATGGTATGTTTTACTGGAAAAAAAGCTATGTTTGGTACTAATGCAGCTAAAATGAACCTCATTTCTAAATCTTGCAGGATGAATACTCTATTTTTCCTCAAGCATACTCAATGGGAATTCATGGATATATTCTGGTTTTTTCTGTTACATCACAAAAAAGGTAACTGATTTAGTGTGATGTGTAACTGATTCAAATTTGTTAAATGATTAACGTGAAATATATTATTATGTTTATTAGTTTTGATGTAATTCAAGTTATTCATGACAAGTTACTTGATTTTACTGGACACAATAGGTATGATATGTATAAACAATGTTGATCACCAAGGTATATTTTAGGCAGATGACAAAGTGCAATTTAATGTTGGGATTTGCCGGACTCTTATACAAAAGGAAAATGTGAACAAAATCTAAATCAATATTTTTAGGGTCCCAATTATTCTTGTTGGAAATAAAAATGACTTGCATATGGAAAGGTATAAGGTTTTTTCGTGTACTTCTTGTAAAAGATGTACAGTACATGTATTTTAATTGGATTAGATGTAAAATATAAATGGCATTTTTTAGGGTAATCTCAACAGAAGCTGGAAAACAATTGGCAAACAGTTGGAAAGCAGTTTTTCTGGAAACATCAGCAAAGGAACTTAAGGTAGCAAGCCATTCCATGTACTATAATATAATATACATATATATACCTACATCATGAATTGAAATCTCATCATATAGTATTAAATAACACAATATATATTTTTTGTATTTCAGAGTGTTGAGCAAGTTTTTTATAGTCTACTTGCTGAAATTGAAAAACAACAGAACGGACCTGCAGAGAAGAAAGATGACTGTACCATACTATAAAATCCTAAAATAACCAACTCAGCCTTTACTTAGATTAACCCAGCAACAATCTAATCATCTCTAAAACACAACCTATAACACAACTTGAACGCATTCACTTTGAAACACTTTTGATCTCTTAGCATTGGAATGACAAGTGTAATATTTGCACGCTAGAATTACATTAGTAATCTTTACCTTAAATATAAAGGGCGGAAAAAGTAGACACTGTCAAATTCAAATCAAAATGCGTGAACATCTACGATAGTCTGATACAGCTCTATTCATTAAGGATAATTTTGTCGTATGTGTGATTGCTTACCAAATTTTGAAAGTGTCTCCTTTTTTACACCATGTCACTGCCATTTGTATGATGTACATGTCCAGGAACATGAATGTTTCAACCTCAGAGTATTATGGCTGTTTATCAGTTTATGGTAGGCGATCGTCCTGGCTGCGTTCTGTTCCAGTGTTGTTATGAAAGACGATTGTTGGTGTTTTAAGTTGTGACTCTATTAAACAACCTGAGCTGCAGGCATTTTCAGATTACTTCACTTTTACGACGACGGCGAATTTTATGACGGTTGTCTATAAACCTCAATCTTACAACAACAAACACGGTAACACTAACAGTCCCTTTACAAGACTACAATCACCTGGATCATCTAACAACGTTATTGATAAAAGGTACAAGGTTGTGTGCCCAAGAGGTATTTCTGATTCAGACTGCAGGACTGCATTTCTAACTTATTAGCGAAGCATCGAAAAACTTCTCAAGTTTGTTCCACAGTTCTTTATGGCATAAAAAAAACACGATAAAAATACTGGTATTGACTATTGTGATGGCTGTGCATCGTCATCGACCACTTTTACCAACTTTTAAGGTGATGAGAAAAATGAAAAAGTGCCCTTTTAGAAGGAAAGTGCCTTTTTTACTTGTGTTAACATTGCATGGTATTCCCTTTTGAAAGATATGATCCCGCTGCAGTGCCTTTAAAACGAAGAAGGCCAGGCTTGCCGCATCACCGCATGCAATATTCGCGTAATAAGAACGACACCTAACGGCACGATCTTTGCTCCAATGCAAACTTTGTGATCATACCAATCAGTGGAAAAACAATTCGCGCAGGAATCCTGGCAGATTCTCGCAATTTTGCGTCGACAAATATATCTTAAGTATATTTTAAAGAATATTTTAAAGTATAATTATTTTTTCCTGCACTTTCCATACTTTTTACAATCTATCAGATCCATTGGAATATGATAAGTACAACAAGAACACACAAAAAATTATTAGTTCAATATGCGCTCAATATCAATGTACAATAAGAGAAGCCTATGGTTCCTGACTTTGACAATGAATTTCTTTCTGAAATGTATCAAAACAAAGATTCACAAATTGGTCTTCAATTGTGGGTTGAACAAAATCACTGCACACAATTACCCACGCCATTTTACCGTTCACTGTTGTATTAAAATGACAAGAAAATGATGAAAATGCATAAGGAATGCTATAGAAAAGACAACTCTGTAATTTAAATGTGGACATTTCATCATCATCAGAGAAAGTAAATGCCCCAGCACTTGACACGTAATTTAATAGTTCTTTGCTTGAATTATTGGGAGAGAGCACTTCCTCGACCATTTCTCTGGGGGTCCAAATAACATATTCAGCTAAATGTTTGGAAAGATCTTTTCCCCTCTCCTTAATTATGTTTTGAATCCCCTTGGTTGCCTCTTGAGATGTTGCCCAAAAATCATTTTCACTGCTCACATAAGGCATTGGGAGCATTTCTGAAAGGAAAAAATTACCGACGTATTCTTCTGGAGGCTTACTGTTACAGACTCGCAGCCCATTTACTGCAAAGAGTTGCATCAGCTCCTGTGGCTTAGTAACACCTTCACTCTCGATGAGCTTGCACAAAGCAAAATAAGCTGAAGCCATAAGCGCACCCGTCACGGTTGCTCCTTTTGATTTACAGACTTTGCGAATCTGCAAGGTTTCGCTTTCAGAGAATATTTTGCACCTCAAATCACGCCCTTCAGACTTTGGTTGCATCATGAAAAATTGGTGTGGGTTTTCAGGTTTGGAGATCAACGAGATGTGTAACGTTATTCTTTTCAACACTTTGATTATGAAATACAGTCCCAGGGTTTCCTGCAAATACTTCCACAGTGACCAAGGCTGGGTGTTATAGATCATCTCATAAAAACTGGGGCAAAGTTCAAGACTCGGAACGATTTCGTTGTGCACTCGTGGGTCTTCGGAAAAGCTATTTAGGTGGTTTAGAAATTGTTTGCACAATTTCATACCGGACATACCGTCGACAATACAGTGATTCACGCGGATTACAATTGTGTTGAGGTAGTTCTCGCTGTCAGATAGATATTCTTCACTGAACAAAACCAATTTCCATAGTAAGCCAGCGCCAACAGATTTTGTAGCAATATCCACCCATGATTTTTGCCATTGAGAAGCACGTAGATCAGACTTTGTGATATTAATCATATCTCCAACGCTCGCCGGTTCAATTATTTCGAAATAACATTCGCTACTTGATCCAAACCAAGAGCAATTAGAAACAGTCTTGGTAATGGCTCGTAGCATTGGCTGTCGTTTGGCTAGACGTATCAATGTCTTGCGAATAAGCGACTCTTCAAGTTTCTCTTTCGATTGCAACATCATCACATAACAAGAGTTTGTGCAACCCTGACGTTCGTTACTAAATATCTCCATGGTTTCTTCAAATTTCCCCAAACGCCGGCTTGTTGAGGTGCACCGAGATTGACTTGGCCACGTAGGTTTCAAAAGATAACGTCGTATGAGGGTGTTCAGAAAGATCGTGATAAATACAAGCGCCAAAAGTGCACTGAATGACTGACCAATAATCGAAACCGTGTCCATGTTGTGTGGTTGAGCAATAGTATTTTTAACGTATTTTAGTAAGTTGCATGCTTACTATAACTATAAAGTAGAAATATAAACGGGTTACTCGCCCCAGTCCCGCGTTACGGGGGGTACGCCAACCATGACCGTCCGAGTAAATAAACTTATTCAGTATTCATCACTGGTTTATTTATCTGAATGGTTTCCCCGTGCTCCCTGGCCCTGCCCAATAATTGCCTCCAGTCCGCCAACAACTCGCTCTTTATTACAAAAAGCTCCAGCGGAGGAGTCTGTCCCCTAAATTAAGAATTTAATGTCGCAGAAGTATTATCTCATCAGAAAAGTCACTGGAATATAAACCTTCCGCAAAATTATTCTCATGCAGTTCTCTTTGTCTTTTACATTTAATTTGGAAATAGAATTATGGCAAAGTTAAAGATTGTAGCTATAGTAAATACGTCTTCAAGCCTTTAAGAATTTTCTAATGATCTTTATAGCTATTTTGACCGGACCGAGGCCTTCAAATACCAATATTGCAATACAATTATACAAACTGTATACAATACAGACTAAGTACCAATATTGTACATACAGATTTGAGAATGACTATTTCTGAGGTGCTCTTCTAAGTTCTAAACAAGAGTGTCACGCCGACTCACGTAGGTGGAGATGGAGAGGTCAGGCTAAGGCACTTCCCTGAAACCTACTGCATGGTGTCGGTTGAATGATCGGCAAAATGGCGCACTCGAGAGGCTGAATGAGTTGTTTGAAATAAGGAACTTTGGGTAATAAAGTCTGAGGAATTTTGTTCTGCTCAGTTCTGTCAGCGCTCAGGTATAACCACTATGCTAATGCATGTAGTGACTAGTCAGTAGTGTACTGAGAATTTATTAAGAGCAGTTGCCTTCTCAGACCTTTGTCAGACCTTATATCAGAGTCAAACGAGTGACTTTTAAAATAAATAGTCGTCCACCTGAGAACGATCCATTTCGAAATATCGGATTTGGACTTTAGAATAAGCATATCACTTTTAAATGAAAGTATCAAATAACATTGTTCAAACATTTTTGTTTGACTATCATGGCGAAGTAGGTCAACAAATGTTATCAAGAGACAAGAATTATCTAGTTATTATTGTTTGGGTCTGAGCTTCGTAGGACTTTGCTTTATGGAATAGACCATTGGAAATATGGAGCAGCGACTGGTATGCTTTATGCTAATCTTCACATCACTTCGTATTGGGGCCGACAATATACATCGTAATATATTGAATATATCGACAGATGGCTCAGACTTGTTGCGCTGTATTTACCCAAGCAATGATACGTCTGTAGCCTGCAAAACCTTGGATTATGTTTTCAGCCAAATGGAGATCAATAATACAATAGGAAATTCGACTGAAATCTTAATCGATAGTGGGCTGTACTTCGTAAACAGACATTATAGCTTTGAAAACTTTCATAATTTTCGGATTACTGGAGTTGACGGTCTGATTCGGTTATAAAGAATGCGTAGGTTGGTCTCAGTTTTTTGCGCACACAGAATCTAGAATTCGCCAACGTCACATTCCAGAAATGCGGTTCCTGGCAAAACAACACAAGTATTCATAATCCTAAATTCCTGGTTGCCATTTTCATCGCGTATAGCAAGAATATTAAGGTGCTTGATAGTCGGATTTCAAAATCACCTGGCGTCGGTATAAATTTGTATGACGTTGGTGGCGATGTCTTGATCGTGAATTCTACTTTCACGGAAAATTACTCATGTGCCTGAATTTATATACGGAAACGGTACGCCGCGTGTAGGCGGAGGACTTCATATAGAGCTAACATATTGTGGGGCTCTCTATCCATTCGACTGTAACGATTCAGAAACAGACCAGTATAACCATGGAAATGTCTATGTTATTAATGAAATAACAAGGGAATTTACAACATTTGAGCCGAATCCTTGCGCGAAAGACTTTAGTTCCATCGGTCGTGGTGGTGGATTCACGTATATTATTAAAGGTAATGCTACCGGGAATAAATTTTTCGTCGATGGTTGTACGTTTTTAGGAAACACTGCCGACTGGGGTGGTGGATATGCCATGTATTTCCAAGATAACGCAAGTAACAATTCCTTGTTTGTGAGAAACACACACTTTTTACAAAATACGGCTCGGTACGGTGGTGGCGCTGTAAAGTGTGGGACCGTCATATTCGGAACTTTTCAAGATTTAACAGACCGTGAATCCAATTATTATTTTCACGAAAACTGTACCTTTGAAAGAAATAAAGCAACGGAGGGTTGGGGAGGAGCATTTTCTGTCTTTGGTTCAACGGGTTATCTCGATACGCAAGGTTGGAAAGACAAAAAGACTCCAATATTTTCGAACTGCCGTTGGCGGGAAAATTCTGCCACTGCCGGCGCTGCCATTGGTGCGCTCACGAAGCAACCTGAACTTTGGAGAAAGTCAATTGGATTAGAGGGTAGGGGTTTCGGGTATGCGCTCAAACTCATTAATAACACATTTATGAATAACAAAATAATTCCTACGACTTGCAATGTCACGGTTTTTGGTATGGGAACAATATACTCTGTTTTTGTGCCTATTATCATGATGGGGAACGTAGCGTTCGAGGGAAATGCAAACACGGCTTTGGTACTGGACTCGGCATGTGTTGAAATCGATGGGGACGTGTTGTTTCACGAAAATCATGGACTCTATGGTGGAGCAGCCGGTCTTTATGGGGCATCGGCGTTTGTATTTAAACCTGGAGCAAGATTATTGTTCAAAGGCAATTCTGCATCGGCAATCGCCGGAGCTATTTACGTAAAGACAGCCGGTCCTGATATAGCTGCGTTCTATCAAACCATTTTCCAAAGGCATCATTGTTTCTTTAGATACTCTGATATCTCAATCGAGCCTAACGACTGGAATGTGAGTGTAGTTTTTCAAGGAAACAGAGCGTCGAATAATATTGGCAGAACATTGTTCGCAAACACTCTACAATTCTGTAGATTCGGCCGTGCCGGGTTGATAAATGATGCAATCAAAAGTTGGAAGAGCTTTCAGTTCAAGACGCACGATGGTCACCCATCCAATGATGATTTAGAGGTTGCTACATCTCCAGTCCAGATTTTAATTCATCCTCACGAATGGAATAGCATATCACCAAATGAACAATTTTCACCTTCGATACAACTTTTGGACGAGAGAAATCACAGCGTGTACGGATTGATAAAAGTGTCGATCAAGGAAGTGGGGCAAGGAAGTGGCGATGAAACGGTGAAGCTTGAAAATGGAGTATCCCCTTTTTTTTACGTTAAAAATCGGATAAATTCCTTGTGGTTTAGTGGCAAACCTTCGAGCAATTTCGAGGTAAACATCAATTCACTTTATTCCCAGTCTATAAAAATGAAAGTTAGCAATCTTACTATGAAGAAGTGTCCATCTGGTTTTATTAACAGAAATAATACGTGTCTATGTTCGACAGTCCAGGATAGAATTATTGGTATTTCACGTTGTGGACAGAATGGAAGGAGCTTGTACCTTCGAAAAGGATATTGGGGAGGTCCTACTCATGGTGGTGTTATTGGCGTTGAAAAATGTTCGTTTTCTGTCATTCAATGTCCATACGGCTACTGTGAATGTGTTTCCAGCAGAGAGAAGGCTGGTTTGACTAATCAGTGCGAATGCTACTTTGACGCCCATGTAAATCAATGTGTAGAAGGCCGTGAAGGAATTCTTTGCGGACAGTGCAAGAAGGGCTTGAGTGCTGTAATCGGAAGTTACAAATGTGTTAAGTGCAAAAAGAAAGATACGTTCATGTTGATTCCATTTTTCGGTATTTTAACATTCCTAGTAATTCTTGTGCTGTGTTGTAAACTTGACTTCTTTTCTGGTTATCTTAACTGTTGGCTGTACACGTACCAAATAATATTCCTTCTTTTACCTGATGAATTTCTTCTTGCGGACCCTTTCATGAATTTTGTTATAAAACTTGCAAACATAAAATTTGTCTTTGGTCACTGGTGTCTTTGGGATGGAATGAATGATCTTCAGAAAACTTCATTCGGCTACGTGGCTCCAGCTTACCAAATTCTTATTCTCTACATTTTCGCAAAACTCTCTTCAAAGTTTTCATTTTTCCAGGGTAATTATTTCCGGCCATTTTGCACGATACTTGTGTTATCTTATTCCGGCATCATTGGCGTCACATTCAAACAGCTTCGACCTGTTCATATCTGCTCGGAATGGCGCGTATATATGTCGGCTGGAGTGAAATTTTTCACAGGCGAACATATCATCCATGCTTCTATAGCAATAGCTGTGTTTTTATTTGTCATTCTACCTTTTCCGATCATGTTAGCTTATAGTTCATTTTTTACCAACCATTCTCGTCGGTTCTCCCAGATAAGCATTCCTTTGTTGGACGTTTTGAAGTCTTGTTATCACAATAAGCGTTCTTGGTTCGCGGCTTATTACATAGTATGTCGTGTAATTGCAGTTTCACTCCATACTTTTATCTCTGAGATAAATGCTCGTCATAAAATCCTTCAAGTGTTTTGTGTGATAGTATTGCTACTCTTCCTGTATCTGAAGCCGTACAAAAGCGAAACCCTGACAAAAATCGACACATTTTTTTTGACATTCCTGGTGTTGGTCAGCCTTCTGGCTGAAGTCGTGATAACATGTTCGTTTTTCGCATCACTTTTCTTTGACATCTGCTATTATTGCGTTCACGTCTTGTTGTATGTTCCATTGCTTTACTCGCTAATCCTATTGTGTTATCACATACGACGTTTGGTAAAGCAACGCAAGCAAGAAGGAAGGAATACCGCAGTGAACTATCAAAACGCCAGTCAAAGCTCTGAAAATGAAAGTACACGATATGAACCTCTCTGATTGAGATTATGTATTAACAAGTGTGGCGCTGTAAAATATAGCCTTTCTCGCTGTAACGAATATGCCGACAATTTTGCTTGGATTTTTTTTCAAAATACTGAGCGTAAAGCTCGTTTCAGACGTCGAACGCCTCATGCATATGCGGCTGAATCGAACGCAAATAGATTTTCGCTCATATACATTAACATTAAGATCGGCACAGGAAAAATTTGACGTCTGAACAGACCTCGTAATGGCCTCGTAATTTGAGCAAACCTCGTAATTTAATTTTATGCTTAATTTTTTCCGTGTATAATGTGATCTTTTGTTTCTTAAAAACGTAACTGCTTTCGTTATCGCGAGAAAGGCTATAAGTTCTTTCGCCCAATTTAGAGTAACGTCATGGGTTTCCTTATCAGATTCTGACCTCTGCCTAATTCATGCTTCAATTCACTTCAACAATCATTATTCAATGAGCTTTATACCATAACATAAATAATATTAACATTGGTATTTCAACTGTTTCTTTTCAAATTACATATACAGTGGTAATACGTATTGGCGTTTGTTATTGAACAGGGTTAGTATATATTCCTAGTTCTGACATAAGACAGGCATACTTATATAATTACGAAAACTAAAATTATCTCTATATTGAACATCAATCTATCAAAAATTAAATATACTAATTTATTCAGATCATTCAGAAAACTCATGGTAATAATAAGAATCAATGTATTGTAATATTTTATAAAAATGTTTCAATGTTCTCGACTTGCCGGCTTTTTGAATCGTGTATAGCTGCTATAGGTTTTTTTTCTGATTGTAAATGGCTAAGTGACTCGCGTCATGGGGCTGGACATTTGGATCAACCTCGTATCCTGAGAACGAGAATGTCATAGTAAAGATTGTGAATAAATTCTCTGATGACTAGCTTACTCAGAATTCATTTTGAATGAAATACAGCGCAATTACCGTATAGATATAAACACACCGTAAAAGTTTACTAACATTTTTACAAAACTCGTGTGATTCACACCTATAATTCATAATTCATGGCATTCATGTTCTTTACAACTGTTTTTACGGGCATGCGTGGAGTGAACACAAATATATGGTTATGTAAATGTATCAGAGAGTTCAGTGCTACCCTCTTATAGTTAACCCACTAAGCAAACGGCATATACTCTGATTGATTTGACTTCTCTATTATAAGGTCCAGACAGAATGCATTCTCTCTAAACTGATCAGCTATACAATTCAGTTATTAAACTGAACAGTATATAAAACAAAAATTTTACAAAGAAATTAATGAACAGCCACAAGGTATATTTTGAGATCTAAAGACCAATATATACGGTGCAGTAACAGCTGGGAGAAACCTCAATGCAGTATAACAGGGGAAATACATTTGCAGAGGAAATGCGCACATTCGATCATTAATCTCGTGTGAGTTACTTATATATAAGGGCGTTGTTGATTTATAGGATGTACCTATTCAGCCTACACCATGCGTAGCCATGCCTATGAAATTGCTATATTACAAACAAAACAGTCTCCGCAAAACACAATTACATAAACAAGCAAATGAAGCAATGAAGATCCAATGAATATACTGATAAAAGATTTTACAACACAAGTCTTGTTCAAGAGCCATATAAATATATAACGCAATACGGTCAATATATACGATTTCCTATCCAACCAATATTAATCGCATTGCAAGAATTACTGAAATCAGGAAATCCTAAATAATCTGACAAGTGCTTGAAACTGCTTACAGAATTGATGATGAGAATCTACCTTAGTTTCCCCTATTGATCAAATAGTACAAAATGCATTAATAAGAATTTAGAGAGAATTCACAAATAAATACATGCAAACAATTGATTCATGAAAACTCACTGACATACACAACTATGCAATTATAATCCAATGACTATATATAAATATATAAAATGTTTTACAAAACAAGTCTTTTAATTTGTTCAAAAGCTGTATGTATATTGCCCAATACGATTTCCTATTCATGCCACGGTAACAATCACTAAAACAGGAAATCTTGTATCTTGTAACTATGTATAGTCTGAAAAGTGCTTCAAACTGCTAACAGGAATGATGACGAGAATCTCCCTAGTTTCCCCTCATATAATGTCATATCAAAGAATATGCAAACAAAATGTTTATCCGTAAAAAACTCTACAGCCTGTTTTGTCTGTTTACAGAAATCGATTTTTCGATGGTGTAGATAGTCACTTCTGGCTGGTAAGGGCAATACATATTCCCAGATGGTTTTACCCCGCTCTACATTAAAAGAGTGGGATAGTGAGGAACTGCATGTCGATGCTGACGTAAACGTTGCTCTCGTGTTTTCCTGATTGTACTTCTTATACATAAATATATGAGGTTTCCTGATTCTGAGAGTATATAAAGAACAGTCCAATATAGAAAATGAACATAACAGCTAAGAGTTGGTATATAAGGAAGACTTACAGTGCCACGCAGTGAGAATAATCATCGTGCGACAGTGTGACTCTATATTCAGCGTCATTCAGTTAGATATAAAGAAGTCAGGCGGTAAGTAGCTGCAGACTACAGTATTTCTTCAATGCTTCTCATGCCCGCTGTTTTGCAGTTTCATGTTGTTTAGTATAGCAAATTTTTAAAGGCTCTTTGATCTCCCTACACAGGGCTCCGCGCTCGCGGAACATGTCGAACTTCGTATTTTTACACGTAAAAAAACACCGCATTTTAAAATATAGAGTGTATAACTATAGCTATCCGGGAGCTTTCAGGAATTGTATAGCTATAGGGCAACGTTGCGTAGAGACTTTAGCATATATATAGAAGAACGAGGGAATGTTTTTTCCTAAGAAATTATATCATTGTTCCTATTCCATATAGATTACAGTCTATACCTTGATCAGAAAGATGTCAGGTAGCATAAATGGTGCGTTTGCATTACTGGCGTTGCTCTGCCTTGTTCATCACAGTTACCAATGCAGTCCAGGGCCAGACTACAAACCACCCACAATCGCCGAACTGACCCAAAAAGCCCCTATTGTTGTTCGAGGTTTTGTTGTTAAAAAAGGCAAAGACATCAATCGTTTCGAAGCTTGTCTATATATTTCTCACGTCTATAAAGGTGCACGAGTGAAGAACTACATTTGTGTATCAGGTTTTGGGTCGTCAGCTGCCTGCTTGTCAGAGCCTGGCTATGGAACAGAATACTTGTTCTTTTTAAACCGAAAAGTAGACCATAAGTTAGGAACAGGGTACGAGGCTCGTTATGATTCGATACATTCAGCTGTACAAGTGTTCGGGAAGGACTCAGAAGATGGTATCAGGGATGGAAAATGCTGCCCACGTACATTGAAAAGTAAGTTTCTTCACGGACTAGGATATGCCTTGTGATTTTGAGCAATTTTATAGTGCATGGATATGGCAAATTTGATGCTGTATATTTTGACCAATAACATAGCAATTTAACCGAATTTCTATCATTGAAAATAATTATAGTTGGAGGGGGGGAGGGTGTCCCATCCCCCACTAACACGCATGCTCTCCAGCATGCAACTAAAAACACATTAAGTTTGTTTCTATACTAAATTCTTATTCTACATGTAGATTGTAACAGTTTTCGACTGTTTTGTTCGCGAGGATATTGCGGCCATAGTAAATGCCGCTGTACTAGAGGTTTGTAAGAAGTTCAGTATTATTTATGTTAGATATTAAACATTTTATACCGCCCTATTTTATGCAGATACATTTCACTGGTCCTCGTCCTGGACCTTGAGTCTGTAATATACGTAAATATAAAAGGTCTTTTGGCATTGGATTCCATGTAGATATCCAATCGTTAATTTTTTGCCACGCCTTCACTTTTTATTTCCGTTTTCAACTATAGGTTTGAAATACCGAAAAGTATGATATGCTTGGATGTTCAAGGCTCATTCTTCCAATGGAACTCGTCAGTCATAGTTTTAATAATACTCAAATGGATTAGATTTTTAGTACAGATACAATAGGAATAAATACGTTATTTGCAAATGTTTTTATTTTAATGAAAATTAGCGGTGAATATTGACTTGATATTAAGTCATAAGTTATATTATAGTCAATAGTATATAGATGATTTATCATATTAGTGTGTGGATCTGATCTGTGTAGACGAAATAGCTATATAGCAATTTTATAATAGCAATTTTATATTTTAAATGAATGAAATTTTTTTTCATACGTTTTCCCTTGGCTTATACAATGCAGTTGCAACAGCTGAAAGCTAACAATTCTTTTCCAGATTTCATTTTTGATTCAAATTAATCTTGATGCACGAGTCGGTTTTTATTACTAATTTGTCGATATAGACTATTTGACAAATACGACTAGAACAAATATGGCCGAGACTTACAGGAGAATCAATCCTTTTGTCCTTTGAAATTCTGTCTATGACTATGACTTAAGGGATGTACTGCATATATATGACCAAGCATATACCCGGACTTAAGAATTTGGTGAACAGATGACTGTTGTAGAACAATATTGATTTCTAAAAAAATATAGAAATGTCCCATGTTTCGTGCCCATGCAGGCAACGGGTAATACTGAATTATTCAAACCGTCAAAGATATTATTGGCAAGACTACCGGAGAACGGCTGAAATTAACAGGGTCTAATTCAAAAATCCATGTTTGATTGGAAGCCCGCTTACTAGATATTGAATAAAACATGTCGTGTTTGTCGTGACCTGATATTAAATTAATGTCATAATGACACAACTGCTATTATAACCGTTTGTAGAACATCGTTGTTTCAAAAGAATTTATTTAGACAGCACTTTTAGTTGCAGGTGCTCATTGCTTATGATCATGAGAAAAAAATGGAGAATCATCTAAACGCAACTATAACATTTAACGTCACACCAGTCACTTCTTTAAAAAATGAGATATTTAGTGTAGGGGACATCGTTCATTTAACTCTCTACAGTTTGCTGTTCCTGATTGTCATCGTTGGAAACACTTTTGTGATCCTCGCCTTCAAACTGAACTACAGATTGCGTACTGCTACAAATATTGGCCTAGTCAGTTTGGCGTTTAGCGATCTCTTGGTTGGTTTAATTTCAATTCCTCTTTGGATTTTCTTGCATATATCTTTTAATGAAAAGCACATTCGCCCCGCTTACTATCATGGTCTTTTCCTACTGTTTGATGTATTAAATGGATCAGCGTCCATCTTTCAGCTGACAGCTATTTGCATTGAAAGATGTTTCTCTATAGTGGCTCCAATACGACACCGTTCATTGCCACGGACTTTTCACTATCGCGTTGTGTTGGTGGTCTGGATCCTAGCGTCAGTGTGCTCTGTAACGTCTTTTCTTGCTTTTACAGGTCTCATTGATTATCGCTGGTATATGAAATCTATTGTAATAATATGCTTCATAATTCCTTTGGTAGTAATGACAGTATCCTATTCCTGGTTATTCCGCACTGTTAGAAAAAGGAACTCGATTTTCCCGACGAGTAACCTGTCATTGAACTGGACGTCACAACGTAAAACTATAATAACCATATTGATTGTGACAGGACTATTTGTTATAGCTTGGTCACCCACGTTTATCTTTACTCTGTTATTGCAAACTTTGTCTAAAAGTGACCTTCTTGTACTAAATAATAACGTGCATATCAGGCGTATTCCTAAGTGGATGCAGTATATGAACAGCGCTTTGAACCCTTTGGTATATGCCTACAGAAATAACGATTTTAAGACCACCTTTAAGAGGATGACTCTCTCAATCATGAGATGCCAGGCTTTTCAACAGGTTTGCCGAAGAACAACATCGTAACGAGTATTGTTGCTTATTCTTTCGCTGATTATCGTATACAAGCAATTTGTTTCAGCCAAAAAGATCCATATTTAATCCCTCGAACGTATGGAAACAGCCTGGCAGCAGACAGGACATTAAAAAAAGAGATCTTGGACTTGATTGTTCATTTTTTGAAACTACACAATCAAGCCGTTATATTGTAGACTTATAAATCTTTCTTATAACTATTGAACAGTTGAGCAATTTTTAGGGCAGATTTTCGTAAATTTACATCCCCAAAATTTACAACGATCGCTACGACAACACCATTTGGTGGTGGAACATCTCTTGTGACGTCATATGCGTCCTTTACGGAGCTTGGTAGCAATAAGAGAATACTGCTCGCTCCCACAGCTGCCCCTGAAGAAAATGATACAAAATATCAACATATAAAAACAAGATAGATAGTATCATGCAGTTTGTTCAGCAACAGTATACGGAATGCTATACAAATGTCTTCGATTAATAACGTGTATATACTGTATCTTGATAATACTTGTATACATGTGTTTATGGAACATTCAAAAGAGAATTTGATCAATGTGAATGCATCAGAAATAAAGCAAAACATTTACCAGCATGAGCAATTGCTCTGGGCTGATCCCTACAGCAACCATTTTGGTGTTTCTTTGGAAGTATCGCCCATCCTAGGCCATAGCCCCAATCACTATCAATTTTCCCTTCATTGTTTTCAACTATTGTCCATGATAACCTCATACTTTCTGGAGACAATATTCCTAGAGAATATTCTTGTGAGACTTTTGCAAAGAAACTCCTTCAATAGTGATACTGGTCACTGATACTGATAACTGATAAATGAGGACAAACCTGGTAGTAAACTATCCTTGGCTTTCCCCTGATAATCCCCAACTTGACTTGCATAAAGCATTGCATTTCCAAACTTAATTAGATCTTCAGTTGTTGATATAAATCCTCCACCAGCCCATTTATAACAGTTGTCAACATACGGGACATTGATTAATTGACCTTTCCCATTTCTCACGTAAAATCTGTTTAGGATGGAGCAACAAGATGGAAAGTACAGCATGTCAAGTGCCATATAGCATAGCATTGATCATTATACTGTTAGGGATAATATATATTTACAAGGACTACATCATGATATTTCTTACCTAGCTCTTCCATAAACAAGGTTCTGATGAAGCTCAGCTTGAGTATTGGTCATGCCAATATCTTTGAATAGTTTATTCATGTAAGGCAAGAACTTCTCCTTAGCCGCACTTTCAATAACTGCACTAAGCAATGTCCAGCCAAAGGTTGTATACAGAAACTCTGAGCCTGGTTCATGCACTAAAGGGTCATCTTTGAAAAGGGACAATGATTTCTGAACACTATCATAACATTCCTATGAAAAGAAACTCACAAGATATACTAGCTCATACACTAACAAGTAGTTAATGAAGGTTATTTACCTTCATGTAGTACTCAGGTTTCTCAAATTCTAACATCTCTTTGTTTGTTTTCCTTTTCTTTTTATCATCTGAAGTGAAGGAAATTATAATCAGAACATTCTGCAACATAATTAATCTAAATGAAATTAGAAGTTATTTTCAGAAGTTAAATATATATCCACGGTTGATCTACCTTTCGTTTTATAAGTTGGAATGATATTTTCCTCATCTTTGTTGATTTTTTTATGATAATGTCGTATACCACTCCGATGACAAAGTAAATGACAAATTGTAATCACACATGGTTTTGAATTGATTTGTTTTTCAGGAAAGCTAGGTACGTATTTCTGTACTGGATCATCCAAGTTCAATTTTCCTTCCTCTACAAGTTTCACTATCACAATAAAAGAAGTGGGATGAATTATGGACTATAAAGGGCTCAAAAACTGGCTTAAAATGAAAAAGGGGCTGGGGTGGTGTTAACTATTCAATGTAGGGCGGACATGACCTATAAGAATATATAAGTACTATGAGCCCTTACTGGCTGCAGTTGCTGTCAGGGGCTTGCTTATACTTGCTATCCTCATTACAGTGTTAGGTGTACAAGGAACATCATTTTCAACATCTGCATATCCAAATCCTTCACTCCAAACAATCTTTCCATCCACACTAACACCGATTACAAGGCCTGGACTTCCACTTTCTTCCTTTACCTTCTTAATTAATGACCTTGCCTTTCTTATCAAAACTTCATTTGTGTCTGAAATACTATCAGCATTTTGAGCCTAAACAAGAGAACATTAAATCCAGATAACCTTTCCTCCTCAAATATCCCATATCTCTACATACTCTAGTCTTACATAATTAATACTCCAGAGTTTTTTTACCTTGACAAATTGTCCTGATAAATAGATGTCATCATTTTGGCTAATTTGAGGTTCACAAATGCAAGAATCAAATAGACGTTTTTGACCACCATATTTAAACCCATAATGAGTGATTCCAACACCAAGTACAAAAGCACCAGCACCAATGAATGCACCCGACAATTGACGCACTTTGCTTCTCATATTCGAATTTCGTCTCACCTGTTTTGTTGTTTTGACACAAAAATAGAAAACCCACGAACTTGCTAAAATGATAAAAAGTTTACAAACTTTCAACAACAACGTTACTTCTAATTATGCTTCACAAACTTCGGTCGAAATATATGGGAAAACAAATGGTATGGCTTTCCAGACCTCAGCTCTTTTCTTTATACTTTATTAAAATTTTCCGTTCCGGGAATCCGGGGGTCGGATCATCATTTTCAAGATGGCGGACGGCGAAGAAAACGTGGATTCGATGGAAACAGGTTTGTTGAGTTTTTTCCCCCATTAGCTTCATAAGAAATACTTTGATCTATGATAATTTTAGACTTTTAAAAACGTGTGTTCCATATTTATCGAGAAATGCTAAGGAGAAATTAATAATTATGTTATGTTAATATGTTTCATCCTTTGACTCTTGACTGCATGTGTTTCACCTGATATAATTTAATACGAGACTGCAGATGTGGATGAAAGAAGATGAAACTATGTTTTTCAATTCCAATTACTTATTTTGTATGACACTGTGATGGTAGTGCTAGTTAAGCCAAACAGAATTTCCTAAAAGCATGTGAAAAAGTCGGAAATTGATCTTTATATAAATTATATTTACTATACATTCCTCAAGATGTGTTTCTGTTGATATTGTTTTATTCCCCTCCCAGATTCAGCAAGTGAAGGGAAAGGTGAAAGCCCACCAAAAAGGCCGGACAACCTGTGTTGTTACTCACAAAAAGAGTGTGATTTAGAAAAACTGAAAGGGTTTGACTTTTGTCACAAACATATTCTTGAAGACAAAGCGAGTCCATTCAAGCCTTGTGATTTTGTTTCAAAGACAAATGGAAAGAAGTGTGCAAATCCAGCACCAAAACTTGCTGATGGTCAAAAGACGTGAGTACATGAACTTTATCCACCAATGCTGAATTTGTCAAACTGGATTTCACTACAGTGGTATTAGTATTTGTTTTTGCCATTTGATGGCAGCAGATTGTAGTGTTTTACAGTATGCTTACTGGTTTTCAGTTACTGTCTTCTTCACACACGGGATTCAGAGCTTAGAAAAGTTCTGGAAGCAAAAACAAAGAAAAAGAAAAGAAAACTGAGTGGACAGCAGGATGAACAACCTAAAGCACCAACATCAAAACCTGGTCCAGGTCGTCCTGCTGGAGTAAGGAATTATACAAAAAGACCAAAAGTCCTAGACTTAGGTAGTTATACTCATATCATTTTTAATATATACCTTCATAGCAAGTTTTTTAGAACATACCACCTTTTACTGGTTAAATAATATCTTACATGAAATAACTAAATCTTGCAAAAAACATTTGTGATAAATAATTGATTTAAATTGGCTACTAAAATAACTCATTCCCAACTTATCTATATGTGTATTCTAATACTGTATATGATTTAAATTGGCTAGTCAATCCCAACTTATCCCACATGTGTATTCTAATACTGTATATTTTAGCAGGAGAATACAGACGAGATGATGTGTTAAGAGTTGAGAGTTCCTGGCATGGTGATTATGAAAGTGATAGTGAATCGATAGATAATGAAATGGATGATCCGTTAAGGTATCAGATAGTACACACATGGATTCAATGCATGAATTAGGATTGTATAGAAATATAAATATCTACCGAATCTTAAATTTTTTTCCATATATTTCAATTGAAAACCTTTTCTCCTGGCATAACCTCCTCTGTCCGAAAGATTAAACTAGACTATTTGCAAAAGACATTTGAACTTTCTTCCAGACATGCAGGTGTTTGGACTGCTGAAGAAGTAACAAAGGTGTGTCGTGACAAACTGCTGAGATTAAGATCGCTATATATGTCTCAGTTTGAAAGATTAAAACATGTCTATAAGAACAAGAGGAGAAAGTATCTTCTAGCCACTGGGGCTAATGAAGAAGGTGTAACAGGTAATTGATAGCAATTATCATCTTTGGATTTCATGATTTTGGATTTCGCAGGTTTAGTTTGGCATTCGTATGTTTAGTAGACCCTGTTCTGTTCACGAGCGTTATCACTTATTTTGATTATAGTAGGTGGAAGAAACGGAACAAAACCAAACGAGTCTCTTTCAGCTATGCACATTGCTAGCAGATGTTACAACAAGCGGTACAGAAACGATGCACTTCTGCAAAAGCAAAGCAAAGAAAAACGGTTAGGAACGACATCGCGAAATCAGATTTTGCCCCATCAGCGTTGTGGTCACTACACCGATGGGAATCGTTGTACATCAAAAATTGTCCCTTTTGCGAAATATTGTTTGAAACGTATCTTATTATACACTGTATGTAGTTTTTTTCAAAGGCATATAATAATCCTGAGTAATCAAATGTAGTGCATCCGTCGCCTCGTGATAAATAGTTTGCGAGCTGTCGGACGTATAACATTCCCTAATTGAATTGTTTTTTGTCCGAAGATACCAACATATGGTATTTCAGTTAAAACTATGATCATTGCCATCGCCTTGTAATTTCGAAGTTCATTTAGGTCATTTCAAATAAAATATTATTGTTTAAAAAATTACATCCTTAACCAGTATGAAGATATCTGTCACGACACAAACCAACAATTATTTCTGCCATGCTCACAAATGATTGGCGCTGAACAAAGTTGTGGTGCGGCCGTCCCGAATGTTTCAAATCATGAAAGATGTATACTTCATCTTCCACACACAAGTGATTTATCTGTGGTTGATTTGGAACAAGAGCTTCAGCAGGCTCAGGAACGGCAAATGTAAGTGTGAAATACGTTAAACGTCATTTAAGTTTACAGCTGGAAATAGTAAAATGGAACATTGATTTTAACATATTTCTACGTAACTTATACAGACATGTCTTTTTAGAATCAAGGACAAAGAAATCGAAGGGAGACGAAAAGCTGCTTTGGAAATTGCAAAATCTGAAGCACTTGCTGCTGAGCGCGGGAAGAAACCCGAAGATTCAAAAACCCTTGGTACATCTTCCACGCCTACTACACCACAAACCAACGTACCTGAATCACAACAAAAGGAAACGCCACCAACAATGCCTAACTTTCCATGCAAACTCTCTGGATCCCCTGTAACCAATCTTCAGATTAAAATTCAACCAGAAAAACAACCAGAAATCGTGTGCAAAAATTTGGTCTCCTCCATAGCACCAATGACAACCCAACATGATAGCAAAGTTGGTAATTCAGTAACCCCATCCACAACTAGTACTACAAGTACAGCTGGCGTGTCATTGACAACTAGCGGACCATCTGATGTCAACACCTCATCTATCCCTTCTAAAACACACGATAAACCTACCAATAAGGTTGCCCCTCAGCAACCTCTGAAATCGTCTATTTCAATGAAAAGCATGGACACTGGTCCAGTCACTGACCCAAATCCTCCTTTACCTTCAGCAAATAAAGCCAGTGGTTCTTTAAAAAGTAGCCTTATCGCATCTTCAAATACTAAACAAACACCAATGCTTGTCGATTCCTCAGTCAGCAGCAAAGAACCTGCAATATCAGAAGTTTCGAAATCTAGCGTTCACTCTGAGAATATTAACAAGAATATTAACATCTCTGACGGTGGGAGCATTGGAAATCCGTCAAAGCCTTGAGAACGATTAGTTTTCGGGTAAAATCAATAGGCTACGACGATGTATATTAATTCGTGTTATAATACCATTTGTTATAAAAGAAATCAAACTTTTGTTTCTTTGAGTATTCACAACACGTGGAAAATACATCTATCATTTCCCCCATTATTATCACTTTTATACAATTATTTATACATATTTTGTCAGAAATATTTTCACAACCTTTAGCGTTTTCTTGATTGCAACGATTTTGGCTTTGCTTGTGTTCTTGCCCTTGCTTGTGACTTTTCTGCTTTCAACTAAAATTTGAAACAAAATTACATAATATACGTAATACATATAGAAGGGGGGTCAAGACAATTCTAGCTCGATTTCCATTTTTCCAATCTTGTAAGTAGGAGAAAATATTTAATTCTAACTAACTCTAAATTTTTCGTGTGTTCGTACTTCTTAAATTTATATTTTAGGGCGGGTTTCCACCGATTTCCACTAGGTGTAATTTTCCCATCGGCATCGAAATGAATTTCATGCCTAATTTTCGTTTCAATCGGCTGAGTGAACCCGCTTGACCGCTTCGGTTAAGTGGTTACAATAGAAAAAAATCGTTTCGTTTGATCGAAAAACTCCGCCTACTGGAAAACAGCCTATATGGGTAAGGGCGTACCCTCTCTTGATAGCGTTTTTCAAAGTATGCCATATCAGCTTCTTCTTTAGTCATTCCCGGTTTCTGGATGTCTTTCATTTCTTCCAAGGATAACCGAGCCATATCCGAGTGAACTCGTAAAAATGGATGGTCGTCCGGCCCTACACGTTAAGAAATCTTCATACTGTAAGCGAGCGAGTGCTTACTTATATAAGCACCGATATTAAGATATGGTCATATAACCAGCAATCGTAAGGTTGCAAATGAATGCTCACATACCAACTGGTTTTTCAAGAAATTCTTTAGAGGGAGCACCAATGCCACTATCATCTAATCTCATGTAACCTTCTGCCAATGAACTAAATCCTGTGAGACCGCCCATAGCAGCATATGGTACATCATGACCTACTGGGTGACCTCGTGCTTCGCGTTCTGATTTTGTTTCAATTACAGTCTGTGAAAATGGAACATAAGAAATTATTTGTACAGAATACTAATTACTGGGCGCTGGGGTATAGACTAATTTATACAGTCCAATATAACCAGGAAGCAGCGTGGCAGCGTCTTCAAATGACTTTTTCTTACTAATTCTCCTGACGAAGGCCCTCAAGTGGAAATGTCAAGAAGTGTTCTTGTCTATTTTAGGCATTTGTTATACCACATTTGATGCTAATTTATACAGTACTTGTCCCAAAAATGGCCTGAATGTTTTCATAGGAATGAAAAACACGTACTTGAAACGAGACTCCTATGCCATATGTATGTCATAAAAGTATCAAGAAGGCTGGTTGATAGAGCAATGAAAATGTTCATTCTAAGCAATATACTAGCATACTGGAGTGACTTTTCAGCTTTCACATACATCACAAGGAAAATTCCTTCTATAGGTGACAGGTGCATGAACAACATCATACAGTATGGGTTTCTAGATTTAGTCAATACCTTATGTGAATGTGCAGGATTACCACAGCTACAGGTAAAAGCACTCCAAAACTTTTTACATGAACATCCTTTAAGACATTTATACGGCTTTGTTTCAGAATGGTCGTCAGCAAAATGTTTACAGGTGCAGCGTATTGGTTGGGTACCATTGAGTGGTACATAATGATAGCTGGAACATCGACAACCTGATACACGGCATGGAACACGAATTGGACGAGTACTTGGAATTTCATCAAAATCTGTCTTGTGTTGTTTGTACCTACAGTACGCACACAAATGATAGGTTAGTTGGTTGACAATGCAGTGAGCTTGGGCAATGCAAAAGGAAAATTATGATGCAATTAAGCTACATATTCAATCTCTCCTAGCACGGTAGCACCTGCACTCACCAAGAGAGCCCAGTCCAAAACCATTATATATTATTACCTTATATAACTCTAGATATTATCTTATATGTTTAAAATGGTTTTGCCATTCATAATTTTGGACCAAACATCACATATTGATTTTACCTGTGCTTACAAAAACAAAGTGTTTCTGGACCAACTTGTTTACAATCCATTCCACCAGGCTCTGTCCAGCTTACAAACAAACGGTTCTTAATTCTCTTTGGTACAACCGTTTTCTTGTAGTTCTCATATTGCTCTGGAGTGAAGAGAACCCCTCTATCATCATCCCCAACAACTCTTTGAAAGGGATTAAAAATATATATTTAACCTTTGTAGCAAGCTCAATTTATGAAGGCAAATGTACAATTTATTAGGTTGTTGCAACATGTTACTATGGTTATATATACATTTATAGTGTCAATTTATACTGGGTTAATTTAATACTTCGCGGCCTGAACTGAATTGACGTGACCTTAAAACAACCTAAAATAATTTCTATCTGGAATTGCATTGTCAGAAGTGCATCAGCGTATAATATAATATAGACCAAAATAAACTTTTGTATTTAGTGATACTATATAGCCTACTATGCTCGTTAATTTTGAAGGAAAACTTGAATTTCAATCTCACCTTCGATATTCAAGATATTGGTCTATAGATGCACATGCAGAGGCATCTAACTTTAGATGAACCTGATCCTGGGACATTGTTTTGTTGTTTTTTAAGAGGTTTAGAAAATCATTGCGACGAAAAGACAATATTTTTGCGTGGATAGCAACAATGCACGCAAAAAGTTTCAAAACAAAACTGCGCTGCACCGTAATTTATTTGCATATAAATGTAACCGCTGAACTGAATTGAAAAGTGCTTTTTAACTTTTTTCCACTGAGTAGAACCATGGATAATAAAATCACTTTTAACTACCTTTTTACTATCGATGGTAGAACTATATTAGTAATAGTATTATTACTAATGTTTTCATTGTAAGCATCCATTCCTACAATAAATCAGTGAGCAATCCTACTTAGCCACACCGAGTTCCAAACACCGGGTAGCAAACCACGGTTGCGAATTGTGGCGATTCATATTCAGATATTCGCAGATTAAAGTCGCATCATCCTGAACAGGTGTACTGTGAGCAGAGGATCTCCTGAGACTGAGTGCTTTAATCGGTAGCCACATCATCGCCTTGAAGCCAAAATTTTTTTGGAAAGTTTAACCATATTTTCGAGTAAAAGAACGCCAGTTGACGAGTCGTAAGACCACGGCATGTCTCTACTCTAGACGGCTTGCGGGCGAACGCCGAACTTTGCCTCAACAAGCGTAACAGAACAATGGCCATTAACTTGCTAAATTAAATGATCCTTTGTAAGAAGATTTAATGTCTCTTCTGTTAACATTCTAAAAATGGAAGACAAAGCTTCTATACCGACAGTTTGCATGACAAATGGAGATGCTTCAGATTAGACACTTTTGTGCACCGGTTATTTTGGGTTGTTGTACCTACCTAAGGCTAAGGCGTGTTCTAATTCAAATTAATAGCTTGGATTAGAACTTTAGAAATTATATTTATACTGCTTAATCTAATAATCTTTATAATAATTTGATTCATTGAATAGTGGCTAAGATTTAGAATTAGAGGTGGGAATGAAGAAACCTAGGTTTGGTTCAAAGTGTGGCATGGGAACATGCTTCTCACCTTAGTGCATACGTCGGAACATTGCACGCAAACAACAGGAAAAGTTGGTGCGTTTCATTTCTCAGTGCATACGCCTTATAGTCAGCGGCACATTGATAGGTTTCCATGGCATCATGCGTGATATCCATGTCTGCATATTCTGGCAGGTCTTCCGTGGTAAGTGAGCAGGGGAATAGTGATCCGACCACAGACTTATAGAAGGATGTTAAAAGTGATTTTCGACGTGGTCTAGTGAGATCTATTAAAAAGAGTAAGAGTATATTAATAAATACCAGTTTTTCTCTCGGTTACTATAAGTTTTATTGGCGTGTACGAAATCGTGGTTGAATGTGGAGGTAAGCCTTATCCGTTACAACAGAGGACGAAAGAATCACTAGAAGAAGCAATCTTTTAGTACCTTGGTTTGCCTGATTATTGATGGAGTGCACGCCTCCAGGAAAGACACTGCATAAACATTTTCGTTCATCGGTATTAACCAAAATAAAACTATATTGCAGAAAGTAAATGAATATCCTTCAACTCATTTGGTATTCATATTTAGTCAAAGTTTCCATGAAAAACTATTCTGCCCACAATCTGTACCCAAGTGCAAAAGAAATTGAAATTAAAATATATACGCTGATATATCTGGTCAACTATACAACAAACGTTTTATATTCTTTTTTCATATTTTTTTTTCATACTTACCCTAGTATTCCATTATCCAATGACATATTAGGTGTCAGATTTCTGGGATGAGAACGAAGGCATTGCTTAAGCGTATCCATTGCGGGATTCCAATAGTTAAATAAGAGCTTGAAAATATATAGACAATATACTAGTCTTCAAAATATAGGTGCATATACGAACCAGCATGAAATTACGTTCTATCGTAAACAGTTATGCAGAAATTCAGCCCATCTCTATGTATACTTTGTAGGCTCGTGACTAAAAACTTCCACAAAAACGAGACTCGTGTCAGTCACGGGGCAATAAGATTATATACCTGATCTCTATATGGGTGTATTGGATTCAATACCTTATCACTGACTAACTAATGACTGACTAATCACCTTCTGTTCAATTTCTTGCAAACTAGGATTTGGTCCACATATCACACAAACTTCTATGCCTTCAAGAATCTAACAAAAATCACCACAGTTAAGAACACCGCATACTGCTCATATTCAAATGAATCTGAAATTAGAGGGGTGGGGAAGTAGGTGCAGCCGTTCGTTGTGATTTTTTAAAAAAGGTTGCCATCCAGTTTCAAGGAATGAATTGTAATTCAGTAGCCAAGTAATGACTAATCTGCCTTGGACAATGAGCTACAAGGAATTATGGGATAATCATCTAGCAGAAAACCATCAGATACCAAAATCACCTAACAAAGAACACAATAAAACAAGTTTTCCCATGTTTTGCAAACACTCTCTAGTAAGTGTCAATAAAGATGTGCTCCTTAAACGAAATACTGCCCCCTTGAACGTTATGAAAGAAACGAGGCCACAGATATACCGTAACCTATTTTAAGTATTTGTTTTCAATGTAAAACTTAAGCTAAGGTTTATAACTATAAATATATAAGGCTCACCTGAAAAGTGACAAGTCTATGTGCAACCTAAACAAAGAAATTTTAAAACTAAGTTTGAATAACACCAATGAATTGAATTTTTTCCCTGTAAGTGCTATTCAAATGGCATCAGGAAAAATCTGGCAATATATGCATTTTCATTCCAGTCACAAAGTATATACAAGTTATTTAGAAAATTCTTCCGTACCTTTGGGCTGCCTTGTGGTAGAAATATGGGCATATCTCGAGATGAGCATTCTGGTTGAGAATGTATAGTAAGTGATAGCAAAACCAATTCTGTACTGCTCAATTCCCACCTAGAACACACAAATATAGTGAAAGTTTAACAAAACAATGATGACAATAACTGCACTTTTGCATAGTGTGCATGAGTAAAAAATGAAATAAATTAACCTATGCATAAAGATTCACCAATGCAAAAACAAATAAGTATTACATTTCACTAGAATGGTGGACTGGAATAAATGAAAAGACCAATACAATGCTAGTAGATCCTTAAAATAAAACATGACTATCTTATGTAGTTTTGTAAATGAGGAAAATATAGCATAACATATTCACATACCATCTCCCTGAAGCAACTGCAATTTTTCCCATCACTAGCAAACAACCAAATTCACTATTAACAGCTTCAACAAAAGCATCAAGGTATTCCTAAAAAGAACTCCACATTATAGCATTTAGTCAGTCAGATAATACATGGTCATGCCAATAACAAATAAATATGGCAAATAAAGAGATCTTCCTATGAAATATCTTGATCTTGATCAAAACTTATTTTACTGGTGCAAAACATGGCAATATAAACGACAAACCTGCAACACAGATATATCAAGACAAAGAATCACATCTACAGCCTGAGTAAGATAACCACAGAGATCACTTCCTTCCAAAATATGATCCACAACACTGTAGCACACCTATATACACACATATATATAATACACAGCATCAACAATTTACAAATTTACATTCTAGCAAATGTATCTGGTAATTTATTAAGTTCTTCTGTATGGATATATCAATAAATTCAGAATTAAATAACATGTAGTCAATCAAATTGTACTTAAAATAACTACCCGAAGATCCCGTTTTTGTTTTTCAACATTTTGTGCTGCTATAACACCATTTATACCAACATGGAACACCTACAAAAAAATAAATCAGGGTGTAATTTTATATAGTTATGTCTACAATTTAATCATATTTATAATATCAAAATTAGGAAAGTAGTATAGGAGTCAACCTATACCTCTACAGAAAAGAAACTCACTAGAGCGTTAAAGATGAGATCCAGAAGACTGAGAGCATGGATGTCACTTGAATCATCATTTGATGTAACAAGAATTAGCATAACACTTTAAAAGGAGAAAATGTTTAATTAGCATCTCTATTCTTAATTCTTGAAGAGCACAAACAACCTTGTAATGTATTCATTAAACCAAATTTTTGTTGTACTATCATTACCTATTGTGAAATATCCTCCACACAATTTTTGCATCACCTTGTGTGATAGTGTTGACAAGCTTCACATTTTGGTTTCTTGCAAACATATGAACACCATTTAAGGAGCCAAGCTTTGGAAATGGCAACTAAATTACACATGTACTAAAATAAATCATATGCAATAACAACTATCATATGCATAGTTATTGAATGTATACTGACGTTACAACTTACAAAGGCATTGGAAACAAGGAATGTAACTCATATAAGATCAGCAGACTTAATACGTTGTTCCATTTGGATTAGAAGCATGCTATTATATACTGAGTTTAAAGTTTGAATTTAAAGTTGCGTTGCAATTATTAACAGATTGAACTAATTGATATTATCGAACATATATGCACGATTGCACGTGCAAATGCGAAATGTACAACTTTGACGCAATGGATAACTTGCCCTTTTTCATACACATGCATCTATAAATATTCCATTTAAATCGTTCTGAAGGTATATACTTTACTTAGATGTTACAATTTTGCATGAATTCCCGCTATACCTGCGGCAAGTCTCCTTTGGTTCTTGTAAACAAAGGAATACCACCTTCTGCAGTCAAGGCAACCAAGTAGGACGCCATATTGGATTGACTCCAAAGGGAAAGGTCTGAGGTCAAGCTTTTTGAGGAATTCTGTGAACTATAACAAGTCAAGGTTAAAGGGTAAATCATAGCTTCCTGATAAATTTGTTATACCAAAAGCATCTACTGTTAACAGAAATAGATCTAGGTGGGAGGATACAAGACATAGGATTGGAGAACAGTGGGATCAAAAACAATTCTATAGTAAGAATGTTACAAAAATACAACTTTGGACCATGGGTAAAATAAAATATAACACCAGGGGACAATTGATGCTGGTGAATTTAGGTGCAGTCTTTTTAATAGCCATGGATACAGAGAACAGTCTTCATTAAATACCTCTTTATTGGTACATTACTTAGATAAGAAAATAACATATAATATTGGCACAGCCATTATCGTTATCTACTAACTTTAAAGAGAAACATGAATTATACAGTGTTATTAACAGTATGTTTGCTAGAGCATCCAGGACATACATGTAATGTTTCATGAATAAAAAGATCACATTCGAAACAAAATCTTTCATCACATTCTGGACATTTGTAGATTAAATTTTTACTGAGTAGTGACTCACAACTATGGCAATATTTTTTATTTGACACTTCATCTGAGGTAATTTCAGCGAATTGTGCAAGTGGAAACAAATGTTGAAATGACCGTGCAAGATGTGGAGCAGACACAAGTGTTAGACCACAAGCTTTACATTGGACAGGCAATTCACAATACTTGCTGTTGCATTGTGGACAAAAGTAACCAGAGCTGTTTATTTCTTTGTTCCATTCTCCTTCTGAATGACACAAACATAATGATGGTGTTGAACTTATTAGATGCTGTGGGAAGCCCATACGTATGAGTGCTGCTTCTGCATCAGCCTTTGCACTTGGTGGTATAACATGTTGCATAAGAATATCTCTATAATGTTTCTCATCCAAAATTACATCATAGACACCCTGAGTCATAGTAGCAAGTGTTTTGAGAACTCTGACTTCAGCAGACAGACCAATAACTGAACATCGGATCTTACACTCCTTCAGGGACTCAAAAGTTTCCAAGATATCACTTGGATCACAGGTTGTTAAACTTCCAAAAACAATCAAAATTTCACGACTTGCATGACTTGGAAGATGAGTTAAAGATCTCTTTGCTGTTTCCAGGGCATTTTGTAAGGAAGGTTCACCTTCACATATGTTTGGTTTTTCTTTCTGAGAAAGAGCCGATGTATGAATTCGTGGGTTGCCAGTCAGCTCACTTAATTTTTCAGCTCTTTTGTTGTTTGTTGTGATGATACCTAGCTGAGAAATTGGATTTTGGTCAAAATATTCGACTGTAAAGTTTTGAAGGAGCTTCAAAGAGCACAACAGTCGGGATGGTTTAAGGTCCGCCACTCCCATTGCCTTTGATAAATCAAGGATAATAAACAAATGACGCATCATGCCGAGACGAGTATTCCCGGGTTGTGCCAAAAGTCTCCTTCTCTTAGCACGTTGTATAAAGTCATCGTCAACAAACTGCAAGCCTCCTTGTGCATCTTCCTGAATAACCTCCCAAGTTTTTTCATACTGATTCAACCATCTATATCCGCCGTCATCATCATCGTCTCCAGCCATCTTGTCCACACAATTGCAGTATCAAAGCTGAACAAAACAATCTTGAAATGTAAAGCCAAACTAAGTAACCGAAATTGTTTTTTTCTTTCTATCGAGTCTTCAAAGACAATGCATGCTCAGTTTAAATCTTCATCTCTTCATTCTCTCTTCAAAACGTGCTCAGATCCCCAATACTTCATGTATGTCATAATGAAATCAAGTCTTTCCAGGTTATTCTTTTAATTATTTTAAAACAGAATACTCTTTGTTTAATTTGTTACATGTGTATTACTCTTAACAGAAACATTGGAATGATCGGATCTAGCATTTTTTGGAAAAAATACATAGGGAAAACGTCGTTTGTAGACAAAGCCACGTTTCCAGAAAATATACAGTAGACGAGGGAGCAAAACGTCTGCGAAGGGCGGGGGGGGGAGGATAGAAATCATGGACAGCCAGTGAGCCAGTCCCTTCTGGCAAAAATGTAGCCTTCGTGAGAAAATTCATGCTATCAGAATAAGTGTGCACGCCCCACGCACTTGTCGGCCCTTTTAAATCTTACCTACGCGGGCTACGCCTCCGCAAAAACAATGTTTCGGTCATTCTGTCAATAATTTTAATACCTACCATGTATTTGTAATATATTTCTATAAGAGTAGTTTAGCCTTTAACCTGTAGTGTAGGCGTGTAGCGCGTTATTTATTTCTCTCCATTGCGCATGGAGCCGGCTATGGTATGGATGATAATCATGATATGGTGGCAAAAAATTTTATGATAAAGCCCAAGCGAGCCCAAAGGTCATCTACACTTACTGTTTTCAATTCTGCCTACTGTGAAATACGAAAAATTCCCTCCTTTTCATAACTGAAACTAAATTACTGGCTTAGAGTTTAAATTTGGGAAGAGTTCGACATCTATTTAGGATCTATATCTTATTTTGAAATATAAACACTATAGGAAACTTTAGTCATACATCGATTCATTGTGAATTGCAAATGACTACAGAGGTAAAAAATAGTCATAAATAAATTACACACCCCATCCATCAAGATAATGAGATCACGTCTTTATTACGAGGAACATGATGATTCGGAACTGTAAATGAATCGCTTGTTCACTTTGTTTGTTGTCGAACCACTTATTACGCTGGCTGGTCGGCCAGGAAACACAATGTGCTTATCCTGGTTTCATATTTCAGTCGGAATCAATGACATACACGCAGCATGCGATTTCAGATCTTAAATATATATTTATTTGATACGCGTTTAAACACAATGGTTGCGCAAATTTCACTACTGGATGCGCAAAATAAAATCGGTACGAAAAGCCTTGTGGTGTGACATGAGACAATCGTGACATTGTAATCTAAGTATTAATGTCAATCAGCTGACGTTTACGCATATCATTGACGCATGTTTTCCGGTGTTGAGGTAAAACTAATAGTCCAAAAAAGATTATGCCTTTTGCTGCACGGCATTTTTTTCGGGTATAGTTATCGATACTGGGTAACAAAATCAGATTGAATTCATGAACCCCCGAGAGACTTTTAACTCTCATTGGCTTGTCGGTTTAACTGAAATAGACTCAACTCAAGAGTTTTTTTATTTGGAAAACATACAAATACACCATTAATGTCCCATTTCATGGGCAAAATTGCAAAATTGCAAAATGCACTCCCTTCTGTTACTCACTTAGCATTTGTGTACTTACAATACTTTCTACTCAGAAACACTGACCTGTACCAGATAATACTGGTCAGTCCTCAGAAAGTATCAATTCAAGGCAAACAATGTTGTAAGACCAGGTAGGCTACATATTGAAATTTATCGATGGTTCCTACCGACATCGTCATGGTTCTGTCCGTCCACTACGCGCGGGAAAGCCACTCAAAAATAGGCATAGTCTTCATTTCCACTTGACAATGTGCAAATCACAAACTATACATCAATTCGAACATGAGGGTAATTAGGATCCGGTGATGACGGGACTATCGATGTATGAAGAAGAGTTGGATTATGATTTGTAGTAGAAGATGAGTTCGCCCCTTCGCTATTCGTTCGCCCAACTTGTTTAAAATCAGTAGTAGAGATCTTCCGTCCACTTAACATTATGTCATTTAAAGACTAAAAAAGTTAAAAGCGATTTCAAGAATATATTTAAATAGTTTATCTAATAATAAACACTGTTGTATTGGTACAGGCAGACTCACAATGCTCTTATGTCCAATTTTCTTATTTTTATTCCGCGATAATTGTAATGCTCTGAGACGGCTGTCTCCACTGTGTCGACCATATTTCATTACTCGTTCAGCAGACATGACTGGTCGCCCAGGCACACTTGTGTCAAATACGATGTGACTAGATGATGAATCTTGTGGTAGTGATGTCATAGGAATGAGACAAGGTGCACTGTTGGTACGACAGGGGGGAACTGGAATTTTTGACGATCTTCTTGAATCATCCCTTTCGAATAGAAACAACAGGTTGGTTAATAATTGCAACGGAGAAATGTAGATGAAACTTCATGCCCTGACCTTGAGATTCTCAGGGGAAGGGAGGGCAATAGCCGCGATTCTCAGGGGAGAGGGAGGGAAATAGCAATTAAAAGAAAAAATACCTTTGTCGTAGGCTTAAGCCATTAAGGAAAAAGTCCTGCGGAATGGTTGGCTCGTGACTATTCGACTGAGTTCGTTGTATCTTAGTTAACGTTCCAAGCGATGTCTTTTTACTAGGATGATTTTGTTGTCTAGGATTTTGATTGCTTCTGTTTATCCCCCTGTTTGCTGGGGTGTTTGTGCTCGAAAGCTCCGAGTAAACCGTCTGGCCATCGATGGGACACACGTTGTGGTCTCTGGATAGCCACGAATCAATACAGACACGATGGAACTGGTAAGTGAACAATGACAATGTTAACATAATTTTGCACAGACAACGCAGAGTTGGTAGAGGAAGTGATCAATCCATCTCCCCATAATATATATATAACTGTGATGAAAAATGATGAAAATGAGGCATATTGTTATTATGCATTCAATTGGTGCAAGGCGGTGGAAAAGGAGCAAGGTTTGCATGGTTTTTGTCAAATTCGGTCCAAAAAATTGATTCATGCAGTCCCGCCTTGCATGAAACACGTTTAATTAAACAGACTCTCGTGAAAATCTGTTTACAATGCTACTTTTTAAGATATTGTTCTTACAGACAGGGAAATGAACAGGGGTGAAAACATACCCTCCTGGTGAAGGTAACAAACCTCGTGATCACACGGTAGTCTCCGTACAACTTCTGATGATCTATAGCTACACAAACACACACCGCACTTTTCAGTTGTATTCATAATCAGTCTGTGATTGTCATCTGCCAGTCTTTCAGTCGGAAAGGAATTAATTACATGTCCTGGGACACTGCAGGTATTCACTGAAGAACTATTAAAAATATGAAAAGGCGAGAATTTCGATTGAAGATTTGATTTATACGGTATAATATTTTTAGCCAGGAATGATAAATAAAGTTTCCGATTATTTGTAAGATAAAGTATTCGGTTTGATTAAAAGCCGAACAAATTACCATGCTATTGACAGAACCATCTTTAGGAATTCAGAGATAGAATATATCAAACTCAAATTAACATGACACTGCAGTGTCAGCAGTGCATATTCTAGGAGAAATATGAACAGTTCATTGTTCCATCCTTGGCTTACCCGTCTAACTGTAGTAATAAATTATAGTCTTGTTCAGTAATTTCTCTCCTCTCCAGGTCGTCTACCACGGCAGACGGAATAGCTTGAAACTTTGTTGCTGGACGCCAACGCTGATTCGTTTTCTAAACAAATGAAAATCAAACATTTGAGAGATATAATAACTCGAACGAATTTATTTATATTTCTAGACGTAACTAACAGAAATAATTTGCCTCCGCAATGTTCTGTATGTATAATTACAACACAAACCTGGCGAAAGTGAAACGAATGTTGAGGATGTGGATCCAATGAGAAACAATCTTTACAAAGCTGGTAGTTGATACAAATTGTACACCTATATATAGAAAAACAAAAATATCGTTACTAAAATTTTATTTTAATTTAAAATTTTAGAGTCTAGCATAAAATGAGTAAATATAGAATCCGAAAAAAATATTTTGAAATTTTAAAACATTGAATAGGGAGAAGCTGTTTTGTTTCTATCTATAGTGAATACAATAACATAGTCCTATGAATGAATTTAAGTGCATATAGACTGGGTTAAAGTGGAAAGAGAGGAACAAAAAACTGCTCGGTATGTTGAGGGAAGCTAGGTTTGTGCCTGGAAATACAACACTTTCCAGAATGGAAAATGGAGCATGCATGAAGAATAAATAGAAGCGACATTCCTCGTTATATTTTTTGCTACAAATTTACAATGCTCTGAACAATCTTTAAATTTATACATAAAAATGCAGCACCTGTAACATTTTCCCGTGATTGGTGAAACCCTACAACGGGCACAAACAGCCCCAACGTGGACATCATATCTTTGCTTTTTGTTCTTTATGGAACGTAAATAATCTGTCTTTATCGTCTAAGCAAGTGAAAAAGAGTTTTCGCGGTTAAATCCAGTTCAATGGTGCGCGTATATAATTAATATTCCACCAACTTGCAATAACTTTTCGAAATTTCAAGTTCAATTTGAAAGCCATGCGATTTTCTGTAGACTGAGAATGCTACGATCATTCTGTAAAACTATATGCGGTTCGCAATCCAATGATATTTCATATATTCACCTCAAATGGGCCAAAATCCACTCTACACAGAGGGCACTTAATAATTGTTTCCCCAGACGATTTCTGGTGTTCCGCCCAAATTTTCATACACTTAGTGTGTACACTATTACCACAGCCATACCTGGAAAAATATCAATCAACGATTGTTGAATTTTACCAATGCAAGTTCATTTCATCCAATACATAAAAGCCTACCATACAAATGAATAGAAAATCGTCGCGTCCCCCTGGGCCATAGGCGGCAATCGTAAATGCGATTATAATCAAATAATTTGTTCAAATGAATACAAGCAAACGATATCAAGAATACGGAGGACAAGGCCTTGAACAACATTTTTTGGTGTTTTTCACGTTAATTCATTAACTATCAGAATCAAAATATCAAATGTGTATAAAAACGTCAAAATTAATGGCTGATTTTACAAGCTTGTTGACAGAATCCCGATGTTAAAACGGCTCCTCTATTGATTTAGAGGTTGACAAAGATAATACACGTTAACTCTTACTTGCAATATGTTGTAGCTTGTTTCTCCCCAAAAATATCCTCTTGACAGATGGGACACACGTCATCTTCCATGATCTCCTTTTTAGATAATTTTTCTCTCGAATCGGACGTTCCATCTGTTTTACTTGTTGAAGGTTTGTTTTCTCCCGTGTTTGTGAACATACCACGAACTACTTCCCCAATTTCTCTCTCTACCAGACCTAGTTGATAAACCACTAAAAGAGAAAACAGTTTTGACACTTAATATAATATTTTTACCGCGAATGCTATGAGATCAATACTAAACTGAGATTTAAATAACGATACCTGAATTTTCTTTAGGAACACGGAATTTCTTAATTAAGACCCTAAAATAAAAAGTATTGTAGCTACGTTTTCGTATTTATGTACTGTAATTGACAAAGCACCGTGGAACTGATTGTAAATAGATAGCGTCATTCAAAGGATGGTAATTTTTTCAACCGTACAAATGCTGAAAAGCAGTAAAATTACACCTTCGGTGCTTTTAAAAATTGATGAAAATGACGATATCACGTTCAGCCGGGTTACCACACGTTTTGACTGAACTCACTTTATCACTTCAAATGTATACTTTTCATAAAATAATGTAATTCCACTAGATTCCAAACAATTTCGACGTATTTTGAAAGGAATTTTGAAATTTAAAAAAAATCTTACTTGTGACTGTCCTTAATTACCATTTTGACTGAAATTTTTCATGAAATAATGTAATTTCACTCCAACCATCCTCACATTTTTTGACAGGAAAGTTTTAAATTTTAAAAATGATTATTTCACCCCGTTACCATTTTGATTGCGTATATGTTTACCTGTGTGCATTCTGAAAACTGTAACCTGAAAGCTTACCACAAAATGTGAACACATAAATCTTTTTCCTTGACAAACACAGGACAGGTGCATGTGTGTGGATCACCCAGAAATACCTACAATTATTTTTATATTTTTCAGTTATCCTGTAAACTATCAGAATTTAAAATGTAAATAACAGCGCTACATTAATTTAATTGTAGCATAATATATTAAGTTAAAAACAGTATTTCTACTAATTATTTCATATATGTTTTTGCACAAATAACTTCAGTAAGGCCAATATATATAATGATAGTGCTCAGCAGAATGAGTGATTCTTCATCCTTTCATGATTGCATGCATACAATTTAAGAATATATATATATATATATATATATATATATATATATATATGTTATTTACCAGATTGGAGGTCCGTATAGGAAAATATTTCCTGAGGTCTAAAAACAGCCCGAGGTCTTAAAAACGGCCCGAGGCCGAAGGACGTTTTTGAGACAGAGGGAAATATTTCCCTATACAGACTGACTAAACTGGTAAATAATAGAATTTTTTTTAATTCCCATTTAAATTTGCTTTTAAAAATCTTGCGCCGTCTGCACAGCCTTCACAGCCTCATAAGGACCGCTCGTGTCGCCAATCAGATTGCAGGAAACGCTAAAATATGAATTCGGACCGCAACAAAAAAAAAAAAAAGTGAAATCCTGTGCCTATATAACCGAATATTTTTCTGCTTTCCAGCAAATCCGGCATCCTGCTGGATAGCAAAATTAATATCTGGTTATTAATATCTTATATTTATAATTTATCCTGGACTAGGAAGGAATTTCTATATTGGTTAGTCTCATTCTGGCAGGTTCTCAGTTCTGGGAGCTGGCCTGCATGGGCTCTCCTCCTAGGTAACACCATAGCGAACCCTAGGTTTTAGATCTATGAGCAGGATCCCAGCAAACCTTTAATCTCCTGCAGGGTAAGATAAACAGGCCCTTAGTGGGCCATTGGTTCAATGGAATTTGTACTTCTAGGATGTTGGCAATTAATTGACATACCCTGGTAAAATATTAATGGAAAATATACCCAACAAAGTGCGCATACTATGGCAATTATCTATGTCCCATTGGCTCTATATGGAATATTCTGTTTTCAAAGAACTAACCTTGTATTTCCTATCATCTCCTTCGGCAGTAAGCAAGAACCCAGTTGGTCCTGTAGCTCGTAATAAATAGATTCTCGCTCTTGCCGCTCGATTAATCCTAGATGAAACCTTGTCAGGGCATGTTCTTCTCCAAGGAACTGAACGCGACATATTTTTAAATTATCTCAACCACCCAAACTGGATAAACTCTTTGAAATTTATATCATCAATATTTTTTGTGATTGAAGGTATTTTCAAAATGGCGCATTTTGTTGTTGACATGGCAACAACTGAGCTATCCACTCAGCGTCAATTTTTTTAAAACAACCACCACACCATGGATTAAAATCAGTAAATAACATATAATAAATAATAGATATTATTTAATATCATTTACTGTGTCCACACATTTAAACCATTCTTCGTTAACTGTTAAGTATGGGTAGTGTTGATACTATTGAAACGTATCGGTGGTAAAGTGGTACCCCATCCCGAGAGAGAGGGCACGTGTGCAGAGAAGTGGTAGAAACGGTGTGTTTCTTTGTAACAGTCACATAATTGTACAAAAAACATCACATTTGTGTGAAGGAGACTGCTTTATAGTAATACGGAGCAGAAACACATTTTGACAGAGAAGACGAGTGTTTCATAAGAGTGATAAGACAAGACTTGACCCTTTGTGGTTTATTAACCTTCCCGTTCCGTGTTACAATCACTAATATAGATCTATAAACTCAAAGGCTCGTGATATGATAGTGACCTATAGTTATCTAGTAAATTGGGTTTACTAGAATAACTAGATGACTAAATTTTACTTAGATTAGAACGAATGTGCTATGAAGGGAGTAATCATATAAACAGTATCACAGCACAAAGTAAAAAAATATATTCGTAAGCAACTGAAGATATTCTAAACCAAGATGGCATTAAGCGAGTTTTAACTGTGCGAAACCCAAAAAGCGCAGCTTCGTCTGGAAATATCACGTTCTTGGAAATGTTTTTATTATTACCGAAAGGAAATATAGGATGTTCAATTGTTTCAACTTATAATCGGTGCATGATAGCTTGTGGGGAAAGAAGTCACCCCATTATGCGTAAATTATTAATCATAATAATATAATATACATTGCTAAATAATGCTAGCTATTTGAATCAGTTATTTATAATTTATATACTAAATATTTATTTTATATCAAACTTTGTTTTTAATCATCAGGCACAAGAATAGAATAATCTTTGTGCAAGGTCATCTTTTTTTACTGGTTAATTTGGTTGACAGATTTCATTTGACAACTCTACATTCACGAATCGATCTTCCTCTTTCATGAAGCCTCGTTTTAAGAAGTGCCATCAACGGTTATTGTAACATACGACAGAAAATGTATGCTTCACATTTTTGTTGGGACACTTATCTTCCATTCATTGCTTGGGTTTTTAGGAAGTGATCTATAATGTGAAGAACAAACGTTTCTTTATCCCATGGCAAACAAACGAGGCCTGGGTCACCCTTTTTCATCTCATGTATAAAGTCATTTAACTTACAATACATTTCAAGGTCACTCCGTACGATCTAATTTACTTTTGATGGATCTTAGGATGTCTTAGGATGTCTTAGGATGGGCGGCATATATCAACTAAAGCCAATGTACTACTACTTGATCAATAACAGACTGCATTCCACACGTCAGAAACGAATTGGATCCGACAAAAATGGATCGTGTGAAACCCAATCCTTAACCTCAGTATTACCTTGATAAATGTCCAGAAATGTTTCACATGTAAACTTGAATTGACCCTGAAGGAAACAAGAACATGTAATGTTTATGGTAATAGTGGTAATTTTGGTAGTTATAAAGTTTACATGCAGCTAGAGCAAGATATAGACTGGTCTGCTGGTAATTCAGAAGGTTTCGGTTTGATATTTTGTTGACAATTATTGCAGTGATTAAAATAGATAATAATCTAATCATATCATCTTACGGGTGTCTGAATAAGTGACGGTCTTTGATCACGTAAAGTGTCCAACATCTGTTGAGGATAAACTCCCACACCTGCCTCGATTAAACAACAAGCCGTTTCTACAGCCATAAATACACCAGTTCGACCAACTCCAGCGCTGCGTGGATGAAGAAATTAAAAATCAATTCACTTGAAGGTGAATATTACAGCATAATAATTTGTTATATTCACTTGTGCAAAAATACTAATAACAGTTATTGCCTAATGACCAAATAAGGTGTGCATGCTTGGGTTATATTTAACTGCCCTCGCATTCGTCCCCCCCCCCCCGCGTATTACCCAATGCCCCGTTGTTCTGGTCGTAGTTTCATACCTGCAGTGAATGACAATGGGCGCACCAGATGCTGAACGGTGGCGACGAACTTCGTTAACAAAAGTGAGAAATCCGCGTGAATCTTCTGGTACACCTAATTCAAAGAATAAAAATATTTATAGCTCTCTGGATTACCGCGCTGAGCTTTTTTATTATCGAGTTTTAAAACAGTACAGTGAGCAATAGCTCGACATCTCCTAAATTAGAATCAGAATAGAATTGATTAGAAACAAAAAACAATCTTAGAAACAAAACCTTGCCGCAAATATGGCCACTCGGACTACATACCGTGATCAGGCCATGCAATGTATTGCAGATGTTGAATTGTTCTCTCTTCATCCGTCTTATTAAAGGAAAGAAAAAAATGATGTAAGTTGAAGGTGGACATGCAGTATTATTTCCTTTATCCCAGAAAATGTTTGTAAATAAACGTGAATATTGACAAGACCTCAAGTTCGGTGACTGTAAGCTCGCGATGAATATACGCTGGTGAATAATCACGTGAGGAAACAGGGGACACCTCAAAGTTACCGACTTCGAAATGCTCGCCACATTCAGGCCAATATCGATGGCATTTTGTCTATAATAAAAACATGCATACATTCTGTTTAAAAATGTATACTGAGTTATATATAATTGAGTTATCTTATAGAGTTATATAATGTAACAGAAGTCCAGAATCAAGCTCGGCCAGTTGACCCAAACGTCCACTAAGAGCTGCATGCGTTGGATTTTCACTGCGCAGGTTCTGTGCATGCAACTGAAGTTATTATAACTGAAGCCAAAGCCGATAGCCCAATAGCCTATGGCGATATCGACATCAAAGGGTATAAATGAATATCTTACCTTGCCATTTTCCATGGTTGTTGTTAACATAACGACAAGAGTAACCTCCTGATCCCAAATCATCTAGCAGAAAATAAGGGCATTTTATCACCAAAAAACATAACCGTGCAGAATACTTTCATTTCATCACCAAAAAATTTAGGAAATTAAAGAAGAACAAACTTAAATTGAACTTGAAAATGGAAAAGTGAAACTTGCATAAAAAACAGGTCATCACTCACTTGCCAAAAATCACCGCACGTGTCCGAGAGCGGACCTTGTGCGGCCAAGTATTCGTTGGTCATCCCAGAATAACCTATATCCATCTAAAAATAGTTTTTCAATATAGGAGAAAACTCTGTTAGCTGCACTTGACGGCAAAATTCAATGATTGTGGCCATAATGCAGCCTGGAAGCCCTGGGGTCGGTTGTTCGTTTAGTTTAAACGATGGATGAGTTGGAAAACAAAACTATCTATTTATTGCATTAACATGCAGTTAACTATATGCATAAGATGTAGTTTCAGTCATTCACAAGAAATGTACATATGATGTATTTCCAGATTAAGTATACAAGATTTGTGTTGGTGTTACCTGAATATGACTAGCATTGATATAATCGTTTTCTCCACTAATCACAACTCGGTTAAAATCATCTGTTTAAAAACAAAAAAATTGAATTATTTATAGAAAAAATCCTTGCATGCATTGCTATATTTTGCATAATGTAGAGACAATTGTATAGAGAATGTAGAAAATTGTTTTATAGGCGGCGCTGTATGAAATATGAATGTGTATAAATTCTATTAACTGACTTTTATGAACTGATTTACTTAATTATCAATAATAACTTGACATACGCAATCTACTTACATGGTAAAATATCACGATATCTGTTTTTTGTCTTGTTTTCTGGAAGATGAGCTGTCTCGGTGGATAACTCCAGTTTCTTTTTCGGCATGTCCTTCAAAAAGCAAGCACGATATTAAAATAATATACATGCAAATATATAGCCATAAGTGTTAGCCATAAAAAATGGGGCGTAGACGATGGACTGATTCTAGAAAATATTGCCAAAATCTCGGAAACAAAACAAACTACTTATCGCCATGGCCCGCAGAAGATCGTGAAGTGGGGAGGGGCGGGGGGCGAATATTTATATATTTACGTTAGCAGACCGTAAAAACAATAAATTTGAAAAGAAACTAATAATGCTGAACGTGAATAGATGAATATTTAACCCCCCACACTTAGCTAACGATCTTCCGCGAGGCCCCTGCTTATCGCTAATTCTGCCTGATCTTTATAGGGAAGGCTTCCATCCTTGCTCTGTAATGATTTATGGTAATAACTGAACAACAACAACAATTACAGGGTTGCACTTACAACGTAAAATTCCAGTAAGTCGCCGTTTTCAAGACCCTGTACATAAGAAAATTGAAAGTACCATTGTACCCCATTTTGGATGACATATTCAAATACAGTTAGTTGAGACTTGAGAGGGAACAACAATTCAACTAAGACAGTGCGGTTAATTATATATTCAGCTGTTATCTCAGACGTTTTTTAAAGGTACTCGGATTGTAGCAATTGCAGTTGAACAAAAGATTTATGCCACCCAAGATGGTATAAATCTTTGTAACAACCAGCAATTGTTCGCAAACTATTTTACCTGTTTAATCTGTGCCATTGAAGTAAGCAATTGCGAAGATATACCATGGTTTGAGGAACCATTTGTTCCAGAGTTCTTTATCTCATGGTTCTCTATGCTTCCTGTGGTAAAGCATTAATTCTGATATTAGATTTTAACATTGGATTTATGAATAAACAAGAACACATACTCTTTTAATAAATTTCATTGCAATAATTACCAAATGGTCGAAGTGACAGAGTTAATGTTTTGTTCGTTGCGGACTGACCAATTGATCTAATGAGACAACAGATCTACAAAAAAGGCACTGTTTATGATACCGACTTTACAAAATTCTGAAAGGTCTATCAACGATTTTATGAATAGAGTGCTATACCTGCTCATGAGTAAGTTGTTCTGCCTTTCTCCCATTAATGTACACAATTTCGTCTCCTTCCTGTAGTTGTGGGTCACACATACTTGCCTTTCGAATGAAACAAAAACTACAGCATTAGAAGACATTGGTTTATGCTCTATATGATAATGTTGTGCGTGCGCATGTTCAAAAAAAAGGCCCAAATCAACTTGTTTTTGGTTGATAAACATGCATGTGATTTAGTGGTTCAAGGCAAGAGAAGTGCGCACCCCAATATATCACGCCACTAAATTTTGTTATGTCGGATTGTGGGCTGCAAAAATGCAGAGTGAGGTGATTGGTCAAATGTTTATCATCACAACACAACTGACTCCTACCGGTGAGTCTGGTGCTATTTGAGTTATTATTGGTTTCAATTTCTGCTCAGCACCACCCTGTGACAAAACAACAAAGGGAAATATTGCAGAAATAAAAAATGAAAAAAATTCACTATACGAAAGATATAAAGAAAAATCGGGGGGGGGGGGGGGGGATTCAAATAAGTTTTACACTTTATGATTAAAAATACCTTGAAATTTAAGCCGAACTGCCCGTTTTTATTGGGTTGAACACTAAATAAAAAGTGATTATTAAATACATATACGATCATTCAATTCTACTGTATATGATATATTTCTAAAAAATGATATATCAATTTAACATCAACAGTGCTGACCAATAATCATTATCATATAAAGAGTCAAACGAATAATTATGTTGAAAAATAATGAACTGACATGTGAAAATGTACCTTATGTCAAGAAGGCCCTCGTCATTTAATATGCCATTCATCTGCGAGACAAAAAAAAACATTGTAGAGCAATAACAATCTTTAGCGGTATTTCGGGAGACGGTACGATATCAAACTTCGATAGAGTGTCTAATAGAGTCTTGACTACCCCGCATACGGTATGCGCACGCTTAAAAACGAAATGAGAATTCCGACAATTTTAACAAACGCTATCTTCAACTCAAAAGGCCTTTGAACGTTTTTTTAGAGAACTCTTGTCTATCTAATCTTACAATTCGTATTCAAAAGATACAAACTGCGCTACTGTACTTGACACATGATCGCAGAGATGAGGCTCGCGGATTTTTGCTTTTTCTCTTATACAACAAAACAGCACATGCGCGGGAAGGACACGAACTTACTTCAGTACGAACAGGTGATAAACTCGCGGGTGACCTAGAGTCGCTGTCAGATGGATTAAGAACATCGTAGCTGAAATTATATAAAAGAATTGAAAAAAAAATCACAAACCTTGAAATTTTATAAATTACATTACACGACCGGTAAAGGAGTGTACAGTAGGATATAGACGACAATCTGACAGCGTATTTATACTACAGAGGTACAAAAAGTGAAAACACAATTATTTTTATACCTTCCTTGAGTAGTGGACATTGACGTAACTTCAGAGTCGGTTTCACAGCGAAATTTGCCCGAGCCAGATATTGATGAGCCAGTAAGCTTACCTAGGTTATATCATAGCCATTATTCATATTTACATCCACAATCGTGCTCTCGAACTCAAACGATTAGAGTGGAAATGACAATTAGAGGAATGGAAAAATTTTAAAAAAAATATCTTACCAATTGATTTTTCTGAGTGTCTGCTGGAACTAGTTCTAAAAATGCAAAAACAATTAGTTTCTACTACGTCAAGTCCTCAATCATGTCTGAGGAAATAATATTTGGACCGATAAGTCTTCCAACGGCAAGGTTCTTATCCCAATTCCCAATACAAAAACAGGTTGATGTGTTAAACAGTTCGTACCTTTGAAAAGCAGTCTCTTTCCTGAAGCTCCTTCTAGCTGCTTCAACTGCTTGAAATTCAGTCCTTCCACTTTTATAGAAATGAGATGATTAAACCGTTTTTAATCGCCCAAGCAATTAATAAGAATAACTGCATGGCAGTAATGTCAAAACTGACATGTTAATTGGAATATGTTATAAACCCTCAACTGCGTATTTCTTATAACAATAACGAGTGAAGTTTTCTGCAGTTTAATATATTCAATGTCTGCAGTAATACTAAATATTGAATCAAGAGAGCAATCCCTAAGTAGTAAATATTTGCAGGATCAGAATATGTCATTCTTTATTTACCTTCATCGTTCTCTACGTGACTATTGCATGAAGGGGTTTGTATTAAAAATTCGGCAACTATGACTATATATATATGATTTTATTTATCGAGAATTTCATCAATCTGGTCACGAGAACGTTAGCGACAATCAGATATATAAATGACGTGCCAAAAATACTGTTTTTTTGGAATTACACCCGTGTAACGGAATCGAGTTTGCGAATTGCGAGGAGAGAAAGGTGAGTTCAAACAATGTTTTTTTTATGTCGGATTTCATAGCAAAAGCTCGTTAAATGAAGTTTGCATCTACAAATTATAACCTATCTTGTTCCTACTTGAACCTCTTCGTACCTAGACCTATAATGAATTTTAATTCTCTCGATTTAGGACTGTTGCGTGAGGTGGAACAACTGGAGACGATCATGCACAAAAACAAACTCCTACAGTCTATCACGTATGGTAGTATGGTACAAAACGATACAGTCAGACGTACAGGAAAATAAGAGTTGATATATAAGTATGCTGATATTGCTCGTAAGATATGAAGGAGATAAACCACTAATCTTTGAAAAGACAAAACAAAAAAGCACTGTTGATTTTTGTCGCAGTGTAATGTTACTTACCGGTATTTATAGGTAGATCCAAAACGAATGAGTTTTGGTCGTTCCCTCAATCTGTCTCGATAATCCTTCCTGCAATGGATGATAAACACAACGCATGTGTCAGTTAAACAGATAATGTTCGTGTGTTTCTAATGAATAATTAAATACAAAACAAAATTTGTGGTTTAAGTTGCCTTAGTCAGAATGCATAATTAAGTGTTGTCAATTTTCACTTTGAAGTGTATTGCATGACGGCAAATTTTACTATAGCTGCATGTAACGTGTGTTGACGAACTTGTTTTTCTGGGGCAGGAATAAATTGATGGCTGTTGTTTCATTTTTTTCTGAAATTTTAGAAATTTAGAAACTACAATTATCCGAAATGTATCGGCATAATTTACTGAAGATTGATGAAGTCAAGGTCATGCGAGTAGAGTTGTATCCTTCAATTACAAAATTTTGCCATTTATTTCTAATACTCGGCCTTTCTAGATAAAACTGCCTTTATACAGTCTTGTTATAAAATGCAATTGGAAATCAGCTGTTTAAACACATCTGTGCACAATTGTTTCACTTAAAAATAGATGTAGCCAAGTAAATATAGGTCGGTGAAGTGTGCCAACAAACTCAAGCAAATGGCGTCGCCGGTGACATCTTATAGGGTGTACGTTTAAAAACCAATCAGAACACACTTTGTAATTATACAGGAGAATAGAACTTTTTAGAAAAAATATAATAGTTACTCAAATAAGCCGTTTTTACTGTCAGACTAAATATTCGAAAAGTTTCGAAGATTGACGTAACGATTATTTTGAGGTAAGAAAAAAAAATAAGAGGATCGTTTTTTCCGCTTTAATCCGTATTAACACCTCCCGGTACAACCAACCTATAAAAAGTGTGATGTGCAACAGTACTTTTCCACAGAGCTTTACATCTTGTAACCGACGGTAATATGAATCCGACTACAGTTTTTGATTCAGGATCCTTTAAGAGAAAACTTTAATTAATAAAGTCAAAAACCACATGCACAAGTGCTTCCTTTAGGACACAACAGAATGTCTTGATAGAGTCAAGGTAAATTGGCACATGGCTTTTGGTGTTTTACTTTCACTAGAAGTCGCGGATAACCGTCCACTGCCTCCCACCCCCCCTCTTGATTTAGCAATTCATATATGCTTAGGCTCTGCCTACCTCAATGGCAGGCTTCGTACACCTTCATGAGTTTAAAAATCCGAGGCTGTTGCACGAAAGCGCTATGCTGATGACCATCCCCAGAACTTTTCAGTTATTTACAACTCACCTTATCGATGTCTGGTAATAACTGGACCTCAAAGTTTTTTCGCTGAAACAAAACCTTCTCTATTCTTGACCTACAAAAATATTGTCTTTAAATATATAACGATAGGATTTCGTTGAACACAAGATAATTTAAATTAATTTTAATCTGTTCAAATTAATGATGTGGACACAGAATATCTTACCAAGCAAAGACGTTAAGTCTTTTATTTTCACGAAAAATTTTTATGCCCTCAGAACATACAATGATCTCGATATCATATCCTTCAGAATCCTATTTTAAAAATACATATTTTATAATTTTTTTACGTCACCACAATTCTTCACGATCCAAGAATTCACTCCCCCTCACGTGTATTACGCACTACCCCCCTTAATCTCTTAAATCGCCTCAAAAGTAACTCATTAGTAAGGGCATTATACCTTCGCTCTTTGCACTTCAGAGCCATAAAGCTCGAGTCTTTTAGCGATCTCCAAGAATTTCAATTCAGCTTGAGCTGGGCTAAGCCCTCTGTCAACAGAAAAATAAAACAAAACATTTATTGATTTTATTGCAAATTATGTAGTTCTGCTTGCGCTATTCCTACTCCTAATCCTGTTGCCTCTCGTATAGAGTATTTCTCTTCCTCTCAGTCTTTTTTTCTGGTGCTTCTGATCCTAGTGCTACCAAACACATGTCACGGTCAAGTCATTCCGTGACAAAAGGTTATATTGTTAAAGGAATTCCGATTCCATCTTTCCTAACGCCATGGCAACTTCAAGACAACTTATTGTTGTTGACATTTTTGTGGGCTGTGCAGTTGTCATCATCATTTAGGTTAATAAATAATAATCGATCCCCTTATATTTCAACAAATTTGGTGAAGTGATAGAGTTACTTACACATTCTCTCTGTGATAATGGAACACTCGATCTTCAAACTCGGCGGTCTAAAAAAAATGCAGAAAAATATTAATTAAAAATATTAATCGATGAAGTCGTGACGCTATTTTGTGTCAAATGCAGTTTTTGAAATATTTTTTTTAAAAATTGCAAATCCATTGCAAATCCATTGAATTTTTTTATCCAATTAAAAAACGAAAACAGGACAATTAAGTAAAATGCATTTTTCTAACCTGGTTGGGGATTAATTGATAGTCGCTGATATATTGATCAGGCAAGTAATTCGGTTGATAGTCCCCAGTTTCAGCTACAAAAGATAAAACACAGAATACGTATAGTTAATTAATACAGACATGGTTGTCTTGGATAATGTCTGCGTTGGTTTGATAATTTACCTGAATGTACCTTGATCATTTGTCCGCATTTTTACATATTGTACACCAACATTATTTTGGGGTAGACATGCGGGGTGTGAGTGGAAAATTGTATGAGACGTTTTGCAATTACCTAACTATAATCTCGTAAACTTAATAATTGTACCTTACAAACATCTCATCTTTATCACAACAGCCTATAACAATATAACTGTAAATACTTACACTGGACTATCAAAGAAGACAGTTCAGCAGCGGTATCTTTTGGACAGGACAACCTTTGAATAACAGGCAAAGCAATTATAAATTATAGAAAAATGAATATTTGAAAGAAATGAGAATAAAAATTATTTATCATTATTCGTCGCCGTCGGAAGTGACTGGGAATCTACCCCACATCGCGAATTAAATCACTGAGAATATCATTTTATCCTAATTATTTTTTCATAATCTGCATAATTTTTTTGGTTCCTATATGCGTTCCTATTTTGAACTTTTATACTGTCGTGACGTCAGATATTAGATCTAATTATAAATGAAGATGGCGGTTTGTAAGTGTTTTTGTTCGAAAATATCACAGGAAGAAGCTGAAAAAATATACATAATGCATTCCTTCAAAAAGGAACAACTTTTTATTGCTATTTCCCTATAAAGTAGCGGTTGCCATTTTTTATGCTATGTAAATCAGTACTCGTATGAATAGGGAAAAAGAAGCCCTTATATTATCCAGATAACAAGTTACGAGTTATGATGACACAGGACTAGTTCACCCACGGCCATAGTCATGCTATTAATAGCACTAATGTACGTTTTATGAGTAAGTGAGCGGTATTATATCTCGAATGCACGATGAGGCACTTGACTTGAGGGTATGTATATTGATCAGCTAATGATGATATCGCAAATGATATCTTACCCAAATTAGGGCAAAAACTGTCGTCTATGACTGTCTATATTCTCACTTTGTATGTCAAGTTTATATCGTGCGCTTTTGAAAAGATTTTAAGTCGGTTGTGGGAAGATATGAGTTACATGTTCGGGTGGCGAAAAACAACTTTGTTCATTATATGGTCTTACGGCAAAAAAATTCATGAAATGAGCTAACATTTCAGTGAGATAATAGCACTGAATTACTGCACTACTGTATCCTTATGAAAAAATTATAGTAAACCCGTAATATCGAAATCATGCATCTATTGTTTTCACTTGACTTTTCCTGCCCAAGCCAAGTTTGTAATACTGTGTGCACCTGACTCAGGAACTGTGAAAAAGCTATTTGTAGCTATGTTTATATTACGAAAGCTTCTCGGTTAATATATTTCGTCTAAAGTGTTGTTGTGTTTCGTCTAAACTTTGAATGCAAATTGAAACTCTCGTAGAAATCATATTCCACTACTTCTGGGAGACGATGTATGTATTTATCGTATTCCACCCTTACGATGGGACGAAATGATCTAGGCTGAATGATACAAGAATGTTGATTACCTTCCATTTCTGAGATCTTGCTTTATGCTCAAAAACATATGATACCTAAAAATAATAACAATCATGTAACAACTGTACTTATAACTATTATAGACACTAAGAGCCTATTATCAAAGTTACTTGGCTAGGAAGTAAACCTTGTTAAGTCTTCAGCAACTCTGGATGGTTCAGTTGGGAAAAAACGTACACCAAAACGAAATTTGAATGGTTGCACTTGTCCTAAAAAATGAAAGAAGTTAATGCAATATCCTCACGTTTTTGCGATCAGTGGTCTATGACTATGCACTAGTTACCACATGAAGTGAAGTACAGTAATTAAGTCCAATTATAATCGAACGTTTTTACTCATTGCTGCATAGAAACTAGCAGTAATTATACATTATATATAACTACTGCAAGTTATTAATAGTAGATACTATAGTAATTATATATTATATTAATTTGGTAAGAATCTACTAAAGGTCTAGCAAAAACACCATTAAGGCCTGCAATGCGATTAACTAAGTAAGGCTGAGAAACATGTGGCATGAAATGAACAAAGTCTGGTAAACAACGCTTCTCATTTCCATAGGTCAGAATAACAGTTGCACACGAGTATCGTGTCTTGTTGAGTCTTAAGTGGTCAGTGGTCTCTTACAGATTTACAATACCTCTTAGTTGTCTCTTAATAATCTTGTCGTGTTCTAACCATCCCGTCTTAAAAAAATAAACACATTGAATATTTATTTTTGTTATTTTGCACACAGAAAGCCAATCGAGTCACTTTATGTACAATGCAGTCAGTAGGCATTATTTTAGTATTAGACATGTGATGCCTTTTGCATTGTCGATGGCCTATTGGCTACACCCAGTATCGACAACGTGGAAAGTGAATCTGTGAATGACATTAGAAAAATTTAAAATATACTTACAGGCTTGGAAGAAAAGTTTCGAAAAACTTGTAAACCGAAGTAATCAGGTTCAGCCAGATTCAATTCATTTATTATCTTCTTGAAAAGCACGCCGCCACTTGAACGACTCTGGTAAAAAAAATACAACAAAATTACACGCAACCCGCCGGCTAAAAGCTTCTTCAGATATTAAAAAAAAGAATTATTTCGTACTGTATGTATCATAGGTCTCAAATTCTCTTTGTCACTGGATATGAACAATGCATCGCTCGACTGTCGGTGACATATGCGAACGAGGCTTACGGGTTATAAGTTATTCAAATATTTTGTCCGTCCTAGTTATTCGCCGACAATGGATGGTACAGTAGATCAAGAAGTCGGAAATTATTATTGAAAGTCGTCAAATTAACATGTGAAAAGGCGCTTCCCAATCAATGCTGACCACCGTAGTTGGTCCGTCGTGTATTGATGCACATATTTAATAGAAAATCTCGTTAAAAATGAACTTTATTTTACGTATAAATTAACAATTTTAACAATCCGACTGTATTAATGGGAAGTGTTTATAGACCTGAGCCATACAGTTACATTTATATGCAGCTAAGCAATAAGCTGGCAAAAAGCCTGATTAACATAAGTCACCAACAGTCAGTGTTAGTGTCAGAAGAATGGAGTCATTTGTTATTTCGAATATTTTCCTTCATCATCAGGCACATACACATGAGAACCAGGCTTTATTAATAGCCATAGTATTATCCCTTTTATAGGATAACCCAAAGTAGAGGAGCATTTTTTGGATTGACTTATAGAAAGAGACAAAGATAAAGCATGCTAGGGGCTGTGTACTGTGTGTGGATTATTTACATAGTGTGAATTTACTCACTCCAAAAGAATAAAAAAAAAGAAAAGAAGCCGCATTATATGGTTGGCATCAGGGTTGTCATGACTTAATCAAGTTTTCATTTCTTTGGTCTCAAATGCAAGATTTCAGCACATCATTAGGGTGAGACCTTTGACTTCAGTGAATATATTATCCCTATAATACCTCTTAAGGCATTCCATGTTCCCCACAACCTTAAATGAAAATTTCTAACTGGAAAGTGTACAAAAAATTGCTCAATAGCTTTCAACTTGACTAATCCCAGCTGCTAGGTAAATGTATTCCACCAATTGGATGTGGCAAGAACAGAACCCTTAGAATTGACCCTTAGGCTTAATTAGCTAACTATGCATTCCTATGATTCTAAATCAATCCTGTGAGCAAGAGGTCTTATAACAGTTTATATAACTTTCTATTGATTTATTACATTCTGGCAATTATACATAAATGTTTTCCATAAAGAGTGCACCCAATTTCAACGATTAAATTCAGCATGTATGAGGTAAAAATCACATAAAACAAAGCTTAAAAATGAAGTTTGTTGTGTCTGTGGTAAGTCTGCAATATTTGTTAATGCATATGGTGGAGCAGGATATTCTGTTTATCTTTTCATACAAAAACAAAAATCAAGCTGGTCTTAGTGGAAAAGAGTTTTGTGGCAGCTATCTTTTTAAAAAACATCTAAAACTATTGCCTCTGTTCAAAATTCAAATGCATTTGAAATGTAGCTTTGCTCTCAAAATTTTCCCTGGCCGAAGTAGTTGATAATATCATTGAAACATAATTCAACCAACTGTTGCTAGCAATTGAAGTTGAATGGAAAAATGCTACAGATTGGAGTTGTTACAGGTCATAATCGAATATTTACTATGCTTAATTTGGTTATGTCCTAATCACTATTCATGTTTGAAAAAACTATGTTATTTGAGACAGCTGGAAACTATAAAAATTAATATAAAAGAGGGGAAATACACACAAAGCACAATTATTTATTGGATAACCTGTTTTCACCCAATTCGTTCGGGCATGCTGTGATTACAGTATAATATTTGTAGTAAGTGAAAGAACTACATATAACCGAAATTTAACATAGTAATTTATTAACACAAAAACGTTGCTCTGTTGGTTCATAGTTGGTTTAAAGCACGAGAACGGAGAAGTTGAGCCAACATAACTCATAAGATATATAAATTATTTAAGCAGAAACACCCGTCAATATTTATATGTTTTGTTAATAACAATACACAACAAAACGAAATTGATACAATCGTAAGTTAACGTTGTACCTATTTTTGATATCGCTAAAAGTGAAATCATGGTGTTATTATTGTGATATTGTTATTAATCCTTCAAAAGTACAAAATATATATCTTTTGGACGGAAATGACGCTTCTTACAAACTTTTTACTCTGACTGTGAGAACGAGAAAGACTCTTATACAGATACTTTACCCCAATCAACGATACAGAAAGCACGTGTAGGAGTTTTGTGAACATTATCACTTTACGAATGTTTATGGATAATTTAAAATAAAGTCGCAAATTAACGCAGACGCTGTAATTATGTAGCAATTAACTTTGCGATAAGCCTTTTGACTTGAAGCAAACTAAAGCTGTCAGAAAGCGTTTTCGTGTTCAATTTAAATTTTCGTTCTATTTTTGAATTTACTACGTATAAACTTTCTCTTGTCTTTAATCTTGGGCCAAATTATGATTGTTGAAATTCTAACTTCTAAGTGAGCATCGTCATCGAATTAGCAGCGTTCATTGAAGTGTAAAAATATGCAAAATTCATCATAATGTTGAAGCACTCGATTGAAGAAGTCGATTGACATTTAACAGATGACTATATCAAAATTTGCGTCGAACTTCTTACCATAATCACAAGCGAAAGCGTCTTATAGTACATCTGAATCCAATATCTGGAATGAGGCTGTATAAAAATACATGTACTGAAAAAAGCCACAATTCCACAAACCTCAATATCCACTTCAGTGATAGAATCATCGAGCATTTCAACAACACATCGAATGAACTTTGTCGGTGCAAGTTTATTTAACAAAGAAGGTCCGACGCGTGAATTCGAACCGTACGTCTGGTGTCTTGGAGTTGATACCTTGGCAGCCATTCGACAATTGTTTGTGATATTATTTAAACAGTGTTGTCATTGAGCAATCCCCTTATGATACCTCCACAAACACATTTTTCTATACAGATAATAATATGATCTACCGTTGTTGCTTTAAATACATAAAAGTTGATGTTGTTTTGCGATAATTTCCGGTCATGTGACGTCTACCGTGAAATCAGATCTGTATGGGAGCGCCGCATTTACGCAGCAGGAACTGGTCATTGGTCATCGCACTAATCTCTCATTTGAAACCTTAAGAATTCCCATTTATTAATTTACTTTTATTTATCTATATTTCAAAACTTTATAAAAATCGGAAAGAGAGTTACTCTGTTCATAAATAATGCCTTCTATTCTTGTTGATGAGATACTGGCTGAAACTATAAATATAAAGTACTGTGTATGAAAGGCTGTTTGACAATATCGTAATATCGAGATCGTATGTCTCAAAACCTTCGCATAGGAAGTTACGAAACAGAAGTTAGTGCTAAACAATAAACATTTCAGGCGACAGGGTTGTGTTTAGTATCTACCAACTTTCTTATTCACAGCAGTTGTCCAAAAATGTTGATTGTCAATAAAGGAAATTGTTAGCTCAACTTAGCTGTGGTCTTATTGGTCACTGTTTTGCCCACGGATGATTACAATCGATAAAATAATTAAGGTGCAGTTCAGTACTGGTAACCCAAAAATGGTTAAATCGTATATACTGGCTTCCTTATTACTTTATAGTCCCAATTCCTGGTAAATAGTTTCAACGAGCCAGTCCTCATCCACGTATCCAATATCAGTAATTTGTCATTAATTATAATGATGAATAGTCGAAACTATAAATAAAGATCGAAACAAATTAGGCCGACTTTTTATTTGACGTAATGATATATACATTGATTCGGCAATTAAAACTTTATTTCGGTGTTTCAATAACTCAATAAGCTATTGCTATTGAAAGAAAGAAAAACCTACAAAACTAGATGTTCTGATTGATTTCTGTAATTTGTTTCCACGAGTCAGTTGTTCGAAATGTGAACAAAGTTATCAACTAGATAGTGATTTTTTTAACCGTCATAAAAATCGTTTAATCACTACCAAATTTATTGGAATTTGAGAACAAAATACTAAATTTATTGGAATTTGTAAATGTTTCTAGTTTTGGAAACTGGATCCGCAACTGGCTAAATTTTACCCAAAAAATAATTATCCGTCACGAGTGTACTGAGGTAGTATTAGGGAGTTTACGATATATACTATATACGACACTCGATGACGCACTTGAAAAAAAAAAGAAATACCTCATTCGAGACAGAAACATTCTCAAGGCTGATGGCAACTCGAGAGGGAATTTATAAATGAAGCGGCAATATCAGCTGGACATTGTGAGTTTTGTTAGCACAATTAAAACATTCAGTGTATTTGCTAAAATTAAGAAAAAAAAATCTTACCTAAATTATGCCAAGGGCATCTAAAACTTCTTGAGATAAGTATACCCTCAAACACATTTCTTCTGAATTGATATTGCAACTTGCAAGCACAAAAATAAAAAAAAACAAAAATAAAATTATAAAAAAACCCAGCGTGTGCCATGAATGGAACCGAAAATACAATTGTAATTTTAAAAAAATGTTGTTCGAATTTAAATCGATAATCGTTTACTGTTTTCCATTTTCATTTCATTCAGCCATCAGGAACGAAATATATCAGCATTCAGGATTCAGCAGCGTGGTAGCTTCTACACTGAATACTTCATAACTGAAATGAGCTCCAGCAACTGCTTATAAACATACAAGCATTGACTATTTAGAAAAATAGTACATTGACCACAGCACCCATTCACTCTAGCAATATTGCATTGGTAATTAATGTAGAAAAAACTTTCGAAACTTTTTACGGGATGTAAATTTTCACATTTAGTACAATTTCAGTACTGGAGTCAGACTAAGAGGAATATAATGATTAATGGAACGTTTTCTGACCAAGGTCTCCCTTTGCTGTGTAAATCGCGAGGTTAAGAATGCAGTAAGAGTCTGTAAGACTAATAATACGTATCTGTATCTCTCTAGTACGTGATTTTAAGACCTGGCTTTTTTCAGTGTCGGCGTCGATGACTCGATGACCAAACCTAATACCAAGGTTAGTAAGTTTCTGGGAATCTGGAAAATAGTTGATGTAAGAATTCAGAATGATGCGAAACTGAAGATTTCGTCGCTGCCGTACTAATCTTAATCTGGCGTTTTTATTGCCATTCATTAAATTGATAGGGCATCTTTGTGACTCTTGGCCCCTTGCTCGGCTGAGACAAAGTAATTTTTCTCAGAAAAATCGAAATTAACATCCGTTTGGCAGATGGAAATTTGGCATCGAATCAAACATGGCGACTGCTGTGTCGCAAGTTAGTTCGCGTTTTGCTGGAATAAAGAAGAAATCTATTCAACCAGAACTAGATGTTGATGGAAGAGTTAAGCAGGTTAACATTTGCTCAATTTTATTCTTTTGAATTCTGTATGTATCACCTTATATATTTAAAATAAACAGGTCATATTTTAGGTTTGTACCATATTAGGCATATCTCATATCTGTAGATTCGTGATAAATCAGTCTTGTGATACCTGACGTAAAAAACTGAAAAAAAAATGTTGATAACATCGATTATCATTTATCAATATTATTGGTGTCAATTTGTAACAACCATAGTAGCTATTTAGATTTAACTTTGAGGCCTTTGTAAATAATTTTATATAGAAGGTCCATTGGTGGAGAGAGGACTGGGCAATATATATATTTAAGAATATTTAAGGACCTTTAAAAGACATTGAGATTTTAGGGATTTTAGGATTTTAGGTTTTCTCTTGGACACAGATGAGGCCTTTTTATGTATTATTATATATTTACTTAGGGCCCCGGCATATTTCCCCCTTCCTTCACCATCTAAGAAGGAAACTTCAAATAAGATATATTTTGACAAGATAGGAAACTGTTTAAATTAAGCTTATGAGATTTGAAAAAAATAACTAAAGACGACTTATTTTAAGTGGGAATGTGGAACAATGGGAACTATGTTATATCCAAGGATTTAAATAATTTAAGAGGAAAATATTGCTGATGAAAATATTACAGTAAATACTCTTTGCACTTTTATTGTATTTTTACCTCTTTAAACAATCCCTGTTGTTGACTGATAACCACTGCAATAGCATGACATGGTTAGGAAACTTCTGTTGAAAGTAATAAAATATCAATAAACAAGAAAGGACAGTCACTGTTTTATACCATAGTATTAATAATTAAGTGATGTTAACTTAAAGGTTGAAAGCCGAGAGGACGAAGAACAGAATGTTAAACTACTAGAGACTGTCGATTTGTTGTTAGCTGCAGGATATTTCCGAGCAAGAATTAAAGGCCTCTCCCCCTTTGACAAGGTTTGAAATTATTGATTTGATTTTTAGATTATAAAGTTCGGAAATTGATTGCTTTTTGTGATTTTAGTGTTTTTAATGCTAGTTTCTCAAGCTGCATGACAGATCTAGTGCACCCAACCTGGTGTAAATGATCATGGCAAAAAATTTGATTTTTTAGGTTGTTGGTGGAATGACATGGTGTATCACATCATGTGATATTGACCTAGATGTTGACTTACTGTTTCAGGAAAACTCTACAATTGGTCAAAAAATGTGAGTGTTTTTTGTACCATAGTTATATGGTATTAATTATCTATCTAAATTTTCAACCTAAATGGGAACAGAGCATTTTTTGCAGCCATGTCTTCATTTAACATGGCAGCATGACTCACACTGTGTTTGGGAAATTTTAGAGCATTAACAGAAAAAATTGTTGCTGTTTTGCCGAAAATGAAGTGTCCTCATCGCCTTGAACCACATCAAATTCAAGGATTGGATTTTATTCACATTTTCCCAGTAGTTCAGGTAATTACTTAACATGCATAGTGCATACTTTATACACATAACTAGCAGAAGTGTGTGCTTGATGCAGAACATTGCTAACATCAACTAAGATTAATTAATTCACTAATTCATTTTGCTGCTTTGTGATATTTCCGTACATTTTTTTGTGCCATCATGTACAATACAATGCTTTATTTAGGTATCTTTTTCATCTCATTCACTTTTGCAATTTTTTTTCTTTAACATTGTCAGTGGCTTGTGAAAAAGGCAATTGAGACTCGTGAAGAAATGGGTGACTACATTCGGGAGTTTTCCATGTCGCAATTCAACAAGAATTATTCAACTCCACAGGTTCAGTTAATATAAATCTTAATGACGCCATTTTAGATGGGTATTTAAACCACATTGGAAAAATTTTGCGGTGGAATTTCAATGGGATTAGCTTTTTCTTTACCATCGCGTAACTGAATCGTAAATGAATCCTTTCAGTTCTCCATATAAAAATGTGTTTATAAGACTCCACATTGAATTGACCCCAATCTTTGGCTCGTGATATAATTATTTAGGCTAGTTGCTGTTGTGTTTTCAGGATTCAGAATTTGACAACCGAAAAGACAAATGTGCGACATCAATTTTGGATGTGAAGGTCAGTTACACAATGTGGAGAAAGTTACAAATTCTCATTACCGGTCAGTAAATAGATATTTAACATTAAAAACGAGCAAAGCAAGTCAAGCAACCTGGAGACTAGATTGGTGCATGCAGGTACAACCCCTCCCCCAATTCCTCTAGCTTGGATTCGTTGCGACATTTCATAGCTATATAACAATAGGTAAACATGTAATACATGCACGGCCTACCATAAGTAACATTCATGTCTTGCAATAGATATGTTTCTGTTAATTGTAGTACATAAAACATACCTGACTTCTTGATCTCTAAAGCCCGTTTGAAACCACTAGTAGGAAGCGATTCTACTTTTTCGTGGCGAATTTTTTCGCAAACCAACCACATCACCGGATTTCAGATATCGCTTCGCGCCGCGCGAATAAATTCACCTGGTGGAAAACGGGTCTAAAGCTGACGTATTTCTGTTAGGATACGTACAAGCCCAAAAGAATTTACAAGAAACCAGAATCATTCGAGTTTGCTGATGAAGAAACCAGAGTGAAGACTACATTACTTGAATATGGCTGGTATTACATACTTTTTTTAACGCAAGGTTATGTCGGCCATGTGGAACAGTCTCCAATGAAAGATTCTTCCGACGAACTCTCGGTTGACAAGTCGGAAACGTCATTTTGTCTCTCTGATGTGACAACATTTTCACTGTTTAAATATGGTTACATTAAAAAGATTGGAGACCTTAATTTCTAATAAATTATTTCAGAGGATTAAGTTTTCTGCTGATGAAATACTCGGTCTCTTGCTATTTTTAGGCAATATGGATACAGCAAAGAACAGAAAGAGAAGGTGCGTGTATCTTATGGCAAAAATACCTGACGTGAAAAATGATGTAGCACGTTATTCATATGGCTAAACTCGTTCTTTTAGAAAGACGCAAAGAAAAACAACAAAAAATCTTCCCGTGCAGAAGGCGGGCGTCCGAAGAGTGAATCTATAGACAGCAACGAGGATGAATTTATCATCGAGCAGGTATAGTATTTCCATGTTGAATGTTCTTTATATAATATACTAATAATATTTTTATACTGCCTTTCAGAAACACATTAACTCTCTGATGAGCAACATGGCGGCAATGCAAAGTAAAGAGGTAAGTTGCATGTGATCTTATTTTGAGCAGATACACATGGTATACCGTTTGTAACAAGACTGCTTTCCAAATACATAAAAGATAGGCCAACATAAATCGATGAAAACTTTCCCAACAGTAATGACAACAATTTATATAAGGGTACGAGAATATACGACCGTTCTTCAGCCGGTCTTATCATATTTATCGAGCTAATTAGGTCATCTTACTCTAATTCGTGATTGTTTTAACAAAATTTTATGCTTGTAACAGTCTCGCTATATATTTCTTGTGCCTGGTTATCTTATGAGAATGCTGCAGATATTAGACAGTATGTGAATGGTTTCATTCGTGAGGTTTCATTCATGGTTTCATTCATGCTGGAAAGTAACTAAGTCTTATTCAATTTAGGGTTCACTCTCGTCCAGTCTGGTCGGGTCAATCGTTGGTTTACAGTCGGAAGAAATTTCACAAATGGCATCTGAGTATGCCGAGAAGGTATCCGTGGATGCATCTACGTGGAACGCATGGATCGGTACAGTATATGCGTGGTACTTACAGTACATTCCATGTTCCTTTGTAGCAAGCAGAATTACAAGAAGGTAGTGAGAGAAATGAGAGGACAAGCGGTGTACAGACGCACAAACGAATGTTGGCTTCCTTAGAAAAGCAAATTGCAAATCAAGAGAAGAAATTAGCACAAGTGAGATAAAAGTCTTTATCTGAAAGTTCGAGTTTTAGTGCTTCATGCCCGTCGAATATATCTATAGAACCACGTGGGAAAACATCGAATCTTTGAGAAGATTGGCATAATATAAAAACTTTCTGTTCGATTAAGGTCGAAGAAAGACACGCTGAACTACAACAAGCTTGTATTGAAGCGACGGAGGTTTTAGCGAAGGTAAAAATTGCAATAAATTGTAGTATCACTGTCAGTCGTTTATGACAGTTTAATTGATGATAATGTTGTATACAGTTTGCAGAGACCCGTGCGAACAGTAACGGCTGCCCAGCAGTTCCCTGATGCTTTGTCCTGCATGACGATTATATATCCCCCTACTCCTTAGTAGCTGCAGATGCTTCGCTTTGACATGCAGACATATATTGTAATATAATATATATTTATACACATGCACCAATTGTGCAGAAAGAAGAATATGGACAGAGAATCAAAGAGGAGATGCAGACACTGACTGAATTGGAAAAAGGGGAAAACGCAAGGTAAGCTTGTAGGTAACTAGAAGGTAACTAAAGCCCTTAAAGAAAATATACATACGCGTGTCCGAATACCGGAACGACTGAGATAAAAACATGTCTTTAAGGAACAATCTGTAATTTTTACCACTAATTATTTGTTCAATGCTTTAAGTATTTATCAAAAACTTCGATATCTTGTGGCTATGAATGAAAATCTGAAGAAGCAGGAACATCAGTTCAAAGCTCAATGCAAGGTATATTTATTGCTCTTCGATCATATTTTTAACCGTGAAATCTAGTCTCGATTACAGTGCATGTATCTGTCTTGATATAAAGATTTTTCTATAAAGACCTGGTTTATACGCTCTTCCTTCACTTTGCGTCCCCACATTGTTCCTCCTTTTATTTTTGCTTTGCCTTAGTATCGGAGAGTCCCACAGCGCCATAAACGCGTTCTATCATAATTTCAGGAAGAACTTGAAAAATTGAAGAACAATATCAAGAATTTGAAAGAAGGTGGTGGAGAAGAGAATGAGGATGAAGTGAGTTGAATGCGATGATTCAATACAAGTTTTAACCGAAGATACCTTATTGGGAATTTTTCTACTATTATGTTGTGCTTGTAGGAAAGAGCCAAGGTTATTGAACAACAGTATGAGGCAGACAAACAGAAGCTCCAGAAAATAAGACTCGCTTTGGTATGTATATTTTAAGCAAGATGAAATTATTAGTTATTATCGTGGTTGAGACGTTGAATGGAGTATTATTATTAACATCAATTATTAAGATATTAATTAAGGCCCTGTCACATAATGGTTGAATAATGTCCTTGTCTATGATAAACGTGTAATAAATATCTAAAAAACAGGCAAAGAAAAACCGAGAGATCGCAGTTTTGCAAAGAAAGATTGACGAAGTTCCGTCGCGTGCTGAACTTTCGCAGTACCAAAGACGGTTCGTCGAGCTCTATAATCAAGGTACAATTTTACATTTTTAAAGATTTGCAAGTTCGAAGACTTGAAGTTATCAGCGGAAAGCTGAATAACTGTACAGATGCTTTAATTTCAGGTACTTTTGAAGAAGAAATGTTAATTTAGGCTTCAATAGCATAAATTTTTGTTACAGTTGCGGCGACGCACAAGGAGACCAAACAGTTTTACACATTTTACAACACCCTCGATGACACTAAACTATATCTGGAAAAAGAAGTAATTAAACTGTTTTCTGTATTCAGTCTAAAATTGTTAATTTAGAAAAGCGCCTTTTAATTCATTGATTATCCGATACAGGTCACTTTGCTCAACTCTATCCATGACAACTTCAATACGTGAGTATGCCCATCATTTCATATACCTTGTGCTTATAAAGAAATTTATGTTTGAAATACTCTTCAAAACATGTTTTGCTGTCTACATAAAACATTTTGTAACTCTAACAGGGCGATGTCATCTCCTGCTACGAAGACGCAGTTTTTGCAACAATTTGAACAAATTGTAAATGGCGTTCTGAACAACAAAGGCAAGGTTGGTGTTCAAAAGTAAAATAACGAAAACCTTAGCAATCAATTTTTTAGAAGATGGCTTTTGCAGTTTGCACTATGGCAACATCAAAGGTTCAAAGTTGTTTAATTAATTAATAATTTCTTTCTGAAAATTTTTATAGCTTAACTTTCGTTGTTCTTTTGTAGGTTTGACCATAGGTAGCCCAATGCGCTGCATTACGTACGTCACTCGGGTCACGTATATAGTATATAATAATATTTAACAATTAGTCGCCGAAGGCGAGGTGATTACAAGCCTATATTCACTGAGCCGAAGGCGAAGTGAATATAGGCTTGCAATCACCGAGCCTGAGGCGACTAATTGTTTTAGTATAATTTCAGTATTGAAAAAGTTTTATTTATAAATACAACTGATTTATGTTCTCAATTTCTGCTTCCGAAATTTTTCCAAAACGATTTTGAGTATTTTCAGACATGTTTTTTGGGGAAAAGCAATAGTTACTGCTCAGACTGCTCTGAGCAGTAACTATTGCCTCATAGTTACTGCCGAGGGAGCCAATCAGAATGCTCAAAGGTCATTTTTCAATACTGAAATTATACTAAAACTATATATTATTATATACTATAAACGTTACCCGAGTGACGTACGTACTGCAGCGCATTGGGCTACCTATGGTTTGACTTCATTTGCTATAAAAGGTTACCTCGCATTTAATGGTAGATTAAAATTTTTTATATGTTTATTCACTAGGTTGAAGATAGGAAGTCGAATGAGAAAAAGAAGAGAGATGAACTAAATGAACAATACTTAAGTCTGGTTGAAAAGCAAAGACAGTATTTCAAGACAGTTAAAGAATTTCAAGAGGTGAAATATATGTCACTTACACATTGATATCATGCAATTCATGGTGCAAAATGCCACTTGTATTACACCTCCTCAATGTTATAACCATATTTGGTTATAAAGCATTAATTGATCCACAAACAAACGAACAGGTCATCCATCAAACTAAAGCTTATCATACCCATCTCTTTAGTAAAGAAGTCAAGCCATTTACCAATCATCAACTAATCTCCAATATAATTTAGATACATCCATGCATTAATATATTGCTAATATAAACATATTTTTTTCCTTTTTAGGAATGTAGAAAAAATGAAATCCTTTTATCAAAGTTGAAGGGTCATCGAGGCTGAAATATATATTTTTGATACACAGCAGTTTTGAATTGATTATATTTTTATTTTACTAAAAGATTTCATGCAAATAAAAAATGAACAATCATCACATTTATCAGTCATCTTTATTCCTTGGAATCTTTCGGAATTCATCTTCACAAGTATGCATGGGTATTGCCACCTTATTATCCAACTGGGTTGATGTAATTTTTTCTATTTATCTAATTTGCACAACGATTAGTTTGATTCAAAAATTTAATATTTGCATTTCTTATTTTGAAAATATGTGCATTCAATTGTACAGTACTTCTTCATGATTATCTTTATGAGCCAGGTTTGGAAGATGTTGTGTATTTGGTATAAACATGTTTTGCTGTTACTGCATCATAAACTGCCATTCCTATAAAAACAGATCAATTGATAATTTTTATTACATTGATATAAGGCATAAACATTGGCTTAAAAGCCATGTAAAAATTGTAAATAATGGTAAGGATGATGAGAACTCCACAAGAAAAATCCATACCAAGTGATTTGAAAAGAAAAAATTTGTTTGGTTGCAAGGTTGCTTTTCCTGAAATAACTTCACCTATTTCAGCAGATATTTTGGCCTAAAACGAGAATGACAATATTGATCAATGTCGGCCTGGGATTTACTATCATTGTGAACTGTGGACCAATCGCCACTGTGACTGCCAACAGCCCTAAACCCTGATTTTTACTTACCCTTTACAAAGAAATGGTTAATAGCAAATATTTATTAATTAAATTTGGTATATATGTTTATTATTTAGACCTCTCACATTCCAAAATTGTCATAAACAATCACCCAATGGCCAATTGTTGTACAAAACTATAATACCTTTGAGAGAATGATATCACCAGACTCGGTCTGAGCTCCGTCATAACTATCCACAACTACGGTTGACTGATGCATCACAGCGTCATCCAATTCACGGGCAGTTTCCATGGGTGCACCAACAGCTTAATGGTGGAATGACAATTTTGAATTAGGATGTCGGCCAAGTTGCCAGGGTATAATAATAATACATCTTATTTTAAAGAAAAAAATTCATACAACACACAAAAGCCCCAGGTTTCAACCAATCACCACACAAGACTGCCGTTGTTGCACCAGTAGCTGTGACAACTACATCAGCATTTTTTACAGCCTCTTCAGCATTATCATAAGGAATCGCCCCCGTCTCTTTTGCAAATTTCTGAGTATTAGCAGCAGTTCGATTCCAGACCCTTACCTAAGAGAAAAGCAATTACGTATGTTAGCCCAACTTTAAATAGTGGTTTTACCTTGTTCTAACAATCTGCTCTTTATTTACACCCCTCCTCAATACAATTGTTAATACAACTTTTTGTCTGTTTCATCCAGTTCACTGTTTATACCTCTGTAAAATTTCGAACATGTTTGAATGCGTTGAAGTGACTCAATGCCTGCCCACCAGCACCAATTATACATAAAATCTTGCATTTCTCTGGCACAGTCAAATGCTAGTAAGAATAAAGGGATGTATTTAGGCAGATGTCATTAGCATAGTATCTAGGACAGGAATTTGACTGTTCTGTGTTCAATGGTGTGATATTGGTGTATTAATCAATAATCATACCTTCAGAGCAACAGCTGATGCAGCTGCTGTACGCATTAATGTAATTACCCCTCCATCCAATAACTAAAAAGAAAGTTCATATCTACATTAAATATATGATGTAAAGTGAGCATTTTTGATTGTTGCAAAAAATATATTTATTTAGATAGTGTCATGCGAGAAATATTTATCATTTTCACATGAAAATGAGTTCAAATGCACAATTCTGAACTCTTATGGGGGTGATGCAGTGACAATTTACTATTATTTCATTGACCTGTTTCAGGTAATGGCCCAGCATGTTAGCCTCATTACAACTTGGCTACAGTTGGGTATTAATTATATTTGTTAAGTTTGTTTCTTACAGCCTCAATTGCTCCAGTTGTTGAATTTAACAGGATAATAATACTGTGAATGGATGGATTTTGTTTAGGAAACATTGATACTAATTTCACAGTTAGTGCTTCTTCATTCTTGGAAAAACATGGCATTGTGAACAGATATCTAGAGTAGGAATAAAATGCATAGTGAATACTGAATATAAAATTCTACTGATCATGAATATGGGATGGGAGCTAGTATCAATCCCCATGTTCAGGATTTGGAGTCACTATTAGAGAAAATTTTTATTTTCTCAAAAGGTTTTTCTTAAATCACCCTCTTTCAAATTCTGAAATTCCAATTTCAGTGTTTTTCAATGCCTTAAGAAACGCCCAATGACAAGGTTCAATAAAAACTCACTCCAACCCCACCCCCCATTTAGTTCGACTACGCGAAGTGTTAAAAATATGTATCGTGCATAAGATATGTTTTGCGCAGTTTTGCAAGATATGCGCATTTTTGAAGCCCGTAATAACCACTGTAATAGCATTTTCGAAATTTCAGACGCGGCCGCGGCTTTGAAATACGGCATTTAATACGGCAATATAAATGTATAGTTGTGTACCCGCTGCCTTGGTTCACATCAACAGTCGACCGAACAGGCATTACTACTCCACTGTTTTCATGTTCAGAAAAATTACCAAGACAATTTTCTATCATCGGTATTAAGTCTTCGTATTTAAGTAATCTTCGTACATCTTCAGGTGAAATTGAAATGGCCATAATTTTGTATGTTATTCCAGCACATGCGGTTCCAGTAATCCAGTTCCTCTCAAGTGAAGACTGTGAAGTCTCAAAACTAAACTCGCCTCACGTGAGTAATGAGTATTCACGTGGCTCGCCGTCGGACAGTCGGACCATGAGTCGGACTCGGACATGAGCCTGTTGTCAGAAATGCCGGTGGTTTCATGTTATTCGGTTTCTACTTTCTATTTTTTCTTTTTTCAATTTATTTTTCATTTTATTTTCACTTTTTCAATGTTGGTTTGCAATGGTAATGATAATGGTAGGAACTCACAGCTGTGAGCTGTCAGCATTTAACTTTTGAATTTTTTTAAGAAGCCGAGTTTATATAATATCACTTGGTCATTTTCCATTGCGTAATAAAATTTGATAAATTTCAGATAGATCTCTTTGGAGTATAGAAGTGCCTAAGGAGTACAGTATATAGTCTATATACAGTATGCTATATATATGAACTTCGCTGATGGAACACTACAAAAAATTGAACAGCAGACAGTTGTTGAAGATCCAAAGGAACCTTGGGATGTTTATGTAATTATGTTTGCATTTGTTTTTTTGAAAATACATGCATTCAATTGTACAGTACTTCTTCATGATTATCTTTATGAACCAGGTTTGGAAGATGTTGTGTATTTGGTAGAAATATGTTTTGCTGTTACTGCATCATAAACTGCCATTCCTATAAAAACAGATCAATTGATAATTTTTATTACCATGTAAATAATAATGGTAAGGATGATGCGAAATCCACAAGAAAAATCTATACCAAGTGATTTGAAAAGAACAAATTTGTTTGTTTGCAAGGTCACTTTTCCTGAAATAACTTCACCTATTTCAGCAGATATTTTGGCCTAAAAGAAGAGTGACAATATTGGTCAATGTTGGCCTGGGATTTACTATCATCGTGAACTGGGGACCAATTGCCACTGTGACTGCCAAGAACCCTAAACTCCGATTGTCAAGCCCCATGAAGAAACAGTTAGTAGCAAATATTTATTACATTTGGCATATATGTTTATTTAGACCTCTCACATTCAAAAATTGCAAAAAAACCATCACCCAATGGCCAAAACTATAATACCTTTGAGAGAATGATATCACCAGACAAAGTCTGAGCTCCATCATAACCATCCACAACTACAGTTGACTGATGCATCACAGAATCATCCAATTCACGGGCAGTTTCTATAGGTGCACCAACAGCTTAAAGGTGGAATGATGTAAAAATTACAACACTAAAATAACTTCATCTTTTTAAAACTTGTCCAATAATATATATCTTTGATCAAAATGCTGCTTTTGAAGCTGAATTAAGAGAGTATATTTAAAATATATTCTATGTTTATCAAGTACAGTAATTTTGAAATAAGGATGTCAGTCAAGTTGCCAGGGTATAATAATAATACATTTTATTTCAAAGAAAAAAATTCATACAACACACGAAAGCACCAGGTTTCAACCAATCACCACACAAGACTGCCGTTGTTGCACTAGTAGCTGTGACAACTACATCAGCATTTTTTACAGCCTCTTCTGCATTATCATAAGGAATTGCCCCAGTCTCTTTGGCAAATTTCTGAGTATTAGCAGCAGTTCGATTCCAGACCCTTACCTAAGAGAAAAGCAATTAAGTATGTTAGCCCAACTTTAAATAGCAGTTTTACCTTGTTCAAACAGTCTACTCTTTATTTACACCCCTCAATACAATTGTTAATACAACTTCTTGTCTGTTTCGTCCAGTTTCACTGTTTATACCTCAGTAAAATTTCTAACATGTTTGAATGCGTGGAAGTGACTCAATGCCTGCCCACCAGCACCAATTATACATAAAATCTTGCATTTCTCTGGCACAGTCAGATACTAGTAAGAATATAAAGGTATGTATTTAAACAGACGTCATTAGCATAGTATCTGGGGCAAGAATTTGACTGTTCTGTGTTCAATGGTGTGATATTGGTGTATTAATTAATGATACCTTCAGAGCAACAGCTGATGCAGCTGCTGTACGCATTAATGTAATTACTACACCATCCAATAACTGAAAAGAAAGTTTATATTTACATTAAATATATGATGTAAAGTGAGCATTTTTGATATTTGTAAAAAATATATTTATTTAGATAGTGTCGTGTGAAAAATATTTATCATTCTCACATGAAAATGAATTCAGATGCACAATTCGGAACTTTTATGGGGGTGGTGCAGTGACAATTTACTATTATTTCATTGACCTGTTTCAGGCCACGGCCTAGCATGCCAACCTCTTTATAACTTGGCTACAGTTGGGTAATAATTATATTTGTTAAGTTTGTTTCTTACAGCCTCAATTGCTCCAGTTGTTGAATTTAACAGGATAATAATACTGTGCATGGATGGGTTTTGTTTAGGAAACCTTGATACTAATTTCACAGTTAGTGCTTCTTCATTCTTGGAAAAACATGGCATTGTGAACAGATATCTAGTGTAGGAATAAAATGCACAGAATATACTATTCTACTGATCATGAAAATGGGAGCTAGTATCAATCATGTTCCGGAGTCACTATTAGAGCAAATTTTTACTTCCTCAAAAGTGTTTTCTAAAATCACCCTCTTCCAAATTTGGAAATTCCAATTTTCAGTGTTTTTCAATGCCTTCAGAATTGCCCAATGACAAGGTTCGATGAAAACTCACTCCTCCACCACCCAGGGGTGCCACCAAGAATTCCCTGACACTGGGGCTAAGGTCCCTGACAGGGGGTCTGAAGCTGGACTCCTAAGTGCTGACTGCCAAAGGCTTCAATAAAAAAATAACTATCATAATTCAGCTTATGTCTGTCATTCATTCCCCGATGAATTGTAAAAAATTCCCAGACAGGGGACTTCTCCAGAGGGCTCTCCCCCACTCCTGCCGCCACGCCCCCCCCCCCCCATTTAGTTCGACTACGCGAAGTGTTAGTATGTAGTTGTGTACCCGCTGCCTTGGTTCACGTCAACAGTCTTACGAACAGGCATTACTACACCACTGTTTTCATGTTCAGAAAAATTACCAAGACAATTTTCTATCATCGGTATTAAGTCTTCGTATTTAAGTAATCTTCGTACATCTTCGGGTGAAATTGAAATGACCATTTTAAATTTTGTAGTTCCTCTCAAGTGAAGTCTCAAAACTCGCCTCACATGAGTATGAGCACTGACTCCGTGGTATTCACGTGGCTCGCCGTCGGACTCGGACATGAGCCTGTTGTTAGAAATGCCAGTGGTTTCATGTTATTCGATTTCTATTTTTTCTATTTTCAATTATTTTTTCAATTTATTTTCACTTTTTCAAAGTTGGTTTGCAATGGTAATGATAATGGTAGGAACTCACAGCTGTCAGCATTTAACTTTTGAGTATTTTTAAGAGGCCTAGTTATCATTTGGTTATTGTCCATTGTGTACAAAATTTCAGATAGATCTCTTTGGAGTATAAGAGTACTGGAGTACTGTATATACAGTATGCTATATAAACTTCACTGATGGAACACTACAAAAAATTGAACAGCAGACCAGTTGTTGAAGACCCAAAGGAACCGTGGGATGTTTATGTTGGTAGTGGAAGCAAAGTCAAAGCTGTCATCAGCAAAGCATTGAAAATATTAAATGTAACTAGTTGTCATATATGTTAAATAGTAGTGTATGAGATGACGAGTCCAACTGTGTCCTTCCATCAAAGAGTACCAGCCCCCGGAATGCAAGAAAATTATACATGTCTGTAAGCTAGAGAGTGCCTCATTTTGACTAATTATGAATTTACCATAGGAGAATGGAGAAAAGGTAGTATTAATTGGATTTGGCCCCACATTGAACAAAGCTATAACATGTGTGGAGATAATAAAAAGAAAAGAACAGGTTTGTTCTGCCAGAGTAGCAATTATAGAATTCATGGCCAATCCAACACCTAACTATGAATGCTATATAGAACTGTCTTATTTTATGTTACCTAATGCATAAATTGGGCCCTTAGAACAATAAATGCTATTTTCATAAAACAAATAAGACAGTTCTACACACTACAACTGACTCTCAAAAGATACTTTTAAAATAGTACCTAATTTACCTGGTATTCTATAATTGTTCTGATTGTTAGTACAGGTGACTTAGGTTACAACTCATGATTTATGAGTAGAGTATAATGTAATATAATATTAGACTATTTATACTATTTATACACTCTAATAAATACCATATATTATTTCACATTGCAGGACCTTCATCAGAATAACAAGCTATTTTACAAAAAGTAAGATTTCTTATTTCAGTCAATTTTATGAAATATATGTATTTGATAAATACCTTCTATTGGAAATACATTTTATTTCCAGTCACACATATAAGTTAAAGATTTTCTTTTTTTTTATAGAATGGAAGATACATGGGAACCAAACCAAGAGGGCTTAGACAGGTACAGATCTTATCTCCCTAATTCTCCTTTTATAAACATTGTCAAGGAAGCCTTTTTATGAAACAATGACCATAAACCTGAACAATAAACAATGGGACCCTTTTATTTTATATATAAACTGGTAAAATCAGTTGTAATTCCTATCAAGGAATGATAAGCTAGCCAAAATGGAATTTTGATAATCTGTAGAGTTACTGTACTCATCCCCTCTTCAGAATTCCATTTATTTACTAAAACACGCAATGTTTTCGTTTATTTTAAAAGGTTAACTGTATCAAGAAATGTTCCAGCCATCAAAATAGTTTTATCAAGGATCCCTCTTAATGTGAATGAACCAGGGTATGTGACCAATTTATTGTCTGCATTAGAAAATCTACCTTTATCTTAAACCTGCTAGTACCAAATTCTTCTGTTGTTCACTGACAGATATCAAGCTCCTGTGAGTGTTTCAAAAAAGAAGACTTTGGATTATCGCAAACAAAGGGCAGGTTATTCGGCCAAAGGAAACAAAGAAACTACTGAAAAGAAACATGGTGCAGAGACCCGCCAAAGAAACGAACATATGTCAAAAACAAAACGTTTTAAATCTTCACAACATTGAATAAACCATTCATGTGATAGAAATATTGCATAACAAGGTACTATCAGCATGCTTTGGGCTTTGGGAGTAACTTTTATAATATACTCAAAATTCATTGTTTATTAAATTTGATTGAATATGATGGAAGTCATATAACTTTAGTTAGGCTAGCAAATAGTGCGATTTTTATGCATTACTATTATACATAGGGTGTTTTTATAGGAGAGACCCTTTTACGAAATTTACATGCATGCATGTCATGCATTAGCATTGCAGCCACGTACAGACTTCACTAAATGACGAGTTCGTGCGAACAATAATGAAAACAAGTTTGTCTTGACAAGTGTATTTTTAACGAATTTCATTTTTTTCCATTCGTCCACGTCAAGGTCACTCGTCGAGAAAAACTCACCCGTCTCTGTGTGTGCCTATACGCGCCCTTGCTATAAGGGACGCGGCGACCCGGGTGCCACTGGTGGGGAGGGTAATTTTGGCCCGCCCTTAATTTTTCGTTAAAGTGGATATTACTTGGACATAGTCTCAGTCGGGGGTGTAAATTAGGCTACAAAATATAGGATTGTTCAAATTGGCCGAAAAAGCAAAAAATGAGACACTCCTAATATACGCGACAAAGCAACATTTTTCAACAACGTATATCGTAACCATGGCTATTTACACAATTTCCAATTTGTTTTTTATCCCAGTCGGGGTTGTTGCTTTAATGTAGCTATATTATCAGCCATCAGATTAGTTGACTAATCCGTTAAGCGTTATATTCAAATTTCAATCAATGTCATAGTTTTGTACTTCCTACAGGATTCTGATTTTATTATGTACAGAAAAAATGGGTATATGTAAAAAGTAGGAAGTTATAGTACTCATCCATATCATTAAACTAGGGTTTTAGCTGCCTCGGGTCGAGTTATACGGACTGTGGAAGAGCGATAAACGGAATAACTTTTTTGGCCTTTGCATAGTTTAAGCAGCATGGCTTTGATAGCAATATTAAATGTTTTGTCAAAGAAAGCGTAAATGATTGGATTCAGAAAACTGTTACAGTAGGGTAACACTCCAAAACAAATGGTTTGTAAAATCATAAATCCGTATAGGCCCATAGACCCCAGTAGCGCAGGGTTGTGTTGAAAAATAACAAACAGTATGAAGAACGGTCCCCAACACATAATGAAAGTTAGCACGATCAGGGTAAGCGTGAGCAAACTTCTTCGATTCGAATGCGTTTGTTTTCGTTGGTGTATTCTTGCGCTGTCCTCGTTGCATTCCTGGCTTGGCAAACGATTTCGGCTGTGCGCCTGCACAATACGGAATATCAAAGTACATAATATGATCAAAATCCCCACGGGAATGAAGAAACCCAACAGAGCAGCAAGAGTATAGAATGTTCTATTTTCGTTCTGACATACGTTTGTTGTTATATGTACCCCTTTGTTTCCAGGGTACGGCACAAGACCGAGTGCACCAAGAACGGCCGAGTAGATCCAAATAAACGCTATGATACGACACGCACGACTCGTCGTCACATTAGACTTATACCTGAACGGTCTGGACACCTTGTAATAACGATCAATGCAGATAATTGTCAGTGTCGTAATAGAGGCGGCCTCAGTAAAGATATCAACCCAAATCCAGAAACGGCAAAACACCAGCGTCATTTTATTTTCGTTAAGGAATAAATGAAGACGCATAGTCACGCTGAACATTGCCACCAAAAGATCCGATACAGCAAGCGTTGCAACGAAATACTTATTCGCATTGTGGAGGCGTTTATCCAGATAAGTGGCTGTCAAAACCAGTAGATTTCCAGCTAAGGCAGCGAAAATGATAAAGAAAAGAAAAATCACTTGGAAAAACCAAAGGATTTTACCCAGGTTAGCGACGTCTTCAGGTTCCGTTGGAACTGTTGCGTTAGTTTGATTGGTCAAATTTGAATCCATCTGGCGCTCAGATTTCCAACGGCAACAAGTTTCTGTTTGGAATATACAAACGTTGATAAACCGAATGAGATTTCGTAACAAAAACAACGTCTTGGCAGTCGTTCTCACACCAAATATTTTTCAAATGATAAGTTTAATCGTGTCATCGCTTGCTTTTATGTACTTGACGTCCTTGGCACACACACATGCATGTCATTTGCAAACACTTCAGAGGCTTACATGCAAGATTCCTGCTGGAACGCACTTGACTTTTTAGTATCCAACTGCGCGCCCTACTGCTATGCTACTTAAATGGTTTACAAATACAACTGATACCAATAAACTATTTTTAACAAACTTTATAAATTTATTTGCATATCTGTTTATCTGTTGACGTACATAGGTACCCCTGCATTCTCCCAAGAATCGATTTTTGTGACCTTTTCAAATTAAATTTGATGTGAAAAAAAGACAACTTTAGGTTGTCCCAGTCATTATGGCGTTGATGCTATCGTACATTTTTTTCTGCTGGTAAAATTTACGAATTTTGATGGCTATTTCAAAATTTCAACTGAAGTTTCAGATGTTTCTGATTTGCCAACCTTAAAATATTGGAATTTCCGGTTTAGACTTGCCTATTTACTTTCGACTACCCCCAATGGGAATTAAAGAGACTTATTATCTTTGCAAAATTGAATTTGGTGGGTTTGACAATGCTAACAGGATGCACAAATATGATTTGATAAATAATCGAAATGTATGTCAGTGCGCTGTTTTCTCCGCTCAGAAATTGCCTAAATTTGTAGAATTTCTGTCGGATCGATTGTAGAATCGATTGTAGATTAAAAGTTATTACTTACACACGTTTGTCAGGGGAATTTATATTTTGCACAAAAATTACCTTGTAATAACCTGTTTAGTGAATCTAATTATTACAATCTTACCAAAACCATACTTAATTGCCTGGTGTTGGTGGATGACCTGAGCATATATGCATATTACTTGAGCGGGTACATATTTTTAGTGCAAGACAGCCCACTTTGGCAGTCTTAATGAGACCGAGACGAGTATTTTAAAAAGGCAGAGTGTGTTTAACACAACTCAATGGATTCTAAGAACATAAATACTGCACAACGTATATGCATTTGTAAAATTTTGGGTAGAAAAAATTCTCTTTGCAACTCGTATGCCGGGTGAGTTTGCAATCGTGATGACAGGTTGAATTTTCTTCGCCTATCACTTAAGCTATATAGGTAGACTATAAGGTAAAGTCTGCTGCAAAAAGTACTATAAATAAAATGATTAGATTGAAAATGAATAAAGGTCTGTTTACAAAAAGAAAAAGATAAGATTTTTTTGTTGCGTATCATGGCTTATGTTTTTCATTGTGATGTGACCTGCGAGCCCGGCATCTGTTTCATTTCTTTGGTGTTTGCGTGGTTTATTAGGATTTTCCAACCACCTGTTACCAAGCAGTGGAGACCGTTTATCTAAACAAACAAATGCCAGTCAAAACGATGATTAGATCTTGTTAACGAGCGAACACATCTACCATTGCGAATGACCAAAGCTTTTAAGTCCAATAACAATCGTTTTCTGCCTTCATTTAATCATTTCCTCCTCCTTTTCAAATTTTGCATAGAAAAACACAAGACATGCCAAGTTCTTGTCACTACTAATGCGTCACAAACTCATCACCATTGTAAATTTTATATGTGTCGATGAAGCTACAGCGTGTTATCGAATGCGCGATAACGGGATCTGCAGCCTGCTCCGGCATGCATGCTATGTAAGAGTAAGTTCCAGAACCGGCTCTTTCGGTACAAAAAATTCCACTTTTTAGTGCCTGCTTTTATCGCATGATAAAAACTAGTCGCTCACGTAGATGCTCCCGACGTTAAATGCATGTACACGCTATAACCTAATAAAATTGCATTGTCAGAAAAGACGTCAATTAGGGTATTTACAAAACAAAAAACAACACAACAGCATCCTGAGTGTGTGAACAACAACACTTCGATCATGAGAGACTTCCAGCTACTTTGTGCTTAACATCAGCTGCGACCAGCGGGTGAGGACCAGTGAACAATGAACTGAAATAAGACTGGAACGGAAAAATTTGAAGCCAAGATGGCATCCTCGTTCCCAGGTTTTTGGCATACTGCGTGTGGCGAAGATGGAATGCGAATATGGCGGAATAGGCGGAATATATTTGGCGGAATATGAATTAAGCCTTTCTTGTATGATCCAGGCCTCTGGCGCGGAAATTTCGTGGGTAAAATGGCGGCAATTATGATTTTACTTTTGAAGCTTCATGTTCAGTAGGCTTCATGTCCCGCAATCTTGGCTTCACTCATTAATGAGGGAAAGTCTGAGAGCTAGCCGCTAGCGTTCCAGTCATATTTGAGTTCACTGGTGAGGACCAGTGGTGAGGACTGTTTCCTGGCATACGACACGTTATAGTACGTTACGTTACGACACGACCGTTATTAAATAAGTGTAATAATAGTGCGTTTTATTATGCGTACCCAATAAATATGAATAACTTATAGTTAAACGTTAAAGTTCGGCTATAGCGCGGCCGGTATACTTGTATATATAGTATATTCGACCGGGGTAAAAAAAATAAAGGCTGAAAATACCGCAATATGGTGTATCCCAATGCTATAGTATAAAGAGTTGTTGCATGTAAATTATCATTCGTATCAATTTAATCAGGTACAAGGCGTTAAAAATCAGTTGAAAATATTAGGTTTATGTTTGGGAACAATTTAATAGAGCCTAACTCGAGGTAGAGACGTGCTACACTGAAAAGCCCAACAGTAAACGAGGTTTGATTGCGTGACATCAGGCTTTCGCGTTCGACGTTATTTTTGTTATTTTCTCCACTGTCGCATTTTTTGCATGTACGTTCACACGTAAAAGTTTAAATGCTTTTAATTTTTTTATTGTTTAACATCTAGGTCAACAAATGCGTACTATGAAATACGCGGAAAACGGTAAATAGTCGCAATGACGTCAATACCAATACGAAGGCTTTCTATGTTTGATGTCATAAGAAAGGTTTATTGGACTTATTATCACTATTACTATAGTGTTGACCACATAATGAGGTCACATACAAATATTATATTCCCATATCAAGCCAACTTACTGGGTTCAAACCCAAGCGCAAAGTAACGAGCGGTTTGTTTGCAAGTGTGGTCGATAAATATTTTTAAGACCCCGTTTACATGATACCGGACAAAATTTCGAACAGAATTCGTCATTTTCGGCCTTCGGTCACGCGTAACTTGAAACGCCCTGCTGTGCGCTAAAGAAATGCCAATACTAGGAATCGCAACACTGAAATATTTTGCCAATATGTAAGTATGAAGAAACAACGAAGTGAGCTTTTTGCAGAAGCGATAATAGAAGACGAACTTGTAGACTTACTACCCAAACTTTTATATGCTTATAATGTGCGCTTGCTGAATGTCGGAATCAAAGTTCAAAGAGAAAGAAAGGGAAGAATTTGCGATAAGCTTGGACGATTCGGTAAGATTCGTATTTTGTCAACAAGCACGAATAACTCTGATTGCTCAACCTACACTATCGGCACATTTGTGACAGAAAATGCCAAATATGTTTGATATAGTTTTCTATCTCACGTTGACGAATATCCAGGCTATCCAGCCATATATTCGCCATTAAAACAAATTGATCATGACATTGATTTCCGCAGACAGGGAAGTGTGAAATATTTCACTCGAGTTCTCCATCAAATAAGTACATTAAAACATGAATTGTGAAATACTAAAACTATTGCGAATTTGGCCGGGGTATTTATCAATCGTCTACCGAAGAAAATTGCAAATTCTGAAGATCACAAATCCAAAACCATACTATCTGAGCAGGTTCCAGGGACGCAGGAATGTGCGACGGCAAGAGGGAGTGTTACATCTCTAAACATCGACAGAGAACAATTGGTTAGAAAATTTTTGGCTCTGAAAGTGTGGCAAGGTTTCTGTAGTTAGTCGACGTGCTATTCCTGGAACTTATTAACTGTCTTTTACGGTTGTCTAAAGCAACATTATTAACAAATTCGAATACAATCGTTTCCATGGAAACGCATTTTTGCACCCTTTGCACCTGCTGGTAAAGAGCGATAGCGAAAGCGCTGCCCTTGCCAGCATCCCTGGCGGTTTATGGTCGTTTCGTACTCTTGTCATTTCGTACTTCTGCCGTTTCGTACCCAGGCCTGGTCGTTTCGTACCCAGACATGGTCGTTTCGTACCCAGACATGGTCGTTTCGTACCCAGACATGGTCGTTTCGTACCCAGACATGGTCGTTTCGTACCCAGACAAGGTCGTTTCGAACTTTACACATGAGAGACTTAATGAGCTAGCTTTGCAACAGGGCGCTCATAAGCGCCCTGCTTTGCAAAAACAAGAAGACGAATATATTTTATTTAAGCTCATTTCAACTGCCGAAAAATATATCCGTGATCTGTCCGTTTATTTTTTACTTGTGAAATAGCTCAATTAGCCTGTAGAACGGTATTCCACGACGACCAAAATACATTCAACTTTAGCAGCACTTTCTAGCCTCCCAACACGTGTCGCACTTTGGAGCGCGTTTTGGAAATCAAAGACATCGCCAACAGTCCAACACGCGTACAAGACGAACACAGATAATCTTCGGTTAGGTCTTGTAAAATTTTTAAATCTCTCGGAGACAGGTTCTCACAACAAGAATGGTACCACATGCATTCGGCATCCTTCGCAAAAGATCGAATTGTCATTGCATTGCAGACTGCAAGTACCACATGGCCATTTGCGCTTAAGTGTGCGTGTAGACTTTCGGACCATTTTCAAAACGATAAATTTGAACTGCCAAATGAAGAACTCAACAAAGAAAGTGGTTGTTATCAACGCTTTTAATAAAAACTGAACTGATTGCAATAAAAGCAGTCATATAGCGTTTGAGTACGAAACGACTAAAATCGGGGTACGAAACGACCATCAATTAGAGTACGAAACGACCAGGGATATGGGTACGAAATGACAAGAGTACGAATCAGAATCAAAATGCGGTCTTTGGTAAAATAAAGTTTTTAAACTATAATTATGAGTGGTTCCGGAAATTCAAAGGCACTCAGGAAAGGGCACACAAAACGAGAACGTACGCTGTTATCAACACTAGCATTGATTTCTAAAAATAAAAGTATAAATTGAAAAGAAAATTACAGGATTTTAAGTCACGTTTAAAATAAAATTGCCACGTGTTTGTATTGCGCAGCATGCATGACCATGACGACAATGTTCCATGTTAATTAAGTATCAGCAAATTTTTTTCTGTGTTGCTAAGGACTGCTAAATCACTGCTTAAACCTGAATTTAGGCAAATGATGTGTAATAACACACACCTTGACAGGCTTGACTTGAGTACAATAACATACGTTACTTATTTTTGCCAAATTCCCTGATTCAACCAAGTGCCTATGTTTACGTAACCGATGATGTCGACGGGCGGAAATATTTTCTGTTTCTCAACGGCTCTGAATTATGTTTCTGACTAAAAAACAAAATACGAACCTGAAATCGTTTTGGATTTCTTGTGAACTGTCAATTTAATCAACCAGTCTAAGTACTCTTTCAAGGTACACAAAGTGCACTGCTCTCTTTCATATGAATTAAGTGCGATCTCTTATCATTGATCGGTGACATAATAAATAATCTAGGTAAATGATCTTGCTGACTAGGCCCAATCACAAGTACTTGCGTCTGGTTTCAATGGTTCTAACCGATAAATTCCGATAAATAAGTGACCGACAAATAACCGATTTTTCGGTTAATAATTGAGACAATGCGACCCATACCGGAAAAGGCATTGGACCAATCATAAACAATAAGACAAAAATGCAAGATGTCGGCAAGAAATGATTCCTGGTAACATCGAGCTTTCTGTTTCTAACTAATGAGTGCTAAAAACTGAAAAAAGATGAACATAGACCGACATTGGTCGCGGTCTCTAATGCATCGTGTATTGAGTCCTGCTTATTGTTCTGATGGCAAAATCAACCGGCCATCAGCCGATGTGAGTCCGTTGCATATTGCGTGAGATGGATTTGGTTATTTTCATCCGCCTAATTATCCATTTCTTCTTGCAGTATTCAGTCACAAAGTCAAGCCCCGAAGCGTTAAAAAAAATTTTTCTCAAGGTAAACTTCAATGTTGTACTGCATCAGATCGTATTTCAGCAAATCACGGCTTTTTAATAATGTAGTTGTCTCACTCGGAATTATTAATTGCTGTTTTACTTTCAAGGACATGCAATGTTTACAATAATAAACCCCGTCAAGAAAGAACTTCAATTCTCTATATAATTGATACTAAATTATGGCGTAGACTAATCTCGTTCTGTTCAAATGTAAATGCTTTTTAACCAGTTATTTACCATTAACCAATTCACTGTTAATCATTAAAGGAAAAGTGATTACTCAACAAATAAATTACATTAAGTCGTTTTCTGTTCAGTAATCTGGAAATTTTACACTATGTAATCACATGTATTGAATATAATATTGAATATGCCATCTATCACATTATTTAAAGCAACACAAACAGACACTAAGCTTAACCTAACCCTAACCTTAATTAATCACCATGCATCTTAAAACTACCAGGGGCCGGTTGTATAAAACTCTTTAACTACACTGTGCAAAGTTAAATCCTAGTTAACTCAGAAATACACAACTCTGATTGGCCAATTCTGTTCATAACTACAGTTAAAAGTTAACTAGTCTTTTATACAAGGTTTGTGTTTTTGTTTGTATACACTGAAGTGTGAAGTATCCTGGGGGCTGGGGCCAGTTGTTCAAAGCTAGGTTAGCACTAACTCTGGGTTGTTTAAAGCTAGGTTAGCTCTAACCTTATCTGTATCGACACAGTAAATCCATCCTTGTTTGTTTAATCTATCAATAATTATCTAGAATTTAATTCTAGATAATGGCAGCCAATAATGCCAGTAACTTTTCAGAATTTCAGCATTGTAATCTGGGCCGGGTTGTTTAAAGGCGTTTAGCTTAAACAGCAGATAAGATCAAAATGGAAAACAAAGTTATTAATTTATCAAACAACTGAGCTAAAATATTTTGATGTTAATAGTTTAATTTTCAATGAAAGTACATAATATTTAATTCATGAGATATAGTCATTCACAAGATGTATGAGAGCATTTTTAACTTTGGCTTATTGACAGCTAAAAAACCTAGAACAACTTCCCCCCAACTATGTATTAGTTGAGTTTTTTTTATCACAAATTTATACTATGAGCAGTGTCAGAAGTCATGTAAATACCATCACCCATAAAATACATTTTAGCAAGTCTAATTTTAGTAAAATGTCATACATCACTGTCATTTTAACTGTATTCCCCACCACTACATGATACACATATACTTATAAACATGGACTTTAAATAAGTAGAAGTTAGCAATATCCTAAATGTTGTACCTACCAACCAATTGTAGGCTCAATCATAACCAGTGGCATCGCAGGATCGATAAGTGGGGTGGACATATTCATATATTCCTGTTCACAGGCAGTTAAAACTATCAATTTGAATAGAAATGAATAATGTGAAACACATATATATGAATAAGTCCCCCCCCCCCCACTTATCAAGCTGGCGACGCCACTGATAATAACACAGGCCTAAATAAAAACACAAGGTTTTCAACATTTAATTTTAGTATGCATCATTGGAGGAAGATGGAGAGATGTTCATGACTCCAGAGGATTTTATAAGGACATTTTTAGGAATGCAAAAAGAAGATGACTACAACGTAGAAACATTAAACTTATTATCTGGTGTTGTGGATCAAACTAAAGATGGGTAGGCTTTTCAACTGTGTTTTTCATGCTTTTTGAGATTACTTGAAAAAGTTGTGTGTGACTACTACATAAGAAATTGATTAATTGAATCGGCAAGGCCAAGGTTCAAAATGCACAATCAAATTCTGCCAATGCTCGAAATTTTTGTCGGAGGGTCTCGAGTGTAGACCTTCTTTTTAGCTGCTATAGCCTGCTATACTAGCCATTGAAGCTCTGCATTGAGCAAAACTGCGCAAAAATGATATTGTTAGTTTGCTAAGTACTGACAAGTTAGCTGGTATTGGAATGGCTTGACCTGAACCTACGACGCGTTGCTCGTTTTGATATCGATTGTCGCCGTCGGTCAAAACCATTTGCTGTACTGACGAAACAACAAAGCGTAGGCAAGAAACGACCAGTTGTATTGAAAACTACCACGGGGGAAGGTGGATTGGAATGAAATCCGCATGGATGCAAAACCACTAGGGTGCGAAAATCCCTGCATGGCAATCGTTAAAAAAGATTTTGAAATACGGGTTTTTGTTTAGGCTTATATCATTCAGTGAAATGCTTGCATTTGAATCCCTCCTCTGCAGTCCTGATGCTCAATTTCGCATAGTGTTTCAACTGTTTGATTTGGATGGAAAAGGCTCTGTTAGTTTTGGTAAGTCGTTTATAAGCTACAGCAAGAGAATAGTACTTCAGGTCCTCTGGCAGAATCAGTATACATTTATTCAGGCATCATTTTCATGCACATTTTTCTTTTTCTTAACTGTTCCTGCATGAATAGGATACCGTATTGGGGCTATCATTATTCTTAGTATTTATATATTCTTACAGATGAGTTCTCTAGAGTTATAAAGAAAACCCAGCAACACCAAAAGTTTCCCTTCAATTTTGATTCTCCATTTATAACGCGGTTTTTTGGAGAAAACAAATCGAAGGGAGTGCCATATAGCGAATTTACGCAATTATTAGAGGTAAGTATACGTGTATAGTAGGAAGGTTGCCATAGTCATGCAGAATAGTATACTCCATAGCATGGAGGATAGCCATGATAATCGTAGTGAATAGTAATGGCGAATAGTAGTCATAGGCCTGGAGGATAGTCATATGGAGGATACAGTAGTGATGGTCATTGTCATGGTCATGGTCATGGTCATGATCGTGGTCATGGTCATGGTCATGGTCATGGTCATGGTCATGTCATGGGGTCATGGTCATGGTCATATAGTTATGGGTCATTGTCATGGCCATAGTCATGGTGGAAAGTCACGGTAATAGTCATCTCAACTGACGTCTTCAGGGTCAGTAAAAGTTGTGTACGTCATTATGATCGATGCATAAAAAGGAGATTGAACGGTACTTTTCTCGTGTTTTCAGGATTATCAGAAAGAACATATAAAGCAAGCATTTTATCAGTGCAAGTTAAACAAAGGGACAATTACTGCAAAAGATTTTAGTACGATAATGAAAACCTGTCGTCCTCATGTTTTATCGCCTTATACTCACGAGCACTTGTTAACGGTACTGTACTTATGTTTTTTGCCATTCAGATTTTACCTGATGGCCCCGATCAATCAGACTACTGTACATTCAACACTGACTGACGTAGCTACTGTATACACGGCTGAGAAATTGAGCACCAAAATATTCGTGAGGCTACATAGCTACACTGCTGAGTACTGTTCATGAAAATTGCCTATTATTTGATATCATGGTATAGGGAGTCAGGGAAAGTAATTAAACGAATGAATCAAACAGTCGGTTTACATGTTTGAAGTTTCTTCATTGACCGCAGTATTCAATGGCCAACACTGCTACCATCTTACCGAATAATCATTTAGCCTCTCCCGCATTACAATGTTGCCACTGATCTATATAATATTTCTATTGAGATAAGTGTAATAATTTTAGGAAATACAGTGTAGCTTAGCACTTGGTTGTTGCCATCCATTCTTCCTACATGACGTTCTTCTATTCAACTTGTTTAGGTGGCAGGTGGTATGACAAGTCATGTAGTAACATACGCGTATTGCCTAGCGTTTAATGATCTTTTGGACAATATTAAAGTGATTCAATATCTTTTCGAAAAAGCAGTAAGGGGTGACCGACAGAAAGATATGACCAAGGGTAATGATGTGACTCTTCTATTCATGTTTATTGAAGAATGTTCAAGACTTAGTGTTATATTTTCGTTTGCTGTCAATTTTCGGCATGCCTAATAACGCTGGTAATTCTATCTTTATTTTAGAGGAATTCACTAAAGTGGCGCGCAAACATTTTTTGGTAAGTTTAGGTATACCTCATACATGCAGACATGGCTCAGTTTGGGTATACCTCATACATGCAGACATGGCTCAGAAGAGTAGCGCATGCAGACATAAAGACGTACTTTTTTCTGTTTATAGATAAACCCTTTGCAAATTGATATATTGTTTCACTTGTGCGGATTAAGGCATGGTACTGGGTAAGTTGGTATTACTTCAATCGTTTTCACTAGCGCGAATGCTCGAATTTAAATCTTGTGTTTAGGTTGGATTAAGGTGGAATTTAGTATTTGGGTTAACCTAAGACGTAAACCTAATCCCAATAATTTAATTCGTGTATTTTGGATGTTCTGAACATGGGATTTTTGCGCAAATTAGAGTGTTTGTGAAATCTTCTTATCCTTGCATTTGTTGTTCACAGCCGTATTTCATTGCTTGATTTGGATCACATAATACCCAAACCTGATGTCTTTAAAGTTTACTCTGCTGAAAATCACCAGGTATGTTTGGTTTGGTCTCACCTGTGGTTTCACTTTACTAGTGACCTAATGCATGTTTTTAACAAAACTCCCGCGACTTTGGTATAGTTGGAACCTCGTACCCAGGGTTTTCTCCCCAAGAGGGAAAACCTAGTACGACTACAAGGTTGGTATAGTTGCTAATAACCTTGACAATCGCGTGTTATTGTGTCCCCCTAGTTCAGTCAGCACTCGTATTTTCCTCAAGAGAATGAGCGAGATTTCCACAGACCTTATTATTTACAAGGTTTAGAACATTTGTATCGCTTTGTTGTGGGTGGCATTGGTGGAGGTAAGACAACCTGGAGCTGTTTCTTCAAAGCTAGTTAACGCTATTTCAAATTTTAGACTTGAGTTAACGTTAGCACAAAAAGGCGATTGATTGTGTCAAACATATCTTTTCTAGCTACCGGAGTTACAGCTGTGTATCCCATTGATCTTGTAAAGACCAGAATGCAGAACCAGCGCGCTGTTAGTGCGGAAGAAAGATTATACAAGAACAGTTTTGATTGCTTTTTTAAAGTGCTTCGAAATGAGGGATTTCGTGGGTTGTATAGAGGTATAAACATAGTCTGGCATGCTTATTTCATAATAGGGCACAACAACCGTTTATAAAATAATGTGGTAGATGTTGGCAATGTTTATAAGTTGGTGTAATGTTGTTGGTTTGTTGCCTGTTAGCCAATTTTATTGCTTGTTGTACATTTGCATTTACATCACCGTCGATGACACATTATTCTATCCTATAGGTATCATACCGCAATTAATTGGTGTGTCGCCTGAAAAAGCAATTAAATTGTCTGTAAGTGGAATCATTATCTTCACTTTGTAGTAATTTTTTCAAGGTTTTAGAGAGAGTTTATTATTTTCTTTATCGTTTATCGTATTTCTAGACTAATGATTTTGTGAGAGACAGATTGAAAGCTGAAGATGGTTTTCTCACGCTCAGCGCCGAGATCGTTGCCGGTGGTTGCGTATGTCTTCAATTTTAATTTCAAAAAGTATATCTCAAAAGGTTCCAAACAAACCTGGTTGCAACTAGTCGTTCCATAAGATAGCTGCCAGAATAATAACCTTTATATAGTGAGGTGTTGACATAGCTTTTTATAACACTTATTTGCTGCGTACCAACTACAGTATGCCTCTCAAACCCATGCATGCACAGGGTAATTTGTTAAGTTAAATTAACGCGTTTTCACCCCGAATTTTTTTTCTCAAACAATCTCTGGGGATATGCTTCATGCTACGAATGCTATATTAAACAATATGTTTGGTTTATGTCTGCTTATTCCTGTTTAGGCTGGAGCATCGCAAGTAATGTTTACGAATCCAATTGAAATTGTAAAAATTCGTTTACAAGTGGCGGGCGAGAGTGGTCAGAAGATCAACGCGGTGCAGACGGTCAGAGAACTTGGTCTTAAAGGTCTTTACAAGGTTTGAATCCAATTTCATCAGAATATTATGTTTTATAAAATGTTTTTTTTATCTATATTATTTCTGAAATTCAGGAGTTTATTATTATTTGTCTGGTCGTCCCTGAACATGCATGCGTCAATTTCAACAGTCGACTCGTTGATTGGTCAGGCATGACCTTCATTTATTTATTTGCATGCATTCCCCCCCTCCCGATTATACCGCAATCGCGTATCTGTGTGTAAGCTACTTTGTTATATTGGCATGAAATTGTATTTTTAGGGAGCAAGAGCATGCTTTCTCCGGGACATTCCGTTTTCCGCCATCTACTTTCCTGTGTACGCTCATTTAAAATCAAGTTTCTCCGACGAAAATGGATTTACCAAATGGTACAATCTTCTCGCTGCGGCTGCTATAGCTGGTAAGTACGTGAAATAATTTATCAAAATTTTGGTAATCTCATTTGAGTAGTTTGACCATAGGTACGCATGGTTTGACCATGCAGCATTCGCCCACTCTTCCCTGTGTTGAGTTTGCCAATTCCATCAGTTTCCCATGCAGACGTGAAATGCAAGATAAATTTATTCTTTAATAGAGGGAAGGGGTGAAAATTCCTCGGTAATAACTAAATTAAATGGGGTTGTCAGTGTACTGGTAGTTTCATCAAAAAAGTTTGACGTGGTTAGATTGCCAATGGGAAGTTTCCAAAGTAAATCTAAACCGTCAAATAAATAAAATTATTGCGTGTAAAAACTTACCTGTGTGTCACGAAGTTAAGATAATAGAAAACGCACAGGATGTCCAGGTTTGGAATTGCCTTCAGTATCATCTCCTCTGAGTAAACCACATCTTAAGTAAATGAGAAAATTTTAACCATCTTATCGTAAATTAAGAGCACGTTGTCCCTCTTCACCCCATTAGTGTGTAATTACTTTGATCGTCTGATAGTAATGTGAACCAGATTTTTTTCTATTTTTTTTATAACCAGCTAGATTTTTTTTTTTTCTTTTTATAACCATATTTTTTTATAACCAGCCAGATTTTTTTATAATCTCTACAGACTTTATATACATTTATATTAGGATGCCCAGCAGCATTCCTTTGTACGCCTTTTGATGTTATCAAGACTCGTCTTCAGGTTAGTGAAGTTACACAGAAGATCTGAAGGTGGTGGCTGAAGATCTGATGTCGTATATTTTGCTGGGAAGTTGTTGAATTCCCTCACATTTTTGTGTTATTTTCAAATCCTGTTTATTCTGGAAATAGTTTGTTGACGAACTGCACTGCATCTGCAATCCTGGTTCAGTTCGAAACTTCGTATTAAATATTTTACCCGACCACTCGATGTTTAACTGAATCAATCCAAAATTTAATCTCGGTGTCTACACTTCAACTTAGCCTTTTCAAACGTGAAACTTTTCATGTGCCGAATCGAATGCAAATGAACAAAGACTTTAGCTCATTAACATTAGGTTCGGCACATGAAAAGTTCGACGTCTGAAACAGGTCTTACTTTTGCGTGAAAACTATATTTCAAAGGTGATGTCAATATCGTAATAATAATAAAAGAGGTTTCATTCGGACGTTTTCAAATCCATTTAAACTTTATCGGCAGGTAAAAGCACGTCAAGGGCAGGAATCATACCGTGGGGTGTTTGATGCAGCGTCGAAAATCTGGAGGCAAGAAGGTGGTCGTGCATTCTGGAAAGGAGGCCCAGGTTCGTATTAAGAGAAAAAGGTTGGGTTTTCATCATCGTAACTTAGTGTATAATTTCCTTTCTCGGTAGACAGTGACGCATTAAATGCTCTGTCTGACGGCAAATATTTTTTCTACATTGAGACATTGGTTCGTAGAGTATTGTACGACGAGTTCCGATGATGAAAACAGTGGCTTGAAATTTCTCGTTCATTGTATGGTCAGCGCGTGCGTTTATTTGTCAACAAAACACTCACAACAGTCTCTAACCCTTAAATATAAAATTATTTCTTTAGCTCGAGTTTTCCGTTCCTCTCCTCAATTTGGGGTTACCTTGCTGACGTACGAAATAATACAACGATACTTCTACTTTGATTTTGGCGGGTAGGTCAATGCGAGATTTACTGTAGGATTAAATATTTAATGGTAGCAAATAACTTTTTATTCAAGCGGACATGTGGAATTATCAAGAATTTCCATTTTGACTTTTTGTTGTTCGTATCATCATATGTGATAAAAGCGACGAAAAATTAGAAATAAAATTCATTTGTAGATTATTTCTATTTGCATGAAAGTGAAGTTTACTGAGCTGTAAGTCTTGCTTCACTGTTGTCTTACGACTCTGCGTGGTCTGTTTTTGTCGAAAACGACCATAATGGACCGTGATTCTTTGTGTCGGTGTTGAAAAGGCTTTAGGTAACGTGTTCGAGACAATATACACGAGACAATAGAGAGAAGTCAGTAATATGACAAACGATGATGGCTATTTAAATGAGTCGGATATAAAAGCTTTTGTTGCCCCGAATTTAGAGAACGTGTAATGTGGCCTAATAACAAAAAAATCGTGGCTGCATGAGATATAATTCACTTACACATAAATGTATATTACCTCCTTTTAGAGCTCCCAAAACAGAAATGAAGCCAGTCAATCCTGATATATCTCTTCATGCTGATCATATCGGTGGATTACGTCTGGCTGTCGCATCTTTCGCTGGAATAGAAACAAAATTTGGACTATGTCTTCCTGTTTTTCAATCTCCCGGTCAAAATGTCAAGAAATAGTGCAATGAAAAACACTCCAGCTTAATGGAATAGGATAGAAAATATATTAATTATTTTGAACTTTCTGTCGATTTACTTTACAATTGGGTATAAATAATAGTGCGTGGGAAAATGTTTACTAAAGCTCGCAATATATAATCAGGTTTTTTTATTTTCACCAGACGTTCCACCTCACAGTCGCTTGCTGCCAGTGGAATGTTTCACGAACGATTTTTTCTTTGGGTTTTTTTTGTTTTAACGAGATGTTTAACAATTTAAAGTGACCTTTGTGTTTGTCCTGTGACTGTAGAGGCTAGAGCCATGCAACCGGGTCCAGCGCCTGATTAGAGTTTAAAAAACCAACGACACGGGCAAAAAGCGAAGTGTTAAGTGGAAAATTTGCCAATCGCTAACGATGACTAATAGTTCTAATATGATCCTACTAAACCTGTAATTTTTGGCTCGAAGATATATAGCAATATAAATTATTTTTGTCCTATTTGAAATTGCTATTAATTTTATTTCTTTACAGTAAAGGTATTTCTGAATCAAATGTGAGTAAAATTTGTTTTTAACTCCAAAACCCTTTTTTAATATATTGCAAGTTCTAAAGCATTTTAACCAGACGCGTTACAAATTAGGTGATTGCAATCTACGTCTTCATAATTTACATATTTAATCGTTCGAAGGAATTATTTCATGCGCAAGGCATGCTGGAGTGAAAAAAGCTTTATGTAGATTATCCACTTGCGAACGTAGGGTCGCCTTACTATTGGCGCGATTTTTACTAGAGGCTGGCCATTCCCCTGAGTGAAATTAGACCAAGAAAAGATTGTCCTAGATTTCTTTTAACCAGAAGGAGTCGTGTCACTGCCGGTACCGGATTCCTATCTTTTTTGGTACACGGATTACACGGTACCGATTCCTATCTTTTTTGGTACCGGTTTCCTAGATATTTTGCCGTTATAGAACAACGGTAAGTGAAGTCCGTCGAGAATAGTTACACACCACCTATAATTCGGTAGATTTGGTATATGCTGGCATTATAAATAAGTTTTTTATGGCCGAAAGAACTTGTTCTCATTAATCACCTGTGCGGTCAAAATAACAATATAAGTGCTCCATTCGTCAGTGAGTCATTAGTTAGCCTTCGCTGACTGTCGGTGATCTCTGAGAAACATGCAGGCTTTAAACCAAGCCCCCATTAATTGTCTGCCAGCAAAAATCCACTCGATGCCAAAAGGAGATGATATTCTATGTATTGTAGTTATACGTCATTCAGGTATACATACTCTATTGTAAATCTATTAATTGTAGGCCGGTATACGTCATTATGAAGTGTCAACAGGTGACAATGAAGTGGCTCATTAATTCGGTCTTCGTTTTGCACGATGCCTCAGTGGACAAAAGCAATAACTTTGACTTGGTTTCCGCAATTTAAATCTTCGATTTTCAGCCACTAAAGCTGTATCAACTTATGCTGTATGATTAGCGCGCAGAAGTCTTGGTTGAGAACTTTTATTACTGAGAAGCAGTTTGGTTTTGCAGAATTTGGTCACTGATCTGATCCCGTTCTCAAAAACTCAAACCTATTCAGGCGGAATCTACTGTTGGCTAAGCATAGCAAAGCAGATAAGACAAGCCAAAGATAAGAAAAGAATTAAAGAGGTAAGCACAGAATTGATAACGTTTAATCCGGAAATTTGAATCCATATTGCGACTATTTACACACGAGGTCCTTTTTTAAGCCGGTTTTTGTCGAGTTTTTCTTAATCTATTTTTGTCGACACCCTGTTGTCCTGTCCACACGATCAAAGGGAGAATATGCCAATCAAGTTAAATTAGCCTTTAAATTCTACTGGAAATTAACGGTGTTCGAAACCGTTTTTGCATGAAAACGAAAATGAAACGCTCGATAATGTTAGTTTGTGCACATAGTCTGAGTTAAAAGTTTATGGGTGCATGTACTCCGTAAGCGGTAACTAATTGGAAATATGGCGTCTAGAACGCAAAATGCTGTCCTGTAAGTCACCTTGGCACGTCTATGATGCTTAGATTTTATAAATCTCACATGAAAGACTGATGTTTAAAAGCAATTGATCAGTCAATCGAAAAGCACCAACAAACTAAAGAAAATCTTCTAGATCTCATAAACGTGTACAACCATTCGGAATGAACTTTGGATTACTTTAATTCGGCAGTATTGGGTATTTCGAATCGTATAAACTGATATCAACAATAACTATATTTATATCATAACTGTATTAGTACTCTGATTGAATCATTGTCAAAATCTTGTCAAAAACTCCAATCCTCACATGTTGACAATGAGACAATTTAGACAATTTTTGCACAGAGAGGCATGGGTTGACCTTTTGATTATATTTTTGATTTCATGATTTGATCTTGCTGTGAGAAGCGGAAGCAATGTCGAAATGGAAATTAGGCCTGATTCACAATAGCTCCTATATTAAAGAATCAGGGATCCATTGTATTATTTTCCGATAGACAAAGCATTTTTCGCACTAGTGAATTCAAACAAACGGAATCCCCGATCCTCAGGACAAGTGTGAAGCCCCGTAGAGACGGTCAAGTTTTTCTTGCCAAGTTTTATTTGCTCGTGTATACGCGAAAAAAATGACAAGTTTTCCTTGACAAGGAACCTTGTTCAAAAGCTAGTCATGCCAGCTTTTCAACTAGCAAAAATGTTCGTGTGCTCGGCCGTCAAGGAAAACTTGACAAGGAATTGTGTGCGTAGCATGGAACAGCGCAACAATATTCGAGGCAATCGAGCAGGTTTTTGAAGTTTTATCATTTCTGTTTGTTTTGAAATTCGGTCGTATACTCATTTTATTTCATCATGGCTCATATTATCGTAAAACTTGTCAAGCCAAAAAATTGTCAAATTTTTCGCGTACACACGTGCAAATAAAACTTGCATGGCAAGGAAAACTTGTCAACGAAAACTTGTTCGTCATACACACGAGCAAGTGAACTTGTCAAGGAAAACTTGCCCGTCTGTACGGGGCTTAAATGCTGATATTCAGAAAGTCAGAAGCATGTTGAAAATCCTGGGTACGAGGTTGGCATGTTTATTGCGCATAATTACCGTGGTAAGTTGTGCAGAGGCTTTAATCAAGATTACCGAAGATAATGATAATACACAATAGACTGCAAGGCAGATGCTGATTTTTCTATTTTTAATATCTATGGTTTTTGTCTTTTTGTCATTTCATATTTCTTGCAAATGATTTTATACCCGAATCGTGCTACTTGTGTTTTGCAAGTTTCAAATAATTAATCCAAACGTTCAGTTGGTCCAACTTTGATTAAATTTACATTGTATTACCGTGTTTTCACTTTTCTCACTCACGCTGCGCTGTGAGTTCAGTGACGTCATAGGTGATCACGAAGCATAAAGCATAAGCTATATAAAAGCTCAGTAGACTCGTGGCGCAATTGGAGTGATAAATGTCGAAGCACGGTAATACAATTTAATTTTAATCAAAGTTAAATGTAACTTTGACAAAGTGTATACAAAATCTGTTACGAAAACCATTACTATTATTGTCTATAGTTGGCATATTTTCATTTTGATATACGTTTGTCAAACTTAGCAGCTGCATGCAAAATAAGTGAATTATTATTTGCAGGGTCAGGGTATTCCAACAATCGCAACTACGGATTTTTTTAAATAAACCAGAATCTTTTCTTTAAGAACGTTATTGGACCATTGGTGTCCTCGGAAACTCTGGGTTACTTTTGTTTTTAGAGAGGTGCATGAGAGACCGTGATAGGCCTAAAAGCTTTCGAAACTGCAAATAAAGTAAAAAGATATTAAGTTAAATATAAAATTGAATCATTGTATTATTAATGACTATTTGTTGGTTATCATTATTCAAAGTCACCTACTGATTTATCATACCTCGCAACTGATGGCAGAAAATATATGTGATCAGTATATGTAAAATAAAGCTGTTCACAGAATTGTTCACAGAGCAACTGCAGCCCGAGTGTCGAGCGGAATAAAACGGATAAATGAGATAAAATTAAGAAAGTTTGTCGTTGATTTGTCTGACCCATCGCGGATTAAAAATTGCTAACCATGCAACCAGAAATATGAATGTAAGTACATAATTGTTTGTGAAGTTCCATATATTGAATGTTCTATTTGGAATTCGTTATTTGCATGCATGCTTATGTAAAAATTCTTTATGCATGCATCTTTTCTGGGGTGGAGAGAGATTACATCCGGGGGCAATAGCTTAATTCCCTTTTTCGCCGCCCTTGGCAAAAAATGCAGCAAAACCCGGAACATTCGACTGAAGAACTAAATTACTGAAAAGTCTAGAGAGAGTCCTTGGCTCACTGCCGATGATTATCGGAAAAGACTGCACGAAAAACGGATTGCATGAGAACCGAGGGAAGAACATATAGAATTACAGGGAATTATTAATTAATTTATAGAATTAATTTATAATTTACATAGCGTATTTGGATATGTTTGCGCAAAAATTTTAAAAAAGCGCTGTTTTTAATTGCAATTTTTTATGTGCTATATACATTGTTCAGTATATATAGCTATATATTAGAATTAAGAGCCCCAGCATGCAGCTAAACAACTGATATTAGGTTCATTATGTTTCGAGTGAATGCTGCCTAAGGCTAAGAACAACTTATTCGGTCAGATGAAGGTTTAGTAAAGAGGTTTTTCTCTGATGAGGTCTTGTGTGAAATTTGCATCGTAAAGAAACAGCTGCTGTTGGATTGTGCAGGTGATACGATAAACGCTGTGATATGGCAAACTCGAAGCCAATGGGAGACGTTAATGTTATTAAATACAAACAATTTACTTTATGTTTTATTTAATTAATTTGTTAACCTCCGTCTGTGAAATAGATGTTAAAACAATGCGTGTTATATATCTAGTATGACCCAACTGCAACGTCCAAGTCCAACACTACGAAAAAATATGTATTAACGCAAGGTTTGATCGCGAGATTCCTGCAGGAGAGCGCATGCATGAAGATATCCAAAGAGTGTCCCACCGCATTAATTGTTTCAACTGAAATTTACAGAAACCTACAGAAATTCATAAAGTAACGAGGTATAAAACAACCCGTTATGGGCCTGCATGTCTATTTTGTTATAGCTATGTTTAACCATTAGAAAAGCGCTCAAGCTAGCCACTTCCTCAATCTAGACCTTACCGAGTCATCTCTTCTTGATGACTCAATGTTGAGCTAAGATATATACCCTTGGATGTTTTTTTTAGTACTAAAGTGTAAAGCAATATCCTTTTTGATATGTTTAGATAATTTTTTTAAAAATATCAGATAAACTATATAAACAGTATCATAAGGAATCTTAATATTCAATTAGCCCAAAATAACCCAATAGCAAGAAATGTAGCAAATCAGTTCTTAGACAATATTTTTCCACCCTCCAGTCCACGCACACTTTAGCGGTTATTAACAAACGAATTTAGAGTATGGACT